CTTGTAGCCGATGACGCTTAACAATGCAACACGATTTCTCCCGTTGTTTGCGGCAGCATTGTATGTTGACAAAACATTTTATATTTGCGTTAATTAAATTGAAGCTTCTTCGTGTTATATTATGTGTGTAACGAATTTGTAATGAATGGGATTATAATTTTCGATTATAACATAAGCTTCTGAATTTATATTATTGCCAATTGTGGTTTTTGTATATTTACCGGTAATTTGTTTCAATGTGATAGAATCGTTACAATGGAATCCTTCGTCTGATCGGAAGCAAGTTTTCAAAATTTGGGAGAATTTACAATCGACTCCGGATTGAGAAAAATTTTGACTCCGACTCTGGGTCGTATAAAATATATCAACTCCAACTTCGGAGAAGATTGAATTTTGAAAACAAAAACATTACGCATGCAAGCTAGGGATGTACCGATATCATTTTTTGCGCAGATACCGATCCGATACCAACGAAAAACGCCGATATTTTGTAATTATCATCAACATATATACAATGTTCTTGAGTGTCAACTTGAACAGATATCTCAGAACATGAGAAATCGACAAATTTATAGATAATAATATTTCGTAGACATTTTAATGCATTCTGTTTGTCATAACTTTTCGTCTTCGTACGTCGTAAAATTGAACCTACCTTCAGCTCTTAGCGTATCATTTGTCGAATATTAAACTTTTTTATCTGTGCTTTTTCTAATTTTAGTGGCTATAATTTTTTAAGCAAACTTGCAAAAAGAGCAAACTTTTTTGCTCGCCGCATTTGGTGGAGAAAACTAAATAGGGTCCTCCAATATGCGCAGACATATTTTGTAAACAGAATCGTGTTTATGTATGGCTTTTTGTCTTTGATTATGTTTGAGGTGTCATTATTTTGACCGCTATTCATTATGAGAAAAGTACAATACTGAGTAATATATCATCTTCTTATGTTCTGATTGTCAACATCATTGTCTTTCTATACAGGCGGTTTTAAATTTCTCCCAAGTCGTGTCACGACTTTCAAATTACTTTTCTAGTACCTGTTTTATCGGCCCATCATTTGTTTTTATCACCATTATCAGATTTATTTATTTCCTAGAAAGTCTAATTTTGCCCAAATTTTAGCACGAGAAATAAGTCAGGTAGGGTTATCTGTAATAATCAACATGCGGTTATCATGACAAAGTGATTTTTTTTCACGATGATGGTAGGCTGGAAATTTTTTGGAGATGTTTATGATTGTGATAAGATAACTTAGCAACACGTATTGTAAGTCAAGAGTCACTGCTTTGAGTCCCCATAAATCACTAGATTGAGTCGCATCGTAGGCTAAGGTAGGGGGCTCTCATAAGCACTTGCTCAAGTCCTAACACCTGAGTGCAGTCGGAGGTTTGGCATGTTTACACAGCAATCGGAGCCGAGTCGAAATTCTTATTTTCGTAGAGTCGTGATTACAGACTTTAATGACGATAAAAACTCAGAATTTTCCCCAAAAAAATCAAAAAAGTATTAAGTTTGCGTTCTGGACAGCCTATTTCACAGAATGCTTGCATACGCAAAAGTTTTTATCAAAAATTGGTTTACACGCAGATGGAGTCGGAGTCAAAAATTTTTCCTACCCGGTGTCAGAAATCTGGTAAAGAATAAATATAGCAAAATAGATTTGAGGTTCATTCCTTCGCCGACCGACGCTATTTTCATGTTTACTTTATGAAGAAATTCCTGAGTCCCAATAATAAATCAATCACTCGGCAAAAACTGTTGACCGTCATTTTTGGCTTACCGTGTTCTCGGAAAACGTGCATTGTTCTGATATTGAGATAAAATCATTATTTTTGCTTGTTTTGATTTTCCGATATAGTTTCTCGGAATTAGAGACATATTTACTGAATCTTTGGTAAACACGAACAAGATATCCAGGTGAAGTTGATTATTTTATTGATAATATGAATCCTGCAAGACCTTGCGTCTCAATTCGTAGATGCTACAACTGCAGTAATGATTTGGTATTATCTTGTTAATATGATTTGTTTTCTTTGATTGTACTTATAGTAGAAATGTTATAATCGTTGGGTTATAATAGGTTATCTATCTCCTTGCGTTTCTCTGGTTACCTATACTGATATAGTGGTGGGTCATTGAGGGGATTCTATCAAAAGTAACCTTTACTATGAATTGTTCCTTGCACATGTTACAAATGCAATTTTATAGCTATGGAATCGAATTATTGAAGTATTGGCAGAATCGTCTTAGTCAAGAATGTCATTTTTTTCGAATATGGAACACTAGTTCTCAAAATTGTAATTTTAGGCAGAGATGCGGTGTGAATTATGCGTTCGTCTGAATTGCAATAATGCGACTTCTCTTTGAAGTTGATTTGGGAAGAATATTGCAGTAATAGAATTTAAAACACTTTTGTTCTAAACGTCGTTACCTGGCTAACTTTTACACGGCTACATCGTCATACAGTATTCGTTAGTTGAATGAATGATAATTTATCTATATAGAGTATTACCATTAATTTTGTTTAATTGTCTGAGCACAAATTTATTACAATTCAGAACCTATATCCCCAATCGAATGATGTAATCACCGAAATAGGCAAGCGTTATATTTTAATTCAATAAAAATTACATAAATCCTTTCTGGCGGGTTGAACTTTATATCTACGAAAATATACTCGGGCATTATCACGATAATGTTTATTGTAGAAATCTGATTTTCCATTCTTTTCCAATAAAGAAATATACATCTCTAGACATATATATTATACATTTTTAATCGAATCGAAATTTGTATCGTCACTATTTCTTCCTCGCTAGTTTGCTATATATAGAGTGGCGACGAATGTCGATGTCACTTCAAGTTTGTCTAACCTTCTCCGTACGCCATAAAATGTCTATTTTGGATTATTTCGCGAAATGTCAAATCTTTTGTATACATTAGGACACTCCCTTTTTATACTTAATGACCATACTATTTAAATGACGTGTTATTTTGTTATAAAAAATTTACGAAAATGAATTCATACCGCAAAATAGCAAGAAATGGTAAAGATTGATAATACTGAAACGATTTTTTAAATGTATGTTATTTCTACTACTCTAATATAAAAAGCAACTTTTGGTCGCACGATATCTCAAAACAGCAAAATTTGACAGGAACAAGTGAGGTGACAGTCGGCATCCCTGTTTGACACTGACATTAAACACACAGCATGGAGATCAAGCCCATTATACTGAATGCAATTAAACCACTACAAAGCTTAGGTAGTTGCCCGTTAGTAGAATCACCAGAACATGGACGGTTAAAAGCCCCAAGACTTGCGGTATATTTGCTCCGCCGATTTTGGCCAACAGTGAGTGCTTTGCTTGCTTAGCCGTAGAGCACACGAAATGTCAAAATCGATTTAGCGAGTGAGTATAAGTTATACCCCGGTGAGAGACCGCAGAATCTGATTGGGTTTTCTATCACAAGTTATATATACGGAATTTCATATTTTAGGCCACAATATTTAAGTAATAAATTCAAGCACGGGAGTTTATATCAGAAGAAGGTATTACGCTATAGTGCAGATGAAACTGCGACTGGGTGCCCAAAAATAAACTATTAATTAATTACCATTCATTATTGTTACCCTAAGTAGCGCACGAGTCTTTTGAGTTAATATGCAAATCAATTCCCATACGGCATTTCCGTAAAAATGAGCTTACGTCGTATCCGAACTGTGAACTATTGCCCCCGGAAGTGCACTTTACGGAACCAGATTTAAACACGATTCAACGAGAGTTCAATCTGGGACACAAATCGATAAATGGTGTCTCGCTCGCCGAAGCTAACCTAATACAAAATGTAAACACGCACGGCCATTTTTTCTTCTCGTGAGAACGAATTTCTCTCGCTTCAGATTTTTGAGCTATGGCATACACGAGACGATGATATAAAACCCGTGGTGGCAAGCACTTTATGCTCAGTCGATATATTCTGGCTTCTGAGTGCGATTAGGCATCCTCTGCAGTGAGGCGGATAAGAGCATCATGTCGAATCGATTTATTCATCTGTAAGAATCCATAAATTTTTCAATGCTGTTACTGCCGTGCTAGGCTGGTTTCAGATGCTACTATGTTTCTCAGTATAATGTACTAACCCTGATCATTGAAGCGTGAATTGTCAGAATATTTCCCCCTCATTATGTTATTTTCACGCTTCATTGGCGTTTGTTTTAAAATGAAGCAAAACGTATTAAAGTTGTTTGCGCACATTCGGCAATTTTAAAATTCACCTTCAATGATATGTGAAGGATTAAAAAAAGCGACGAAGAATACTCGTCTCGAATAGATTTATAGATAATGCTTTTTCTAGAATTTTGTATTCAAGTATAACATGAAAGATCGGTAGCATCCGGATTGTCGCTAGTTGAGTGTTGACAATATTGTTGAAACTTTATAAAAAAATTTTGCATTGCATATAGACTAGAATCATTTGTTTAGGTTGGGATTAGTTGAAGAAGGATAGAAAAAGACCAGCGTTTTTTTTCGAGTTTTTTTCACCCGTGTTATCCTGTTCTTATTACATTTTAAAGTATACATTGAACAATTTTTCTTATCAAATATTGTCGGTACTACAGCGTGAGGTATACCACCATAGGTCACCTACTAAGCTTAGGGTTAGACAAAAGTGATTCCATTCGGGATGGACAATGTAGCGATTGGCCTTATGTTACAGTACTAGCTTGAGGTAGATCGTACGATAAAGTTACGCTAAATAGGCTCGCATTGTCAACGAAGCATAACTTTATTTGTTCTTCAGAGTAAAACTGGACTTACAGCTCAAAAATTAATGATTTGGTTGTATGATTCATCCACGTGTCAAAATGATAAATCTAAAACCACTTTTTTTTGCTTTTGTTCACGTCAGAATTTCACTACTATTTTATTAACTTTACTACAAGCAATATGGTTTCTGTATCTGATTGCTTAGACCGTATTAATGCTGCATTACAGCTTCTCGGACAGCTAGAAAGTTCCGGTGCGCCCCCTGCTTCACAGACCGCCATTCAAAGATTATCTACTGTGACGATATCCAAAGAACATGTCGGTAAGTTGAATGGTTTACCTTATTATGACTTGCCGTGATCGTAACCCAGTAATGAAAGATTAAGTCATCACTGGCAGAATTTTCTTATCGTATTTAGGGCGTTATTGTTCTAGCCGGTCACGCTCCAGTTTACTTCATTATAAATTGCCATGATCGTAACCCAGTGATGAAATGTTAAGTCATTACTGGCTGGCAGAATTTTCTCATCGTATATAAGGCGTTATAATTCCAGCCAGTCATGCTTCAGTGCGTTTTGCAATTGGTGATCTTGGGCTTACGTTTCCATCGTCCTGAATTATTAAAATTATATCTTCCCATATTAAGATTGCAGATGATATAATAGGATGCATTTTTAAATCAAAACATTAGGAATGTTACCATACGTAAGCACTAACACAAAAATTATTTAATAACACATTCTTTGGGAATGCAAACGAGATAGTCTACATACGTAATTCAAAACGGTAAACAACGGCGTTTTTCCTAAGGAGTGGAAAACAACATCATTACTCGCTATTTATCCTTGAGGAATTCGGTTTTGATTTCCATTAAAAGTGTATGACGTAGTAATGTTTAGGGAGTTCGCGATTTGACGTCTGTCGGCTTTTGGATAAATTTATAATCATCTATAATCGCGAGTGGATAATCTATAATCGTAGTAAGAACTCAATATAAGATTTGCCTTGGACGTATCTAGATCTATTTTTTGGCAAAATTTCAAAATTTTTAAACGCATGTCCACCATCATACCCAGGGCGTGAAATAAATTCAGTTGGTATCGATGGCCGTGTTTACAGCGAAGGTAGAGGGAACACAAAGCGAAACATATCATCCACCCATTTCATTTAAGTCTTCGGCCATGGCTTGTGGCATTGACCTTTTATTGCTTCCCAACATAGCAAACAGAATTTTAATATTGTGTTTTTGTATCCGATTACAGTTAGATTATTTATCTACTTATCATCAAATTAAATACAGTTGGGGAGAATTGCTAATTTCATCACCAATGTGACACATTGAAAAAACTGGTGGTGATATCATACAAAATCAGGGATGAAATTTTAATATTTTGAGTCCCTATGGTTTAGTGTCAAATGATGCTTCGTATTAGTTAGTTTTATTTTTTTAATATTATCAAACAAACAAAAATATGACTGGTCTGTTACAAACAAGATAAAATCGTTGTTGTTTTGACTCATGAAAAGTTGCGTAATGGTATTATTTAGCCTTACGGAATTGATATGTTACATGTTTTCAATATTGGAATGGCCGTCAGCTATTTTATAACTTTTTAATAAATTTTTATTTGCGAAACAGACCTATAGATTGAAACGAGAGCCGCATTGCTAATTATACACGATGACATTTAACCAAGCTCTTATTTGATTCTTTTCGTATGGAAAATAGCATTAAAAATCCGTAATCTCTTGTAAAGTCAGTTTGGAAAACATACGGGTAGGTAGTGCTAGTAATACTCACATATACATCGACGACGGATTATAGCTTCGTCGAGTGACGTCGCCAACGATACGTTCCAAATAGGTTTCGTTCTCTCTCGTCCATATTAAAAATATGCGATGAACTCTTTGTGAACCACGGCCTGCTCCATCGCAGGAAACGACTTTCAATTATGCTCTTTTAAAAGCAAGAGACGAAAAACACGTTTCGCGGACGTCTGCGCTTTTCCATACTTTAGCGACGAACGACTTTTCGCACGACTGAGCTTCAGATGCATACGCTTAATTATCCCTGAAGCAGGTTCCCTCGCACGTACTCACGAAATTCACCTTATATAATAAGTCACAAGCGAAGTGCTAGTAGACAGTACTTGGCTTAAATACCATGCATATACACGTTGACTTAAAAAAAAATTTAAATTTGTCCAGAATTCGTAACGTGTCGTGTAATGTCATTACATAGTTTCTTTATGTAAATTTGCCTGCATAAACCTAAAAAGTGAATACCGGCCTACGAGATAATCCAAGCCTCTGGCATGATTGGCTCTAAATAGCTTAGCAGCATCATGTACAATGTACATGAAGAAGTGTTTTTATTGCGATTACAATCTGAAATAGCATTGAAAATCTGATCCATAAGCAAAAAAATAAAGTATATTATTAGCAAAATATATTTCTATTTTTGTCATGGTACACGGCAAGTGCCAGGTGATTGTATCCCAGTTACATATTAACTCAAAATAGTAAGAATGACCGAATGTCACCTCTCAATTAAGTAGTCGTACGGAGGTTGTAATATTATTTATAGAGGAACAAATAGTTCACATTTAACATGGAACACTTCCAATATAAGCGCAATTATACCAATGGCCTGGAACGGGCACTTTCGTGATCTTAATATCATATCTGTTTGCAATATCCAATTATGTTCTATGCCAAATATTGAGTTAAATTTACACTAAAAAGGCCAAACGCCGACATTCTTGTTAAAATTCGTTGAATAAACATAAAAAAAAAAAACGGCGAAAACCGCGGCAAAAAGAATCAATTTGTTAACGACAGATCAATGTTTGCGTTCCGGATTTGGTTCCGCGTCGTCGCGACCTGCGCATGCCCTCTTGACGACCTCTGATTTTATTTACTTATTCACAAGCCACACTTCAATTCAGGACCTGGCAAACACACCAAAAGCCTTATCTAAATACACACAAAGCACGTTGTATTGAAGCTCTAACTCTATAAAGACTACAGTATATTATTCGATAATTTAGGCAAATGTTAAGAAACAGCTGTTAAAACTATCACACTGCTCGCTAAAGTTATATTATCATGGATTTGTTATATTGTGTCACACAGCACTGGCAGTATAGGCACCTATAATTCATATTTCATCAATGGCTTGGCATGTATTCTCAATATTTGACTTGAGAGAGAGTGGGGTTTTCTACTTATACTCATATACTCATTCTGTTGAGTAGATATCTGAAAATTGATTCAATAGCATGGTTCAGTTGGGCATAAAGTACTAGCATATACTAGCTTTCAAGTTTTCAACTTTAGTCGACTTATCGATAAACTCTGAGCTACGTCATTTTTACCTAAGGAGAGAAACCGCATGATTCGGCCTTACGTCAAAACCTAATCCAAATGCAAGATCCTGCAAAGGCTGTGAAACCCATGCGAACCATTATATCCTTGGAATGTATTAAGAATAGGATATTTCATAATTGTCGATTCTGAATACATATATATATTGAACAAAACCTTGGGAAAAGAATTTGTCATTTTCGGTGACCCGAGCTAAGCCCTGATTTTCATATTGTAAAATCCTAATTAAAGGAATTCTATAAAGCTACACATTTGCCTGATTGAACATATCTAATGGGAATTATTCTCTTCTGGAAATATATTCACGCGGAATTTTTTTTCAAATATTTTCATATATCGATTTTAAAATTTTCAAAATTTGGGTGTTTTTGAAATTATTCTGTAATCCGTGGTATGGTATATTTAACATGTCCAATCTGATCTACACACACACAAGCCTGACAAATCCCAAGTTGCCGTTAAAAATAGCTATCACTATAGTAATATTAACCAATTTTATATCAAGATACAATCTTCTTTTAGCTTACATATCCCCCACGACGCAACGTAAACGTAAAATAAGAGTGAACAATATTTTAGGTCCCTTGAGATTTAAATTTCACATATAATATTTATGAGAATAAGGGTCAAATCAAGGGCATATCACTATTTCCATTCGTTCGTGTATGGTTCTTCCCGGTTTTGGAAATGATTGGCTCATTTGGTGTTTTTGATATTACGTCAAGCTATTAGGAAAAGGGTTTTTTTAGGATGTTAATGTGTTTTGATCGCATACGCTGTTTAATATTTAAACTTACAGAATGAATATTGGCTCATGTGGTGTTATCTTGATCAGACTTACGCCTATACAAAGTGCTAAAATAAGTTTTAAAATTCGCTGATGACTCAAAAATGACCAATATTTATTTATATGTATTCATGAAGCGTATATAATATAAGCGCCACCGGACTTAGTGGCTAGTTTCCCAAGATAAGCCTAATGATGAACGAATTTGAAAAAAAATTACACATTATAAACAACTCAATTGATTAAAGCGAATTAAACCATCGAAATTTGAATTATTTTCACCATACATCTGATAGCGTTTTATTACACCGAAAACCCCAAGTTTTATCAAAATTTCCACAATTCGACGTAATTTTATGATCTTACAATCAGAGTTCGAATCTGCGCATAAATTTTGAAATTACACAAAAATTCTTGGTTATTTTTTGTTCATTTTGACAATCGAACTGCGCGATGATGTCGTTAACTTTGAACAACTTGAACTTTTGGCCGTCTCTATTTTCGTCTATTACCTGATCATATTTCCAGATAAATATTCTTATCATTCGTTTCAAATCTAAACTAAACTTTTCAACCTTGGTTCTCTGAAACACCACATTATATATGGTAGAAAGGACCCTTATAATGTAGTTTCTGTTATTTTTTCGCAATTATAACCACGTGAATTTAATAGTTGAAAACACATAATAATGTAAATGCTTTTTACCAAAGAATTTTGCTTCATGGACAGACTGATTTTATAACATGTACGTTCACCAACTAATTGCTAATGATGAACCCTAACCAAAATCGCATAATATTTGAAATAAAGATTTTTTCTTCAAATTCGAAGATAAAAATCACATACCACTGGATGAATCGTATTATCACGGTCTTCCGATAAAAGCAACAAATATCGGTTCTAATAAAATAACCCTTATTTATCGAAAATATCTGAATACAAAGTCGTTTGTCTATGAATTTGACCCGATTTAATACGCTCGCGCTGTTAGACAGTGGTCTCCCCAACTGGTTGGGACACTAACACTCTAGGTATTTGTCGCCGCCAGTGCTGTGTGTAAATTGTGTAATGTCCCGATAATTGACGCAAAACCACGAAGCATTTATGTTGATTAATCTCAACTGAGGTAACAATAAATAACATTTAGGATAATAAGGTTATTTCTCCTTCACGCCGTGTTTATATGACTAAGATTCAAGTTTGTCTGATTTTCCTATGAGCTTCTGTATATGTTAGTGTGGTTTTGCTCTAAGCCTCAATTCTAAGAAATGTTTTCGACTAGAAATAATTGTTCCAACGGAAGAAATTGCTTTTAGTTATGTCGTCAAAATATAAATCATGACTTTAATGGCGATTGCGCCATCATTGTGGTAATCGTTTTCCAGTGATATAATAGCAAGCGAAATGTGGCAAATCCAGTTTAAACTAAAATTGCACTTCGATGATGACACAATCGACATAAAAAAGTACCTCAGTAACTGGCGTTGTTTGGCTTGTGACTAATATTGAAGTGAATAGCAAGAAATTTCAAGTTTTTATTTAACTTATTTTTCAGATGCGAACAAAGATTGTTCAGTTTGTATGGAAAGTTTTGTAAAAGATGATAAAGCAAAGAGATTACCATGCGAACATATGTTTCATATAAAGTGTATTGATCAGTGGTTGAAATTGGTAAGTTAAAATATTTTGAATAGGGTAATAATACGAATAGGGTAATGTACGAGAAAATAATTTTTGAACATTGTTGGAACCGAAATGTTGCATAATACTACCTAAGAGCAATGCTCAAATATATGGACACGAGGTCTACTGCCTAACTACAGTCTACAGTACAGTTCCAAATAAGTCCCACCTACATTCACATCAGTATCAGTATAGGCCATATGCGAGTCGTGAAGCAATATATCAATTGGACATGGGAAATTTGAAAAAATAAAGTAAGCTTCCAGCGGCCTCGCCCATCTATCCAACAAATAACAAAGAAACCTGCCCCACTTGGCATATCACCAGCCATACCGATTAATACCGTCCGTGGCATTTACTTATTTTATTTCATTTATTTCCACAGCATAATACATGCCCTATATGTCGAACGAATATTGAGTCAAACGACACCACTTCATGTCCGGGATCAACTAATATAAACTCTCAGTCTACGTCCGGGCCTTCTACAAGTGGGATTTAGTATGACCCAACATGACAATGCTGGATACTAGATGAACTACAAATAACTGGAAGCCGGCGATCGAAGCCTGGGCGATTCCTTGTCTATAAGAGCAAAATTACGGCGCCAGAGAACCATATAATACAATTTCTCTGTTTTTCGGGAAAAGTCGACCGTTATCAGCAACATGCAGATATGACAAACTACATCTTTCTTCAGTGACAAATCGCCTTGAACGTTTCTTTTTTGATTTTACGTACTTTTGGTGTGTTTTTGGATCGGTACTAATTATTGTTTTGGATTGTGACCCTTAAAACCCAGGTCATTCGGAACATATTCTATATAGACTTTATAAAGTCTTAAAAGAACGTGATTTTGCGATGAGCGTCCTAAAATTCTGAAATTTTTGGGTGCAATCATACACAAACAGCATAAGTTCAAGTGTTAAATAAATTTCTTCCATTATCATCGAGGTAATCGAAAAATTTATGGGTACTGTTTTTCGGTCACTATATATATACATATACCTGAAATTTCAGAATAAATTTAATGTGTAGGTATGGTTTTGCAAATTCATGGTGCTTCCCGCCGGGATATCGAAATGGTTTGTGTGCGGAACTGAACTGTATAGTTTAGGCTCGTATATATATATATATATATTACTTTACTATAAATTTCGATATCTTTGTCTTCCTGTGCCCACGTTTTGGACATTTTACTTTTACAAGGCGCTTATCTCGCGCGTTATACTTCATTAATTATATGCTGTAGCGATTTCAACTTTATTTAAATTTTATTTACTTGCAATGCGTGTACGAATGTGTAGTTATTATTGATATTATGAATACGCCATTTGAGACAAGCTTGCCTCTTGCTTCGTCGCGTTGGAAAGATTATTCGCTTTTTAGCGAAGTCTCAATGTTGTACTCGTCTGTTATGATTAATTATTTATTTCATTGGAAATTAGTAAATGCAAGTGTATTTCGCGTATGTAATTTGATTTTCTATAGAAAATAAAATGTATTACTTTTGGAATATAATGAGTGTTTTGTGCCTCCCGAAGCTTTGCACAAGCGATGACACAGGATTGTGATTTATGGAGAATGCATCCCGTCCAGAGTCTGAAACTCTAGTTTGGAGGTTGCAATTAGTATCCTAAATCAGGGGTTCTTAAACAGCGGCAGGTTCTACTCGGCTGTACCAGACATGGGATTGCTTATTGAAACCTAAATAGAAAGAACCTTGCTCCGAGGCGATTATTGATAAGCAAAAATGAAATAGCATGAAACACCCATTATGAATTTTAACTGATAACTGGTGTAAAAACTGTTAAACTGATAGTTCATGTATTTATCACAGTTCACCCTTTGCAAATTAGTTTAAAAAGAGTACGCCAACATTATTCAAGACACATATGGGTGTACAGTAGCATGGAAGGTTCAAAAAGTCTGATTTGTATTCGATAAAACTAACAAGGGTTATAAACTGGTGAAACTTTCGGACTAAATATTTCAGTTTTCTATAATAGTTTTATGACGTCATAAATACTTTATTGTTTGGAAAGTACCTTCATAATTCTAATTTCGTTTTAATATATTTGTCGTCAAAATCGAGAATGGAATTTAAATTACCTGAGCTGTCGATGCAAAAAGAAACAAGAAATAGCGAAGGACTATCAGGATGTTTCGGATCGGTCACGCCGAAGAGTATGTTGTGTGCCATAAACAAATCTCTGGAAAACCGGCATCTGGACAGTACCTACAGCGAGCCGAGTTTCGGAAGACAACAAAGATTACTGGTCCCTATCCCGCGATCAGATACAATTCTCAGAGATATGCCCTCTTCGCTTGGCAGTGATTACTGTTTGTTAAACGATGGTTTGAGTCGAGTTTACGCAAAGCTGTCACGAATAGAATTGGAGCAGTCTGAATCAGAAATTAAAAATCCCTATAAAATGTTGCCAAAAAGAGAACCAAGGAAGAAAAAAAGAAAACCGTTCAACATTACAGCTTACGCAAAAGACTTTATGAGCAGTGTTGCCAGCTCGCCGCATTTAAAAAAATCGCGGACCAACATGAACAACGATTTCCTATTGAAAAACTCGGGCAAAATTTTATCTTCAGATTGTCTACATCTACAAGCTACATCGCTGGAGAAGTTATTGCAGAATTCATCCAGTACTGCGCTTCCTGTGCCAGTCTGTAGTCCAAGTGAGACGGGAAGAATTCTATTACCGGCCATGAAGTCAAAAGGTAATATTTAAGATCTTGTGGTACTACGTATGTTTGTAATATTCTCAGTAGAAATGCAGTGAGCTATAACGGCGGTAGCTTCAGAATATCAGTAACGTAGAAGGTAAGCGTGTCAGATGATAAGTACAATATTGCAAAAAATCGTGGCTCGACCGTACATTCTTTGTACCGTATTTTACTGACCATGAGGCGCATCGGGTTATAAGGTGCACTGTTAATAAATTGCTTAGAATGGGGGATTTGTCATAAGGCGCAATGGTTTTTTAATGAGTATTGGGTTACCGTACAAAACTCATTGACCATCAAAAAAATATAAGGGCTTAATTCAAATTGCAAAACTGCTGTTTTTGACACAGCTTATGGGAATCTCGTATTTTATACTAAATAGGCAAAAAGATCAAGAATGGGGATTCATGTTTTTTAAACCGGTACACACACACAGTTGAATCCCTGCCCACTACTCAGTCACTGCAGTCACTGAGAAGAGGTAATGCAACCCCGCCACAATGTATCTCAAAGTCAATGCTCTACTCGCACGCGCCAAAGGCATCTTCTTCTGAGAGCAGTCAAGTAGAACGAGCTGTTTCTAAGCAACATCAAAAGAAGCAGTTTGTGAAAATTGCAACAAAATCTTTAACGAAATTTTTTGAAAATCAGAAAAAGAAATCTAATGGTGACGTCACAAAGCGTCAGAATATTTTTTCACAGAAAACTAAAAATATAGAAACTGAAGCCGAAAAAAACAACGAAGACAGTCAAATCGGCAGAGGTTCTTTAAATTCTAACTCTAAAGGTAAGTAGCCACTGATTAACGCCGAGTGACTGTGGGCTCTCCTACTATTCCTCTCTCTGCCTATTTTTGACATTTTACCTTCTCCCCCCTACCCCTCGCCGAGCATAATTCTCTGTTTCCAAAAAAGATTAGAAACCCGAGTAACGCTGTATATACATGTTGACTTGGTATTTCGATTTTGATAAATTTTTGAAGCAAGCGCAGGTATTTTGGGATGGTATATTGAACTTGTTCACTGTTATACCAATATTATGCGAAATAAAAAGTCTTTTTAATTAAGAATGTTTTCAATCGTTGTGTGTGTTCTGTGTATTACTTTCCATGTATCTTGATATTTCTAGAAAGAAAATTCGCCGTGCAAACAGGAGAGTCAATCGATATGAGGTCAGATGTTCCTTGCCCTCCAATGGAATCAACATCTGGTCCTATACAACCGTTGGAGCACGTAAAAAGTCCGTCAGAAGATGACTTTTATTCCGCCGAGGAAACACTGCCCAACGACGTTACCATGTCCACCAATGAAAATGACGTTTCGTTAGCAAAAGACGGCGATGCCAAAACAGCAAAGGAACTCGTTTCTGTCCAGGAAGACCATTTAAAATTCCCCAAGAGACGAAAACTAGAACCGCTCAAGTATCGTTTACCTAAAACTAAAGTAAATGAAGACTTAAATCAGCATGTGAAAAATAAGACGTCACCACGTAGAAGTATGCTGCCACCGATCACTATCAGTGACCCACTGGTGTCTTCAACTACTAATTCAAATGGTTCATCCCACTCGTAAGTCTAATAGCTTTTTCATAATTAAATTTTATTTAGGCATTTGAAATTTGGTGTATTATATGGGAGTATATATAGATATACAAATCCAAAAAATATTACTGTCCCAATAGTCGATGTGGAGCCAATGATGCTGATGATGAACGAGAGTCATCGCACACGCTTCTTGAACGATCGAAGAAATATCGAAAGCAAGTTCACTATTATTCAAGTGGCTCAGATACGGAGGAACAAAGTCGCGATAAAGGTAACTCTAATTTCCACAGATTGCCCTATATTTGATTCCTTAAATGAAACCATTCGTAAAAACGCATTCCCCCGCAATTTTCGTTTTCAAACTCAACCTACAAAATTGGCAGCACTGTTACATGACATGAAGAACTCTTGAGCGATAGCACAGAGCCTTGCAATCAGCACCGCGCCAGTAAAGTAAAAAAAAAGTAAAAATATGAAAATATATATATATATATGTCTAAATTATTGAGTCAAACAGCTTCCAGGTATCAAAGTTGTACTTTGCTTATTTTCAGCAGGAAAACGACGGAAGAAACGAAAACAAATAGACAAAAAGATAGCATACACAAAGGATAACAAAAGGTGGATATTATATATATCGTTTATTTGGTATTAAAATAAACACGCATCGGCGGGCCAAACAAAATATTTCTACTGTACTCTGTAGTCTTCGGAGGGATTCGCTAGATCAGAATAAAGTCAAGAAAATCGTTAGTCGTTCGTTCTGTAGGTAACTCCGTAAATATATCTCGATTCCCATTGGCGCGGATAGCTGAAAAGAACTTCAAAAACTGGCCTTTATTTTTTTTTCATTCAGGCTTTCCGAAATACAAATTCTCCCTCCCACCCAAGATTCAAATCACTCAAAATCACTGAATAGCTGTGGAGATGAGGGTGGTAATGCACGTACTGCACAACCGCAACAAGACAGATTACCTGACGTCAATTGTTCTTCGTGGTCAAAGGGCAAAAACCTTCGAAACAGAACGTCTGAAAGTAAGCACAGTGAGTAGAGGAGGAAACTGCATTTGGAGAGCATAGAAATATTTCTACTTATCCAGAGACCAAATTTCACGCGATGCAACATCTGATATACACACAACTGAGATTTGCTATCTCGAACATTTGATTTCATTTTGTTAATAATCTTCGCGACCAAGTTAATGCATGTACTCAGTGGTACATGAAATGGAAGATCGGGCGTCATAGAGCAGTTTTAGATATACTGCAGGTGTTCGTTCCGCGTGTATTCAATGCAGAACTATAAATACGAGTGCCATTATTTTATGTCAGTCCGTGAATATTCTTTGAATATAATTCAATTCACGCTCTCAAGACCCTAGCAATCCCATTAAAGCTGAATGGCACTACATTTAGAACATCTTTTTCAGGCATTATTTCCAGATACATAACAGACATGACTAGAAGAGGTCACATCGTGACATCAGATCCGGAAGATGGCGATGATGAACTTGAGGACGAGGATTACAAATTTTCTAAAGTTTCTATGACGTAAAGAACATAAAATCACCTTTATTTTCATACCTGGTCGCTTCTTATTATCTAGTCACAACACGAACTTAAGAACTGCATTTTTCAATGTCTCATTAGTTGTTTATACCGAGGGGTGGGCAAGAAACAGTCCTGCCAAACTGCAAGTGCTTCATTTCTACCTGCTTCCCGACGTCGAACAACCATACGCGCATTTGAGTCCGCAGTAATGCATATGATATTGGATCCTCAGTATAATATATCCTAGCTCCTAATTCTGTTATCTTCGGTACATCTCTTACTTTATCACTCTGTTATCTCTGCTCCTGCTTTCGAAGTGTATAATGAGACGAAGAATTATTAGGAAGCTTTCCATCATCATCTTAACATAATAACGCGATTGGAAAAATGCGCAAGGTAAGTATGGAAATACAATCATCGATGGAAATACGATCAGATCACAACGTAAATTGAACGCGAAGTACGACGAAGTAAAAAACAAACTAAATGCCAATACAGTATATCAAGGCTGCCCAACCCGCGGCCTGCCGAAGTGTTTTTTGCGGCCCGCCCCATAAAGTTTGTAAGCAGACTTTTCAAATTTTTACATACATTTTACTATACATAAGTATCTTTCGTGATTTTGGTGTAAATATTCCTGCCATCTATCTACGTTCAAATGCCGGTTTTTATTATTAGATATGTGTCAAGTCTTGCACCCTGGTGGGCATCAACGTTATTTTTTTTTCTCGCAAAACTGTGCACTCTGTTCGACGAACTATAAAGATAATGTGCGATCATTGGGGACAAACGCTGAGCGCAAATATAGGAATGGAACTTGCAGCCTAAGTTTGCAAATTATTTTCATTCTGATTTCTTTCTTTCGTGTCGGCTCTGATCGTCTTTATCGCCAACGTAAAATAAAAAGTCAACAATATCTTGGGTACTGGTCCCCGGACTCGTTGTCTTTTTATGTTTGTACTTTTGTTCATGCTATGTTCGCGTTAAATAAGATTTTGGAAAGGTTGTCACTGCGTATTCGTCAATAATTCTGATGAAATTGCCGTAATGGCATTGCTACTAATTAGTCACAAATCAGTATATATCGACTATTCGTTCAGAAATCTTCGTTATGTTACTTCAATAAATACTTGTATTGGTATTTCAAATTTTACGAAACGGCCCACTAAAACTTGATATTGCCGCAACATTGACTCACATTATGCTCATTTAAACATTAAAGCAGTATCGTAGCTACTGAAAATGAATGAATAAAAACACTAACGCAAATATAACACTCAACTTTGACGTGATGTGTGTGTTTCTTGCGTGGTCGCCAAAAAACGGCAAGTGTGTTGTGTGATGATTGATTCGGTCGCCCGAGAGTGTTATGTCCACGCCCCGTTTACCAGATATTCGAATAGTAAACCGCTATTCTAATATTCGAATAATTTGCCAGCCCTACCCAGTAACCAGTAGGCAATTATTAATTTGATTGATTTCATGTTAATAAACTCGCCTTTTATGTATTATGTAATTACCTACACCAAAATCAGGACTTATCTGGTATTAATATTTGGTACAAACGTTTGCGGCCCGCGACCGATTCCGTCACGTGAAAGTGGCCCGCGAGACGAAAAAGATTTGGCAGGCCTGCAGTATATCAAAATCTTTGAAGGACAGAAAATTGTCTGTTCAAGCGCTACTCCGACGATATACAATAATCATGGACCGGGATCCCTATTTACTAATACTGGTGACTTGCCTAGGACCTTATGCAGGAATACAATTTACGAATTACCGCAAACACAATATACTTAAAAACAAATCATCCAAATGTGCTGAAAATCTCTTTTTTTCAGCCCCTTTTATCAAAACTACGGATAATACTCAACATAGAAACAGTTATATTTTAAGCGGAAAAGCATTTAAAGTAAAAGCTACCTCTATAGCTGCGAATAAAAATAACTACATAAAAGTAAAAAATGTAACTAAAGAATATTCTTCCGCAGTGTGAGCAAGCACAATCGCTCCGAAATGCCGTAATGCTATTAAGACATTGTGCCATCCGTAATTTTGAATTGATTTGTATTTTGGAAAAATGATGTTGAATGTATAAAAAAATGTGACATGATTCGATATTAACAAAAATTTTGATAAAAAAACCTCCAAACTTTTACATTTTGCTTCTTTTAGTGAATATATTGATAAACTTTGGTATAAAAAATGACCATCCATCAATATCGATATGAATACTTCATATTTACAAAAAAAAAATTTCCGCTCATATTTTGATATTATAAATGGGTATCAGCGATCGGATATGTGCTAGGATCATGTCTAGGTGATGACGTAGAACCATTGTCGTCATCTATGACGTCATTAATCACACGTAACGGACTAGTATGTTTAATAGGTGATACATGTATATGTTCTGCTGGACTATGCTCAATAACAGTACCTGGAATTGAAAACAAAGAGATAAGGATTGAATATATAAAGTATCGGAATTATTTTTCCAATTTTAGCAATAGGAGACAAAACACATTCCCATGATCTAATAACTGTAATGGATGTGATTTTCATATTTAACCAGTGAGGAGGAAGTCAATAAGGAGACTTAATCATGTGGTGTACCACAGCCTCTCGTTCTGTTGTCGTAAAAGTTGAGCCAATCGCTCAGTATAACAGTTATTGAACTATGAATTTTCCCTCAGTAATTACCAAGATCCAATTCTTGAATGCATAAAAATCTGTGAATTCTCAAAATTAATAAAAAAAAAAAGTAAAAGAAAATGAATAAGATTTCCATAAAATTTAGATTTACCTGTTTTCAAGGCGAACATTAAATCATCGAAATCTGCTGAATCATCCTGATTAAAAGAATCCTCCATATTTCCACGAGTCATCACTTGTGATCGTGAAAAATTCGGATCACTACCACTCCATTCCAACTAAATTTATCGATACAAAAATGATTGTAATTTAGTTAAAGTTTTTCACACAAAACAATCTCAAAACATGTAAAGCTAAGAGCAAACTTTAATGTATTGAAACAATCATAACTGCACAAAGATTGAAGATACCTGACTTCCATATACTTAATCAGGGGTAAAGAATTTAAAATCTGCTTCTTAACTCATTACACTTCTTGGTGTATGACTTAATGGTGGAGGAAGCCGTAACCAACCATCTTTACAGCGGCGACGAGAATTCTCGCACATTATTATCTCCATGCGGAATTCGATCCAGCAATCAAGAAGTGCGATGGCATGGATATTAGCACAATGTGCAATATCGTTGACCTACGGTTATTCTGCTGTATAATTTAATGTTTCCATTTCGTGCATTAATGAAAATGACTTGCTCTAATCTAGATAAACTTCAATATAAAGATTATACAAACCTGGTCTTTTCCTTTTGCTACAAGATTCTGTGTGCTTCTGTTCAATACATCACCAGTTACAGATGGTGCTTGACTTCCTGCTGTGCTTGTTGCATATGCTGTAAAGGCCCAAAATTACTCAAACTAAAAATTTTTAAGCAAATTTTCAAAAACGTTCACATTATCGAATAAAAATCTTACCATTAACTGGTACGGCAGTATCATCCGTTTCATAAGGTGATTTAATAGGTCTCACTATTTGATTGTGAAGAATTCCATATATAATGAGAAGATAGATACCCTGGAATAATAAAAATAGTATACTTCAAGTAGAAATCAAAGAACGGAGTATCTTGAGAATATTGTGTCCTACTTGTACCACTAGTATCATATGCACTACTTGTCCCACATTTCCCGCTTGACACAGTGGAAGTCCCGGGACAAGTGATACAAGAGGGGCACATGGAACAGGTGTAAAACAAGTAGGCTATGCGGAAAACTGATTCAAAATATCACAAAAAGAGTATTCCCACAGAGTTTACCAATTCATATAAAAGGTGCCTTTATGGAGAAATGGATATTCACCGTCTACATTCATATGGATATTTGCACAAAACAAATTATAATGAAGTATGCATATCATGATTGCTGCGTTTTTATTCTTCATATAAATTTGAATATGTTTTCTTTTTTTTCTTTTCTTATATTGATTCATAATATCCCTTTTAAATACACTTGATTCCGTTAAATTCTGGATTTAAAAATGTCCAACTCACCTGTACCATATTGAACAGTATAAACAATACCAACATCCACATCTGACCATAAGCAAGATGGAGTCCTCCCCATAGCCATGAGAATGATAGAAGAAAGAAAAACCAAAACAAAAGTGGAATTTCTGAAAAGAAAGTAATGGGCTGCTAGTATTTATATATCAAATGATTTGGTATTGTAGAATTTCACCCTGCAATGAAGTGCAACCCAAACGACCATTTATCAAAGAGTTGAGTAAATGAAATTTCTCGAACTCATACTCAACTAACAGCTAGCGAGACTTAGCTCGGTGATTCGACTCAAATTCAATCTCAAACTTGACTAGAGACTAAGGGTTTATAAGCCTAACACTGTTTGGTCAGGTTTTCAATATTCTTGATATTGAATTTTGAATATTCAAAGTCATGATGTATGCCAAGAGCCAAAGTCAATTCAAACTTAGTAACAAAAAACAATATTAGATATTAAAAATTAGAATTTGAACAAAATATTGTACAAATGTCTGCAAGTTGACCTCACTAATAAATTTTATAATTTCTTTACCACCATGCCAAAAATAACTTCAAAACAGGTTAATATATAAATAATAAGCAAGTCCAACTGTGATAACCAATGTGCAACTGTTTCAAGCATGGCAAAGTTGAAAGATCTTTTAAAAACATATACATCCTTGAGCGATTCTTGTGTAAAGCCAGGAATGGGGCAAAAAAAAAACTCAAAATTATTTTGTTCTGGAGACTGGGGTAGATTAATAAATTTATTTTTTTACCTGTTTGGTTGAATCTACCTCTGAACAAATCATCATATTGTTTCCATGTGTTATCTCTTTGATATAATTGCAATCCTATGGTGCATGTTACCATCATTGATATGCAAGCTGGTGCAACGGCAGCTAGGAGCCCGGCTTTTGCATCCATAATAAAACACCTATTATATGAAATTTTATTCTACAGGAGTGCTGTATATTATTCTGGCTCTTTTGCATCGAAATCATGATTGAGAGTGAGATTCATAATTTCAAAGAGTCGAGTAACAATTGTCGGAGGTTGTAATTTCTTACTTTTAATGGTGATAATTGAACTTGAAATTTTCTACAAAAACTCAAAAATATTTACTTGAATAAGCATTCATCAGTTCAAAAATTAGGCAGGCATACCGGTAAGTAAAAGTTTTCACCAAAACTTGATTTTCTTGTAAGAGTCGAGGTCCAGATTAATATTAAAAAAAAAACGAAAAGAGAAAAATAACTTACATGTCACCGTTAGAATGTACATCTCCATATATTTGTGGCAGATTGGTAAATCCCAAAGCGTACATGATTATACTATGCAATGCTACTATTACAGCTGGTAATCCCCAGCCTATGATGAAAAATATTGTCAAGATTTGACTGGTGTTGTCATTGCTCATCACAAGAACCTGGGAAGCAAAAATATTAATTCATAATCTCACCTAGAAGTAGGCTTACCATATATAAGCAACAAAAAACTGGGAGAATGCGAATTGGAAAAACATTGGTTCGAATATCAGGCTTAGTAATATTTAACTCATTAAAAAACGTGCACTTTCTTTTTTGCATTTGAATAATTTAACGGCAGTACAGCTAGATGTTAAATCGATGTATTAAACATATAATAATTATGACATAACAATATAGTGGTTCTCTTTCACTCTCACCAAAATAGTGAAGTGAGTCGCAAATCAGTAATAAATGGGCTGACTCCATTAACAAAAAAGAATTTTGTATTGAAATTAAATAAAAAGAATATTCTTGACTGGCATAGTGCATGACCGCGACATTTTAAACTACCGGGCAGGACACCAGGACAGCTTGTCAAAATCGGGATAGTCCCGGCTGAACCAGAATGTGTGGTAAACCTACCTAGAATGTAGAAAATGTGTTTTTCCCATAAATAGCAGCCCTCTATATACTATTGGCTGCTTGCTTAGAGTAATGTTCAGAGCGAACTTAAATAACACCTCATAAAATGCTTTTATCAAATTAGACTTCAGCTTCTTAGTTATATAAATTAAAGTGTACGAAAAGGCTGCTAATAAAACAATACCTTCCAAATATTGAAAGCCTGTACTAATATCCATGTAAACTGAGCAAGCCAGAAATAATGCAGGAATATTGCAATTGCTGCACATCCATCTTCATTTGCAGTCTCACTTGCTAATGTACTTACAACAAAGAATAGCTGGAAAACAAATTTATTAAGAAATGTGTTTAATAATTAACATTGCACACATGCTAAAATTTAAAAATGCGCCCCATGGTCGTTAACTGACAATGCTTAACGACTGTTGTTGAAATTAGATACTTGTACGTTATTACTTGAGTTAAAAAACGAGTTCCAACTATTCCCAATTTGAAAATTATTTTATTGATACATTTATGATTAAGACTTTTGCACCCTACCCGAACGACGCCCATGGTACTAGCCATGGTTGCCATACCATAGACACGCCACAGTAAGAGACTCAAAGCAGTTTAAAACAATAGGACTGGAAAAACAGCTAGACAGCGAATCTCACATAACTGTGCATTCATGAGAATTGCATGCATATTTATCTTTACCAAGAGCTCAATAATGGAATTTGAATAAAAAAAACTCAATTATAAGAATCCTGACTGTTGGAGCATTGTTCAGAATGTGAGTAACATGCTAATCTACCACAATACTGAATACTATAGGCCACAAGTATTGTTGTTGCTGGTCTGAATAAAAACGAGCAATTAAATTGCAGGACTAGTTGCCATTGTAAATTGCTCAGTTATGGTTTGTTTTACAAACAGAATGAATTGACTGAATGAATTTCCTGCCAAATGAATAAGATTTTGGTTTAATAAAATGAGGCAGGTATTCTTGTGGGCTTTTCTCTCCCCTAACATAATTTGTATTCTGTTCCGTTGGTCTAGGCCATTTTCAGATAAAGATGTGAACTTGAACTGATTATTTCTCCAAACAAGGATGTAGACAAGCATCAGTTGCTCACCCACCTCCTTGTTCAGAGCAAACATCAGTTATATGCACTTTCATGATTACCTGAGTCAATCCACATGCAAATAACATATGCATCATAAGTTTTGAAGCAAATGTACTGTGTCTCGAACAAACATGATGGCCGAGAATTGTGACTGCTGCTGCTACAGCACATATGAAGCAAGCAACATAGGTGGCCTGAACAAAGAAATTTGTCTAATTGAAGAAAGAGATATAATTGTTGACTATGGGTAGAAACTATTACAAGCTGCCATGAAGTAAAAAAAAAACCTTGGCATATGAAAACCATCCTTGTCTTTCGAGAATGCACATTTTCATTACTTTATGCCTCTTGAACTTTGACCTTGATTATCATTAAATATTTGAAATTCAGACTCTGATGAGAATTTTGAAAACTTGTCCCCAATACTAATATCCACCCAGTTATGGGCCGAGCAAAAATTCGAAGGACCAAAGAATATTTAGGCTATACTGTTCGTGAACACTTGTTTATGCCTTCTTCTGAGTGTGTTATTAAACATACGGTACATACCTCATTATAACCAGCCAAATCATCAGTTGGTCCTCTAGCTGCATAAACAGACATATGATGACAAGCACACTCAACATAAGTATCTGTATCATATTCAACTGTACATGTTTCTGGTGAACTTAACCATCGTTTGGAAGCCTTGGAAATAAGTATAATATTTAAAAACTATACGCTTGCTAATGAACTTCTAGAAGCCCAAATTTTTAAAATCTTGAAAATTAGAACAGCGATTTGAAACCTCCAAAATTTCGATAAGAAAATATTTGGAGTCACTTTTGTCTTGAATGCAAAATTCTTGATAGAGATATCATTAAATAGTATGATTATGAATACTTTCAACTATTTAGACAGAATAACATAACCTGAAATTCATAAGCAGTATTCTGTCAATATTATCGAATACAATAATTGATATACCTCGTTCCACAATACACACTCAGCACCTTTTGGTGATATTCTTGAATCCTTTGTGTGGATTCTGTATCGTACTGGGTTCACAAGATTTGCGATCGGTTTTCCATTAACACTGACAGAAAATATCTTGTTGCTCATCGCACCCTAAAATTTGAAAATATGTTTATAAATAGATTTTAGATTTTATATAGTGTCAGTATCTCTTGGTACTTTATCAATATTCATAATTTCGATCAGGGATCACCTCTTCTGGTTCTGAGTAAGTGGGCATGACCTTGATTTGAGAGAATGAAGTTTCTTATAAAAAGAATTTATAGTTTTTCCATAACATATAAAAAAAAATGCGAAAGAAAGGTAAAAAAATGTTGCAAGTCATTTTTTTCTGACTTTCACTTCTCAGCCAGCCTGTTTGCAAATAGTTAACACCAGACTAGAAGCTAAATGAGTGATATAACTATACAATATGGAAGAGTTTTAACCACAATCTTACATTCAAAAAGATATCATTTCAAATAATAAACACAGTGCTTTCATGTTTGCATTGCTTCAATTTTTGGCCTGTGCTTTAAATTCCCTATGATACAATATGCATCACTGTAACTATCGCAAAAAAACAGCAGTAAAACCCACCTTTTCACCGATCACATCAAACCATGTTTGTGATGAATATTCAATGAATGAAATATCATAACAAGTAGGATTAGGTGAATCAACTCCAGTGGCTTGAACATTCAGAAGATCAGTAGGAATCTAGACGCAAGTTACAGTATTATGTGTGGTTTTATAGTAAGCAGTCAGAAGTTTTTAAAACTGTATAGCGTGGAATTGAAGGTCGGCCCATTTTTGGGGCAAAAACGAGCTCATGAATTGTAAAAAAATTATGAACAAAAAGATATCCATACACCTTCTAGAAGACATTTCTGTATTTAACTACTTTAAATTTTAAAGTGAGTTAGTTCAGTTATAGTAGATGAAAAACAGAGCAATATTTAGCAGATCAATTTAGCTAAACAATCCATAAAAATTATATTAAGATAATGAAATGGTCGTTTGCCCAGTTACCAGTCCATGTCAAGTATCGAATACTTAACCAATTATTCCTTTCAGATGCATGGACTTGATGGTGGAGAAAGAGGTAACTGACAAGCAGATACAGGACATTCCTCTCACACATAATTTTCCCCACACAGAATTAGAAACTGTGAATGTGTGCAGAGTCATAAGAGATGCGATGATAAGCAGATTTAAAGCGCTTATCTTAGAAAAATGTGTCAACCGCCGAGCCAATATCCAATGCAAGCCATTTTGAGTGAATGAAAATAATTCTAGACAAAAGCCAATATATGATGAATATATTGAATTTTTTTTTTTACCTCAAAGTAATCCAAAGCTGATCTTCCCTTCCCAGCAAATTTATGTCCATTGATTATTTCTGGATACCAACGAGCACTCTGAATGAAAAAATATTATAGTTTGAAACTCTTGATAGCAAAACATGAGGAAAATTTGAGAATTTTTTTTATAAATATAACCGTTATTTGTGTACTGCATCAATCTTATAATAGAATGAATACTGATGTGGGCATGCTGGTATATGTTTTATGTAAACTAACAATAAGGAATTCGATACAGCTATCAGATAGGTATTGCAAACCAGAAATTCAAATGTCCACAAATAAGAAGATTTTTGACCAAAATATAGACTGTTAACATTATTTAATTTTCGAAAATGTATAATAAAATATTAAAATTGGACACATCTTTCTTATATGGGACCATCTTTTTGTGAAATACCATTTGAAGTATGTGCTTACCTGCAAAACGGCATGAGAGCATTTTCCAAATGCAACTGTAGCAGAATCATCAGGTGTACAATCCATACCAGTCATCAATGAAAAGACAAATTGTTCAAATGTGTCGCCAAACTCCGTGAATCCTAATACCGCATCTGATCTATTGGGATCAAGCAACTGAAAAAGATTAGTTTATATCAGGGATCGGGAACCTATTTGGCCAAGAGAGCCATAAAATACACTGTCAATGCAATACGGCCAGATCATAGCTTCAAACTGAAATGGCTCGAACTTTTGAAACATTTGTGATTTGACTTCGCTCGTTTTTACTTCAAATGATGGACCCAACCTGTATTTGTGTATGGTCAAACACCTAACATAGTATATGTGAAACCTTATTATACAATTTGTCTGATTTTCATATTAATTCTTATTTGCTTGCTGTTGGAAGATATACCAAAATGTACCGGTACTCTACATAAAATGCGAAAGATTTGTAACCAGTACAGAGACCCACCCTCACCGAAATTGAGCCAAGATTCAATCTTTCGTGTGAGAATATAAAAGCACATCAGTCTCATTAACAATATTGTCAATTTTTGCTTTCTGCATTATCCAATTTCACTTTATTTTTATTTTACTTCTCGATGGTCATGAAAAAATTTTGGCGTTGCCAAGTGGCCATGATGAAAAAAGTTTGAAGACCACTGCCCTAGACAATCCTAGACCAAATTCCATGCTCCCAAAATACAAATCACCCTTCTTACTTTACAAAACAAATCATAAACAGCTTCTTGAATTTGACTTGGTAGTTTCCTCTGCTTAGCGTGATCAATAATATTATTCAACACTCCGTGAAATATGTGAACTTGTTCATTGTCCATAGGTTCATCAGTTAAGGAATGTAACTGAGCTAGAACTGATTGTATAACTCCATCATCAAGATTCTGCATAAAATGTGAGTTTTTAAATTAAAAAATAAAACATTTGGATTGACATTGCCACGATTGTCTATTTATTAAAGAAAGGAATAAAAATGAGAAATTTTATCCAATATACTGGTGGTATTATAGCCATGAGTTTTTTTTTTTAAGAAAATTCACTCAAAACAAAGTCATATGCACTCACTCAGAGATAAAAAATAAAGTCAGACCACTGAAAGGCCAAGAGCTATTCAAACTATATTGTCTATTTATGAAGAGCATTAGATGCCATCAGATGTCGATTGGGATGACATTTGAACCAGTTCAGCGTCAATATGATCAGGAAAACAGTCACAAGGTAGTGAATTCCACCAAACTTATATTGCACAATACCAGTTAACATATATAGAAGCACACCAACCTGTTGTAACGCTTCATATACTCTCCAAACTCTTTTTGTATTTTCTTTTCCTACAATGGTGACATTAGCAGTATCATATTCATAATTAATCGATCCATCTCCAGATACGTGAGATAATTTAACTTGAAAAATTTGAGGGAGTGGATTTGGTGAAGAGAGATCATGATGAAGTGGAATGTTGATGAAAGCTTCTTCCTAAACATAAAAAGAAAGTTTAGATCTAGCGTGTATATCTAGATTTCCTATTGTTGATTTACTATGTAATTACAGTAGTTCAGTCTGAGTAGCAGTGGCCCAATAATTGTAGTCAAAATTCGGTTTTCTCGGAGCCAGAAGCAAGATTTGAAGCCAAATTATTTTGAGTCTGAGTCAGAATTTAGGGTGCGTTGTTTGTCTAGTACAGTGTTTCCTAACCCGAGTCCGCGGTCTAAAAATGAGTCCGCGGAGCGTTTGAGTGAGTCCGCAACGAGCCAGAATGTCACTGCCTGCCGCAAACGTTTTTGCGAAACAAACTATCAGCCAAGTTACGATTTACGTTAGAATTTACATGAAACAAAAAAGCAAGTTTATTCACATAACATTAATATCGAGTCAATAATTACTGGTTACTGAGGAGGGCTGGGCATATATTCGAATATCTAACTATTAGAATAGCAATTAATTTACTTTTCGAAAATTCTGTAACAGGTGACGCGACAGGTCACTTGCGCGTCGCTTAATCAAACAATTGGATTTTACAACTTACTTGCGGATTTCCGACGAAAACACGAGTCTGCACACGCGTCGATAGATACTTTGGTGTTTCTCGCGAGTTCGAACACCGAGGAATAATTTTTTTCCTGGTAGGTGTCATTGGTGGCAACCCAAATTTTCTAAATTAAGAAGCGGCGATACAAAATACTAAAAAAAACGAAGAACACCATAAGTTTTGTTTTATGATGGTCCGTGACCGATTGAAAACACTTTTCTAGACATTCCAAATCGCAAAATTTCGGGTGCTACCGGAGTATACGTACCAGGGCATTTTCCTTTAAGATTCTTGGCTTTACTGCCTCCACATTGGTACGTACAGTACTGGAGAGCCAAAAGTATTGTACGAACAACTCAGATTTGTCGAATTCACAAAAATACGAATCAAAACAAAATATAATCGGGCACTTCACCACGCATTTTTGTGCCCACGGATTGTCATGATAAAGCATGATAAATTAAATTAATATTAAAGCAAGGTGATGAATATGTACTTTTGATTTACTAATATACTTTAAATAATATATGTTTAATGAGTACTAAATCAAGTTGTACTTTATAGCAGGTAGTAGGATTTTTCTAACGGCGATAACAAATTCGCAAGATCACAAAATAATGTATCAAAACTAAATGTAATCGGGCAATATATTCTTACATTAGTATGTTCGCAGATTGCCGTGGCATTTTAAAGAAGTAATGCTCTCATCTTGTCGTAAGTCGACGCAAACGCGAGTTACCATGAAAAAAATTAAATTAAAATAGAAAAACATTTTAAATTCTCATCGTTGTCATAGATTAAATATTGTGCGACAGAAAAGACCTTTATTCACTAAAAAAGTCGGCTCTTTTAACGAACGCGTAATTGCGGCGAAATTCCGATTTTGAAATTCGTTAAAATTCTGTTGCGTTTGGTTTTATTGAATCTTCAAACAGAGTACGCTTGCAATAAACGCACCTTGAGTCTGCAAAGGTTTTCGCCGTTGAGAAAATAGTCCGCGACCAAAAAAGGTTGGGAAACGTTGGTCTAGTAAAATATAACTTCAGTGAATAAATGATAATTTTAGTCTGGAACTGTTTTCACTATATATATATATAGATATCCCTATATTGCCACCACACCTCTGAGTGGGTTCACAGGTCCCAATACGATACAGGCAGTAGGGTGGTTCACTTAACCTCTGGGTTGCCGCGGCTTCACTATCAAGTCTATGCTTTCGAAAACAAATAACTGGCAACTAATCCCTACCCGGCCCGAACTGGTAACTAGACGGGAGGCCGTCGTTTGCCCTATGATTAAGATTTGGTAATGATTAATTGAATATGTGAATCCTAAATCCTAGAGATCTAGAATTCAATCCCTGAGTAGTCCCACCAAAGCTTGAATGTAAATACACATACTTGACCGGGGTTAAAATCAGCCTTTCCATTAATTTTCACATAATCAACATCTGCCACTGCTGGATACAAGGTTGTTCTTGCTATGTTGATAATGCTTTTCAGTTGCTTTGTATAAAAATGTACTTCTGATTTAAACCTATGCCCACCAATCCTTTCTATAGTCAGCCCGACTGCTTTATTGCCTTTGCTCACAACTGGAAGCCTGTTAAAAAAATATATTTAACTTCAAGTTAATTTTCTTGGAAATTTGAAAAAAAAAATTGAAATATAGATAAAGTATACCTTGATTGCAGGGTAAATTGAAACATTCCAAATGGGTGGTCACTGTCTGCCATAGTTACGTTAATAAATCTTCTTGTTGAGTCTATTTTTGCTTCCGCACTTACTTGATATATTTCAACAAGAAACCAGTTTTCAAATTCCGCGATCTGAAAAATATTTGGAGAAATTTGTAAAACTTGAAAGAAGTCGCTATTTTGTAACAGTAATTATCCCTTAATTCATGGAAAGTACCACGGCCACTGATTTCTTCTTCTACTGGCACAGGTTGTGGGTCTTTTTACGGTTTCTGTAAATGATTAATGTAAGGTAGATATCATATCTAACCTGGTCATCTTTTAACTTGATAGAAATAATACAATCCAACTTAGGTTTTGGACAAAATATTTCTCCTGATGTTTTTTCAAGTTGATCAGTAAGATCAATTCTTTCAGGAGTATTTGATGATCTATATAAAATAAGAGGTTTAAAATATCAAAACATCATAGCTACTTGTATTAATAACATAAAAAAAATAAGATAAATTTCAAAAAAAAAATGAGTGGGAGACTGTGGCAGAATGGTGGTTGGAATTTCAGATATTTAATGGTGAATAGGAAAATTATTGTTACAGAAATTAGGAAAATAGAAGTTGAATGAGCAAAGTTTTCATCATCAAAATTTAATATCAATGGGAATTAATAGCTAGAGACTAATTTGAAATTCACATCAATTTGAGGTCTTAATCAAACTTATCCAGGCAACCCTAGTTCGCTAATTCGAAAAACCTGGTTGCTTCTATCTCCCAAACCATTAGGAACAAATAAGTGAATAGTTATTCTCGTTCTAAACCTAGACCAGTAACTAAACCAAAAACCAAGTAGCCCATTCATATTTGAAAACCCATGGTAACCAATAGTTCAAACTATACTTAAAATCAAAAGAATTCTATATAATCAAATGTAGAAAGAAAAATCTTACCCTTCTTTGATATTATAAGTATAGTCAGTAATTGCTCTCCATTTGATAGTTACATTTCCATAAGCAGATTTCCTACTAACAACAAGGTCTAGAGATCGAGATGAAGAATCTTCATATATTATTACACCTGGAATATTTCAAATAATAAAATTTCAACTCTAGCTACTATCTGGCACACAGTATTTTTGACTGAAAACTGAGGCAGTCAATGATGACACTTGATTTTGCTCAAATCGTAGACATAGGGCTGACTTAGCTCAACTGCAAATTATGCAGATACAGTGGCCCGCAGTTCCACTGGCCTCGAGCTAATTCTAAGTGTAAGTTATTAAATTTAACCATTATAACTTATAATCATGTATGGGTCAGTTTGTTTATCAAGCATACTCAAGACTCATAAAATAAGGTTACTTTCATCATGATTTTGTACTTGGCGCAATACGTAATATATTCATTTTCTATTGCAAAATCTTAGTTTCCCATGTGCATATAAAAACTGTTCTGAATTGGGATAGATATATATTGCATGTCAATGGTGAAAGTAGCATATGAAGTGGAATTTATGATATGTCCTGGCTTAGGATAGTTATAATATTTAGTCAGAAAGAAGGCTGGATGGAGTATTCATATGAAGTGAGATTCGTACAATTGGTAATCAAGTGGAACACAACATTTTCGAGACAGTCGATTGGGAACAATCAAACAAGTCAGGATGCAGAAGCAATACTACATTGTGATGATATATGCATGGGTGTGTATATAGTAAGTTTACAAAGAAGGAATGTGCTTCAGTAATAATTATCTATGAAAATGATGAAGAGGCTAGACTATTTCACATGATATTAGAATTGAAAATTGCATCATCACACCCACCATCCCTAGAGGCAAATCCAACATTTCCATTTGGGTAATCGTTAGCTGGAATATCAACTTTCATTATTCGTCCACCATTTTGTGTCCTAAAATCTCCAAGTTTTGCACCGCCAGTAGGAGAGTGAAGAAATACGAAAAACGATTCTAATGGCTCAGGCTCGTCATCATCAAGAATGACAATTGGAACTTGGATTTTGTTTTGATTTATCTTTAAAAATGATAAAATTGTTGAAACTTTTTCACAATATGAAGATTCCTTGTAAAGAGAAGACGAAAGGTAATGTGTAACGATTGAAACTGTCACCCTGCATTAAACCAACGTTATTTTAAATATCAATCTAGGATTCATATATGTATTGACAACTTTTATCTCAACTTCAATATCGCCTATTTTGTGTTTTCGCTGCAACAAGCTTAAGAATTTTTTATTTTTTCAATTTAACACAAATTGACAGGATGAATTCTATTTCATTGGTTAGACGTGTTATTACGTTCAGATTACTTACTTAGGTGATTTAAATTTTACTCAATTATAAAAAAAAATGATTTTGAATCATACATACGTAGAAACATTATTTTCACATCAAAAAATATGTATGGTAATTTAAAAACATAATGAAAACAATATATAAGGCTATTTTAAATAAAAAATAAAGACAAAAAGTGTCAGATACCAAAATCTACCTCCAAAATAAGAAAAATTATTCACAAATTTATTCACAATTTATTCAAAACAATTCACAAATTATTACCTTGAATGTTGCGTTGATTTGTCTTATTTCATAATCCTCTCCTGCTGTCGCCCTTCTGCCATCTTGTGATAATAAATATTCACGAATACCGTCATCTGCTTGTTCATTTCCTTTTACATCTCTCATATATTTGTCTTGCCATTTCTCACCACCACCTATTGTGCTCATCATGACAGATATTTCACCGAATGTCCCAACTAAAGATGAAACAAAAATTGATGGTTTCGCTAAATTGTCTGCTGAAAATTTCTCATGGGTCTCATGGGACAAGATATTTTACAAATGATTCTGCTGTTTTATTTTAACTCAATGAAAAAACTTTTTATTTCATCATGCGCACTTTTTATTTCAAAGTGACTTCAATGTAAGTCATATAGGCTATCAGTACTGCCGTTGGTTATTCATTAGATATTTGTGTCCATATATTCGAGCATTTCTTTCCTGTCGGAAAAAAAAATGTTGGTCAGAAAAATACAGAGAATGTTCATAAAAAATAGGTTTTCGCTAAAAAACAGTTCGTGAGAGAGGGCATTACATTTGGCCTGACGATGATTATATGTTATTACTCACCAGTTCTGAGTATATCAACCATCATGACCACTATATTAGATCCATCATTAGATTTTTCATTGACAATAATTTCTGGTTGTTCAAATTTCAATATTCCACGAGCATCGTCACTCTCTTTAATAGTAACTCTACTGATAGCTTCTGAGTGAAGTACTCGAGGAGAGAGACCTGACAAGATGAAAAAGAATTTGAGTAAATTAATAACATACCAGTCAGTATCGTTCAGTGTTCGAGAGGCTCGAAGTATTGATTCAACTCGAGTTTGACTCAAGTTATCTATCAAATACTCAAAGTAACTCAAGTCATCGGAATAAAATGATTCAGACTCAAACTAACTGCTAGTGAGACTAACTCAGCAATGAACTCTACCCTAGACTCGGATGACCGGTGACTCGACTTGGCCGGTAATTCTGGGTTTAGGGACTTCTACTAAATACCGGTATACCTAACTGTAATTGGCCTACTTTTATTGAAGCGTTTTCATAATTTTTCTTCAAACAAGGTTCTACACAAGCATTGATTTTTAACCATCATGTATATTAAACTAAGAACAAGCATATGGATAATAGGGGGAAAAAGCTCGTTTTTATGGCCCCCTTTAATCCTCGGGGCTAAAACAGGTTTGTCTGAATAACATCAAGAATTGACTTCTTAAAATATGTGTCCTTTTGTTATGTGACTAAGTTTCAGTCGAAGCCTAATTTACAAAATATATTACAAATATACTGTTAATATTACCATCGAGACCCATCCCAAAATTAATCGACACAAATCATTTGTTGTGAAAAGATATTTATATTCTCCCTAAACCGTATTTGATCTGTATCGGTATTTTGGACACACTCGCAATTTTATATTTCAAGCGAATGTAAAAAAAACAATCACAATTATACTGTATGTGACCCTCAACAAGGGTGAATGGTGGTTAACTTAGGGTGGTTCATGTAACCGCTGGTCGGGTATGGCTTCCTGAACCATCAAGTGCATTCATTTGAAACAAATACCTGACTAACCAATCCCATACCCTGCATGGACTGGTAACTGGACTAGACGTCGTGGTTCGATATATGACTAAGCCACCTTATCATCTTTGCTCTTCTCCAGAGAGTAATATGTAAATCCTATCCTGAGCATGTCAATGCACCTACCATTATAAATACCAAGATCTTCAATTGCTTCTGTTATCGTAACAATAAACTCTTTTCTCATCTCAGGTATATTGTCTTTGATCAATTGAATGTTCATAGTTCCCTCTTGTTGAGCACTTTTCAGTTTTATTCTTCCATTTGTCACAGGCATGAAATCTTTCCCAGGAATGGCAGTGACAGGGGTGGTCGAGTAAATTAAATCAATGTCATATCGACTGCCATAAAGCCTTTGAACAGTCAGAGAGACCTAAATGAAATTATTTTACGTTAATGCACTAGTTGGCATAGCTGTGAAATCTAAATATATAAATAGGATATTCATATTTATTCTGAGGAAAAGAAAAATTAGATAAGAAGGCTTAATCATATTGAAAACTATGGCCTCTCATCTGTATACCAGTCCAAGATGGGTAATAAAAATAGTCAACCTGCTCATTGTAACAAATACATAAACTTCAACACTCGATGTTGTTGATGTTTTTTACTGGTTTTAGAATTAATTTTCCGAATCAAAAGTCGAAATGCCAAATTTTGTAAGAAAAAGTCAAAATTGAAGTTTAAGTGAGATTTGCAAACTTTTGTAGTTGAATTTTTTTTACTCTGTTATACTGGATGTTAGAATAGTGCGTTGAAGATGTGGACTTTAATTATTTTGATTATTTACATTTTTGCATTTTTTTCTTTTGTATAGTTTATTATTTTTTAACTTATAATATACTTACTTAATTCACTACACCTTTATATTGCAATAAATCTTATACCATATTAATTTTTTTCATGCAGTACAGATTCTAACATATTCAAATAAACTTGTTTTATGTTATAGGGGCCTTCTGACAAGAACGTCTTATATATGTCGCAATTAAAAAAATAATGAACCAAGATAAATTTTACCTGAACACTGTCTTCAGTTACAATCACGTTCCGAGATGCTGTTGAAAATCTGACAACGCCACAAGGTTCGAATTCTGTAACTTCATGATTCTTCGATATTTCTGCTCCACCAGCAACAAGGCTGGTTACTCGTAGAATATAGGCAGAAAAACTTTCGGCATCAACGGAATTTGGAAAAAGCTGTAGAAAAATATTGAGGTTTACAAAAAACGAAAGGTAAAAAATCACCAAATACAATCAAGTGTGTGACAGATGGGACAAGTCAGACACAATATATTTAAGGCTTCAATAAAGCTGACTATTCTATAATAGACCAACAAAGTCTTGTACTCATTTAATAATCAGTATAATACAGATCAGTAAATATATATATTGTGATAAAGCAAATTTAAATCAGAAGACTCTTCTCTAGACTTAGAGAAAATCAAACCCATCACTATTTATTAATTAGCTCAGGCGTAGGCAAGGTTTTTGGACCAAGGGGCAACAATTTTTCCCATCTTGACTGAAGGGCCATGTAAGTGTGACTAAAAGTTACATTTTATGAACAATATTTACAGTGTTACAAAAGCAAAAGTGGAAAACAATAAGCCTCGTGCCAAAACTAAATCGCAATCTCAACAAATTTCTTGAGCTATTTTTTAGCTTAAACATCGACATTTGGTTTTAGTTTAGTTGTGGCACCATCAGGAGGGTGAGATTGAATTACCCAATGGGCCGGCGGGCCATAGTTTGTCCATGTCAGAACTAGCCTATAAACGTAATGGAAAAAAAAACATGTCATTTTACAAAGATTCAAAAAAAAAAAAATCATAAGCTTTTAATGAAAGTTGAGTTAGAACTGAATTTTTTCTTGTTGGAATGTTCCATTGAAGAAATTTTCCATGTTGAATATTCGTGAGTGGAATTATGGACTGAACACCTGTGATACCAAATATAAGCATAGTTGATTAAAAGAGATAGGAAAGGCTTGAGCTCACAGTAAGGCTGACATTCATTTTCTCATTTTCATCAGACATCGTTACTGAATCTGATGAAGGTGTAGTTTGTCCTTCTCTGAAATCTGTTGTTTTTCTGTTTCTTGGGTAACCAGAAACCCAGTGAACGGTGACATCGCCATAGAGACCAATTCTTTTTAAAGTCATTCTGGCTGCATTCCTCGTATCTAAAGAAAAAAATAAAAGAAACCGAATCAAGTACTGGATTTTAAAAACAATTCAGGATAGTTTTTTTTTTAATTTTTATTTTGAGCAATGATCTAATTTAGAACATATTTCCTATTTCCGGTTGTATCAAAAATGTTGCGTCTCTCACACTTGTCCCAATGGTATGAATCTCACTTCCTGGAAATCTTCTTCCTAAGTGCCATATCTATCCCCAACAGAACATGGCATGAATCTACTCCATATGATTACTTTAACCATTAGTCTCGCAATATATATCAGAACAAGATATTCTTTTTAACTCAAATTTTTTCATTGATATATTTATCAAATCACTAACACTTACTGTTATAGACTGATGATACTATAGGATCGAAACCAACTTGAGGGTTGCCAGCTTCTACAGTCACAGATACAATAGCTTGGACTTGATCTGATAATTTTGGTGGAATGGTTACATCATTGTCCATGTATTCCACTGTTGATAGCTGCAAATTGGGGATTAGTTTATGGTATATTTGTAGTAGCTAGCATAGAGTGCTTTCAACCAGGGATACCATTGGCATAGTAGTATATGGTAGTTTAGGTTGTCCATGGTAGAAAGGGAAGGCATCAGTAGAGTAACATGAGATCAGGACCATGGAGTCAAATGAAGTTTCATAAAGGTTTGCAACCTCTAGAATTTTATACCAATTTTTTCCAACTCTGTGACCAATTTTCCCTCACAGAGCCAAAAATCTTGTTCTTATATACTCAGATAAATAACAATATCAAAGTAACTCACTCTGATGGTAAAAGTGTCCCCAACAGCTAGAAAAGCAGTAGATTGGATTGGTATTTCAGTCGTTGCAAAAGATGATCCATCAGGAATATAAAGATCACCAGTATCAGAGTCCAGATATGAAGAATCACCTTTGGGCTGAGAATGACAATTTGTTTGTTTGATGGTTGAAATTGAGAGTCTTTCAAGTTATTCGATAACTTTTACTCATATAAAAACTAGTAAGTAGTTCAATACAAATTAAAGATTTATGGGGTCTTATACGAAGAGTAGGTGTAAAAACCTCTCACTAGGACAAGACTGGTAGTGGATAATAGTTACCAGTTATAGTTTGACTATTCTGATATCCAACTTGGACTGGAAACCAGACATGAGCAGATGGTTCACCATATAATCAAACCATCTTATTGATTTACTTCTCCAATGAAAAATAAAGCAAAATATTGATAACTAAACAATATTTATATATATCATTCCTTATCTTCTTTAACTAATATACTACCCTACTGACATTATTAAATTCAATGATGAAAGACACGACAACTCTTCCAAAGAATCCATGTTGTCGAGTTACGTTTACTTGTATAACTCTAGATGAATCTGGCAACACGATGATACTTTGATCGTTTGAAAAAATTGAGAATACCCCGTGAGGATTGTCATTCGGTCTGAAAAAGAAATCATAACATTTAAAGTTTTGATGAAATAGTGATGTATTATTGTATATAATGTTAGCCATGCAGTTTAAAATTGATTGTGTAATAGATTGTGTAATTGTGTAATATATTGTACGACAATGTCAGATTGGAAAGATTCTATCTAGTCCAATGTTAGCCAAGCCAAGGAAAAATTTCCATGTTTTTTGGGAGGAAATATGCATTTGGTATAGTTTCAGGAAGGGAGGAGTTTATTAAAAAAGGTTCGAAATCACTGTTTTAGTCCTTCCAGTAAATAGCAGCGCCATACATATCGCTAGATATATTAATGGCTTATTGTAGGATCTTGTTAGTCTAGTAAACGACATAAAAAGACATTGTGAAAACAACTTACTGCACAGTAAATTCTCTTGTGACTACATTTCTATCCAATACTGCTCCTCCTTCCACATTAGTTAACTTAACGGAAAATCTTTCCAATAATTCAGCTGTATCATCAGCTTGTACATAGACAATAACTTCTGCATTTGACTGCCCATCTCGGAACGTTACTTCACCTAAATGGTAAAATAAAAGTCGTTTCATTCATCTTTAGGGCGGATATTTCGTGGTGTAATTACATATGGTGCCATGGCCTAAGTGTCTCAGTGTGTTCCACTTGACCTGTGTACCACGCTTGTCCCACTGTCGTGGGTTAGGGTATATATGAAAAATTTAGGCAAATGGTAGAAGAAAGCATATGAAGTAGGATTCATAGTCAAGCAACTAGGAAAAGGGAAACAAGTGTGGGACCAATGTGGTACAAACATTTGTACCATGGCAGAACATTTTTGAGATCCCTGTTCATAAAATACCATAACTATAGTAATATATAAATTTAAATATATATTTTTTCTTCAATATTTGTCACAACAAGAACACAACAGTGATTCAACATACCAGTACTTTCTTTCAAGTCTGTGTCAGGATCCGCTCCGATTTCACTGTTCCCAGGTTCTGCTTGCCAATGCAGTACAACTTCACCTAATGTACCTTGTTCTCGAACAACAGGAAAAACTACTTGCAGTGATCCACTATCTGGTTCTCTAACAACCTGGCAACAATAGTTTTTAAAATAATTATGAATTTCTTTGTTAAAGTTTATGCTTGGGCAAATTTCAAACTTTTTTCCATGGAATATTTCTGCAAAAACTCAACCCTGACCCCAACCTACAATAAGAGTTTTTTTTTAATTCATTCTTCGTAATATGCCACATTTCGTTTTCAGGATTTTCCTGGTTCAGTCTCCATGAGTGGAATATTCTATATAGTTTCTAGCCGATGGTGTGGTGCATCGTGCTAAGTGTAAGTAATACGCCCGCCATCGCACCTCTTATTCCGTGCATGGGTTCGCAGATTCGAATCCTGCAGAAGATAATTAGGTATGTGCGAGAGGATTGCTGGACTCCTCGACTGTGGTTTACCATGTGAAAAGTCGTCTTATCGGCTTTCCTTCCCTCCAGAAGAAACAGATAAATCCTATCCTAATAAACTAAACTCTAAAAGATTCACAAATTTTACAATGGTAAATTGCTTAACTTACTTTTTGTCTTGCAATGTCTTCTGGTGTCCCAGAGAATTTTAAGATACCATTTGGGTTACCCTGAAGTAAAAGACTGTTGATTAATAATTTGTCAAAGTAGTATTATTCACTTTTGATACAATCACTTTGAGCAATATTTTATCAGAACTCAAATCAGATTACCAACCAACTAAAACTCAACAATCGACACAGATCTTTAATAAAAGAAAAATTGACATGAAAATAGTATATTGAGTTATTCATAAGCAAGCAAGAAAAGACAGTCATGAAAAGACATGTACGGACTATACGACTCCTATTTTTTTTTAAATCGGCCCTGCGTCATATAATTCGGTGGGCCTAATGTATGAATCAGGTATTGCTTTATGCTTAATTGCCTACACTCAACTAAACTTTAACTTTTTAAAAAACCTGAGAGACTGGAAAGCAAAATCCACAAACCTTCTTCGAAACAGTGATCGTTATATTTCCCTCAGTTTCACTGATTTCTGCCGGGTCAGTATCTTCCAAAACAATAGCAAAATGTTCTTCTACTTCCTGGATTTCAGTCGTTGGTAAAATTGTTATTAAAATTTCCTTCTGTCCTCCTTCTCCATCAGAAAATTGGAAAGATCCAGAAGTAGGAGATGCAAAATCATCAGATATTGGGGTGGAACTGAAAAGGATGAAATATTTTTCAATTTCTAAAAAATTCGTAAGGTTCACAAGGACTCCGTATCAATATAACCTACCACGTTGAGAATAGCTAACATGAATCATTATTTGACTTGAAATATTTGATAAATTGTTTTATTATAAAATACTCGTAGGCCTATTCATTTTGTACAAAAATGTGTATTCCGAAAAGAAGAACTTTGATATAGTTAGATTTGAACTTCTAATGTCACATGTTAAAATAATTCTGCTACGGCACACATAAAGTTGACGCATGATAACAATCTTGGTGGAGGAAAGTACATGAAACAGTTTTCAAGTTATTACAGTTAACTATAATTATATATGACATGCATACTTGACAAATCTATTACTATTTAGCTGAAGGGAAAATATACAATATAATTTAAATTGTATATAAGCACAGAATGTTCACGGCACACTCTGGCTTTTTTGGCACACCAGTATGTCATGGCACACAGTTTGGGAAGTCTGCTGTAATTAACCCATTACTCACCTCGTTGTTTCTCCATAATAAGGTCCTGTTCTTACAATTTTCCATTTAGGGTTGATTTCTCCCATATTGCCCCCAGTTCTCTCCAGAATGAAGTTTCTTTTTGTACCTTCACCACCAGCAGGAGGATTTCTCACAGTCAATGTGTCAATCCCATCAAGAAAATGTAAACGTCCGTTTGGATAATCACTCTTAGCTATGATAACCTGAAGCAAAAGAGTAAGATGTTAAGGAGGGTTGATTCAATGACTCAACTCGAGTTAGACTCGAATCAGACTCGAGACTATTTATCAAAAACTCATACTCATACTCAACTACCTGCCAGTAGGAACTTACTCAATGATTGACTCAACTTCAGACTAGAGACTCGAATGACCCATGACTCAACTAGACTCGTGACTTGGTTTAGGGAATTCCACTCATCACAAAATTAATAGAAAATGGTGGGGAAAGAGTAGAAACATAAAATTTGAAAATGTATTCCATTAAATACATAGGCATGATGCACAATTATAGTCAGAGTGGGCAAAAGATGAACATGACATATGGTGTACATCTTAGAAACCTGTATACTAAAAACAATTAATATTACATCTTCAATATAAAATCTAGATTTGTATAATGACGAAGTCTCTACTCGATGCTTTCAATGTGAAATTTGCAATTGATATTGGTATAATTCAACTTCACAAGCAAACGTTAATATGATAAATTTAAAACAATGGCATTAGATGGCAATGACACAAATGGAAATACTCACCAGCTAATAAAGTATAGCCGAACTCATGCTCATTTTTTCATTTTCAGTATCGATTTTTATCAAATTTAAACGTCAAACAAATACGGTTGGAGGTACACCAACCACCTAACTTAATGTATCTAGAATCATAAACTAGTAATCTATTCCAGGATCAATTTCAACAAGAAGCCAAGGATCACTTTGCGGTTACTATGATAGCCTGTCTGTGACAGTGATTTGATCAAACATAAATCAACATTAACATACCTCTGTGATTAGATGATTGCCTAGCTCTGCTCCACCATTAACTCCAGATAACACAACAACGAATGTTTCAGCCATCTCCATTTCTTCGTCATCAACTATAGTAATTTTAGCGTACGCCATTTTTTGTCCATCTTTGAAAATAATGTTGATTCCAGCAGTAGGTGTGAGATAGTCTACACTTCTTTTAGCTGTTTTATCCATGGTTTTCACAGTCACACTGACTTCACCATAGTGACCATGCAATCGAATCTAAGTTGGAAGCAAAATGATTCACAATACTCGTATTCACTGTAGTAGGTAACTTGTTAGCTATGTTGGCTCATCAAATGAGAGATTTCAGGTTAAGTCTTGGGTGTCCATCATCCAGGGTGCAATAAATAGAGTAGAATATATAAAAAAAAATTGAAATATAGTACCGTATGTCTAAGTCTTGTTGAGCCTTTTAGCAAAATGGTATAATACTATAGTGTTATACTAATATAACACTATTATTCTGAACAGAACATAGTTTTAGACCAAGGGGGTCCAAGGTTGTCCGCTAGACGGGCCACCAATATATTATTGCATTGTTCACAGGCCACAATAGTGCCAAGATTAGGTTAACACTACAATACAAAACAAACAGTTTTATTGTGCATACATACACATTGAACATTATTTGTCATTTATCATGCTAAAACAAGCAAAAATAACCGATAAACTCTTGAATGCCGTTATTGTTAGCATATATTCCCGGCCAAAAGGATAAAAAATAAGTTGACAATTTAAACAAGCCGAACACATCATTCAACTTTGACTTTGACAGTCATAACACTAGTTTGGACCACCCTGGTTTAAACTTTCGACGCTAACATGATTGAAACTTCTGAGTAACTATTTCATAAATTCTTTACAACCTAGGTGTGGTAATTTCTATAGAGTGAACACAGAACTAACAAATTTTAAACCTTATACTTATGATATTTACATTATTGGACTGGCTCCTCAGATAATACAACCCAATGAATATCAAATCATACCAGACTTGAGAATCATAACTTATTTCAGGAACATCGAAGAAACATGTGTTATTTTGACAAAACTTACAATGGGAATCTGCACAGTTCCATTATTTTCTTTCACTTCAATTTGTTTTAAATTATTAGGGAATTCGATGATTCCTTCAGCACCATCACTTTTCGTAATTTGTACAACTGCAGATGACACGCCTCCGATTTTTGGTGGGATATCTAATGTGATATTGTTTGTGCCTCTCGGAATGTAATCATTATTACTGTGTGAATGAAGTGTTACATCTGTGGAAAATACAAACAAATTTAGGAATATGCTCACCATCGCACCTTTAATTACCCAGCTTAGTTTCACGGGTTTGTATCCCGTGGGGATAAATATGAGCGACAGGATCGCTGGACTCATGACTGTTGGGTGGTTTAAGTAAAAGCTGAGTGATTACGTCTTTCTCCACCATCATATTTTTTTCATTTGATGGAAGTTTGAACTGTGTAATATTGATTATAAACAAAAAATTCAAAATTCTACAGTTGGATGGGTTGGTAATAAAGGTATGGCTAGTTATTAAATGAAACCCCCCTACAGAAGTGATGATCTCGACAATCGATTCATAATTTTTATGCAAGTTTTGAAGTTGCATATTAACTCTAATTGAGATTTTAAACAATTTCGACACAACCTACCAGTGATATTGATAAAAAATTCCTCTGGTCCTTCAGGAAGCAAGTCATTTAATAATTCCACGTCTACTGTTTTTGTGAATTCGCCATCAGAAAACACAATGTTCTTTGATACAGCATAGTAGTCTTCATTTACTGTGGCTGTACCATCACTGGTTGATACTGAGACAGATACCTTTTAAGCAAAAAGAATCTGTAAAGCAGGATACAAAATATAAAATACAAATACACAAATTGGGGTAAAACACTGAAAAGTAGGTCTTGCGCTTACATTGGTATACTTGTGTATTTTGCCAGCCGTCCCCCGCAGAAAATCGGCGCTGCTTATTTCGCAAATGACTTTCGCCCCCTTGAATACTAATATTCTCTTGAATACTGATATTCCTCTCGTTTTCATTTTGTGTGGAAAACGAGATGTCGCAATCTCCTAATGCCCAGTGGCATGTTATTAAGCAATTCATGCATGACTCAAAACTCAAAAGTAATTGTCAAAAATAAAAATATAAAATGCTGTCTTCAAGAAACACGCAAAAAAAATGAAAAAATTTAGTATCGACAGAAAATAATAATAAATAATTTAATAATAAAATATCACTGTACTCAAATCAGAAATGTCTATAAATAGCCTACTTCTCCCAGGTGACCATCGTTTCTTAGCAGTGTCAAGGATGCAATAGCAGAAACGAAATGTGGTTGAGTAGCAGTACCGGTTGTCATATGTGGTGTTGTTACTATAGTTGGTGCAACACCAGGCGTCACATTACCACCTTCTTCTTTCACATAGTATACTGGTTGAGAAAACGTAAAGGTTCCATGAGGACTGTCACTAGCTGCCACAGTGATACGAGCTGAATTTGAGACTGGATCGATTATGGCTCCACCTGTGTAAATGATGATTTAAATGCTCATTTTAAAAAACTGAATAGTTTTAGTATCTGGTTCAGCATTATAGAGAAACACTAAATATGAAAAACCCATCTCATCTCACAAAACAAAGTCAGTTCTAAAAGATGAAAATGAAACAATGAAACAATGAAAAATGAAATTTTGCGTAAGTAAGACATCTCTGCCAACAGAATATCTATGATAATGAGCCAGATGTCAGACTGATATATTTTGCGTTGATATGTTTCTTCAAAGGGTCACGACCTTTTGTTTACATTAAGGGGAAGTACTTGGCATGAGTTTCAAATCCAAAATCTTTAACCTGTGAATTGGGTTTACTGTGCCAACCAGTACAACTTACCAGTTGATGAAGTTAGTCTGAGAGTGAAATCTTGAGATATTTCTGGAATATTGTCATCGACCGTTTGCAATATGATTTGTGTTTCGTTCTCCAAATTCTTAAACCTTACTCCACCTTGGAATAAAACAAATTCAACAAAAATTAATTTGTGTTGTACTCATTATTATTCCGTAACCATTATATAAATGAAGGATATGGATTAGCTACTTTCTAAATTATTGTCATATTATTTCATGGTGAATAAATAAGAAGCATAACTATAGCCAATAGTGTAGCATTTCGAAGGGTAGTTGCCATTTTTCCATTGGTGATCTGTTCTCTTTATTTAGTTGATGGCTCACAAACTTGCATAAAAAATATTTTTCCAAATTTGAAGATTTAATAATGAGACAGATAACTGATTCAAATATCATGTCAGATGGCACATACTATACCATCATAAGTTTATATAATTTCAATAGCTTTGGCATTTCATAGATTGTTGTTCGTAACTTTTCTCAGAGATGAGTAATTTTTATTACTCAGTTAATGTAAGTGGCATTGTTTTGAGCAAATTTTCCCAAAAAAATAAGTTATTTTACACTTACCAACTGTTGTTGCAAAGGTGCTTACATCTGCAGGTGTAATCTGCCATCGAACATAACATTCTCCGAAATGACCAGGTCCTCGTTCTAATTTAACTACCGAGCTTCCATTATATAAATTAGTTGGTTCTGCAGTCAATATGCTGGAAGAAGACTGTGAGATAGAAATCGTACCAGCTGCACCTTGGTCGGCTTTTATGGTGACCTAAAAATATAACAAGTAAGATAACATTTTTATATTTATCTGATGGATTGGAAAGCCGATAAGACGGCTTAATCACATGTTGGGTATGGCAATGATTTGATGGCAAAGGAACCTGTAACCGACTAGCAGTTATATCAACCACCCTACGTATGCAATATGTCCAGCAATCCGTTAGAGGTAACTCATAATATATTGATGTCTTGTGCACAGTCATTGATTTGTCACATTTTACAAAGACTCGAATTATTACTCGAACAATTTCTTATGGCAATTTGCTAATATTGTTGTATTGAATAAATCAAAAATCTACTTGCTTCTTGTGATAATAAATTGAAATACGCATCGTTGATATTGATGTAAATGTTGTCAATAATTGATTAAATTCTAGTTTGATATTTGAAAACAACATAATTTAAAGCAAAATGGCAATTTCCTAATTCAAGTAATTAGACAAATTATAACTAAATATTGCGTGGATTGCTGGAATAACGCTGACCAAAATCAGAAAATTCCTAAATGACTTCATACTTACTATAGCGTTGCCAGCTACTGGCGATATCTCAGCTCCACCAGTTGCCGACACCAATTTGACAGCATAACTTTCATCTCCTTCTAATATTTGATCTGGTAAAGTTCTTAGGACTATTCGTTTCCTTCTCTCGTTGATTGAAAAGTGTAGTTTACCTAACATCGGTGTGATGTCTGAAAATGCACTTCTTTCTAGAGACCAGGAAACTGTTACGTCTTCACTGTAAAGTAGAAAAATTGCATAGATATTGCATGGATATAATACTAGAATTGATTGAATATATCAACTCAACTAACAACTATAATCACAATATCTATTCTTTGGTTCATAAAAAATTCATGCCCATTGAAAAAGTGATATGTTGACTCATAAAATGAAAAGTATATTGAAATCTTGCTATTATTTAATATTTATCTACAGCATGTACATATGATTAAGAGAAAATGGTCTGGCATTATAAGTTGTCAATCGATGCAGCACAATTGAAATGAACAAATTTCCTTCAAATGTCACAGCCTAGTTAGTCGTGTGATAACCAAAAGTGTGTCAATAAATCTGAATCATGAGTAGTCTAATCAGTTCAATTTTTTAAATATAAAAATGATTTTACGAATATATATACCTGCTTCCCTGAAACCTTTGTACATCAAATTCAACTTTTCCTTCCAAATCGTTAGCAGTTCTGGATTCTTTTACCGATCTTCTTGTTTGCACAAAACCAAACATTCCACTTGGTGAATCATTAGGTAAAATGTTAACAGTGGCTGATACATCACCTCCAAGTTTTGCACCCCCTGTGTTGAATGGAAATTCACCATTAAGTGAGAATGATGGTCTGATGCTGTAAATTTCATTTCTAACCAGGGTTCTGTGGCATTTGAGGAATCCAAGAGCACAGCTCAGAGGTTCTACGGCACACTAGGTTTCTGCCAGCACAGCCCAGGGGTTCTGTGGCACACTAGGGTTCTCAGAAAAAAGCCTTGTTTTTTTGAGGAAGTGTACAGCATATAATAGAAAATAATATGTTCAATCTCTTTAAAACCATCTTATCTGCTAAAATCATGAAATGAGACAGTCTAATTAATATGGCAATGTCTCCAACTTAGGATGAAACGAGGAAATAAGAAATGCGGTAGTCGAATTCAACCAAAAATTACATCAATGCACTATGATAGCAAAGAGTTCAACAAAAACTTTTGCACATGGTCATATCCAATTGAATTTGGATGGTTGTCTAGGCAAAATCAATCCTTATCACCCTTTCTGTAATATAGACTTGTTAGGGTATAAAATCTCTTAGCTACTAACCTGGTTTTCCAATCAACTGTACAGTAAACGTCTCAACAAATTCTACGTCATTATCATCGACAATAAAAATCTCTATGAAAGCATTTCGTTGTCCTTCCTCAAAATGTACAGACCCATGATGAGGATAGAAATCAGATCCACTAGCAGTCATAGGCTTCGCTATCCATTCCACACCAACTGACCGAAATGCTCCGAATAACCGTATTAAAGGCAGCTGAAAATTCAAGTTGGAAATTGAATTAAATTGAAAATGTAACATAACTTACCGTACTTTTAATTAAATTAAAAATCAGTGAGGATATAATAATTTTAATAATCAGTTGATCAGTTGATAAAACTATAAAAAACAATTTTTTGTTTTTATAGAGAAATTGTGAAGTATAGTATTGTTTCGAATTCGAAAGAGGTAGGCATATGATATAAAATACTTGAATTTGAAAATTAGGTACCGTATATTTAAATGCATATAAAAACAATTTCCAAAATTTTTTTTTAGCTTTTTTGTGGCAAAACATGTTTTTTGTCAAATTAATTTAATTTAAAAAAATAAAGCCTACATTGAAATAATACAATTTCTGTGATATTTTAAATTGACAATATTCAAAAAAAAATATTTTTTAAATCTTCTGTAATCTACGGTAATTACGGTACTATTTAAAGTAGTATTTCTCCCCTTTGATTCATGTTAATGATGAATTTTACAGACTTAAATATATATATTCATATTAAATACCTTGAAACTAGTGTTGGTGCCTGGCATTTCAAATGCTTCTACTGCATCCTTGGAATTTCTTGTGACATTGAATTGTATAAATCCTCTCGCATGATCATTTTCATCGATTAAAATTTCTGCCGTTTCAGCACCTGGCGGACCAATACCTGAAAAAGAGAATTTTTATTGTCAATTGACAAAATTCATAATTCTTATTATTTGTTTCTTGTGCTAATGGATACATATATCAAAGCAATGCTTCTTTCTATAAGATGATAAAAAGTTAGCAACAAAAAAGCAGAATCTCATCACACATACCGGTAATACAAGATGAATACAAAAGATTACTATGTTCGGCAAAGGCTTGGTGATCATGCTTTTTTGTTGCTATGAATAAAAGGAATATGCAGAATTCAAAACAAATGAGTAGTCATGATGAAAAATCTGAGAACAAAGCAATTAATAACAAATATTTATTAAATTAACCTGGTTGGCTGTTGAACATCGATTCTCCAATAATTTTTACATCAGTTAACACAACATAGAATGATTCGATATCTTCTGGAATATCATCAGGTACAATACTTATAGCAATAGTTGCACTTGTGATATTTTCCATCAGAGTAATACTGTCATCTCTAGCTATGTAATCTGCTCCCGGCATTGCCTGAGACTTGATTGGAAGGTTTGAGGCAATTTTGGTCGTGTAGAAAACCTGTTAATATTTTAAAATGTTCATAATGTTCAATAATTCACAAATGTTCAAGAAATGTTGGCGCAAAGAAATTAATATACTACAAGTTTTATAAGATATATACATTCAATCATTTGTACATATAAATGATCATAATGTAACTTATTGTTACTTTTTGCCAATTATTTCTGTCTTTCAGCATTATTTTTGATCGTGTTATCTCAATTTCTATTTGTTGGCAGATAAAAAGTAATATATCTGGAGTTCCAGACAATTTTGATTATCCCTCATTATACAAAACCTTGCCATTAACTAACCATAAGATAACCATAGGATTTATATATTTATCATGGAGGATAGGATAGCCCATAAGATGACTCAGCTCAATCATATGGCGACCACTGCCTCTATTCCGATTTCCAGTCTATGTCGGATATGGGATTAGTTAACCGGTTATTTTTTTCAGATGCATGAACTTGATGGTGGAAGAAGCCGAAACCGAACAGCAATCCCCATATAATAATCTCACACAGAATTTGAGCTTGCAAACTAACACAGGGTAATTAGAGGTGCGGTGACAAGAGTATTCCTAAAACTGATAATGTTGCCAATTTACTGACCTGAATGTCCCCGAGTTGTCCTTGTTGTCTTAATAAATCTAATGTAACAAGTTGAGTCGCCCCTGATAATGTTTCAGGCTCTTTGATTACATTTCTTAAAGATGTTGCAGACCATCTCAACATACCATGAGGTGAATCATTTGGTAGAATTCGAATTGTTGACGTAGAGGTGGAAGAATTGATTTTGGCTCCTAGATGAGGCCTGAGAATATTTGCTCATAGTAATAATAAGTCACGACGTGGCATTTGAAAATACTTGCATATATATATACCGTTTTGGACAGGTTTTCTAAATGACAATAAACAAGAGATCAATTCTCAAATACATGGGCGCAATGTCAAATGACTACTGTAATATAATATACTACTGTAATATACTGTAAATTATATATATACTGTAATGACTACTGTAATATACTGTAATACTACTGTAATATATATATACGGTTTTGGACAGGTTTTCTAAATGACAATAAACAAGAGATCAATTCTCAAATACATGGGCGCAATGTCAAATGACTACTGTAATATAATATACTACTGTAATATACTGTAAATTATATATATACTGTAATGACTACTGTAATATACTGTAATACTACTGTAATATATATATACGGTTTTGGACAGGTTTTCTAAATGACAATAAACAAGAGATCAATTCTCAAATACATGGGCGCAATGTCAAATGACTACTGTAATATCAGCCAAATGTTAAACAAATGTCATATGAAATGTTGAAAGAATGTCATGTAGGTGTGCTTGTGACTTAAAACAAAATTAGTTAGGTTTGGGACACTGGTAGGACAGACTTAGAGATAATTTGGAAAAAAGTACCTACTATCCTTATAATCACTTCTTTCATCTCCAAGTACTATCGATTTGAAATCGTTTGCTCCATTAAAAAAAAGCAATTTATTCACAACAATACCTACTAAATTTTCTCAAAATCAACCTTAATACATTTTTCAACTATATTGCAAATAAATTACCTTTCATTTCCACTTTCAGTAACTGTACTCAAAAAAATTTCAACAAATTCTTCAACTTCTGGAATGTCATCTGCTAATATTGTCATCTGTATTCCTGCTTTGGTCTGTCCATCTCCAAATGTAACCTGTTACATTACATGATATTGAATAACAATTTATATATTACAGTGAACCACAAACTTTCAACCCTGCAGTCAACTCCTGGAGGGGCAGAGAGCCAAGCTTATCAAACCTTGATTGAATACTCATTGACTGGTAATGGAATTCAATTACCCCAAAAGAAAAACTAAAAATACTTTAACCTAGCTTTCACTGGTTTATAACCAGATACAGTATATATTTAGGAGGAAAGTATTTACAAAAATAAAAATTTAAATTTATGGTTTACAGTTATGGTTTATGGCTATCTTGCAAAAACTTAGCATTATGATTCATTTATTTTAGATCATTGGTCCCCAAAGTTGATTGACCGGGGACTAAAAAAGAAGCGGAAGGATATTCACGAGCCGGGAGAGGGAAGCGCCCACAAGGGGCCGATACCGGTACCGGTGGGTGTAATTAAGATCTCGTATAATCAAATTATTAGGAATATACACATGCTTAAACTGTGATAATGATATAAAATTGGCGGTATCCAGAACACAAACGAATAAAATCATAAAGTGTTTAACTATCTCACTCAAGTCCGGAAGGATATATTAAATCGTTATACGGTAAGAGATTAAATTATTCAGATTATCAAAATTTAGATTATCCAAAATCAAAATGCATTTGGTAACTATTTTGATGGAACAGTATTGCTGTTAAAATATCCTATTTTTGACACCTACCTTTCCTTCTAATGGAGTTATATCGGACAGACTTCCCACTGCTTCCCATTGAATAGTAATGTCACCATAAGCTGCTGGTTCTCTCAGTAAATTCAAAGTAAAAGTATTGTTGTCTTCTGTCTCTTCAACAAGTTTAATAAGAGAATCCTGCAGTAGTGAAGAAATTTCAGTACTTCAAAGCTCAAAAGCAAACCAGCTGTGTGTTTGTGTGGTTAATATGTGGCTCATGTGTGTGTGTGAAAATTTTTATCAATAATAAATAAAAAAAAATGTAGCCGTAGACATAGACTAACCTGCGAAATAAAATAAACTAGTAATGCCACCATGGGTAGTTAAACAATACTATAGCCTACATACAGTTCTCAGTTATATGCAACAAAATGTATGTAGATCAAGAGTGAACATTTCCCCTTGGTGGGCCATATAACCAACATTTTAGCTGGGCCACACAAAGAATTTAGCAATCAGCGAAGAGAATGTGGCTATCGCTCAGCCTTACAGTAATAAATACACCAGGCAAAACGGCAAAAGATTTCATGGAATGACAAAAGCAAAAAATCAGTATGTATATTTACCATATTAGCTTTTTCTAACATGAACCTGTGCGATTAGGATTTTATGCTTGATGAGGAAAATTTTAGTGTTGACAAGGGCCACACTGAATGGCTTGTCAGGCCGCGTTGTGACATGCGTGCCACTTGTTGTTGTACATTCTTGATTAAGATTATAATATGATACACATATAGCATGAATAAAACATGTGTCAAAAATTAAAGATCTAGAATTCAAGATCTGACCCCTTGCTCTGGGTATGATATCTTGAGCATGGATTGCCAAAATGAAAAATACTGTTTTTTTTCAAAAATAGTAGGCTAACTATCGAGGTTTCAGTGACTGAAAGAGGTGTGAAAAAACAAGGTTTTAAAAATAATGGATATGGGATGCTTACTTTAGCAAAGCCTATCACACCATGAGCATCATCATTTGAAAGAATTTTGATTTCCATTGTTCCAAATTCACTATCAACTTCGCTTCTTGTATCAATAGAATTGTCAAGATAAACCTGTATAAAAAATTATCATATGAATAAAAAGAAACAGCGGTGTCAGCTTGTCTACACCCTTGTGCAGAGGTTTTTCTGATGGTACTGACTTTAAGACGTAAATCAGCATTTTCTGGTGCGTATTGCACCACAATGAATTGTATAGTTTTAGTTGCTCTTGGTATCTCAGTGGCCATCTGTAACTTTACTCAGAGAAAAGTCTATTTTACTTTTGACTGCGTACATTAATAACATTGCTTTAATCAGAGATGTTAAGGCATAATCAAAATACATTTACAATGAGAATAGTATTTAAAAAGAGACCATAATAAATACTGAATACACTGAAAATATACCAAATTATAACATGTTTCTGAACTTACAAAAAAAGATTCCTCCTTTTCAGGAATATTGTCATCAAATACACTCAATGCAAAAGAATGAGTTGTTTTCCCAGGCTCAAACTTCAAAACCAAGTCCGACATTATTGGTATATAATCTACATCTTCACTTATCTTAGCAGTAGATTTAAAAAGATAATAAATCCCTGATTTAACAGCTGTATTGATAAAGTCTCGAGCTTTATCTTCTTCCAAATTAACGGAATCTACAGCTATCGCAATCAAAGAAGTGTTTTTGTGTTTCGAATACACAGGAATCGGAAGTATCGCTTTAGATGGGCCAACTTTCGAAACTGACTCAAAGTTGCCTGAAACCGGATTTAACCAGTATAAACTGGATTCCCTTGAAGATGCAATTCCAAGTAAATGGATTTTTTCCAGATTATCCTGGTGAAGGAAAAAACAATTTTTGAACAAAACTTAAATATCAGTACAAATTGTCATACTATCTAATATTAGGTGAATAAAATATTTTGAGGCAATTGCATTTGCCTTTATAAATAAAAAAAAATATCAAATAATGGCACAAATTGATACATAAAATTTTAGATATAGCAAATATTCAAGGATTTTTATATTATTAGATATTCCAATCAATTCGATACAATATTTAAATGGATTGCAAGCTTATTGAACACTAGACAAAATCAGCTTTAGAAATACACAATGGTAAATTTAAATAACTTTGATAATCAAAAAATTTATGGTTGTATTTAATGTCACACAACCAGCCTAATTTTTATCAAAAAAATTCTTTTCATAGTAAACTTTAATTTCCCCATGAATGTTTAACTGGCGAAATTGCATCATTTTGCACACACACCGATTGAGTTGTATATGTCTTCGAAATGAAATTACAATCATGCACAAACATGTAATAATAAAGACTGGATAGAAGAATAAATACAATGGATATGTATAAAATATATCCGAAATCTTACCTCGACTGATTCGAACATATCAAACACATCGGCATCTACAGATTGAGCATTGATCGATACAACATTTGAAATATTCAATGACTGATGTTTATTTAAAATAATTGAGTGTTGCGGTCCTCCAAATGCAACCTGAAATACAATAAAATATTGCCCTACCTATAATAATGAAAAGTTGCAAACGATAACAAAATAGGGTGTGCGAATATATTCGATTTAGAATAATCTTTAATTCGAGAAATAATTTAGAATAGTTTCATTGTTTTGAAAAATTTCTCTTGTGAAACAGATCTATTTCAGAATATATTCGATATTTTATATTCAAATAAAAATGTTTTATAAGGTATTCGGAATACTGAATTATTCGTTTTTAGCCATCCCTGGTCTTCATTAACCATGTCTTAACATTTGAATATTAAATAAAATTGGTGTTTTGAAAATGTCCTGTCCCACTTGCCCCACTAGTATCTATCACCTATCCTACTTGTCCCACGTGTCCCACTTGTCCAGTGGGACACATTAGACACATGCAAAACGACATTTTTGAGCCACTCGTCAAAAAGCCCAAACCTTATAAATATCAACTCTTTCAATTTCCTGTGATTTGGTTTCATCTCCTTCAAATCCAACAGAAGACAGGATTACGTAAACCATGTTGCCAGTTTCTATAATTTCTACTGCAGTCGAGTGAGATACGTCAATAGATTTACGATTGGTGAAACTATAAATTTCATTTTCATTTTGCGTCCATTTGTAAATGGCTGAATGAACAAGTGAGTTCCCACTGATTTCAGTATCACGTCTGAAACAAAAAAATACAAATTGTTAAATTTAATGACTATCAGGGATGCCTACTACATTCTAAATTAGCTAATTTACACCAGACCAGACAATTGGGTCGTTTTATATTTTCTCATCCTCCTCAAAATAAACAAGATATTCAATCCATTTCTAACTAGACAATACCTACAGCAAAATGACCCCAGATATAGTAAAATTTGTTAGGCAGGCAAAGCAAAAACAGAAAGATTAAAATTTTTTATAATTAGAGCATTTTGGTCTTAAGCCTTGATTATAGCAAACAAGTAAAAACACAATACACAAATATTCCAGCAAGTAAACACAAATAACAAACAAGTCGGTAGCCACCCAGGAGTCAAGGCCCACATTCAACTATCGACTTAGTTGATGAGTAAATGGCGATAAATTGTGACTGAACTGCAAATTTTCCAACGATTGGTGTGTTGCTTGCTGTTGCCATAGACACAAAACTTCAATCCGAACTTTCGATGAATCGCACATTACTAGGGTAACAGGATAACCCACATGAGAAATTTTGTACAGATCAGCCCCTCCATTTAGACGCTACAGCTTGGACACACAGACAGACAGAACAGCTGATACTAGAGCAGAGATCCAATATACAAACAATTCCCTTCAGTATCATACCCGTTGGCAATAGCCAAATAGACAGCATTATTCCAGTTGAAAGTTCTCACACCAGAAGCTCCTCTCGTAGGTAATGTTTGTATCAGAGTCAATTTGTCTTGAAGTTTATTCAATCGATAAACATAAGAATCAATGCTGGAAATCTACAAGAAATTTAAAACAGGTGTTTCTACGTTTTCGCAATAATGCCTATTATTTTCAATGGCTGTCAATTCCCAAAATTTTTTCTGGCCTCCATCTTGATAAGCATTCCCATGACAATCTGACACAATATTATTCCGTGTTAGTTCCTAAACCCTGATTCGCGAGTCAAGTTCAATCACGGGTCAACCATGTCCGAGTTAAATCCGAGTTGGAAGTTGAGTTAATCACCAAGTTAATAGCAGATGGTTGATTAAAAGTTTGAGTCATTTTATTTATATGACTCAAGCCGTTTTGTTTTTTTATAAGACGCTCATTTATGCCTTTCACTACCAACGGGGGAGATACTTTTATTTGGAAAGACCAGAAACTTTCCGGTCCAGCATTGGCTATCCAATTTATTACATCCTGAGTGGGGTGGAGAGCTTGGAATTTGAGTCTTTGATAAATGCCTAAGTGAGTCCAACTCGAGTTGAGTCAATGACTCAAAGCTCCTCAACACTGCTATTTCATTGCAAGTTTACAAGACTATTCCATAAGTGGTACCAACCTGATTATTGTCGATACTGTTGGCCACGATCAAATAATCCTCATTTTCGTGTTTAAAATGTGAAACATCATTTGCACCCTTGGTTGTAATTTCATCTGTTACAATCAATGAACCATTTTCTGATATCTTGTACAATCGAGACATTGTTTCATACCTGGAAAAAGATGGCTATGCAGTCCTAAATTGTTCATTGTTGTTGAAAATGGTTATAGATACAATTATGACTTCTATATGAAAAATCTCATATGCCCATGAATGAAGTAGTTCAGGAGTGTGCGAAGTATTTTTTGCCAGGAGCCGCATTGAGAAAAGTAGTTTTTGCACTTTTTAATAATAATTCATTGATTGAATTGCATTTGAATCAAAAAATTGGTTCCGCCATGTTTGTATTTGACTTTGTTCAATTAGGTAGTATTAATTCACCTTCCATAACGTCCATGATTTGTAATAAACAGATAATTTTTATCACCAGTCGTAAAAGAAGTTGCCGCAGATGCTCCATCTGTTTCTATTGTCTGTAAGGGTTTAAAATCGAATAAACAAAAGCTTAGGATAAAACTTCTGACCATAAAAGTTGAATAAACATCAATTTACATGATTTTGTTGCTGAAATTTAAATTCTAATGATATGACACCTTTTATCAATGTTAAAAGCAATTGTGATGAAATTAGATATCGATAACCATTTGGCTTGTATTTTTTGTATAGAAGAGGAAATATGTTAGGGTGACCTAATTATATGGCCATTCTAACCTATACAATTCCGTGCCAACTGTCGAGTCAATTTTTATAACTCTAGGTTACAGTGAATTTCAGATATTCGGCTGTATTTTATGATTGATAATTAGGTACTCCTGAAGTATGCGCACCTAGATGTCGCACAACCTGAACCCTAACCTGGTACACAACCTGAGTTCAAGTTGGGCACCATCTTGGTGAGCATACTTCAGGAGGTCCGATCAGGAGGTCCGATAATTAAAAATTATAACAAATTGAGTCTGACTAGCAATGCAAATTTGTGTATGAATGCAAAATACAAGAACTAGTTGGTCCAAATAATAGTTTTAGAGGTGTAAGAGCAAAATTGCAGCAAGACTGTAATTTTACCTGTACAGGAGTATACAATCCATTGTACTTATATAAAGTAGTATGGACACCAGGAGTTAATGTTCGCAGGGTTCCTGAACTTCCAATTCTGGTTGAAAGTGGTCCAGATCTGAAGCCAAAAACAAACATGAAAATTTGCGTATTACAGCATGAAAAATTCCACAAATCTCAGTTGACTATTCTCTACTAATACTATGTCAGAAATTCTGATTATTCTATATTAGTAAATTTTCTCAATCTAAATTTTTAAATTTTTATTGAATGAAATGAAAATTATGACCAATTGGTTCTGGTCATCCATGGTGTAACAATTACGCAATTCGATCTTACACATTCAATAGAATGATAGTGTGGCAGCAGATGGAGAGAGAAAGAGAGAAAAGCTGAGGACATCAATCATATGGCAAACAATATCTGCTGCTCAGATGTTCGAATAAAAAAATTATCGTTTAAATAACAATATAATATACTTATATAATATAATATAGTTATAGAATTAATAGCACATATCAAGAGCTCAAATCTTGCATATATATTATTGAATGCAAGATGCTTACCTATCAGCTGATAATACCAGTAAAAACTGGTTAGATCCAGTTGTGAAGGAGTGAAATGAAGACATGGAAGACGCATCAAATGTTTGTATTGCACATAGTATTGGTGATTGATCATGATCTTGTGACAAAGGTTGAGCTGTACCTGAAATAATCATCATTAAAAAAATAGCATATAATAAAAAAACTTACATTTTAAATTTCAGGTATTTTGATTGTTAGATGGTAAAGCATAAAGTTCCTTTAAAAATGTTCAACTTATTTGGATCAACGGCAGAAAGATTATTTTTTTTTTAATTTTTCCTTGGCATAAAAAAGTTGAGGAGCCCCAGAACTTTTATTGAACAAAAATGGGCCATGAACGGAAATAGATTGAAAACACTGCTCTAGGCAAAGCGCAACCATATATTTTTTCTTAGTTGAATAAATAAATGAATCTCACTCTATCTTCTATGTAGCAATAATCACAATATAGCAAAAACAAAAAAGAGCCTAAATGTAGATATTATTCCAATTATTTCAAGAAATTCAAATATTGTAGCTAAATAATAGTGTCTCACCGTTTCTCGTCTTTACACTCACAAACACATTTTCCAATAATCCTTGTTCTCGAATGATATCAAGTTCCAATATTTTCACTCCTGGTCCTTCTTCTACCTCAGTGAATGAGTTACCAGATCTGAAAGACAATGGTATTTTTAATTATAATACACAAATACAAACATACCAAATACTTGAAAAGCAAGAGTAAACATACTTGCGATAACTAAATTTTAGAATAGTGATACAAATAAGATAAGAAAAATGGAATCACATAAAAAAAAATTGAAAAAACAAATATTAAAAAAATTTATTTAGTTCTGAGTTTCAGGTATGCAGGCTTGGGCGAATCTCCGTTTCAAATAATAAAATTACGCAAATTGTTATATATAAATATATATGCATGATAGTGAAATGAAAATTCATTCACTTTACAACAATATTACGGTATGAAGTTTTCTAAGTTTACAAACCTTAGGCCTTTTGGTACAATTTTGAATCTCCCATATGGTGCATCGTTAGCCTTGATGACAATAGGTTTTGTTATTTTATCGGAGAGAGTTGCTCCACCTTGTGGATCATGTAACGTAACAATGAAATGTTCGTCCAACTCAGCAACGCTGTCAGTTACAGCTGAAATTTCTAGAACCTGTAAAACAGTGGTTTGTTTGGACATTGGAGTCAGAGCTGTAGTTGTCATTTCGAATTCCTCTATGTGAAAACCTCACTCTTCTATCCTAGAATTTTCAGTTTTTTAACGGTAATAATCGGAGCCAAAATTTTTGACGAAAACGCAAAAACATCAAGTTGGCAAAGCATTCTCACTGAAGCCAAAATTTTCTCTTTCTGGAGCGTCAACGTGGAGTTGGGAGTTGGTTTATACGAGCTTTTTCTGACTATGACTTGGTAATATAGAACGAAATTGTTTTATTTTCAATTGCAAAATTGTTTTTTGAAAATATTTGGTACATCCATCACTCTGTCTGAACAACACACAAAGCAAGCATATGAATGGGATATATATGCCCAATAATAAAACATAAGTAATGTCTATCTTCTATATTTCAGATCAAGATTTGAAAGAATTTTCCACTGAAACACTGTATTAATAATTTTATTCAATTCATTCGCGTCCATGCAACTGAGACAAAAAACTGGTCAACCATTACCACGATCACCATGGATTGGCAACTAGACTTGAAGTCCTGGTCCCCCATGTGATTGGGGCTGCTCCATCCAAAGTGTTTACCTCATTATGTACGCCATCTTTGATCACAATATATCCTTCAACAGGAAAAATATCGCTGGAAACCGATTGGGTATCAGTCGATTGACTTTCGTTTCGTTCAACTCGATATTTTACTGAAATATCCCCGAACACTCCTGATTCTGGATTTCTGGTGATTACCAGATCTGCTTTACTGCCAGTCATACTGTAACCATGAGAGAAAAGTTAGTCAACTACATTATCGAAATGATTAGAAAAAAGTATCATGTTCATTTTTCGGAGAATTTGCTAAAAGCACACTCACTAAGAAATGAGATGGCAAATGCCGTCGATTGACAAGACACTTGACGAAGTCAAAACGATTAAGAAAACTCATAATTGAGATTCTTGCAAAACAATTACCCAATATTTTCGATTTTTGGAGCATGAGAAATAGGTCACGGGCTGAAGGCAAATAGTTGAAATATTCCGGTTTAAAGCCCAATAAGAATCGATCTAGTCTAGATGTTAATTCATTGGAACTTATTCCGAGCTAACAATCTGAACTATCCTGTTGGCATTTCTCTCGAAGTTTATGATCTGGAGCAATTATCTGATTATGCATTCCCACACCCAAACTAGACTGGAAAGTAGAGGAAAACCTGTGGTATATCATATGGTAACTTATCAACTTCAGTCTCCTTCGAAAGAAATATGGAATAGTATACAAAGTGAACATTTTTTTGGTAATTACAATTACAATCTACAATACCTTTCATTATTAGGTTCTTCCAAATAAAGAGTTTCTTCGCCAGAAAAACTTAATTTTCCATGAGCATCATCGTTCGACAAAATTTTTATTGTTGATTTCGTAGAATTCCCGATTTCTAATCCAATCGATGGATTGCCGATTAAAACTTCAAATGTTTCATCTCCCTCTGGTATATCGTCATCAAGTATGGTGATTGGGAAATATACTTTGTCTTGACTATCTGGGATAGTTATTGTCTGAAAAATACAAAATTAAATGGTGTATTTTTTCATTTGTTTACAAAAAACAAAACAAGCCATAAAGGTCCCAATCATAACATAATATAGAATATTTTTGTGATTATAATCATTCAAATGTGGTTCTATGTAACCTAATGATTATATCAAGATCTGGGTGAAAATGGGGTTTGAATCTGGGATTTGTAACCCAGCAAATCCCTATGCCAGGAGTTTTAATTACCCGTTGGTCAATTTCAAAAAAGAAGTTTCCAATTCTAACTATATTTTCACTTCTTTACATGACTGTCTATTTCAGAAGTAAAATATGAAAAAGTGGCAATGGGCTAGAATAGTGAGAACATAACAGAATTCATTATGTAACAGAGGACATTGCAAACTCGAAACCAGACAATGTTATGATCTGCCATATGGTCAACAGCCCTATTTGGTCATTTACTGAATTGAGACCTAATGAGACTTGGCTACCTATTCATATAATGAAGAAAAAGTAAATTTCATGCTCGTAAAATAATACCCGGTTTAGAACATGATAGATATTAGATAAGAAATACATAGTTCAAAAAGCAAATTTAAGACTTGAGATAATTAGTCAATTTTTTTGCCTCTCAAAAACAATCTTACTGTTGGTTCACACTGATAATCTTCACCATGAATTGCTTCTCTATTTTGTGGGAAAACAAAGAATTCAACTTTACCATATGTTCCTTTCTCTCGTATAATAGTCAAAGTAATATTGGTTTCAGTACCCTGAATACAAAGTAGATAACATCATAGACATTTTATATTTAAAAAAAAGTTATTATCCGCAAGAAATGAAATATTGTTCAATATTAGTTCAGAACTGCCAAGTTTAAGTAGTAAGATTGTTGATAGAAAAATTACTGACACATTACTGATATCGTTTTATGGTAAGCGCATCACGCTTTCACTGTCAAAACTAAATTATTTTGTGTGTTACCACCTTAATCGGTGCTCCTGAAGTATGCACACCAAGATGTCGCATAACCTGAACCCTAACCTGGTACACATACTATGTTCAGGATGTGCGCAATCTTGGTGCGCATACTTCAGGCGGGCCCCTTAATCATAATTAGGATAATGGGGAAGCGAGCTACACAACTCTGGAATTTAATCAACAGCAGTCCACTATTACCGACACACAAGTTTTAGTTCTTTAAACTTTTTACGGCATCATGAATTGCACTTTTGTTGTACTGTTTTAATTTCACTTTAACTGCCCCTTAAAAAAATCCTTGCTGCCCCCAGAGTTTACTGTCTATCAAGTGCAGTGTTTAATGTAAAGACCTGTTCAGAAAGCCATTTTTACAAATTTAACGACAAAAATAGATTCAATAATTAAATACAATAAACAGAAACAAAAAATAAATTTCAAATTAATTGTATACAATGTTTTCTAATTCTTGAAATATTGGTTTAGAAAAGCAATATTACCTCTGTTTCAATCGCTTCAAAACGAACAAAATCAGGATGGAAATTGATCATTCCTTTTGTTCCATCATTTGCATCAATAACAACTTGAGATGAACTATAATCAGCATCTAAATAATATTGTTTATTTGTTTGAGCAGTGTAGGGTGACTGATCGGTCTTGAGTCATCACTTATCAAAGATTTGACATGATTCGAGTGACCTAAATTGAATGACTCTGACATGTCATCAACTACCGGTAACTGTCATTTAGATGCGACTCGAATTCGGATTTGGCTCGACACTCAGGGTTTGGGAACTGCTAACAAACTTATTGAACGACACTGGTTAGAAGTGGTAGAACCAAAATTCAAATCATAGCTGACCATTATGTTATTGCATAGATTAATAATCCCAAATTTTATCAATTAGAAGCATTCAGCAACCCCATCCTTAAAATCCCAAACACGTCACTCACTTGCAATAAAATCGAACTTTATGTATTTACCTATACTAGGAGGTATAAAATTGATTGCGTCTTTTGGTCTTTCAAGTAGAACAACTTCCGTTAGATTAACATGAAAAATTTCATTCATTTCAGGTATATTATCATCAATTATATTGAAAACAATCGGAACCGAAGTCACTCCATCTTCAAATAGAATAAAATGTCTCCCATCCTGATCAATGCCAGAACTTTGGAATGTGAAGTCGACAAAAGGTTCTGCAGGTTTGATATCTGGATTGAGGGTGCTGAGAGAACCTGGGTTAGGAAGGATTAAATTGGTGTTGATAAAATAAAGATAAATACCAATATCAAAATATGTGCATTCCCTCGTATGAAGCTTGTTTCCACACTTGTCCCACATTCGGTTGACACACGAGTCAGTCAAGAAAGAAATAGGGTAAAAAGTTGAGATGTGTTGAAAACTATTATGGCAATTGGTACAAGTGATACATGATGTAGTGATGCAGTTACAAGTGGGGGAAGTGTGGGCCAAATGGGAAAAGTAGAACAAAACATTTCTGAGACACCTGATAATTACTATGATGGTAAAAAAGCAATAAAACATAAAAACAACATATTCTCATTCAAATAAATGCTTGTATGATTTTGTTGAAATATGCCCTAATACAGCAGGGGTCGGCAACCTACGGCCCGCGGGCCGAATTATATTAAGGACGCTTTACTGAATTATAGTAACAAAACAGCTGTTTTGACAATTATATTCTTTACGAAACCGAATTTATTGTGAAACATGTGTAGACTAAAATATAATATTTATTTAACAAGTATAAAATTCACAAATACTCGTGTAATGAGCCTATAATTTAATTATAATTAGACAAATGGCAGCAAAACGCAGAAAAGTTGATGCTAGGTGCAAAGGGTTCAATGGCGCCGAAAATGTTCAAATGGAATTTTTTGAGATGCAATGCAATGCGGAAAAAAGTCTATATTCTATTCGAGAGATCACGACTTGATTTTTAATATTAAAAAGTACCATCCGCTCGGTTTTCAACTTTATAAAAATATGTGAGGCCCGGCAATGACTTGCAATCCTTAATTTTGGCCCGCGAGCGACAAAAGGTTGCCGACCCCTGTCTTAATAGGTCAAATACAGACCACCAAAATTTTTCAAAATTTCAGCCAAGGACTGTATGTAACTAGGCCAAATTAAATGAATATTATTGTTGTAAAATTGGTTATGAAATTTATCCTCACAGAAAAAACAGCAAACCATAAGAATGATAATTTTAACCATTATCCGAATTCTTTAAATGAGCTATGTCAAATGATCATAATCATGATTTCCCGAACATATAAATCAAATATTCTGAATATCTCTAACAAAAAGAGCACTGCACTATTTTCACCAAAATAGTGGCTTGAAGAATATGCCAAATGCCCAATTGCGAAGCTATCTGTTGAAATTATGCAAAATTACCTATCTACTCACTCTTTATGCCTTGTGCTGGCAGATCATCAGCACACTTATAATCTAAAATGCTGTGTCAAGAAAAAAATTTCATGTGATTCAAGAGTCTTGCAGAATACTCGGAATTCCATTGAATTAGGAAGAATGTAACTATATTAGGCAATTTACACAAGTTAATATGACTTTGCAAATGATGTACTGGGTATGGTATTGTAAACAGTATGTAGGCCTATATCTAAGACAGTATTCTTCGTGATTAAAAACACATAATTAACAAATACTAATACATTACCTGGTACAACATCAAAGTATACTTTAACATTCCCAACAGAGCCGAACCCACGAGAGACAAACAATTTTAATTCTTCAATTTCTTCTGTTGCATCAGCTACTTGAGAAGTTTCAGAAAATTTGAATAATCCATGAGGGTCATCACTACCGTGTATTGTAATTGAAGATACAGATCCTTGGACATCTATAGCTGCTTTACCAGTTTGTGGAATGCCTGTAAGATCGAGGTTAAAACGATACAGTTCTAGTCATTTAAATTCATTCTGTTATGTGTCAGATATGGCCGAAAAGCAAACGAGTTACTTGAAATACATTTGAAAATTATTTTATGGAAAGTACGTATTCCAGGTCCTAATACCTAATAATCTAATAATTTACTATTCTAAAATACTATTCTCAGATGTGGAGTATCAAATATATATTCTAAATTTGGACATGTTCAACAAAGGACATAAAACAGTCAATATTTATTTTATGATTTTGAATCTCGAGACGCAGTATAGTTACGATGAACAATGATTCGATAAATTCTCCATTTTCTAGATTGCTAATAAATAATTTTTGAGAGCCATTCTAAATTTTTGTTAAAATCAACAACTTGAAATTATGATTCAATTTGAATATTCGATTCGCTTTGGACATACTTGAATATCCAACCACAAAATGTTTGATGTAAGCAAGTGTTCTATAATTGCCTGTTTATAGTACTTATTCAATTTAATGATTGTTAGCTTCTGTCAAAACTGTTGGAAGTCTGAAATTTCGACTCCAAAATATGAAGACTTCAAAATTACTCTCTTTTCTTCGAATCCCAACTCTGAAGAGTCTAAAACTCACACTCCGGCTATTACTCTAATATCAATAAAAACATTCCAAACTACAACTTTGCAACCCTGGTTTAATATTCTAAACGTTTTATCATTGCGACAAAACTCAGTTAAATTTTACGATATAGCAAAAGTGATGACACACACAGAGAATTATTGAACAATGTTTCTATAAAGTCCATTCTTACCCGTAGAAATAACATCCACAAGTCTTACAGTATACTGCTCTTTAATTTCTGGGGTGTTGTCAGCAATAAGATTCAACCAGAAAGAAGCAGTTTTAACTTTGGGTGGGAAATGTAATATTCCTTCTGTAGCATTAACACCATCTGATGCATTTTCATTATCAATTTTCCATGTAACTTTGCAAGAACCTTCAGCTGGTTCAGACCGAATCACGTCTAGTTGAATGGAGTCACCTTCGAGTAAAATCAAGATAAAGAAGACTTGATTAGTAAAGCAAGTATTATTTGTAAGCCTTGAAAAATTGTTAGCCAATATGCATGACAGAGATGTGGAATTGGGAAAATAGTTCGAACTCTAAACTCTGAGTCATGTGAAAAATGAGTCCAGCTTTGAAGTCGTAATTAAAACAACTTAGACAACCCAAAGTTTTTTTGTATTCCTGTCAGATATTTTGTTGTCGATTACCACCTTTAGAAAGTCTGAAATTCTGACGACGTCACGCTTGAAAATGCGAAACGAAGATGAAAAGATTACTCGATTTTATGACAAACAAGTTTAAAATCATGGTCATTCGTAAAAAATGTTATAGAATAGTAATATATCAAACTGGCGCAGTTAATAATACAGTTTAAGGCCAGTCACTCATTATCTGATACATCAGTGAGCAAGTTGTAGCGAATAATCTCTCAAATACCATATGGTAAAAACTTAAAAAAATGCTTATAAATTATCTCATTGCTCAGCATAGCCTCATGGAATAACCTGATTTGTTGTACTGCGAGTGATGTAATAGTTTCTAAACAACATATTTAGGCGCATACACAAACTACAAGTCATTTTTTCTCACACATATAGCCTGGATTAATAAGATTTACTCTCTAAATATTGAATCATAACATATTTCTATTTAAATATATATTATTATATTCCTTTGATATATGCTGCAATACTTACCTTCATTGCCAATCACAGCTCTCGATATTTGACTGAAAGTTATGATCCCACCGACATTATCATTAGCAAGTATAATCACGTGAACTTTTCCTTCTGTTTCACTAATAATAGCTCCACCAGTTGGATTTTGTAATTCAACATTGATGTCTTCATTCAGCTCTGGGATATTATCATCTATGACGCTAAGGCTTATAACTGGAAAAAGAGAAATACTATAATTTATAATTTAACAATATTTTGGAAGGGTAGAACAAAAACAGTGTTAAAAAATAAAATAAATATTGATGATAAAATAATGGCGTTCGTAAAAGCAATTGTGCAACAATCCAGATATGGACTGTTGGCATAGACAAATACTAAAATAATGATCAAAATTTCAAACAATACCTTTCTTTTTTTCTCCATGATTAAACTTCAAAGTTGCATCATCACCAGAGAAATCCATATCACGTAATGCAGAACCACCATGTACTTTCCAATCTACAGTCACTTCTCCAACTGATCCACCTAGAAAGAAGTTAATAATTTCAATTTTGATTAAATCTTTCAAATAGGATAAGGCTTTCATAATTATCCCATGGTGAAGGAACGATAATATGGCTCAATCACGAACTCACGTCCAATTACAAGTCCATGTCAGTTATTAGTTTGAAATGCATGGACTTGATGGTGCTGGAAACCTTAATCTACCAGCAAACTATGTGGCTCACCCGATGACAACGAGGAATTCAGATATTCTTTCATACATCTAATATTGGATTCACTATGGTACCCACTCAGGTAATCATAGGTGTGTTGACAAGCTCCAACAGCCTAGACAAACTTTACAACTTGTTACCTTTCCTCTCTACAATCATTTCCAAAGATAACTGTGGTCTTTCCTCAGCTTCTATGATCATTCCATTATCTTCAGGTGTAGATACTGCACTATGTATCGTGAACATTCCATGTGGAGAATCATTCTGTTTTATTCTTATATTTGACTCCTTATTGCCAACTATAAGAGGTCGATTTGTTTCCATTGAGTCTATGTCGATCACTGACACATTGATAATATGAACCTGCATGAACAAATAAAAAATGTTTATCGTTTTCATAAAATGGCAGTTTCTATTTCAGTCAAACATATGTTATTTGGTTAACCCAAGGTTCATTATCTTGTCATTTAAGCATTCATTCAAATTCATGCATTTTGTGTCTTGACTGTAGTAAACTTGTCTCACTTGCGACATTTGAAATATACTTGTCACACTTGTCCTACTTTTGTAACACTTTCCCACTTACACCGCACTTTTCCCACTTGCACCACACGTGTGCCACACTTTTCAGAGTTGTACCACACTTGTACCAATTGAACCACATTTGTCCCACTTACACCACACTTTTCAGAGTTGTACCATACTTATACCACTTGTGCAACACTTTTCCAACTTACACCACACTTGCACCTCATTTGTGTCACTTACACCATATTTGAACCCCCTTTTAGAGTTGTACCACACTTGACGCACGCATAACACATCTGTCCCACTTACACCACACTTGTCCCACCTACAGCACATGCGTTTCACTTACATGACTGTTCTGGGTTAAAAGTTAAAAGGCTCTAAATTAATACCTCAAGTAAGCATTCAAACAACTGGGACAAGTGGTACAAGTGTGAAATAAGTTGGAAGTCAGAGGTCTAAGGGAAGAAACATGCTTAAGTGATCTGTCCTGGGGTGTGAAGAGTCCAATTTTCATACAGATAATCATGTCCCAGGTTTGAAATAAATCCTCACCTTGAAAAATTCATCCAATTCTGGAGTGTCATCTCTCAAAATTTTGACAGCTATATTTCCTGAAGTTTGACCTTCTTGAAGTAATAATGAAGCTCCAGTGATTGGTTCAAAATCCATACCAGAACGTGCTTGTGAGTCGTAAAGCAGATCAGTCTAGGACAAAATATAACAAATTTGCATTGTGATTATTATAAAATCTCATTACTTATCGATTTTGATCGGTAAATATGTTGATAGGTATTTGTCTGTCTGTCTGTTTGTCTGTTAGATGCACGCGATATCTCACGAAAGCGAGATTGAATCTGCTCCAGATTTTGCATGTGCATTCATCTCATCTCGGACCAGAAGCCTATTGATTTTGGGCAAATTATGTCGTATAATTAGCGAGTTATCAATCAATTATTGATGAAGTGATCTAGATTTTTGTAAAGCGAGAGAATTTTGAGATCGCCGAGTGTGTGTGTGCGATGCGCAGTGCGCAAGTTACAAGAGCGGATGAATCGAAACTGCAGTTTCTGTTTTGGTGGATCCCCTAACTATCGATCGATAAGTCTTCGGTTTCCAACCGATATTCTCGTTTTAATCATTCCAATATCAATTTTTTTGCCATTTTTCACTCTAAAAAGCTTTGTAAAAGTCAACCAGCCACTCAAACAATTACAATATGAACCTAAAATGATGTGTCCCATTTGTACCACCTGTCCCACTGTTTTGAGATAAGCATAAAATAAATGTTGTGCAATTCATACAAACGGGAAAAGTGTGGTAAACACCTAAGACACCTCAAAAGGAGTTACAATTAAATCGTTTTTACCATTAAATCGAATTACCATAAGCTCAATTACTTCTTTCGTAAAAATAAAATGTTCAGAACTCAATTCATTAAACTCAATAACATCAGCAAGTAGATAAAGATCCACGAACACAAGAACAATGTCCTGATTAAATCTTAATTAGAAAGTGGCATAGTTTCTGTGATGTCAAATGTTAAAACATCAGCAGAGTGAATGACAGTCACCCCTTCATGTCATCGTCAATCATGAGCACTTTTTTGGGTATTTTGTTTTAATGGATGTCATTGCGGAGAATGATATTTCACAGCAATAAGTTAGGTAAATGACACACTAAGATTTCCGCAGACCAGTGAAAAAGATGGGATTACATAAGCAATTTCTAAGACAGTGGCTTACCTCTTAAAAATGTCAAATTACGCCTTTCAGAGTTTTAACCCCCAATTTAGGAACCACTGGTAAAGACATTTCAGCAGGTAGAAATTTTAGCTCACTTTTTCTATATCTTTCAAATAATAACGAAATTTGGCAGCAGGGGCCATGTAAACATTTTCATCCCCGTTGATATCCCCATTCCCTCCACCCTCTGGTTGTAGGTCAAGTCCAGTTGGTGTTTCAGAACTTGGAATCCAAGCACATTTTGTAGTTATATCACTGTATAAGAATCCAACGCAGGTCTGTTGCCTGATACAAGTTTCCGCACAAGTCATAAGAGGATTGGATTGTGATGTGAGGTCAACTTCTTGTTTTGGTTTTGAAGCAACTGAAATGACAAAGTAAAAAATAGTCGTTTATATACATGTTTTAAACAAGGTATTTCTAAACTTTATTTATGCCGCCGTTCAGACACCTTTTTCGCTCAGGCAGATATTCAAGCAGGTTGTAAACATTGCCTCTTTTCGGTAGTTTGCGAGTTATCGTCAGTTTTTCATGGTGTTTGAATAAAAATGATAGTTTTGAACATGTGAGCTAGTTTGTAAGCCCAACTTTCCAAAACGCTCACATAATCAGCGTTGAAAAATTTGCAATGATATGTGGTATAGAGAGAATCTTTCAGGAGTGAAGAAAACATACATTCCTACAAGGTTCTATTTGATTTCTATTTTGCAACCCACATCATCCAGAAAGGCAGGAAAAAGATTTCAAACTTTTCAAGGAAAGTGATTATTCTTTTCAAAAGTGTTAGATGTGTCACCAAATTTTTTTCTGGTTTCATAGAGTCATCGCACCCTACTAGTTTTCAAATTTCTAAAGTCTGAGAAAACGATTCAAAATTATAGTATACCTTCAGAAGTGATTGAAGATGGATCTTCAAAATATTGTGCAATAATATTTTCCTTCTTATCAATAATTTCAGAAATCAAATCTATTTCTTCTGTGCTGTAAACTACTCTCAACATTCCAAACAATCCAGCACTTTGAATATAAAATTTTATTTTATTTTATTAACGAAAGGATGTCTATAATTCATGGCATATCAGATATAAGGAAAAGAAGAATAATTAAAAATTTATATTGAGAAAATATAAAGAAGACAGAGAATTGAAGTGAATAGCTAATTCTGTACTGCCACTTATACCAGTGTAAAAGGTATTACTTGCCATTATCTAGCTTTCTCACCCCCTAAGTGAAAAGGATAGGATTTTCATATTTATTCTGGAGTGTAGGGAAGCTGACAAGATGAATGAATTAATCATACGGCAAACCAATCCTCTTGTCCTGTTACCAGTCAAAGTCCTGTTGTCGTGTATGGGATTATTTAGCCAGTTATTTGTTTAAATACATGACTAAGTTGCAACCGGTTTCGTGACCTGCAATCTCACACAGGGTTTTCAGAAGTGCTCTGACCTCTCTGGCTCAGCGTATTACTATCGCTTAGCATGACGTGCCACACCGCCAGCCGAATATCAAATCTTATTCTAATATGATACCCAAGCTAGCAATCAGACAAAAAATCTATCACATACCTTCTGATAACTTTTAGTTTAAGTACTGCTTCACCATTTTCTAATTCTTCAACATCATAATTGTCATGTTCCAGACTGACCATTCCATATGGGTAATCATTTGCTGGTATTTTGATTGTTGTTCTATCTTTCTCAGGATTGATGACGCCATTGAATCTGTATGAAAGTACGTTTAGATGGTTGAAAATGAGAGTTTGGCAGTCTCTTTAAAAAGATATTTGCTCAAGACAAACTCACACAAACTTTCTCACTCATATTGCTCTTATCAATAGCATTTTGTATTACTGCCTTTTATAAAATATACTTGTTCAGGCAAAGTCACACAAACTTTCTCATCCATAAAACTCGTAATATAAAAAAAAAAAAAAATTGGGACAAAATTAGATTTTGACTTTTTCTGGAAACATATTTTCTGAAACAAACTCACACAAAGTTTCTCACTCAAAAATAAAGAGCTTTTATGAAAAGGCATAAAATAAAATATTATACCTTGATCTTTTCATGATGCGATCCAATTTTACTGTAACAATTTCATCATTTTCTGGAATGTCATCTGGCATTACCTAGAAGAGAAAATATTCAAAAGCTGACCCATCGTTTGAAGCACTTGGATCAGAACACCTTGTGTGATCACTGGATCCCAAAAGAATCATTGTTTTCCTAATCACTTAGGGTAGTCAACATAACAATCGAGGTAGTAGCCGAGGTTGTAAATAACACAAATGAGGTAGAAATTGACAATTTTAAATAAAAAAAGCAAAGAAAAAAAAATAAATCTCAGACATGGGAAAAAGAAAAGTACTGTAGCATAAGAAAAGCAAACTCACTTTTATTTTGAAGGTCTTTTCATCTTGATTTGATACAAAATATAGAACTCCAGATGAAATATCAATATCACTTTGAACTTCACCGCTAGATTCTCCAGATTCAATTCCTTCATAATCAGATGAACCTGTATCTGAAGAGTTAATTTACGTCTGCCGAAATGTAGTCAAAATTAGTGCAGTATTTCCTTGCAAAAAAAAACTTTTGCCAAAGTATTGTATATAACCAAGAACATAGCATAAATTAAAATTCATATACTTATTCTTAACCATATGCTACACAAAACATATCTACTCTAACTCAGAACAGTGGTACAATTGTAGCAAAGTAGGGCAAGACCGCTAAAAAGGGGACAAGCATGGAAAAAACATTCTAGAGGCAACGATACAGGTACAAGGGGTAATTGTAAGGAGCCAATAACAAGAAATATATTTATTTCAATATATAACATGTAGTCAAGTGTAGTATACCTTCATCAACATTCACTTGTTCTTGGCCATCTACAAAAGCAGTCCATTTGACAGCTACAATACCAAGAAGACCTCCTTTTCTTTTGACAGTGAAAACAACAGGAACACCTTCCTCTCCTTGTGCTGGTTCTGATACTACGGACTGAAGAACTGATATTTCTGGATATATAATAAAGTAAAAATTGTTTACCTGTGAGAAAATGTTTTACCACTCATATATACAATATAAAGATGTCCATATTTATTGACACTTGGAAAGTCTAAGTTGTAATTAAGGCATATTTTACAGAAAAAAGTGAAGATAAATTATTGAATAGGGATATTTATAATGAAAAAGGTTACGAATATTATCCATTATACTTCCCAAACTGGACACAAGTACCCCTGGAGTCACATTTCGACTTTGAAGACCTGAGTTTAAGAACTCCTTAGGTAGTCACATATTCAACAAAGTAGAAGCTGTAACTAACAAGTCTACTTTCGCATTTCACATGACCGATTCTGTCCAATATTAGCACGCAGTACAATTTTGGAGGTACTCAAGCGAATCTTAAATTGTCCAAAGACCGATGAACAGAAGAGTAGGGAAACAATGTATTATACAAAATACATAAGAACCACTTTCAAGTCCGCAGCTTTCAATAGTACTTGATTTGGTTTCAGACATTTTGTCACAGGTGAACAGAAAAATATGCACTGAATTCTTATTTGCCCTCTTTTCAAATTCATTTAAATATTCTCATTTATTCATTCATATTCAGATTCAAATATAACGAAATGGATGACTGCTCGTACAGAGCCCTGTTTAGAGTGGAGGTGTGAAAAGTCATCCAATACATTAACTCCTCTTCATATATAAAAAAAATTATAAATTCATTTTCATTCTCCCACCTAAGTAACCATAAGGATAATCAGACTTTTCAATGGTAACTCTGCAAGTTGTGTCATCACCCAATGTAGCATCACCAGTCACGCTGTCAGGTTGAAGTTGTAAAGTGAAATGTTCTTCCAATTCTGGATTTATATCGTTAATAATGTGGACTGGAAATGGTTTTCTGTCTTCTCCTTCAAGAAAAGTGACCTAAAACATAAAGAATGTAGTGTAACAAGTCTTTCGTTTGTGAACTAAAACAAAAATTGCCGTCTTTATGACAACCCAGCATGGCCTCTTCAAAGCAAAGAATTTGCATGGCGATTGAGACTCTATTTCAATCTCTATTCCGAACTTGGTGGCAGCCCAGTAGAGATCTACAGCAATTCAAGTGTTGATTGGAACCATATGATCATCCGTAAGGAATATGTAAAATTAAAAGATGACTCAAGGTGGCAAGTCATTAGCATGTTGTGGATCTCAATATTTTGACATGATAATTAGTGTATTATTGTTCTCCAGGTAATTGAGTAAAACAGTGGATACCAACAAATTTTGGTATCAAATATTTTAAAATTCTAAATATAGAATCACATTCGTTCAACATAGATAGTGAGTTAATGAATCAGGATATTTTGGGTGAAAGGAAAGCCTATGAGCTCCATGCCTCAGATTATGCTTGTAATAAGTCATGTTCTGAGCAAAATTTGAGAAATATATCATGAAAATTGACGCAAATTGGCAACAAAATTCTGACATATTTAAAAAAATACCCGGTTAAAAACTGTAATGAAACTTAAATGTATTATTTTTGCTAACAAAACAGTGTGTCTTATTAGTTTTCACATTTTCTTTGATCAATATATTACAAATAATAGAAAAATAACTGAAAATACAAAGAAAATAGACCCACCTTATCATTTATAAGACTGAAGTCCTCATCAGGCATAGCATTTTCTTTTACTGCCATTACGCCAACGGTTATTTCACCAAAAGTTCCAAATTTTCTGACGATTTCAACTACTGTTTTATCTTCGTCACTCCATTCTTCATTTACTACAACTGATGACAAACTGAGTTCCAGCACTCCATGTGGTGAATCGTTCTCATTTATCACAACACGAGCTAAAGATTCAGAAGCACTTCCGAGTCTTGGAGAATTTTCAACTGTTAAAGATAAAAAATAAAAGTTACTGGTTACATATTGTTTCCCAGAGAACAATGTTTACATAAAGGTGAATTATAAGCATGCTTAATAAAGAAATGTTAGGTAGAAAAAAAAATTAGAGCTGGAGAAGATCGAATGATTAACGCGACTCGAGTCACTTTTTACATCGACTCACAGTGATTCATCTAATTCATCTATAAGGAATTACTCAAGCTAAACTAATAGAAGGACAATCGAAGCCAATTTTAAGCGCAAGTATTTGAAACAGCATATCGGTGAAATACATTGAACTCTGATGACCTAGTGACTTGACTCAACCTGCGAATTGGGTTAGAAACTTGTTGTATTGTCAGACTGAAAACATTTTCCGTCACATGTCGGCTTAAAAATAAATCAGAAATTACCAACTCCTGAAGGTACAAGTTCAACGAATGTTAATTGTACATAGAAATCTTCGTCCGTTTCTGGAATATCATCATCAAGTATTGGAATGGTAAAAGTTTCTGTCGTCACGTTTTCGTGGATCAAAAAACTACTTTGTTGCACAGAGAAATCTCGGTTTGGTATTGCAATGCTGAGAAAGTAAACATAAGAAGTAAATTTCCATCAAATTCATTGCAAGCACATTCAATGGAATCGAAGTCACAAGGTCTCAAGATCATCAATATTTCTTATGGAGCACTACACGCCTACACTTTAAGCAAGGCACAAGCAGCAACAACAAGGCTCATGTTTTAGTTGATAGTTGTAATTATTCCTGATAGTAAATTCTTGCAAAATTAAAGCTTAATATAAATCTGCTGTGAGAAATTTACAGTGATCACTCATTGATTCACAGTCAAGACTGAGGCAGAGTCGACTTGAATCGTTTCAAGTCTCGCATCCGAGATATCAAATGGCATTCTCTGCAAATATGTCATTAATACTATTTAGGCACAAGCAAGTCAGTGGTCATTTATAACTTCACTTTTTGGCCAGTTTGCAACTTGAATTAAAAAAAACATACAAATAAAAATCCCCTTCTCAAAAACGACGCACAACCTGGTAGTTAACACTAACCCTTGTAGAGTTGAATTTCCATCTGTTGAATCCACTGTCTTGTAATGCACTCTTATTCGTCCATTCAAGCCTGCAAGTCTGTTTACTGCCAATGTTGCATTAATACCGCCTTCGTCAACATTCACGGCTCCAGGTTTGAAAATAACTATTCCATGCGGATCATCATTTGCTGGGACTGTTAGGATAGCGAGCAGTGATCCAGTGCTACTTAGTTCTCCATGTGATACCTGGAACGAGATCACAAAATATTAGAGTTATTATTAGGCTTTCACAGTGAGGGCTATGGTTTTAAATAAGTCTTGAAATGTCTTAAGCAGCCTCAAAATGATTTCAAAAATCTACAATTCCACTTTTCTTAGAACTCGAAATGCGAAACAATTGATAAAATGCATTGTCTGGTCATTAGGCCTATGTTCGGCACCAAGGGCATTGATTTCCCAGCGCATAAAAATAAGTATGGAACCGACAAAGAACTGCAACTGGCAATGTACTAGGGCTTGTTTTGATAACCAAATGATGAGCTATGGTTCTCTTACACCCTACCTCCCTGTTTTACTCACTCACACTCACTTACTTCTACTAATTCCACAGTGAAATGCTCAGCAAACTCAGGTACATCATCTGCCAATACAGATATTTCAATTTCAGTTGACCTCTGACCGAAGTTAAAATTCACTTCCCCACTGTCATGATCAAGATCACCATCAGGATCTGATTTTACTTTCCATTTTAAAACTGTTTGTCCAAGAACACCACCTGTTCGTTTGACCTGATTAAATAGAAATATATTACCACAGAATAGTAAACAAATTGTGCCTGGGCTAAATTTAGCTGTGAAATAGAATTAAATCGACTTCCATCTGTAGACACTGTCGTCTAATTTAGCCTGCTTGTTAGCAAACTTTGATTCGTATTTGATTTCGAAGAAATGGCCAAATGGTTAGCTCGAATGTTTTGGCATTGCTGGTTACACATCTTGTGTTCAAATCTCATGACCACCATTCCATCCAGTGTCATAAATTAAGCAGGCAATGTCTAACTGGAAATATTCTAGACCTTCTAACAATATCAGCTCCTTACATATCATTAGATATCAATAGCAGCTTGTATTGGGCTTTGTTTGGAGCAAGAGGGGATGATGAATAAGCATGATTTGATTTTTTATGTTCACTAACACTCGACAAATTAAACTTTGCTTGCGATTGAATTTTTGAGTGAATGATTGAAAAGTGTTTAGTGAAGATTAGTTTTTAAATTTGTTCAAGGTTAAGAAAACATTTCATAATAATGAAGATAAACGATAGTACATGCTATATATTCAATTTTGGTAAATTATAGCAAATACAATTTTTGTATCAAACATGAAAAAGTAAAAGTGGGTACTATCAATTAATTGGTTGGTGAATACCACATAGTGAGTCAAAATCCAAGTCATCCCTCATCCATGAATAGATGAGAGCCAGTTAGGAACCCAAGGTATTATTTTATTATATTTTAATAATATATATTTATTGTAAATAATACAATACCTGTAACTTGGTTGCGTTCTTCCCCGAATCCGGTTCTTCAACAATTACTGATAACGATTCAGGATTGAATTGATAAACACCGTATGCATTATCAGAAGGAGAGATAATGATTTCAGCATGGGAAGCTTCATTCACTTCAGCTGGAAGACAAAACAGTAGATATCACAATATTTCAAGTCATTCGATCTGGTTTCCAAAAAGGTGTCAGCCCCAGGTTTACCGAACTTGGAAGTCTGGATCTTGAGGGATCTCTGGATCTTAAAAAATCACAATTTTTTATCTATATCGTCGCTTCAGAGTTGTGTATAGTAAGTACTACATAGAGTAACTGTGTCATAAGTTTGCAATGTTTGGGAACCACTGCTTAGGTTAAATTCAAGATTTTGGAAGCATTTTTAAAGATAGTCTTATACCTCCTCCAGTAGGCGTAAGCATGTCAACATAAAAAGATTTCTGTAGTTCAGGAGTGTCATCATCTAGTAAGGTTATATTTATAAATTTGTATCCTTCACCGTCTTCAAATGTTAAAGTCCCGGCTGCAGACTGAGATAGAAAAAATATGTTAAAAGTTTGGTCTTAAGAAAGATAATCTTTTTGTGGCTATTTATAAAGCCATCAAATTTCAAGAAGTTCAAATAATCAATGGAAAATATTAAAGAAGAAGATTAGGGGAGGATAAAACAAAAAAGTTGACATATCCATAGTTGATTACTAAGCACGTCTAGAAATGGCCGATAAGGTAATAGCTGGCAAACAGATATGTGAACAACCCCACAATAGCGATTAGTCCAGTTTTTTATTAAACGCTATGTTATTAACGGAAGTCTAGTCCAACTTGCCACAAAATCTTTCGGTGATTCACTAGAAATAGCTTCCCCATCTCTTGTTCTCCATTCAACCGTGACTTCGCCATGCCAACCAGCAGCTCTGACAATCAACAAACTAACAACTGGTTGTTCTTCTTCTACATGAACAATCAAAGGTTCTCTGTTTACTGGAATGTTATCCCTGTCTGATATTTGAGGTACGGGCCCAGAAATAAACTGAAAATTGAACAGAGTTTGTCAAATTTCCACAAAATGTCAAAACCTTTCAGATAATGATTAGATATCAGATCTGAGGTACTTCTGGTTATCATTAATCCTTGAAATAAATGGTTTCAATTCTCCAAGTGATAAACAAACTCTAAGCCAATTTCCAGAAAGACCAACCTGAAAAATGCCATGAGCCTTATCTCCTTTTTCAATAACAACAGTTGAAGACTTGAAATTTTTATTAATAGATGCTCCACTGTATGAGGTACTACTAATAACGTTATCATGAGAAGATACTGATTGTAAGATAACATGATGAGATTCTGATATTTCAGGCTTTTGATCTTCTATTACATTTAATGTGAAACTCTGCAATAAAAAAGAAATAAACAAGAAAATTTGGTTTAGAGTACATCATATAACTATGTTAAAGATTGAGTTAGATGAACCTAAATTGAACAAATTCAAACCATTGTATTGAAAGTTGTTTATAGCTTGTGGACATTAGATACATTTATTAGTTTGGGTTACATGAGACAAACAACCTCACATAACATATAATCATTTTTCTGAAAAAACTATAATTTATGCTCATAGTCATACCCTCAACAACAGTGACAATTCAGAAGGCTATACCAATATCAATACCTATAGAAGGCTATACCTATATCAATAAAAAATACAATATTTCCAGTTTACAAAGCCTTTTTAAGAGAGCACAACTAAACTCTACTAAATATTTACCGATTCTTTTTGCTCAGGAGCAAATATAACACTTCCACTATGCTGTTCAAAATCATCTTTATTTTCATTATCCTTCGTATCAGATTCAATAATCCAATTCACTGTTACTGAGCCTTCAAATCCTAGAGTTCTTTCTATTGTACATCTGGTACTTCCACCTTCTTCTATACGAGATGGTTGACAAGACTTGTAGAATCCAAAAAGTCCATTTGCATTGTCACTTTTGAGAACTAGAAAAGAAGTCAAAAATATGAATAATGCAAGTAAGTATAAGTTATATTCATATTTTCAACATCTCCACCATGATGGACATCTATCTTGTTTTAATAGGCCGTACTCTGAGCTACCAGGATATAAACATGAATTAAGATAAGAAGTTGGTCTCGAGTAGTGCTTATCCATAATCGGCAACAAACAGCAAAAAATATAAGCAAATAACATGGGGCAAAAATAAAAATCAATGTCGACCAGTGGTTATGTGAAACACCTTACAGTGGCGAGGAGTCAAGCAATCTTCTCGCACATTAATATAGGATTCAAACTTGCGAACCCACGCAGGGTAATCAGATGTGTGGTGGCGAGCCTATTCCCAATGCCTAGCACGATGCGCCATGCCACAGAATACCAGAATCTAGTAAGTTGAGAGTTGAATCATTCTACAAAAGTTGCAACTTGCAATACCAATACAGTTGAACTAACTACAAAGCATTGTGCCCGCAGGATCCATTACAAAACACGACTACCTACCAACAATGTCCGCTTTCTTATCTACAGAATCAATCACAGCTCCATTAGTTGAATCAAGTAATACAAGATAGAACTCTTCATTAAATTCAGTCAAAGTGTCATTCACAGCATCAACAATCACATTCTTATTTCGTTCATCTTGTCTAGAAATGTGTGAATAATATAAATGAAGCTCTATAATACTAAAAAATACATTAGTAGGGATGACAGTGAATATTATGTTTATAAATATGATTTTTTTGAGAATGTTTGAAAGAGCAATTTTTATATCTGAACAAGTATTAACTGATGAGTGAAAAATACTATAACTATTTTTGAATAACTGAAATATTTCCAATTTGGCATTGTCTAGTCAAAAATACATTCAAATACCTGTATACTACAACTCCAGATATAGGAGAAACATCTGATTGGGCTGGAAGTTCATAAAGCTGTTGTATTTGTTCTTGCACTAAAGGTTGAGAATATATTCTGAAGTCTTGCAAAAGTCCAATGAAATTTACATGGGAACTTTCATAGTTGTTTCCAATATATATAGTTCCTTCAGTCGCATTTGAAAGAGAAATATCTGCATTTCTAAAAATACACAATAACTATTCATAACCACAATAGTATTTTGAGATCAAAAGATCAATGCGCAAATATAGAACTATAAAGGTTACAGTGACTAATACAGCCCTATGTTTCAGCAATTTAAAAAAAAATGTACTAAATGCTGCATGAATGTGTTCCCGTTAAGTATAAAAAACAGCAAAATTTGCGTTGAAACAGTGGAATTTTGTAAGAAAAAGTAAGAATTGCATATCATGTCCCATAGGACGCAAAATGGATATTGAAAAATATGATAAAATCAATAGTCTTTTAGTGGCCTCATTCATCTTCGAGTACTGATATTTGAAATGGTTATGTACATTAGTTGCGGAAAAAAAATATTTTTTCCAACAACAACAATCACCCCAATAACAACAATCAAGCAAAACTTATACTTTGTATTCTAAACCCTTCGATCCAATAAAAATGAACAATAACTATGATTGATGAATGATTCTGATAATTGATTACCGTTAATAAAAAAGGTGAACTACTGTAGTATAATAAATTATAATAATGTTTACTTGAATGCTTTCAATTCTCCATTCAGAAAAACCTCAACTTTTGAAGAATTTATATTCACAACAATATATTTCCAATTTTCAATATTCCTAAATATAGTTCCAGCGCCATTCAGTTCCAATGTTAGGCTTTCTTCTACGCTGAAGGTGTTTCTGTAAAAGACAAAAATAATGTGAATAATACATACAAAGCAGAAATGATCAACATGACCACCACAATGGCAGGCAGTAAATATATGAAAAGGAACAGAAATAATCCAGGTGAAAAATATTAAAATGTCCGGTTTCAAAGAACTTATATGAAATCTGAAAAAGAAACAATAGATCAATGCTCAAATATATGAACGAAGTCATCTAGCTACACCAACAAGCTTCAACCACTAAAAATTTCAAAGCAATTGGATTAGTAGTTGAAGGGAAGCAATTTTTTCACAACAACAACATAATAACAAAACGATTCATAGGTTCACTTCCATGTCCAATAAAAATGATAGCTTTACATCTTCTAATACTGAATATTTGAATAAGATTGACTCATTAGCTGTGTAAAAAAGTGAATTGTTCACAATAGCAATAGCAATTTTGACCAATAGGTTCACTTCGCAAAAATAATACCAACCCCACCTATAAGTAAAGTGCATTTCCACAATCTGAATATCATCATACGATGTTCCCATCAAATTCATCAATAATAAATAAATCAAGTTATTATTTTCATCATATTTTGATAGAAGGGGAACATGAATTTCCAACATATCTGAAGCATCGTGTGTTGAAACCAAAGTAAACATTTTTTCAATGTCTGGTTTCATCCATAAAGATAATGAAAATTTATCAAGGTGTTCAAATTTTTTATCTTCTGTGTGAAGTATTGATGAGGAACCTAATGGAAAAGAAGCATAAACTATTTTAATAAACTTATCACAAAATATAAGATAAATAACATAAAAGAAAGTGTTTAGAGAATACAGCATTTAACAATTTTAATCTTTGATTTAAATGAAATATCATAAACATATAAAAATTCTCAAATATTAATAACAATTCTATCAGAATAAAGTCAAACATAAATCTGAATAAAATGGCATTATTACACATTTCAAAACTTTTAGAGTGTTTTAAATTTTTTTAAGAAACTGAAGATTAAAAATTCCAGATTTAATACCCATGCCAACAACTTCTTTCAGAGTGTAAAATATTGTGTAAGGGGGCAAAACTGGTAAGAATAAATTTTTTATAAAAACATTACCTTCTTTTGTGTGAGTGTCAGTTTATAGAAACCTCATAAAGGTTAAAAAAGCACATCCTGAAAAGTTAAACATACTTCGGGAGCACCCTTTTATTTGCTTCCATAACAGACAACATTCAATGAGAGAATTTTCGTTTTCATTCATATCAAAATGACGCTTAAAATGAACCAAGTTTGATTTGAATTAGATACCTTCAATAAATTTATAAGTTGGTGTTCCAGTGCCTGATCTTGATAAAGTTATGTCACTTTCGATATCAGTTATATTTGCAGATAATAATAAATCTTGACATTCTGGTAATAAACTTTCTTCATATTTGTAATCATAAATCTCCCATAAAACCTAAAATAAATTATACCATATATGAATACAATTATACACAGCTATAACATTTAAAAAGATTACAAAAAGTAGTCAGTTTTATCATAATAGTTAGAAAGACAAAAAGCCGAGTACAAAAAGGATAGAAATGTAAATTTAATGAATATAGTGTCTTTCAAAAAACTCAGAAAACTGTAAAATCTAGAAAAAATTGAAAATGATTCAACAAGATTAAAAGAGACTGAAAATGAATGTAACTCAAAATAGGATTTTTTTGAGAATTAAAATTTTTCAATTTTTCAATTTCCTACAGAAAATTTACATTTTTGCTATTAAAATCATGATTAATAAATGTAAGCAGATAGAAAACAGCTAGAAAAAGCAAATCACTGCAATAAATTTAAAATTCAATAAGTTGCAATTATACCTTTATATTTCCATCCATTCCCATTGATCTTTCCACCGTTATATTTGCAAAAGTTTGTGGAATTTTGTCAACTACCGGCATATCACTATCAGAAACAGGCTCTTCATCAGTCTTAAAATAAAATAAAGTTTTAACAAAATAATAGTCAAAAGTTTTAATTGTCTTTAGTACGATCAAATCAAGCATGAAAGTTATAAAATTCAAAACAAAGACTAAAGTCTTTCTTACGTGAATCATCTTGTATTAAGCGTAATTTTTGATTTGAAAATAAGTAACTTCGAATTTTTAAAAAACTACTATTCTATGGCGAAAATCATGATATATATATGCATAAATGAATTTAAAAATTATAGAGATACCTATACTTAACATACCAATTGTAATAATATTGAATACAAGGGCACAAACAATACAAAACGAAAATTCCCATTCTGGACAAAATATATCAATGATCTGTGTAAAGTGTATTTTTACCTCATTTTCAGAATCTTCAGATACATTTACTTTCAATGAATCTACATGAATTCTCATCTTTCCGTATGGACTGTCATTCAATTCAACACTCAAATTTTTCATCAGAGAAAATACATCATTCGATAATATTGCAGATCCACCTGTTTAATTTAGAAGTTGAAAAAATATTGAATTAATCGTTTAAATATTGTTTTCGATGTTTTTTAAAATAAGGTACAAAAGTTTAATACGGCCTGTAACAACATATTTTTCTCATTTTGAGTTATGACTGTTAATATGTTGAGTGATGGTTTTTCAATAAGCAATAGTTGACTGACTACTCATGCTATGTGGCAGCACTTTATTCCAAGGAGTCAGCATAAATACCAATACGACAGTGCTTGACTTCTCACTACCACCCATAATGACAGGAAAAAATAAATATTTTGACTAAAATATTTTGCAAAATTGCATCAATCCAATTTTCACTATATTTGACATTTGGAACTTGTAAATAGTAAACTATTTAGAAATAGCAATACTATGGGCTAACCTGTAACATTGGTTAGTAACAGCACAAAATCTTCTTTATATTCTGGGATGTTATCTTTTAAAGCTTCAATGATGAAAGTTTTATTGTTTTCTTCTGGTAAAAAATCGACGATTCCTTCGTTATTGACAAATTCATTGACTTCGTCACCCTATATATGAAAAATGCAACCCCATTAATGGACAGAATTTTCAAACTTGAAATAAACATCAAATATTCTGCCCGAAACACATATAGTAACATTTTTAGGAACATTAAATACATAGCATTTAAAAAGGTGTTTGAAAATCAACTCACTGATTCGAGAATGTCCGCAATCGTCATATTTGGTCCAAATTCAATATTTTCAATAATTTTCCATCCAAGTTGAATAGCACGATAGGTTCCATAATCTCTCTGAATGCTTGAAACAAGATTAATTTTTTATGAAAAATAAAATAAAAATTTACATGTTATAAAACACGTTTACACCATTACCATCGTATTGTTATATTATATTGATATGGTATAATATTATAACTTTGGTCACGAATGAGTTCCCTTGCATGTTCTTATATATGTACATACCCAGATAATTCAATTTCTTAGGATAAGATTTACATATTTATCCCGGAGGAGAAGAAAGCCGATAAGTAGGTTACCAGTCCATGTCGGGTATGGGATTAGTCAGCCAGTTATTTGTCTTCGGAGGGATGGACTTATGGTGGAAGAAGCTGTAATTGACCAGAGGTTACATAAACCACCAAACGGCAACGAGGAGTCCAACAATCCTCTTGCACATAACTATCTCCGCATGGAATTCAAACTTGCAAACCCACGCAGGGTAATCAGAAGTGTAGTTGCAGCCGTATTCCTAATGCTTAGCATGATGCGCCACACCGTCGAGCTACCTGACGTTAAAACCATAATACTACTATATTATAATGATATAGTATAATATTATGAACTGCCTGTAACTTTGCCCACAGAAGATCTTGCTTCTAGCAAACAAATTTACGTATGCTACTTGTAAAAGAGAATATTCAGATAATTCAAACCATTCTTTTCAATGCCTATCAATATTGAATATTTTATAGTATTTAATCCAGATTCAAGTTTATTTTTGAATGATTTTTCTGCTACCTGATTTCCTGTGAAACACCTTCTTTCAAAATTGCTGGTTCCTGGGTAGCAAAACGAAGAACTCCAGAAGAATTATCATTCTGTAATATCTTGACTTGAATTACAGTGTTTCCATAAACAACATAATCCCCAGTTGCATTGAATATCTGAAAGATGCAAGAATGTATTTATTAAGAGTAAAAAAATAAGAAAAATAGAAGAAAAAGGGTGAATAAGAACTAAGATGAAGATATTACGAAAAGTGCCTTCATTACTGTAAAAAACAAGAACTAAAAAATGGTTTACGTCTCATATGCTTCCCTCTGCTTCGAGATAAATATGTAAATCCAAATCTATCCCTATCCGGATAATATAATTGAAATCTCAAGTAATGTAAGCTACAAATTTCCAAATACTTTTATGAGTATTGTAAGTTATCTTATGGAATAGTATGATTTGCATATGACTGAGTAGTATGATATAATACATATTATATAAAACAGAAAACGGTACTCCTGAAGTATGCGCACCAAGATGTCACACAACCTGAACCCTAGCCTAACCTTAGCCTAGCATAACCTGAGTTCAGGTTGTGCGCCATCATGGTGCGCATACTTCAGGAGGTCCCAGAAAACTTTGCACCATTACTGATAGCTTACTTTAATTCACTTTGAACGTATGACATTTTTGAAAAGCCAAATTTGGAAATAAAAATTTAAAAGATATAATTTATAAAGGTATAACATAAACAACATCTATTTAGCAAAGCTGGGTTTGATGGCCCAGTGGTCAAAATGTTTGATTCAGCTATATTGGAGGCGAAAAGATCTAGACTTCAAATCACATGCACACCACCTCTCCCAGTGTGTAATAAATTGAGAGGGCAATGCCAAATCGGGAAGATACCATCCCTTCAAATTAAAGTACCGGTACTATATATTCTTGCATATAAGCTGAGTTTAAAACTTAAAAAACTAAGTTGCAAAAATAAAGGGGTGGGCTTATATGCGCAGAACTCTGATCGCACTAAAACGAAATAACATTATGCTAACGTAATTCCAACAGATACAACTCGAACCATGCCAAGTTCTCACGATAGAAGCGTGTATGCACACACTCGAAGCAGCGCTTGGTATGCCATGACAGCAATAACTGTCTTGAATTTGGTTGTCATACACTTTATCTTATATTGGTTGTCATACACAGTCGCTTAGGGCTGTTTTTATGGAGTCTGCTTATATGCGAGGATATACGATAGATCTTTACATGGCAGTGCATGCTAATACAGAGCATTGTTCAGATTAAAAGGCATATCTAAGTGTTGTATTGTGTTCAACATGGAATACCTCAACAAAGAATTCTTCATCATCTTCAGGTATCAGATCATCAGGGATTGTTACTTTGATAAATTCATCTAAGCTAGTTGGAGGAAATCGTACTATTCCACTGTCTGGATTATCAGGATCGGGTATTGGGATAAAATCAATGTTCGATTCAGCTTGTAGCATTGTGTATTCAGAAGTCATTTGAGATTGATCTGAGGTATAAAGTACAATTGGAGCTGAAATTTGATGAAAGGTACAAAAATCGAAGATGTTAATTCAAAATCAAATTAAGATTATCAGTGGGTTAGTACATTTTTAAATACTCATGATTCCAGAACAAATTGAATTTTTATTATATTTTCTATTGTAATTAGTCCTCCAGGCACTAAATTACTGAAAACTAAGACCGTTTGTCTGACAGACTGTCCACACACAATAAGAAAAATATTTCATCAATTACTCACTAGGAAGAAAAGTGTCATAAGTCCATGGCTCAAATAAATAAATTGAGGGATTCACTAATCAGTTTAATTACTAATGAATACTGACCATCAGATGTCTTTCGAGATCTTGTCATAAATCTGACATTAGTAGAATCAGATCCAGGTCCATCTCTACGAATGTTTAAAACTAGTTCTTCACCTTCTCGAATAGTCACTGAATCAGATCCTGAAATGTTGAAGGAATGTATTAGTACTGTAGAGATTACCAAGAATGTTATTAAAGGTATCATGTTACTATACAGGGTGTCTCAAAAGTAAGTACCGTATACACTTTTCATTTTGGTTTGCTTTTCAGGTACTCATCATAGAGTATTCATTTATTCCGAAAACATAGTATGGATACTTAGTAAAATTTAGATATTGTTTGCATTTTTATCAACCCACAGAATGACAAGAAGATTGACCCAAGAAATAAGGTGCAAAATTGCTGTTTGGCAAGAAGCGTATAAATCAGTAAACTTCAGCACAACTTCAGAAAGTTTGAAAATATGACTCCGACATCAATACCTTTACCACTCAAAAAATATAAAGCTATTTATTACACAGAAACAACATTACCAGTAAGTCTTACCTTTGAAAAATATTGCATTATCATTCGAATTGATGATAAAAGATGCATTGTTTGAAATTCCTACTCTTGATCCATCTGATCCATTGTACAACACAAGAGAAAATTCTTCCATTGATTCTGGCAATTCATCTGGCATTGACCATAAATCAATGATACCCTGAATGCATAATCTGGTTCTTTGCTTGGTAATAGTCTTGCACACAGTCGACCAAAATCAAATTTGTAAATATGGCAAAATTGCATATGTAATGAACTCATAATTGCGATAGTTTTGCTTAAAATATGTTATTTAATGTGTTTCTGAAGATATACAACAAATAACGGAAAACGAAACAGAAATGAAGTATATCACAGCAGCAAGTTCAAGTCATCGATCATTTATCAATGACTCGACGTGACCCGAGTCATCTAAATGAAATAATCTGAACTCATCGAACTTACTAATCACCAGTGAAAATTCAGTGATGGACTTCAGGCTCGAATGACCCATGACAGCGCTTGACCCATGATTTGTGGCCATGTCATATTGGACACTGGCCATCAAGCCAACATTACCACATACCTCAGTTACACCTTCTTCAAATTTAAGAACACCACTAGTAGGATAGACATCATTTGTATCATTCGGTATAATTTTCCAAGCAACAGAAACCTCACCAAATGAACCCATTTCCCTATGTACAATGTAGATGCAGCTGTAGTTGGTTTTCAATGTACTTTCCACTAAAAAGTGAATGTTTGGAATCAGATTAAAATACAGGAAGGAAATACTGAATACTTTTTCTGATTATATCAAAAATGAAGAATGACAACCCATGTTTTTTTTATTCAGTTAATGGATAGGGTATGGTTGTACATAGAGGGGATATTTTATTCTTTTTAAGAAGAAATAGAATTTCAGTTCTTGTCTGTAGTTTAAATTAGTATGATTTTTAGTTCATGGCATATAGCAATGCTATGGACTAGGTGTCAAAGTTTGGAGTGTTTTATTGATATCGGAGTTATAGAGCAGTGTCATATTCTCACATCCCTCAAGGTCAAGGGTAAAAGTGAAGTAGAAATCAGAGTCAGAGAGACTCGAGTCACCATCTAAACAAAATGACATAGACTCAACTAACAGCCAGTGACACACAAGTCAGTAATGGCCAATGGGATTAAAGTCCGCATTCAAACTCAACTCGCGATTAGGATAGGGTTTACATATTTATTCCCGGGGAGAGGAAAGCCGATAAGACAGCTTAACCATATGGCGAACCACGGCCTCTCATCCAGTTACCATTCCATGTGGGGTATGGGATTAGTTAGTTATTTGTTTTCGGAAGCATTGACTTGGCAGTGGAGGAAGCCGTAACCGACCAGCGGTTACGTGAACCACCCTACGGCGGTGAGGAGATTCGCAATCCTCTCACACATAACCATCCCTGCATGGGATTCGAACCTGCGAACCCACGCGGAGTAATCAGAGGTGCAATGGCGAGCATATTCCTAACGCTTAGCACAATGAGCCACACCGCCGCGCCTTAACCTGAGGATAACCTGTGACTCGTGACATGGAGTCTTGCATACGCCAAGGTTTTTATGGTACAAATTTGATTTCCTTGGAGATGGGATCAGTAGTTAATATCTCTATCAGCCAAAGTCAGAATGTTTGTCAAAAGGTGTCGAATGCCAATTTTTGACTTCACAGCACTGGCCACTGGCAAACGGTGAGCCAATACATTTAACCCCTATTTCTGAAGTGACAATAATGCTTACATATATCTTGTTTTCTCCCTGGTATATTTTTTTGTCCATCTTTCTCAGCCATGACGAACACACCATGGGGATCATCGCTTGGTTTCACTGTTACTGTAACCTTAGATGGGTTTGCTATAACGCTAGCTGGTGTTCCATATGGTTTTAGCTCTGTGAAAGTAGATTGGTATCGATGTTGTTTTAAAGCAGTCGTACTGATGGGAATTAGAATGAGCACATACAAATCTAGATAATAGAGTATTTCAACAATTTATACAAAAGTTTGAATTTGACTAAAAAATACCTTAAACGTATAAGGCGGTCAATATGAGCACATGTCTTCTTTAAATTCTTATAAGTTGTCATACCAAAACTATCTTCATTAAAGTACCAACAAAAATAAGCAGTGCAAGATAAGCAGAACAACTTGTTATAATCAATTTAACATACTTTTTTTTGAATAGGAAATTAAAAATTGCTAACATCATATTAGATTTAATAAAAATTCTATCAAACTACAAGTGTTGTTATCATTAGGTGTGATTTTTTTCTGGCAAAAGTCGTCTGTATAGCTTGCCAATAAACAAGTCCTAAATAAAGCTTACCCAGAGTAAAATTTTGCTGCAGTTCAGGAATATTGTCATCTTTAGGCACTATTGATATATTGACTGTTCTTTGACCTAAGAAGAGAAATGTGAAATAAATACTGTTTTGTTTTTTCCTTGTGTATATATTTCTCAAATTGAAGTCACATACAATGACTCAGTAACAGAAGAGACTGATTTCTGAGCCAAGTTATGATCTATTAATGAATAACCTATATCTAGCGAGATTATAATGAATTATAAAGGTGATGTACACACTTAGTAAATAACGATTTACACTAGAATTAAAAAGGTTTAGGTCAATACAATCAAAAAATAACTATGAGATAATGAATTATTTGTAAAACTTACTGGTTTTGTCAATTTGTGCACAGCAAGATTGTTTTATTACCTCTTACTAAATATGGCCTATTTCACAATTTTTTCGTGAAGCTTTCAATTTCATTCAAAAATAAAGGTATATACGTACCAGGTTCAAAAACAATAATCTCAGGAACACCATAGAATTGTTCAGAACCATCTGGTAAAACATTGTACTCGACCATTCTAGTAACAAGATCACCTTCTGTGCGAGTTACTGTAAGTGCAACAGTCTCTCTTTCATTTTCCTGCATAGAACAGAAAAAATTGGAAATATTGAATAGGATTTATTCTTTTGTTTTTAACCAGAACAAGGCCCAGTATGTGAAGCATCCATATATATATCATAATGTATTGCCTGGTCCGCAGTAACTTCATTTCTCACTCAAGATTAGATAGAAATTTGATGGGGGTTTGCTTGTTAAAATTACCACAACGACAGTGTAGAAACTTTTGAAACCAGAGTAATGTGGTCTCAAGATAGCACTTTGAGGCGATTCGCATAGCTCCTATTTAGAGCAACAGTATTTCTCTGAAAGTTGTACAATGCTGTTATGGGTATTTTGGCTCATATATCCAAGAATCATAGTTTGATAAGGAAAATAGAGCAAAAACAACCAAAGGTCTTCAAAAATACAACATTAAAAAATCATTTCTCAAGCAAAAAAAAGTAATTTTTAATAACAGAAAAAGTAATTTTTAATAACTACTTACCTCAATTTCATAATACTCAGCAGTGCCATCCATAAATTGAAATATTCCACCAGGACTATCATTTTCCAAAATGACTATTCGTTTTTCAGATGAATCTTTTTTCAATTTCTGGTTGTCTGGCTCAACACTGCAGAATATAGATTACCGGTATGTACATCAGTATAAACATATAGTAAAGTGTGGCAAATATAGTTTTGCATTAAATATGCTCCACTACTTTTGTATTACAAATAGAAATAAACGATGTTAGCAGAGTGAATAACAATTTTCAATATTTCATATAAGTGAAGCATTGAAGTCATACTAAATGTAAAAATATATTTTCTGAAAATTAATATAAATTTTATGCCATATTATACAAAAAATGTATTTCAACTAGTCACATTTTATACAACTTCAATTTTAAATTTGTTCACTAAATGTAAAAATTTTTCACCTATCAATTCTAATAATCAATATTTCATCAGTCTCAGGTAGATCGTCAGGTAAAATTTTGATTGTCAATATTCGACTTCTTTGTCCTGGTGCCAAGATTACTTCAGTCGGGCCTAATCAAAACACACAATTGAAATTGTCCGTTTGATATAGTATAACCAGAATAGCAGACATATATTATCATTTATGTAGTATTATCATATTACATTTACTTGAAAAGAGCCAACTAGAGCCAAAAGAGCCAACAACTAAGGCAATCCTGTCAAGCATAAACAAAGTTCCATTGCACTAGCACTACCCTGTGTGACTTTGCAGGGTCAAATCCTGCGAGGAACAATTATGTGCAAGATGATTGTTAGACTCATTGCCATTGCATAGTAATTTATGTAACCACTGACCAGTATCAAAGTATGTGCAGATGGAAAAATTAACTTGTCAATTATACCTATACTCTTTCCCTATATAAATTGGTAATTGGATAAGAGGCTGCGGTTCATCAAGGCGTCTAATTGACTAATTCTCCCTGAGGTAAAAATGAAAATGCTAATGTAACTCATATAAATTGCCTATTGACCTGGTTGATAGTCCACAGCTCTTGTAACTTCTTTAGACTCGACAGCATCATTTCTATATGATAGTTGGATCCTTGTTTCACTCGATAGACCTGAACAAAAAGCAGTCTTTCAAGACTAAAGTAAAAACTCACTGAAAAAAATGATCATTATCAAGTTTTTGTGACTTTTACAAAAGATAGATGTGAGAAAATGGACTGGGATCATAATTGCCAAATACTGTATGGGACCTAAATTTGATATCTGTTGCATTTTATAATTCAATTTCATTATTACTATCAAAAAAAATTCTCATAATTCAATAAACATTTTATTTACCTACAACTTACCTATATATTACCATATTTACATGTATTAAATATTTCTAGGAATATATCTTCTTATCAATACCCCCAGAATATTACCGACCTTCTCTTGTAATTTCAACTTCGACAATTAACGGATCATCAGATGGTTCTTCTACTTCAACTTGTTTTGGATCAGCGAAACCTACTTCACTATTAGCTTGCTCTTCGTTTACTAGGAGAGTTATGGATGAACGATCACCGAGACGAGGAGTTTTCGGCAAAATTGATGGTGAACGATCAAGCTGTTGACGAAACAAAAAATTCAAATCAATTTTAAATGCAATATTGTGTCAAACTAAAGCACTTACCAAATCAACAGTTTCCAATCTTATTTCAAATGAAGCTCCTGTTTGAAGAAATGCTAAATCCCCTATTTTCAAACTGACTTCTTCCTTGTCTGAAAAAAGTTATTAGAATTATAGAGAACCAATTCTCCTCATTTCACATATTCAAATAGCAAGTGCAATCAAGAGATTGACCTAACCCATACCAAAACCAACAGGTGATTACAGATGGCAAGAGATGAGTCCCAGTAGGTAAGGTGTATATAGGTATAGGTAGGTAGGTATACCCATCACCTCACGTCGAACATTATGTTTCCTGTACTCAGATAATTTTGTAGTTTCTCACTTTATAGTGGCTGCTGGCACAGAGCCTTGTTTAGAATGGGAGATGTAAAAACGCTCTATAAAATTTTTATTTATGGCCAGGCAAGAATTCCATGAAATCAACAAACTTTCAATCCAAACCAAAGCATTACATTTGCAGGATTTAGCCTCTTGCAATGATAAAATGTTGCGCAGATGTCACAGAGTCCTCTGAAACTTTACTAATATAATGAACTTACCAACTCCATCATTCAGCACTATGAATCCTGTAGGGTTTTCCAATATACCGGGCATTGCATCTCTTATCTGAGTAGCTTCAGGAGGTAAATAATAAGCAGAATATGTTACATTGATTTTACCAACCACTCCTCCAGACCTTTCAACAGTCAGAAGAACATTTCTAAAAACAAGATAAGCATCAGAATGATTCATAAATGGAGCTTTATCTCAATAGAAGTCATGCTCCACTTGTCCCCGTCTTTACACTTTTGGCCCAAATTGTTACAATAGTCCCAGATGCACCATTTATCCCACACTTGTCCCACAGTTATGAGTGAAGAAAGACATGTATTGTCGAAACAAATGGTTATTAAAGTGAGCATATGCAACATAGAATTAAAATTATGTTCTAGGTTAGGATAGTTATATTACTTTTGCATAAAGTTAGTGTATTCATATGAAATGAGATACATACAATTAGATACAACAAGTTGGACAAAAAATTCTAAAGATACTTTAGGAGAGCATTAGTAGGTTATAAACATTTGTATATACATTTACCCAGCATAAATATACATTTGTGTTAGTGTGCAGTAGGACTCTTAAATTGCATAGGCGAGTCCAGTTTATTCCTGCTATAGCATCCTTGCATTATATGAATACGGGTCCACTAGCATAATCGCATAGAGAAAGGATCGGGCAACCCAACTTATAATTATAAAAAATTGTTGATTGTAATCAAAACCTACCTTTGATTCGATTCATTATCAACATCTATCTTGCTTCCTCTTCTTATATTTATTAAGCCATAAACATTATCAGAATCAGGGACATAAATATCAGCTTCCGTGTTACCATCTAGTTCAGCACCTCCTTTGATTGTACTGGCCAGAAGTCTAATGAAGACATTGAAATGGTAAATTATCAAGAATACAGAAATGTTTATGAAGACACTTATCCCTTTCAAATATAAAAACAAACGAAAAAAATTTGCAAACAAAAATGTCACAGCTCCATGGCTCCAGCTTCCCAGCCGTGTTTCAAACAAGTTTTTTAACCTGTCACGTTCAATTCTAGAAAACAATGGGCCATTGCGGCCATAACTAACATATAAATATATTTCAGCTGGAAATAAGCAGTTTACCTGAATACATATTTCATAGATTCCTGTGGCAAGGCGTCCTGTGCAATTTCAAATTCAACTAATTTTTCTGTCTCCCCCGATTCGAATATAATTTCTCCTAATGTTGGCATTAATTTACTTGGATTTGATTCACCTATCGAATCTAAAGTCCATTGTATTGAAACTGTCTTAAATGAACCTCCATGTCTCATAATACGAATGCCAGAGAACCTGAAATATAATAAGTTGAATGAATCATTTGAAAGTTAAATGTTTATCGGAAAAGTTTTAAAACTATAAAGAATTGTTTTTCTTTGAAAGGATCTATATTTTCTGCTTTTGGTCTTCAGTGAAAACAATATTAGAATGTTTAATTACTGAAGATCATAACCTAATCACATAGATTCATAAACTAGAGCACCAATAGTTAAAAAGTGTAGATTGTACATAAATGAAACAATTAATCATCAACAATTGTCCAAATTCATAGTGCATATTATATGAGAAAATAAATGAGTGGCATACTTTTCATTATCATCTTCATCTGCAATGAAAACTTTTTTGTCTCCATCTTTCTCATTCATGATAGCATCAGAAAAATCAATCGATAATACTCCATTTGCTTTGTCGTTAGTTTCTATTGTAATGACACAATGATCTGGTGATGTCACAATAGCATCACCATACACAGTAGAAGGAAGTAATGTAATTGTAAAATTTTCTGCCACCTCAGGTATGTCATCTGGCATAATTAAAACCTGGAAGCAAGTACAACATTATTTTTTTGATGCAAAAATTTTACATATTAGTAAGATGAATGAAAACCTAATTTAAAAATTCACACAGACAATATTTTTCAATTGATATTACACCATGCATTAGTGACAAAAAAAAAAAATTACAAAATTATATTTCCCACTTTTAAATTTGATTTTTTTATACGACTTTGGCTTCAAACAAGGCCTTATACAAGCAGCCACTGATACTTGATGATATGTCCGGTTCGGCATTGCCTACCCTGACACATCACGCCGCCCCAAGAATGTCTTTGTGTAGTTTAGGGTAATGGGTGCACATCTAACACCCTCGCGCAGATAGCTTTAACTCATAAACACTTAGATAACTAAGAAGGACATAGGGCAATGACGCCTCTCCCTTTGCACATATTTATGTAATGAAATGTCGATTTTTTTTGTAAATTTCACTTTAATGCCTATCCTCATCCTAATCTTAACAAAAAAATAGATAGGTTAACTCTGATGTAGATGGAAACACGATTTTTCAGATGTAAGAAAAATTTCAACAAACCTTTATGCTGGCATTATGAACACCAGCAAGAAATCTTACAGCACCGTCTGCAACATTGTAATCTTCATTGGGTGTTGCAGAGTTTGCGACAACTTTGTAGTCAACAACAACCTTTATAGAAGAAATAAAGGATAAATATTCTGATCGTTTATCTGGAATTTACTTTGATGATGAATTTTTTATAGTCATGTGTTGTGTAACAATTTTACCAGTTAAAGTGCTTTACTCATTTAAAACTTTTGACAAAATGCTATACAGGGATGGGCAAAACCCAACAATATGCTATTCCCAATACATTCTAAAACAATATTTTTAAATAGTGAATATAGAATATATCTAAATTGGGTCATGTTGGACAGACAGAAAAACTTGAATATTTAATGAGGTCAAAATTGGAAATGTAGAAAATCTAAGATATTCAATGATTTTCTGATTTTATAGTTTTCCATGAAATTCTTTTTGGTGATACTCCGAACTATCAATTACTCAAAATAATAATTTTTCAAATAAAAATATCTTCAATTATGTCTAATATCATCAATTTAAATATCAAATATAATTCATTTCGAATAGATTTAAATATTCTAGTCCCTTTCAACAGCAATGATGATATTCAAACAAAAATGCATAAACCTCTCCAGCATCGGGTCCAATTCTTTTTGATCCAGTTTCATCGAGACCCCTCGTTACATGAACTTCGATATCATTTGCTTTACCATCCCGTTCTAATACACGCTTTGTTGAGTGAGAAAATCTAAAATAAAAGAATCATGTTTAGTGTTAGTTACTACTACTCGGCTCGATTCAGACTTGAATAATCATTTATGAAAGACTCAGAGTGACTCAAGTTATCTAAATGAAATGACTCAAGATCGTCATTAGCTAACCGTCAGTAAAATTTCACTCCCTCATAGATTCGACTTTGGACTCCAAAATTGGAATGAGTCGTAATTCAACTTCAGGGATTTCTACTCTACACCGGTTAATACCAGCTGTTACTAAAAGAAAAGTGTAGCATGGCTTATGTATAATATTGCAGAATCACACGAAGGCTTTGATTGTTTGTTCTGTAACTTGTAGTCAAATTTGAACTAACCTGACAGGGCTGTCATTTCCACTGACAATAATTTCAATAGAATTATTTTTATCGTTTATTTTCCCTTTATCTGAATAAGTAAGTGAGAGAACAAAATGTTCAGCAACCTCTGGAATCTGGAAAAATCAAGAAATCGAAACAATGGAGCTAACGCACAATCTTGCTTTAAAATAGCAATCAAGCTTGCATAAACGTATGGTGTATAAAATGAGTAAGGTATGGAAAACAAAAAAAGAATATTTTTCTCTAGCTCTATATAGGAAACATGTTACACTATGAAGGACATAAATTAGAAGGCTTGAAAGCATGCAAAACTTGTAGCAAAATATTGAAAATGCTCACAGAGTGATTGAGTAACCATAAAATAGGTATAGAGTAAAGCGATTAATGAAAAAAACATGAAAATATTTCCTTCAGTTCTTTATTACATAGATCCTAAGAAGCTCATATTCACACATTCATATAATTAATAACTCACTTCATCATCCCTGACAAAAATTTCAAAATGAGCAGAGTCCCTCCCATCCTGCAATACAACTTGCCCAGTCAATGGAAACAGATCTTCTATTGGTGGTGCCGCCTTTAAAAGCAAAAAACAATATGTTTTCACTAGATTCGTGAGTTTAACAATAAATTACTCTATAAACCAAAATACCTACATCCCTGTAACAATTTTTTCAAAATTTTAAAAATCCAGAGGCTATTCCATCTTTAAAGATTTCAGTACTACGTACATATTGTTATATATCAGTGGATGTATGTATAAGGTCACAACCCCTGGACGAATTGAATATTGTATAATTGGTGTATAACTACATTTAACAAATAAATCAGCCAACCCCTTCACAAACTTCTTTCGGACCTCCAGAAGAATGCGCACCAAGATGGCACACAACCTGAACATAGTATGTGTGTACTGGTTAGGATTAAGGTTGTGCGACATCTTGGTGCGCATACTTCTGGAGCACCCTTCTTTCAAATATATATGAATCTTGCCTGTTCATTTTCAACATCCGTCTTTCGTTTGATTTCATATTCAACAAAAACATCATCAAATGTTCCCTTTTCTCTCTGTATTGTGAGTGGTATAGCCTGATTTTGTTTTGGTATTTCAGTAGCAGTAACTGGTGATGACTGTCAATGTGACAAAATGAAAAATATAAAAAAACAGAATATTTAAATGAGGTCAGTGGAGTTTTAAGATCCTAATGCTTAAAATGTTTGCAATCTCCAAGCTAATCTTGGAATAAAATACATGAATCAATTCTCGTTATACAGTATCAGGACGAATAACAGGGTTTGCCATATTATTAATCTGTTTAAATATTGGGAATGAATATGAAAAATTCAAAACTTAGTAAAAAAATACATGCAAAACTGTAATTTATGAAAACAGTGCAAAATGTGATGATTTTGAAATCAGCATACAGTGTTTTTACCCATATCCACATTTTAAAGCCAAAGAGACATTTAAGTACTGACCGTTGCAATAGACAGGATACCATTAGCATCATCATTGGCAGGTATTGTAATTGTAGCAAAACTGGGATCTTCTATGCTAATGTCATCAGAGGCAACTCTTAGTTGAAACCTGAAGGAAAAAGTTAAGCAGCAAAGTATAAGTGTAATTTCATGTAAAAATGCGACATAAGTTAATTAGCCCCGGTAAATTTACTTAGAGCGCATTACTATTTTGTTCAAGAATATTCAGATATATATACCTTGATACTGGTAAAAAGTTTAAAAAAAATACTTCTGATATTCAGCCTGACCTCAAGACTTCTTCAGAAATACAGTAAAAAGTTTACATATTTTAATTACAAGCATAATATAGTGCAATAAATAGCCTATATATAAATGGCATTAATTCCCGACCGCCCGACTACAGTACGACATAAAACAATTGAACGAGTGTTTACTTTATTTGCTTGTACTTTTGCAGAAATTAAATCCATGTCTTACCACCTCATCACAATAAACTTGGAAAGTTGAACGCGCCCAGTAGGATAGTCAATCCAAATTACATTTTTATTACAGTCATACTGTATTATTTCGAAATAAAAATCTTCGCATGCAAATCCTTGGGGACACTATGCTATCAGGTTATGACGAGCACCAATTATTGGTAACTACACTTCAGTAATTATAAGCTATCTCACCTGAATGTTTCATCGTTCTCGGGCAAATCATCGTCGTTTACAAATATATTCACAATTTGGGAATCAGTTTCCGCGGAGTTTGCCAAGAAATAAACTGTCCAAGACGTGGAGAGAAAGTCGTCAACTTCACCGTGTGAGGGATGAAGCTACGAAACGAGAGACAAAAAGAATAATACCCTAATACGGTACTTTAATACGCTATAGGCCTACTGCAAATTAGCGATATATCACACGAACTGAAGCGGCAGCATTCGCCGTAGCCTACTGACAACTTTCGCGCCAAGCAGGTGACGTCACGTGATTATGTATTTTTTTCGACATCGCATGTAAAAGTACAGTCACGAAGTTATTTGCATTTCAGCCTTGCACTTGACTCAAAAACGATGAGCTGAGTTCATTATGGTAAACATTCACAAAAGCCTCGTCGTAAATGACATATGTATGGATGTTGTTGATATTGACTATAAATTTCAACTCTTATACGGCTCCCGGTAATTGTTTCCACGACTCAGTCAAATTAAAACATCGCTCCAAAATAAAAAATAAAAAAACAACAAAATATACAAAATATGTTCAACTAGCAAAACGAAAAATACTAATCTGAAACAAAAAAACTTACCTCAATGATTACAGGGAACGCTTTTGACGTCGCACCAGATTTTTCAATCGTCATGCCTATATAAGAATCCAGCGATTCGTTGAGAAATCCATAATCATAAGAACTGAATTTCACGGTGACGTCATTTGCACTTGACGACGTCAGTAAGAACAGGGAAAGCAACAGAAAAAGCGGATAATACAGGATTCTGTGGGCCGCCATAAATCTAACTGCCATAACAGAGCATATAGTATATGGTTCAGGAAAAAAATTCATATGTTCGTCAGGGATTATATTGATTAGTTATATTTAGTTATTTTGTAGATTATATATATATTTAATTTTGCTGATCGAAGCATTGGAGAAGCTCTGGTCTTGACTTGGCGAACTCTTTCCTACCTATCTGTCTACTCAATTTTCCAAACCGGCCAAGTCCGGATATGTCGTCATTGCCCATTACTTGGCTCTTACTCTGTAACTATGCAAAATGTGTCCGGTTACTTCAAATCTATTTCGTTTTAATGTTTATATCCTGGGATTTTTACTAAGTTGCTCGCCACAATTTTAAGCCTCTATATTGCCGATAAACATTTACTGACACCCAAAACAGTTTCTAAATTGTCACTATGGCTGCGTGATCCATAATGCGTTCAAGCGCCATCGAGTCCTTTCAAATCGCTTTTAACAAGTAAACGATGCACTTGAAAATTTGTACCTAGATTTTCTCTTGTTTTAACTTCGAGAGGTACCTTCTCCTATTCTCGAACTGTCATGGGCTTCATATGAAATTCGTATATTTTCAAGGGCCCACGCTTGTTTGAGGTAAATGACTTTGGCAACAATATATGACGAAAATGTTGATGACGTCACATGAGTCATAAATTGATTGCGGTTTTTAATGAAGTGATTAAAACTTGTATATTTATGAAATATGGAGGTCAACGCCTACTATTAATATCAATAACTTTGGTTCCTATATCGCTGGCTCGAATAACAAAGAAGATTCTAGATTTAGAATACGTGGAAGCTCAAAGTCATGTTCACATCAGATTCCAATACATAAGGTTGTTCAATGAAACCACAAACAAATGCTAATCTCGCCGGTAGAAAAATTCTGCAAAAAAAAAAAAAAAACTACTGCGCACTAACTCGACGGTCGAAAACACTCTTCAGAACGAATGAAGTAACATTCATCCGAGTTCAATCCTAAAAGCCGCATCTCCGTCGTTGTCATGACAGCAAGCTTCATATGGTAAAATATCCATACAATATTCATGGACTCAAGTTCGCACGCAGATAATATTAGCAGGAGCATATAGGATTTGGCTTGGTAAACAGTTTGGGGATATACAAACAACATTCGCTCTTCAATTGGCTCATGCTCAGTAGGCAAGGTACAACAAGAAGCTACATACTTCTTCAAAAATATATGTACTTGATTTTATAATTCGTATTCATTATCTTTCTATCTCTCTGCCTCGCCGGTTCCAACAAATATGTTGTTACAGCGCGCACCTGTCGCGGGCAAAATTTTATATTTTGAATTATTAATTTAAACAAATTGAATATGGCGAAATAGTATACACGCCAAGCGTTTAATCGGCGTTAACACGTATGGTAAAATTGCCGGAATATCCTCACAGGGGCAGTGTCATCTTTGACCGTATTTACAACTGCAAACTGCCGAATCATATTTTGAATTGAAAAAAATGTAGGATCAGATATATTCCTGGCCTCCACGCCAAACATGGGTATTGTTTCAGGTTCTGCCTGCATTTTAATTCTCGTTAATCTCATAAAGCTAAATTGGTATACTAAATTATGCGTAATCCCGAAGTACGTGGAACAAGATGGCAGACACCGGGAACGTAGGGCTAGGTCATAATTTCATGTACAAATACTACAAGAGTCACTTGGCTAGTCCCCGAACTTGTAATAGAACTAAAATAAGAAAAATTGGGATAAAATTATGGCCTAACCCCAACCTAGTACACATACTACGTTCCGGTGTCCATCATCTTGGTTCACATACTTCGGAAATACCAAATTATGTACCTGGACATAAATAACTTTTCTGCTACATAACTCAGAAGATAACGAGACACATAATAATACTAACAGATCAATAACTGGAATAGGTAGTAAAAACACAATATTTTTTCTTACTGCCTTCAACCAACCTATCTATTGAGAATACCAAAAATGAATCACCGGATCTTTAATAAAAACACGAAAGAAATATTTACAAAAATTAAAACAATGTACAATAGCACAAGCATGCACCCCCGATGGGTAATGCTACAACCCAATAGTGAGTACATGCAAAAACATTATAAACAATATCATTAGCATCAACTACCAAAACAGGAACACAATCACTTCGAACAGAAAAAAAATCGGAATAAGTGACATTTTTTATTTTCAGTCAATTTTTTAGCAATTCAATAATTATCTTTTTTTAACCATTTTTTTTCATTCAATTTTGAGGGCAAAAGAGGAAATAGGATTTCAGCTTATTTTAAATGATCCTACTATCCTACCTAACCAACACATAAGGCCCCTGTGCAATATCCCAATTGTTACATCAATCTTTATTAAAACAACATATCTTGCTTAACCTTTTCCTGATACCATTTCATAGTTTATCCAGGTGTCGAATAGACAGATTTTTTCCAATAGGAGTTCGTATCAGAAGTCAAAGTCTTCAAATAGCCCTATTTTCCAATGAGAGATATCGAAAATGACGGTAGCATCCAAATACAGCATGTCAATGATATGCATGTAGGAACAGGCAGAAAAGAACGATCAGCAGCACTAAAGGATTCGAGAAGCAGTTTTTCGAAGCAGAAAGATTTGCAATGCAACGGCACCATATATATCGATGGAGTAAATTCCAAGTAGTGAAAACTCAGTTCAGTGTTAGTTCCAGTATCATATCCATACTTTCAAGAGCTGCTTATAGACAACAGCAGCATCAAGTTGAAAAAACTTTCGTTTCAGTCTCCATTTTCAGTATGAATATACTTTAGATATTCCCCACCCTTGTTGGTCCAACTCTAAACTAAACCCAAAGACCCAGGGAAAACCCATTGGGGAAAAATTTGAAATAAAAAATGATATATCCTCTTTTGCCAGCAAAAGTTTTTGATTCAATTTAATTTTTTTCTGTTTTCATAAACATTTTTTTTTTGTTTTTAGATTTTCACCTAAGGACAAATTGGCTACACACAAACATAAGAACTGTGTACCTGCATACAATTTTTTTACGTAAAAATCAAAAATTGTTTGCAAGAAGAAAATTTACACAAATCAACAAGCAAGAATAAAAAATGCAACTTTCTAAATGAGTGGTGGGAAAGGGAAGAATTTTTAACAAAAAATCCGACCTACTTCAGGGCCATTGTGCCCACATAGACCCTTTCAAGTAAAAAAAATACCCAATTAAGACTAATATAAATAGTCTTGACTGTAAACATAATATCCCATAACTTAACCCAGAGAATCTATCTAAATTGAAACCACTGTTCCAAATTTGTGTGGCATCATATGAAGACATGATAGAAATCAATGGCATCATAAATCAAAAATGTGACATTCTAATACCCTATTGATGGTGCAGGGATCGAGGCCATGGCTAGAGCATTATGTTAAAGGAGGCAAACCTAAAAACGATATATAAGTAGTAATTGAAAATAGAAAAATGAATTTTAACTTTTTACTCTTAGTAAGCACACATTTATGCACACAACACTTGACAACAACAATAATGCCTTGAGATAACCTAATGAAACCCCAGATTATCAAAATGAAGCAACTAACATGGAAGGGCAGATGGGTACAGAACAGGGGCGTAGCTAGGGGGTGTGGGACGAAACCCGATACCCCCTTCATATCATACTTATTTTCCCGCATCCGGCTGGACCTGCTACTTTTTACGGTCTAACTTGGCAATTAGAAATTTCAGAACCTTCCGCCCTTTGGAAATTCCTGGCTGCGCGCGCCCTGGTACTGAAATACCTGTATTTAACTAATATTTTAATATTCTAGAGTTCTACTTTAAAATCAATTTGATTTTCAAGTACTGCAATTGAGAGAGCAAAATCATTAGATCATCATTAAATTTTCCATTGTGAAAATCACAAATTTGTGCATTTGCTGCAGAAAATTTCACAGACTAATTTTGAGTACCTGAATTCCTAAAATTATTCTCTATAATTTTCATACCATATTCAATTAAATGTGACACAAGTTGCAACCAAAACATAAAAAGACAATAATTGTGAATATGTAAATACAAACATTTCAACATGGAGAATCCAATTACGAATTCAAGTAATGGAACAGGACTACTTTAGCTGGAAATCTTTTTTTTTTCAAATATCTTACCCAGGGAAGTAATATCCCGCACCGGGTGAGGGCTATCACAATGGCAATACTGGTTTAGGATTGCTTCGAAGTTTAGATATTTTATATTCCATCTCAACTATTTACCATATGGTTTTTCATAGGAATTTCAAATCAATTTATACTATTTCTTTTGTTGACACCCAATAAATGTATCCCTAAACAAGTCTGTCCAATTTACAAAAATCTGAAATAAGTACTACTTTAAGAATTAGATTGTTTCCAAGAAGAATAAATTCACTGATAATGTAAATACATGGGTAACAAAGCGTCATGTGATAAAGGGTTGATGTCTAATAATGAATGCCCGTAACTAAGCATGGGGTGTCTTCAATTGGATCAAATACAAAACGTTCTGTCTTAGAAGCTCAATACGTATATATGGTATGAAAAATTTGAAATGTAATTAAACGTTAATATTTTTTCGAAAGCACAGCGCTCTTTACACATGAGTCATTGTTTCCCAACACATCAAATAAATAATTTTAGGAACTAGGAGACCATGGCAGTAGGTTACTGATCACCAAATAAAAATATCCCAAAAAAATGTTTCAGAAGTAAATGAAGATGAAGTAATAATCACCTTTCCCACATAAGATAGAATATTGGGTGTTTGGTACAAAATGTTTATATTTTGAAATCCTCCCAGAGAAATGGTCGGAAATTGATATCGATACCTATTAATTTTTTATTTTTTCCATTTTTCAGACTAAAATACAAATGCATGTGTTTTATCGACTTGACATTAACGCCAATAGTAATAACATAACTAACATGGTTGGCATACTGCGACAACTGAATCAATTTTATAAATGCTGAATCAAAAAGGAACATTTTTTTTTTATTTAGAATTTGAAATCCCTTAATTCATTCTTTTTTGTAAATTTTTTATTTTATTTTTTAGATTAAATCCTAGAGCCTACATGTGATTAGGGGGAAATAACAAAGAAATATTTTTTTTTTTACAAATTATGTTACATCATTTAAGTCACTTAACAAACGAGACAACAAAATTAAAGTTTTTTCCAGTTTATTGTCATTATCACTTATTTAGCACTCAACTATGCTTGAAAGTGATAAGGTTCAACGGACAAAGGCTTCAGCAGGAATCTTGCCTTCATTCTAAAATAAATGATTCAAATAATACATCTGACTCTGGTATAGAATCATAAAAATTGTTGTATTCTTGAATTTTTCTTTGCTTTTAAACATTTAAAATAAAAAATGATACATGTCGTATAAAGATAGCTATAGAAGGTTATCTGAACAAAATGAATTTGCTCCATATATAGGAATATATATGGAAAGCGGTAATTGAAAACTAATGATTTGGAATGTGTATCAATTTGAAAAAAAACACACCAGTCAATTAATTCTTGAAGACTAGTACTTATTGCATTCTAGAATTTTTCTTCGTAATTCAATATAGCTGAATATTATAAATTAATACAATGCACCTCAACGTCCTCAATATGATGAAAAAACAGCATTGAGTATTTGAATAAAATTAGTATTATGAACCATTGTAACATATCATTTACGAGATTTGCCACAAAGTCCTACAAAAAGGAGACTGAAAAAATATATAAAAAGTTATAACCAATTTAACTCCAGTATTTATTTATTAATTTGAAAACCTCCATAAAAATCCAATTTACTAACCTTCAATGATAAGAATGCTTGTCCTGCTTTCATGTAATCCCATCCATTTTCATTCAAACATTGTTCAGAGAAACCTGCGTTCATTCCGGATTCTTTACAAAAAGCTGCGACCATATCCAGCTTAGATGGGCTTCCTACAACAACAGGTGCTACCGTTGGAACTGAGCTTGAAGTTGACTGAGCAGGAGAAGCAATGGTTTGCTGTTTCATGGAAAGTTTAGTTGGTTAGCTAGGTTGGCAAAAGAGGAAAATTAAATGGCACTCCTGTAGTAGATTGGGCCATACTTTTATTTCGATTTTCCTTCTATTAGTTCTATTACGAGATCGGGGACTGCCTGCGTTAGCCAAGTGAATATCACCCTGCCCATAGGTTTCAGTCCCTTTACACAATTTGATGTGAAATAGACAAAGAAAATTAGTCACCGATACCTCTATTTTTCTGAAAACAACTAACTACATACCTCAGGTACAGGACTAGGTGAAGGTGTAACTGGTGGTTTTGCAAATGCACTTTTATATTCTACAATTGTCGTATTTCTAATGTGAATTTCTTCATTGATTATGGATAACCTGAAAATGAATTTCAAAATGGTCAAAACTATAACATTTTTCTATTTTGTAAACTTAAGTAAAAAAGATTAGTTTAAACAAAAAATTTCCTATTTGATATGAAAACTAAATTGAAAAAGATAGAAAGATCTTGGGAACGTCTACCGGTGACAACTTCTTAGGACCAACCCCATTTCATCAGTAACATATTGAGCATTTTAAATAATAAGAATGAGAAAACTTCTTGCCGAAACCTGGAACAATAATTGCTCACATTGTCACACAAGACTCTCTGAGTAGAAACTCTTAGAATAGGTTTTAAAATTTAATATTTTATTAAACTATCTAGTGTCTTCTAATTATAAATGGAATTGAATATTGAATTACAACCATTTTGACTTGGATTTGGGGCACTTCCGTAGTATGTGTACCAGGTTAGAGTTAGGCCATAATTTTATTCAGATTTTCCTTATTTTAGTTCTATTACAAGTTCAGGGACCATCTGTGTCGGCCAAGTGAATACCCCCTGCCCATAGGTTTAGTCCCTTTACACAACTTGATGTAAAATAGGTGAACAAAATTAGCATTGGTACACATACTTCTGAAGAGCTGAATTTGGTGTTGAACTTATTACAATCTATTTCAGGATAATTGCTACTAGCATTGTGGGCCAATACATTAAATACAACACTGTTTCACATAATTTACAAAATTTGAAAATTAACACTTGAACTCACCTTGCACCATCAGTCAGGCAAAGAAAAGCTCTCGTGAACGCTCTCATACAGGAGTTGTCTTTTCCTGAAAAAAAAAATTGTTTGATTCAAAAATTGGAAGATTTGAAAAAAACGTGGGGGTTAGGCGACCCTCAACTACCTTTCCTTGCATTCTGGCTTAGTGCAAGCTGACCATATTCATGTAATGCAAGAATGCTGTAACAAGAATAAAGATGAGTATTCAAGATTCTTGCTGTGTTTGTGTGCAGCAAGACTATTGAATTAAATGGAGTGATTTCTAGAATTGGAACTTTTTGATTATCAGCCAAAAAAAATTCTATGTTGATTTATTTAAAATATTATGTAAAATATTGAAGAGAAAACGGTTATAATTGACAATAAGTTTTTAGAAGTGGTGGGATTCTTATATTCATTCTGGGGCAGAGGAAAGGCGATGGAATTTCATCTGATTACTGTACATGGTGAGATTGGGAATAGCTAGTTCTTTGTTTTAAAAATGACTCAATGAGTTTCTACTATAAAAAATACAATATTCATACTGCTATACCTGAATGTTTTTCTTTGAAAACTCCTCTTATAATAAACTTAATCATTGTTGGAGAGACAAGAGGAACATCAACGCAAAAACCAGAAATATCATGCTCTGTCTTCGGAAGTTTTTTCAAAGTCTCGCAGATTTCAGACCTCGACTTCCGCAAATATGATAACCTTAATTCTGGATGGAATGAATAAAAATATTACATATTTTTTGCAAATATTCATAGATAGCAAAATAAAAATGAAGTCTTACTCGCATTTTTCAATCTTCGTAAATTCCTTGTATAATCGAGATATCGAGTTAATGGTGCACCTCGAGGGTTACTTGGGATTGTTAATGAAAACATACAGTTTTCATCATAAGCTTGTGATAAATTTTCTCGATTTGTATCATACAAAGCAAAATATCTGAAAAAATATAATATGTTACGAGTTTTGAAATAAAATGAAAAATGAATGCTGTATAATATTCACTATTCCAATAATCATGCACTCACATTCGTTAAGTATTATTTTCTTAACAAAAAGTCAACCAACAAAATGTAACATAATAATTAATTCATGTATTTTATTGAATTTTCCTATCTGTTTTCACTTTTACATCTTAGAATAAGGCTTTGCATAAGCAGCCATTTAGACAAAGATTTTTTTTGAAGGTTTGTTTTTCCAAGTCCAAAATGACATCATATTTTTTCTTGTACATAATTTTGCTCGAAGCAATGCAATGTATCGACGCTGTGAAAGCTATTTTAGACACAGTTGCACCAGACAAGAATATTATAATAATAGCTGTTGAAAAATACTGAAACAAGCACTCCCAATTGATAATTTCGGAGCAAACATAACACTTACTGCTTCACGAATTGTTTTATAATTTCAGTGACAGCAGGAGGAATGTGGTTTGGAATAGCTGGAACGAGCTTTGTAACTTTTTCAAGATCAAACTTTACAGGCGGTGGAAGTTTTTTGCCATCCTGAAACAAATAATATTTTCAATACATTTACACTTTACCAAGTATCAAACATATATTAAACATTACAGATAAAAATCCAACCAACTTGTGCATTCTTTATTCAAGTATCTCTACCATACAATCATCTCAATTATAAATTAGAAACCTCAGGACCCGGTTAAAACCGCAGGGATAAAATGAAAATTTATTAATTTGTCAACCAGATTCAAATAATGTGATAAAAGTGTATCACAGGGTGCTAAAATGACTCTGAAACTGCCAAAATGTTTATTTAATTTTGCTGGGATCTATCAGCCCGATATGTCTCAGAGGTTCCCTTTTTTCCCAGAAATTTTAATTGTATTAACGATGTTCCTATAATATTATCAAACATACATACCAGTACTTGAAGGTTAGGAAATTTGTCTCTGATTGCGCTGTGTAGAAAATGAAAAGCATAAAAACCAAGTTTTACAAGATAGAAATATTAGCAAAATAAAAAAAAACATGCTTGTGAATATGAATATGCCTAAACCAGGGATACCTAGAATGGGGGTGGGAAAAATGTGCCATCAAATATTCGACTCCAACTTTTCAATGTTTGTATTAGCTCTTTCAGCTTTATAGCTATTATATTGCGCTCTCAAACACCAGATAGCGTGTGTCAATTAATTTTGTTTTAATTTTCATTTTCGGTCATTGCTGTCAAACATACCCAAAATTTCTTCTTTTTTTTGTGATTTACAGTGTTCTAAAAGTGTTCACATTTTGTCAACTTATGACGTGAGGCTCGTTTTCAGTGTTTGTGTGCGATATTGCTTACTTTGGCAACATTTCTTATAGTGGAAACAACTATGATAGCATATACCGGTGGCTTTTAACCAGGGTTCTTGTGGCACCCTGCAGTTCAGGGGTTCTGCAAGTTTTAGTTCAAATCCTCTATATTGATATATAAATTGTTTTAATATAATCAAATTCCTATTCGGTTCACCACTATTATTGAATTTGCTACACTTTTTCAAAGATAATTTTATTTTGCCAGTATTAGGTTTGCTTTATAAATATATATATAGTTTAAACAAATTAGGACCATATTAAATGGCAAATTAACTGTTGCAGGGAGATTTCTCGAGTCTTCTGAATGTTTCATAGAGGTTCCGCTGCACCAAAACGGTTGAAACCACTGATTTAGACTTACACAAAACCAATAAAACAAGCTTTACAAATTTATTTGATAAAATTGCCAAACAGCATTTTATACTTCTTTATGATTCGAATCTGGAATTCACATTGTCTATCTCTTCTCAGCTCTGAAGTCAGCTTTTTAGACTCCGACCACCACTTACCTTGATTCTTTACTCACCGATTTCTTAATTGTGTAAGCTGTGATACTAGTTGTACCTTATATAATCAGATTGTGATTCAAAATGTTGACAAAGTGGATTCCCGTCAATGTTTAACTCCGTTAGATCCCACTCTCTGATATTGTCAAGCTCTTTCGAATGCCTAAGCTAGAAACAGATGACAAATTTACTTTTATAAGAAAGCAAACTTGCTAGTTCTTCCTGAAGATGAAGAAAATGTTTAAAACGAAAGGACATTATATCTGAAAAAAATTGATATTCTAAAATATAGTCTTGTGTGTGATGGGGTAGTGTTTAAAGCGCTAGGTTTTAACTGTGTTGCAGGTTACACAATGGTAGAGCAACTCAGGCGCGCCACTTTCGAACAGAGTTGCCCATCTTATTGAGCGACCAGCAGCGCGTTTTTTAAATTTTGGGTTTTTAGTCTTTCGTATTTAGAAACATCTTATGAATTTGGAGCAATATTTCTACAAAAAAGCGTTGGCAACTTGGAAATTTTGTATTTGGGGTCTACTGCTAGTGGAGGTTCTACTGTTCCCTGGACAATCAAAACCACAGCTCTGCATTTAGAAGCACTCAGAACCTCTCAGTATAATAAAATTTCACATCAGAAAATGGCATTCCGATTTCGTTCATTTCCACACGATAAAGTTATTGAATTTTACCTTTGGCTTGATAACTATTGCACAGTACAATTCACCATTTTCCCAATGATATAGGAAATTTGGTATAGCGACTAAAATATGGAAAAACTTCTTCGCAGTTAAGGTGACAAACTTCTGATAACATTATTACTCAACATAGTCTACTAACCTCATTTCTTTCAAGTTTCAAGCATTTCAATCTTGGAGTGACAACAACAAGGTTTTTCAGATAGGATAAATTATCCATTCGATTATTCGATAAATCGAGGGAAAGTAGCTGAACAGATATTTTCAAATATTATTGTAAATAATGACTTCCAATACTTGAATTTATATGGTATTGTCATTTACAATGTAAGGCAAAAATCCCATTTCAATATCTAAAAATAAATTAACTAGAAAAACAAAATATTTCAAATTATTTGTGTGTAGAAGTGTCAATCAAGGTGAAAGTCCACATTAGTGCTTTTCAACCTTCTTATCCACGTGGTACCCCTGATATGCTAATGGGGCCATCACAGAACCCCTATAATTAATTATTCAAAAACATCCATGAATGTATGAAAGTCGAATATTTCTGTGTTGGACACTCCAACAATAAGAATCCAAGTTATGACAGAAGATAAAATGAAGAAATTTAATGAACCTTCTGCTATTGCATCTCTCTCACAAACTTTTAAATCGTAAGTTTATGCACATATCCACACTACTCAAGTGGCTTATGTTCATATTCTTAATAGTTGTTAAAAAATCTCTCACCGAACCCTACAGAACTCACAGAATCCCCGTTAAAAAGCACTCATGTATACTCTCACCGCATATGAAATGAGTTAAGAACAGAGAGAATCAGTCAAAGTTTGTCTGTGCTAATGCTAATAACAAATAGCATGAAAATTTTAATAAACCATTTCATATCCAAGAGAAAAACGAAAAAATTAATAAAAAAGTCACAGAAAGTCAAATTAAGAATTCCTCACGTACTCCTGATATGTGTTCTCCGATGATGTTTATAAGAATATACATGGCTTTAGAAAATTTTAATTTCATATCAATTCGATTTTCTCGAAGAGTTTTGTCGCTATATAAATCAGAGGCATCGAGATGTAATGTATCTGTGTTGTACCGTTTTGAGAGGGCATCCTGCATTATTAAAACATAAGGTAAATATCATGCACAATTAGGCGCTCCAGAAGTATGTGTACCAATATGGAGGTAACTAACTGTGTTCGCCTACCTTACATCAAGTTGTGTAAAGGGACTGAAGCCTATGATCAGTAGGTATATTCACTTGGCTAACACAGACAGTCCCAGAACTCACAATAGAACTAAAATAAGGAACATGGGAATAAAATTATATGGCCTAACACTCACCTGGTACACACACTACGGCCCCTACGGGTGTACCAAATTAAATCTCATACGAAAGAATAAACTTTTTTCTATTAATGTTTATCGTTTTTAATTCTTACACAAGCACTGGTGGTACACGAATAAAGTTTGAATATATACGAATCGTTCTGGAACCATTTTATAAAATACCCACAAAGTTGCTCAAATTTTGATCATTTTGGGTTAGGGTTAGGGTATTAACGAGTATTTAGGGTATTAAGGGTAGGGTATTTAGAGTATTTAGGGCATTAACGAGTATTTAAAAAAAACTATATATTACCCGCAAAATAACCAGTTGGTCATCTGTGATAGGAGGACTGCAGTAGGTCTTTAATATCAAAAGCTGAAAAATGAGAATTTTGTAAGCCTATATATAAATGTATATAACTGATCCTGCCATACAAGAATTAAAGTTAATGATAGCTATATAGTGTATATCTCCACTCTCTTCACTAAAATAATTTTTTTTAAATTTTTATCTGAATCAAAAGGATTTTTTATAAATAAGTTGTTTTCAATCACTGAACAAAATTTCAATAAAAACCTATTTTAAAATACTTTGAACCTTAAAATACTTTGAACCTTAAAATACTTTGAACCTTAAGATTCTAATTTGAATAAGTTTTATAATTTAATATTTTATTTTAACTTGAAATATCTCATTAGAATATCATTAATTAAGTAAACCTTGTTTCCATCCGGGCCCGTTATCTTTCTGTTGCAATCTCTGATATTTTGTGCAACTTCTGCATCTTCGATACAAAACTGGGAGTTTTCACCATCATGAAAATACTGAGAGTAAAAACTTGACATTTTTTCAACCATAATTTTGAGTATGTTTATCTTCAAACATTATTTATGATATCCAACTGTCTTCTAATATTATGATGTCACAATAAGATAAGAATTTTCAAACCTACATGGCCATCTCCTGTATTGTGATTTTTTTAATTAATTTGTTCCAAACAAACACACCCTTATCCCAATTAGCGTAAAAATAATCAATTTAATAAAGTAGATCCACTATAAAACATAATCATTCCTATCATATGGTATATTTAACAATAAATACAATTCTATTCTGACCTGGACAGGTTTAATTTGAACCATGATTTCTTTTTGAATTGCTTCAATCAGCCATTCTCTGTCCAACATGGCACCTTGTACAATCTTCAAAAGGAAAAAAAATGATAAAGCATGCGATCATGAGTATATAACACAGAAACATTAAAGCAAGGTAGTGGAGTCAAATAAAACTATACTCGACTCAACTCAACGTGGGCTCTAGATTTCTGGATGCCAAAATGTAACACCGCAAATGCCAACTCAAAAAACACAAAATTCGACCACATAAAAATGACATATGAAAGCCTTTCTTAATTGTCTATCACATTGGTTCTTAAACAGTTAGGCATAGAACAATTTTTAAGGCATAATTAAAAATATCATTTCTGAGGTGAGCGTGAGATTTGACAAATTCTAAAAAAGGGGGCGCGGCTTAAAAAGTTTGAGAACAACTGCTCTATCAGGAACGCTTAGTAAAATAATGCTCTATTAGTTTTCCACGAAAAGTTTGAAAAATATTACCACCTATACCAATTCTGAAAAGTCCACCGCTCGACTCGAAATTTTTACCTCGACTCTAATATTATCGTGATAAAAACATGTCAAACCCAGACCCCACAGTCTGTAACAAAGATAACGTCATAGAAACCAAAAACATAAAATCTTTCACGAACAATTAGTTTTCAATAAAACTGAATTTCAATATACCGTAGTTAGCTACCGTTACTAAGCTCCAATTAGGTCCATTTCTGTTATTCTGATGGAATCTGGGGTTTCCCCTTGGTGGTCTGTTGTCACGAGATGGTCGTGCATACGGAGCCCTTCAATGTACATGTTTATTTGTTATTTACAAATATCAAAATATTAATAACAGCATCGAAAATTGTAGAGGTCTTATCGCTATATCCACCACTTCTTTTTTTTTTTATTGTGTAGGATGTAAGCATGAGGATTTTTAAGCTGTATAAATCATGGTAGCTTACATTTTGAAAGCCTTGTTAGAGCAAAGTTAGGAAGTATCTCATAAAAAAATAGTTCTATAAATAGGGTTAGAAAAGACATTGTTATAATCAAATTCCTGTGAATTAACGGTTATTAATACAAAATGTAAAGGTACTTACGGCCTGGCTTTGCCTGTTGAAGTGCCTCCTTCCATATCTATATCCCCATCAGGGTCAATGTGATTGTTCTGGTTAAAATCTCCCCTCCCTCCTCTCCCTCGATACGAACCTCCGCGACCTCTTGAGCCTCGTCGAGCACTGAAAAATCATGATAATTGGTTCAGTTATACACTTTGGAGAAAATAGCATGAACCAAAATAGAGTGTCTTCTCAACTGTGAAACATAACAAATATTGCTATTGGAAGCATACATTCGGCCAAACCACCATAAGCATTTTACCAACGTCTCAGCTGGTAGATTTGACAGTAATGCAAAAAAATAATTCAATTCAAGATTTTTTCAATCAGTATTGAATGACACATAATAACGCACATGTATATTCCTATTTAGTTTTTATAGTTATCAGAATTTCAGCAGTTGCCAGTAAGTTTTTTAAATATGTGCTCCCCTAATGTATTGGACTATTGGTGCATGTAAACAGTATACATCATACAGTATACATACAGCATCGGTCATCATATGACTAAAATTATTTCTGGTTGACTCATTTTCAATAATTAATAACTCTTGAATGCTATGAAAATTTTTTTTCGAATTCAATTGGTTGATTATTTTTTCAGTGGATTCAAAGACAATCGCGTTTTTAGATTGTGCTTTTTTTAGTTTATTGCGAAGTACCGGTTTGCAATTTTGTGGCGATATGGAAGTACCATACTGCTTTGTGGATGACTTTGTATTCACTATTATAATTGATGTCTTTAAATATATGGGTTATTTTACTGATTCGAACAATGCATGGGTCTACATGCAGTCCTAGTTGGCCTGGCTATTTCTCTCGTTTTCTCGTCGCAACGATCCCGATATGTGACAGCTAGCGTTAGTGAGTTTCTGGATGACATAGTCAGGTGGGGGTTAGGAATAACATATGCAAAATTCGTTAGGCTACGCCCACCGGAAGTACTTGTGGTACTAAACCAGCGGTTCCCAAACTATGGGTCGCGACCCACTGGTGGGTCGCAAAAGGAATCTTAGTGGGTCATGAATAGATGTAGAAAGCTTTGATTAATTATACTGGTTATTAGGATTGGTGGCGACTCGAATACGTAAATCTTCAAAAAAAACAAAAGAAATTAAATTGAATTTAAATTCTAATCTGTCAAAGTTTCCCTTATTACGATCTACGGCTTTTTTACGCATATCAGTTTTGTACACTGTACAGCACTTCTTACCGTGTTTCCCCGTAATTTAAACATTAGATTTATTTTCTTTTGAAGAATAAATGTATGATTTTTTTTTTGGAAGAGGTCTTTTGAGTTCATTTATCAAAAATAAAATTACATAGTAGAAAATCACGAGATAAACATTATACAAAAACCGACATCCATTGTTTTTATTTGTATTTCCTATACAAAAATCAAGTGACAAATATCATATTTGTGACATCACACAATCTTGAATAGGGGTGCGGTCTTCAACTTACCTCAGGTCATTGTACCTTTCCTCTCCCACACATTTTAAATTCATTTTAATGGTTGGGTTTATTTAAAATCACTTTCAAAATTCAAATTAGGTCTTATTTTCAGGCCAGGTCTTATTTTCGAGGAAAACACGGCAGTTTTATGATGATTAGCCATTGCTGTGTTCTGTGTTATGTCATAAAAAATTTAAATGGGTCGCCATAAGCTGTGGTAATAAATAGTGGGTCGCAACTCTGAAAAGTTTGGAAACCACTGTACTAAACTATACTAGACCCAAACATATTTGATGACATACCGTAAAAGCGCCTAACTTCGGACAGTCCCTAACTTCGGACAAAATTTTTGAACTGCCATATCTTGGCTTAAACGCGCCGTATATTGCTAATTTTAATTATTATAGGTTGCGCTGTTATATCGACATCTATTCTCATCTTTTTTAATGTTGCATAATTATTTTTTTGGTAGAAAAACGGAAATTTTGCCGAAAATTGACTGCCCGGCATTTAACGGCGCAGAGCGTCGCTCCTACTGAAGCTATCGTCGTCAAAATACCATCATTCGGTAGAGGGCGACAACAATGTATATAATTTATTTGAGTGATCGCAAGATGTCGTACGAGATTTAAATAAAACCTAAAATTCTGAATTATAAATTCCGTAAGAATATTAAGATTTCATGCAGCGTCAAAAATTACGTCAACATCACGTAGATTATTTTTCGCTCACTTCCGAAACGACGTCACACTGCGTCGCGGAAATGAATTTTGACGCCAGACACAACGGAGCCAATATGACAATTTCCGTTAAGATAAAGACGGCGTTCCAACGTAATATTTTTGTATTTTGTTCGGTCATGTATGAATATATGCCAAAATTACATTAATGAAAATACATGTCACACTTAATCGATGACGTTAAAAATCGAATATATAAAACTATGATAATTCCAACGTCCATATGACACAGTGCACTGCACTTAACCATTATTTTATGATTAGTAGTCGAAATGACAGTTATTGAATACGGCCTGGGTGAATTTTATTCACTCGAAATTAAAAATAAATTTAATCTCCAACAAATAAACGGGACCTACATGTTTACAAGATTAAGTTGAATTTTAAATTAAACTTTACAATCGGATTTACCTTGTGTTAGATATAAATTATCATTTATAAAGATAACCGCGCAGAATAAAAAAAGCTATCTGTCGAGAATATTTAATACTTCAAAGACTTCGATAGAAGCCCGTTAAAATACTTAATTGTGGATTGAAACGGGCCGCATCAGATATATTTCGTATGCATTTCCTGATTAAAATGACTAACGTGTTATTATACTCATCGGAAGTATCGAAAATAACGAACGAAAGATGTAAACATAGGACGACGGAAGTTTCAAATAATGCATTTTCGTCGTGACGTCAATGTTACGTTACGATGACGATCGAGCGTCTTATCTTCACGCAACGACGTGATTACGTCATCCGCATCGGAAGCCTCTTTCTCTCTGTACGTCGCGGTTACGCCGTGAAGAAAATGACTGTCCGAAGTTAGGGCAGTGAAGGATAACGGTCAGATGGCAAGAAATATCGATTATTTCAATAGTAAAAATAGTCCAATTGAACCGAAATTTGCAGGGAATGTAAATTACCACACGAATGTTTTACCGAGCAATTTTGGCACCGTTTGGACAATAAATGGCCGAGTTATTGACGAAAGTATAGTAATTTTGTCCGAAGTTAGGCGCTTTTACGGTACCTAAATCTTCCATTTGGCCTTCGACCCCTAAACTTTCCACCGCCTCTGCCCCGTGGTTCATAACGATCATTTGAATATTGTCGATCATTGTAAGATTCACCACTTTCTTTATCACGATCTAAAATAAAATTCATGATAAGATGTTAAAATCACAATTTTCAATAAATTTCAAGGTAGTACAGTAGTAACAAACAAACAAATGTGAGAATAAAAAACATATAAACAATCTCTCACTGTTGTAACTGGGACTTCCTGATCTGTTGTCGTGTTGTGAATACTTGTTGTTATAGTCACCCCGATCTGAATAAAACAAAAAATATTGGTATTTGTAGGCCGATTATACCTGTATACCGGTATGACGCATTCTCGTTACCGGTACCGGTACCGTACAGCAACAGTACCGGTATAACTATGACAGTATACAACGCACCGGTACGGTGACGTACCAGTATTGGCCGACCCATGAAATTTAACGTAACAAAGTGATAAATATATATATAGCTCACATGAATAAGATCCTCTTTTATTGTAATTATTCCTTGATCTTCCTCTATACGACATTTTGCAAAGATAATGTAAAAATAAATCACTGGAGACTTCGCTCGTTGTTGCCAACGGTGGCAAGTTATTGTTGTTTACGGAGTTGTTAAACTAAAACTCCGGATATAAAATTCGATTTGTCGAAGCAGAGCCACTACTAATGAAATGACACTTTTGTATAATCGTGAAATTTGTATGTTTGTCTCATATCAAATAAATAATCAATCAAATAAATATTTATGCAGAGAATAGTTTAAGATAAGATTTTTATCATAAAAAAGAGAGATATAGCTTTTACTAGGAATGTTGTATGCGACCTCAAATGGTGTGAAATACTATTTGAATAACATAATAATTTGTATAATCAGTAGTATATATTTACGGTATAATAGCTTACAGCTCCGTAATTTGCATCCTTACATACATGAATGGTATCTAGCTGATGTTAGTCGACTCTGACAATACCTTCATATTTTTGTCTCTTTTACAAATCTTATTATATATGTTAACAAAGTTGCGCTTGTTCTTGAGTTCCCAAAAATATTTGGATTACTGTATAGTCAAATATGTTCACCATGATGACGTTTGTAGCGAATTCAATTATTTTTTTTACACTAAACCGCTAACAACACTATAGGGGTCGCTGCTTGAAGACCTAACCCAAAGTGCCTATAAAGTGTTATAGTCACTTTGACCTAACCAGGTCCCTCGCGACTCCTGTTGTACAATTAACATTACTAGTTTATTTATTTTCTCTACCAATCTTGGTGCATCTGTTTTTTGTGACGACAAATAAATGATTGACTTTAGGCCAGCTCTACTTTTCCATTCTTCATATATAGGATGATTATTCGTTTCATATAATGTGGAATTATTTGTTGCAAGGCAAATTATTTGGAACTCAATATCTGTGACCCACTTGATTTTCACCATATGTCTCTTTTCCTCCGTTAAAATGGGGTTAGATCCCGACAGAAGAGTATGATAAACCAGCCATGAGTAACAGGCTACCTAACTTCAACATTATCTTACCCATAATGCTATAGTATGTCAAAACAAGATGATTTAGAATTGAGTATTTTATTTTGAGTTGATAAGATTTAACTTTGGCATTATATATTTATTAAGAGCAAAATAGATTTGTATTGAACTGTAGGAATCAAAGAATTAAAAAAAAATGATTAATCAAGCACCCATATATACACGTTAATGAATGAATTTTCTTTTTTGCAATAATGATTCAGGCTACTAAATAAAATTCATATAAACATATTTATCAGATCAAGCACCAAAATTTTATATGGTAAAATGAATTTCAAGCCACTGCATAAATGTTAAAATACTTAGACAATTACACTTCTTGCATATTGTAGCTCGTAGATATTACATCCCTCAGCTACCAAAAATTGTCCCAGAGTCAACACACAGGCACGCATATACATGAAGAAACTACGACAAAATTCTAAAACTGAATGCCATTGTCATACTGTTTGGAAATGATATGAAATACAAAAAAAAGGCTTGTAATATTACATGCAACATGTCACACATGAAAAAGTCCAATTTCTGGAAAGTTGAGGATAAATTTTAGGGGCAGGAATGAAATATCCACTATTAGTATGAGAATCCTAGAAAACTTTTTGCTTCAATCACAAACAACAAAATCTTGGATGGACAAGCGAAAAAAATTAAATTGAAGAAAGCGCGCTATGGAGCCAATCATTAAAATAGAGAAAATTAAAAAAATTAGTATCCATACAGAAATTGTAAAATCTTATGCATCGTTATTTAAAATGAAAGTGGACTTCGTTAACAGTTCAAGGCTTTTCCTTCTTCTTGTCGTGGAAATGCCAATTTGTACCAGCAGAAACCAGTGCTCTCGTATGGCTGTTCTGGTGGGTGATCTCCCATCGGTGCATCCATGGACCAGTTATAATAGGCTTAAGCAAAGCACTGTCTTCAGGCTGTAATAATAATTTTTATCATGATTTATGATTTCAATGTCGAAACAACATTACAAAGAAAACAACTTACCACATCTGAGAAGTCAGACTCTCGCGATTTATCCATTTTAGACCAGTCTATCTTGAAGTTTGGATCCTTGGAAGTTCGCATTAAAATATTTTCTGCCAATCCATGAAATCCATTCGAAAAATCAGGTCTTTGCCATCGAAGATCCAGGCTCCATCGAATTTTATCTGAGTAATTCTCCAGGCTGCAAAGCAAGATGTTATATTTGAAAAGCGTGAAAGGCAAGTTCTCCACACTTGATGGCAAAGCCATTAACCCAAAATATTGAGTGTCTTCATGATAATACATTATATACACAAGCATAATGAACAACAACTACAAGCCTGAAAGTTTACCTGAAAACGGGATTACTGACCTCCTGTGCGGGATCGCATTGTTCAAGAACAACACTCCACCATATGGAACTTCACAAAGAACAACATCTTTTTTCATGTCAACGTCGAGGGTTTTCTCAATTTCTTTCTCTGTTAACTCAACATACCATGTTTCTCCAGCACAGCAAGTATGGTTAGCTGTGACGCCTTTTCTATGACCTTTTGATATAACCTGTAATAAAGTGATTGAAACTAATATTTGATGTTTTTCTAAGTATTGGAAATGATAGATTTGGGAATATTTTGAAATGTAATAAGAAAAGAACATGTATTGCTAGAATAGGCCAAGATGAAATCACAGGTACATTTTAAAATGTGTCTGGAGTTTTAGTGGAAACTATAGCACTTAGACAGACCTAAACACAGAATAACAGTGGAAATATGTACGGTAGTAATCACCTCCATGCATCCAGTCACTTTTGTTGCATCAATCAATGGAATCCATGCCGTTAACTGCATGACATTGAGGCTACATGGTTCCAGGTAAGCATTATCTGAAAGAAAAACCAATTGTTGGAAACAAGTTCCTTTGCACCCAGAAATGATACAGTTCCGGATACGGTTATCTTGCGGTTATTCAAAAACTGTCTCTATTAAATTGTTTGGCCTCAGAAAGACACATAACTTTCACAACAATACAATTATATCGACATTACAGGAATCTATGAATAGTGATAGTTTCTATATGGTGAATCAAGTATTCTTTCATTTTCTATATGTCTGGATGGAGATAGAGAATTTCTTCATACATTGTCACAGTTACTAATTACATGCCCCCATCATAATTTAAACAGAAAAAGCTAGTACTTGCCTTGATGCCAGGGTACCGTTGCCTGCTCAGTTTTAGGAGTCTAAAAACAAATGCATTAGTATATTCACAAATTTTTAGTGCAAAGCAATAGGTTTCACATTATTCAAATCATATATACTAAACACATATTATGCATATTAGCATTTCGCACACACACATACACAATTTATGGATACACAATTACATGACACTGACAACACAGAGTATTGCCCAAGTATAACCAATTTTTTGAACAACGTTTAATGAAAAATCTAAACATATGCAATTTTACTCTGCGCAGAATTTATTTTTGGTATAGACCGCATTCAACATTTTCCCTCTACTCACAAGTACATATATATGACTATACATCATTCGCTTAAAAATAATCTAACTGAAAGAAAATTTGTTCACAGATTTTTATACTAACAAATTTATTTTGCAAGTATCGCTAAATTTTGATAGATGCCTTGGAACAAACCTTGCTTCTCAAGTTCCAAACAGGATGGCCAGCAATTTCAGGTCCAACAATTTGTTCCACTGCATTCAGAAGTTTATCATTACTCCATATGTCCTTGAAAGCTTGAGGTAGAAGCCCCAGCTTATGCATAATGACCGATGCGCCTGGGAAGTCTTTGTTAAGGGCGGTCAAGCGGTCAGCAAAACCTTTGTCTTCATGCCGATCTAAGGGGAAAATGTTACACAATTTGACAAAAAATGACATACAACCAGAAACTTAAAAAACTTGAATTCCTACCTGTAATTTTTCCTGCTTTGTACAAGATATCAGCGAGCAAATCAACAAGTTCGTTAATAGCTTCTTTTGCTCCTTCCAACAAAGATTTGTCAAAATAATCTTCCACCAGCACATAACCCTGGGTAAGAGTGTAACTGGGTAATAATTATCAATTCCAATGCTGTTATTGTTGGTCTAATAATAATAGTAAAATAAAGTTATTTAGCAGCAAACCTGCAATTCTTGATTTATCACTGGCAGGAAAAATTCATTTGACCGACTGCAATTCTAAGAGCGCATATAATTTTATCCTACCATTGAAAATGCTCTCGGGTTAATATAGCCAGAGAGTTTTCAAAAACTGATTTGCAGAAATATCGAAATTTTATTAACAAGATAGAAGAAGATAGCTAAAAAATGGATTAAATATCGGGTACAGTTCCTGATTTTTCTAACAAGATTAAAAGTCTATAGCATATCGTAGACACTAGTCTGGTTTGGTGGTGACTATTATACATGGTCCCTACGTGAATCTGACATACTAAGATGATGATATGTGGTTTGAAACAACCTATGTTAAGAACTGCAGTTCATCTTGCGTACAAACATAGATGTTGGTTGAAAACACAAGAGATTATTTTGTGTCGTAAACAGATATTCATTGAAAAAAGTTGAATTGACTAGTCAATCCCATAATCAACCTGGACGAGTAACCAGATGGAAAGTGGTACTCAGCCACAATACTAAGTCATTTTGTAAGGTTTATTATTTTTAGGCCCAAATTTTGCAAACTATTCGATTTAAAAAAAAATTAATTGATAAGTTATGATTAATATACCAAAAACTACAAAATCTTCAACTCAAAATTTAAAACATAATATATAAGATGCCCACTTTATCAAAGAAATGTTTGATTTGCTCCTTCGATAATTGCCCAGATTTCTTTTTCTTCGGCTGAGGTGGCATTTTTGTGTACACCTCTGGTTGAGGGTCCAAATTTTCTTTCAGGTATGCATATTTGTCCACCGTCTCATCAGAGTTGTCCGAATGCTTTGCATGTTTCGACTGGCGGGTGACACGACCACTTGATTTTCTTTTTTCCATCTCTTACCTAAGAGCTAGAAGTTCTAAAGAAAATGCTAAAAACCTGAACAATAAAATAATTATTTGTGAATATTGGCATACTAAATTAATTCTATTAGCATGGAGAACTATAAATGCATTTGAAAAAATGCAAAATAAAAAGCAGCATAGGCATGATTTTGTGCAAAGCAAATGAATTGGGTCGAATATACCCAGAAAGTTACATTTTTAGTGTTGTGAATATAGACCTGTTTTGGAGTATGCAAGAATATTGATTTTTTTTTCAATAGTTACCGATAAAACAAACAAAAAAAATATACGAAAGGCAAGCAAGATTGTTTTGTGAAAATAGACAAAAAAATTGAATGATATTCAAAAAGTATGCAAGGTTCATCATCATTTTTATTTTTAAAGTTGCAGTAAGGGAAATGTAAAAATATATTTTTACAGTTTTCATTGATTCTGTTAATTTCGGGTCCAGTTAGGATAACTTATCACTGCACCAGGCTTATAATATGAAATCATTTCTGAGATTAACAGAATAGCAAAAAAACGAGATAAGATAATTGGTGGTAATTCAGCAACAGTGTTTAGTACCGAATATCGAATCTGCAACTTTATAAATATAACTGTGCAAATTCCAGTTTGAGCTCAAAAAACAATCGTTTTATAAAACATAATAAACTGTAATTATTATTCACATAAATTTATACCCTAATATTATTGAAAAAGTTACTCCGTGATGTGTTTTGGTGAGTAAAGCTTATACAGTTGTAAAAGGACTTGAATATATTCAGAATCGTAAATAATAACGACTTGGCAAGCAAATAGTTTTAGATAAGCAATAGATAATTACTGCTATAAATGGGCAAAAATAAATAATGATTGAATGATATAAAGCAAAAAAGTCATGGATCGAAAGTCATGGATAGGCAAGATATATAAATAAAACACATAATATACAGTCATAAAAATAAATAAATATAAAGGTAAAACTTGAAAAAAGACTGATTATAATAAAACAAAACTAGTCAAGTCATTGAAAACTAACTTCATGACAAAATTTTGAATCTAACAGGACATTATGAACAACCTTTATTCTCGCTAAACTCCTATTATAGACTATCATTAACATGCCCGATGATAAAATAAATAAAATTTTTATTGGATGATAATCAAGGCCTTTTGTCCAATCATCAGTCCAGCTCTGGTCCAATATTCCAAATGATTGAGTGTGGTTATATTGGTTGAGTGGAACAGTGAGCATTTCTGCAAACTCTTTACAAATAATTATACTTATGAAGCTTGTTTATTTCTGCCAGAGACCAACCAAAGATAATCATTAGATGGAGCCACAAATTGTGATACAAATCCTTTTGCCTCTTGGTCTAAAATCTTGGAATCATGAGTTATATTCTTGCAATACGCGGTGTGCAGGACACTAAAAAACATTTGAATTGCTCTTCTATGTATGTGATGACTGCTTTTTGTGTTGATAATTATTTTCCAAAATTCATGGGCACTGTGTTGAAAGTTATGTGCTCCAAATGCCTCCAAAGCGCTATTGAACTTCTTGCCAATTTCACAGTTTGGTAGTAATGAATTCTTAGCCAAAAACAAAGTATGTCTTGGTGCTAATGAATTTAGTATTAATAGATATTGCTTTGTGAGTACCAAATGCAGTAAAAATTCAGACGCTTTATGTTTCGTAATTCGCGTTGCATGACTGTTGTGTAGAACCTTCCAAATGCTTTTAATATCTGATTCAATTTCACTAGAGTTTCTAGTGTTGCTAACAACGCGCCGATGGGCAGCAGAAACCTCAACTGCTGGGTCAGAAGGGTTTAATCTACTTTTTCTTTCTGATAATAAAAATGTGTAATGTTTGTTCATGAATTCTTCTGGGCGAACCAAAGCTTCTTGGATCTTTGTATGTTTGATGATTATGAATGATACATGATAAACCCATCTTGAAAAGCATGGATTTGTTAAGTAGTCCAAAAAGCATGTAAAAATTTCTGTTAATTCCCTGTAAATCGTAATGTAACATCCAGATAAAAACAATGGCACATAAGACCAAAGTAAACTATACAATGAATAAGTTATTGTTTTTTTCAGGAATGATTTTTTCAGAATTTTGGTTGGAGCATTGAGGACAAATTCCTTATATTTACAAAGCAATTTTACATTGGGAATTGTAGCAAACAGAAGACCAATTGAATTTGAATATCCTTCCTGACATTCGGATAAATACATAGGATTTTGGCAAAGCTTGATAGCACATAATATATAGTTGATTTTCTCATCAAATTGCTCCTGAATAACAGACAATTGGAGATAAAATTGAACTAACACTGATGGCTGATTCTCAAATTCTATCATACTAGTTTCAAAGAAACGAATAAGGAGCTGCATTGTGATGGACGCATCAGTAACGAATAGTCTGCGGCACTGGATATTGAATATACGATGCAGAATCATAACAATCCGTTGAGGAATCTCCATGCTGATGGCGGCATCTTTACACTTCTCGACAACATCACAAAGTGCCTTTTGTGCTTCTTTTGAATTTCCGTCACCAGCCATAGTACAGGCTGTCAAAAAATGTACTACAATTTTACCAAAGTAACATTTTGTTCCAAGCAACATTTTTTGGACATAATCTGAAGCTTCGCTTGGAGTCATTTTATTTATAACTGCTTCTAGCAGAAATGCAATCATTTCTTCGTTATAATGAGATTCTTTGGCCCTTTTCTCATAGGGAGATTCAAACCATGACTTTGTGGAAAAAAGGATATCATTCCAACGTTCACGCAACGAGCAAAGTCTTAAATAATACATGAAAAATAAGTTGTTTTTACTATCATAATTCTCTGCAAAAAGAACTTCATTAACGAGTCTTTCAGCTTTTTCACAATTTTCTTCAAAGTCAGTTTCACAAGACAATGCTTTTTCCAAATATACCCTAACAAGATTGAGTCTATCAACTGAATCTCTTTTTCCACAGATGAATTTATCTTCGAGTAATCCTTGCATATTCTTATTAACAAACACTGGATTGTACACTCCATCCTTTCTTTTTTCATTCATATCTTTTACAAATGAAGAGCTTGTATCACTATTACTGAACAAAACAAAAAAATTGATTAACATCAAATTAGCATGTAATGATTCAGATAAGCCTCTATTTGTGATGTACTTTGAAACATCAATAGTGGGTATTTTGTGCCGCTGGTGCCCCTTTTGTGCGTAAATTCTTGCTCGCAATTCGCATGATGTAATAAAAGCATTATACACAGCCTGGTGTGTTTTTTCTCCAAATTTGTGTTTGTACTTCGTTAGATATTGAACAGTAGATCCACTGGAATAACCATGAATTTTAGCACACCAAGACAAGAGAGCAGTAAGTGGTCGATACAACAATGATTTTACGTTAAAATTTTTTTCAAAAGCGTTATAACTACCCAACACACCAGGATTGACATTGTCTTTCATTAAAGTGGATACATATTCAAACAGGTCTTCAGGTGTTTCTTTGTCCAAAATGTTTTTACAATGATGTCGAAAGTTTGAGTACACTTCTGTATCACCATAAACAAAGCAGGTGCGTGCCAACAAGTCTTTTAAGTAATACCCATTTTTTATATTTTCTTTGCTCGTTAGATAATTTGCCATAATATGTGTCGGCTGAATCAATTCTACAATATGCTTTCGATTTTTAGTCTGTTCTTGTCTCCCAAGGGGATTGTTACATGAATGGGGTACCTGTCCATCAAAAGATATTCCGCTTGGGGTAAACATATCCATAAACCAATTTTTTGACTTATCATCTGAATGCAAATCATTAAGACTTTTGATTCCAATACTTCGAATAAATGTTTCTCCAAGTCCAATAATTATCACTTGGAACAGAACAGCAAACCATCTGAAATATTCTTTCACAGAAGTCTCGTATGTTGCCCAATTTTCAACTCCATCTTCTAAGACAATAACATGCTCAAAGTCAGAGTATAATGTTACTTCTTCTCTGGCTAGAGATCCCAAACCGACAAGAGCAAAGGAGCAAGGTGCGTCACCAAGTATCAAAATACATTTTGCGGAAATGTACTGCATAATTTCCATAAAACTCTTTGAATTTTCTTTAAGCAGTTGTATTATAATTCTCTTTCTATTTTCTTGCAATTCAAGACGAGAAGCTGCAGAAATGTGCTCCGGGACCATTTTTACATGTGCTAGAGTGGCTTTTTCAGCCTCTCGTAGAACCTTTAATTGTTGAGAAATTAATTTCGATTCCTCGTATAAACTTTCCGAAATAACCTCTGCATGGCAATATTTTAAAATAGATGTTTCCATATTCAATAAAAGTTTTTCAATTTCCTCAACCTTGACACAATCTTTCAAAAACATTTCATATCGAACTCTTGCGCCATTAAGTAATGCAGCGCATTTAAGAAAATTCGTTTTCTGATTCATTCCAAAAGTTATTTCAGATTTTTTCAAGTACAGTGCTCCCATTTTGAAAAAAATTTCTGAAGACTGCTTAAGTTTCATCTCTGCTTCATCTCCAAATGGAGTACAAACAGACCTTAAATTGTCTGCTAGATTAGTTTCTTGCCGACTAAGTTCTTCCAAAATTTCCATTTCAAGTCGACCAAAATTTAAAAGCTGTTAGTAAAATATTGTTTGCCAGCAGCTGTGTTTTTTCTAGATTACTTACACCTATTATAGCAAATCTAAGATAATTTATTTAGAAGAAAATTCGAATTTAAATATAATGTTTCTATATATGTCTATCACTCCAAACTAAGCCCTGCAAGCTTCCACAGATAGGCAACTAGATACTAGCTTGGATCGACTGGAACCTATCCAACTCTGCATTGCCTACCCAATTTATTACTCCCTGAGTGAGGTGATGACATGGCATTTTAACCACTATGACACTGCGCAAATTTATCACAAATTTGATGTCTTCATCTGGTAAACTTTTAAGCCATTTTTTGTTGTATTTAATATATAATTCTGTTGCGATATAGATATGATTTAAAACCAATCATTGACGGATAGAATACTCAGCTATCCTGATATGTACTGTATATTCCAATCAATCCATTAACAAAAACAACAACTAACATTTCAATAGTAGGCCTACATATATGTATGTCACAATAGAATACGTGATAACAAACAGATCTCAAGTGGTATTAGTTGGGCAAAACAGCTGCAAGCAATAAGCAGGCAATCATAATACTTGCTGACGTTGTATGCATATTTTGTGGCTACTGATTAAAAGGACTCACGAGAGAGACAAGCTACCGTACATAAACGCATAGATCAAAATTAGTGAATAATTAATAAAACACAACTTGTAAATGTTTTAAATATTGAGCATTGAATTAGTGTCATAATCACACATGACTAAGATTAGACTAGGATATATAGAATGTGGGAAAATAATACTTAAATTATGAATCTCAATCTCCGTTTTTAAATGCAATGTTCAAATTATATACAAATAGTATACGTATATTATGGAAATATACTTACACTAACTTTTTACCTAGACTTCATTAACATAATTCAAATTTAGTTTTGATCAAAGCTGTCTATATCCAAGCAGTTTGCTGTAATAGTAGTTTTTTATATAAATTTAGTATTTTAAGAATTGATTACGATGTAGCTAACAAACCATAATATCTGCGGAACTTAACCTTGCAAATTACAAGATGGTTATTGCTTTTTGGTTGATTAGAGTAATGTATATCTTACTACAACTCTTCTCTCTGTCCTTGTGTTAATAATGGATTGGTATACACAGACTGCTACGATGAAGTAAAATAGGTGATCATAGTCCGATCCATGTCAGACTCCCTGATTTCAATTGCTGTAAAGTCTGACTTTGGCCATGCGATATGTTACGAAATACAATTTGAGGAAGTGTTAGTCAAGACCTTTGAATCACACAATATTATATAGCCATTTGATTATTGCTATAATAATATAACAGTCTGTGTGTCAGCCAATTTACAAATATATATTTGAAAAAGAAAAATTTTCTGGAATAATTTTGAATCTCGTTTCAAATCTATTCTTATGTTATGATATTTCTAAATATGCCACACTGAATAAGATCAAAACTTGATTGTTTAGATATGATTGTTAATTGATTGCGATTGGGATTGTATTCATCAATATACAAAAAGTGAATAAAATAAAATCCATTGTCAAATATATAACAATCAATAAGATACTCAAAAAAGCCAGACTAGTATATTTGAGTGATTTATTTATTACCAGGAAAGTTGTATTATACTAACTATGACAAAATAGCAAAATAAAGGTAAATTGGAACAAAAAGCGCAGATGAATGTTGAAAAGACTTGAATGACTGACTCAACTCGTCTCAATAAATGACTCCGATGACCCATGACCTGGGGTTCAGGGACTTCTACCCAAAACTTTTCAGGCAGAGAGTCTAATTAGCATTATTCATAAGGGCTAACGTTTTGCTAAAGATTAATAGGTAAATACAATTAGGTTTAAATGATGCTATGCCTATCAAAAAATTTTCAAAATTTTGATTGATTCGTCAGTATGATAAATGGTAAGATATAGCTTTACAATAAAATTGACACAGAGGCAATGAAATGAAACAATATGATACATTATTAATAGAAAAACAAATATTTCATAATTAACAAAAATACGTCTAAGATGCATTTCTCAGTTCTACCGTGTTTCCCGAAAATACCACCTAGTCTGAATTTCAAAAATGATTTGAATATAAGCCCTTCCTTTGAAATGAGCACAAAATTTTTTTTTTACCTAGTCAATAGCAAAAAACATCTCCTATGCGTTTTAAACAGTGATAATCTATGTTTAGCAGCTATTTTGAATAAAAACGTGCTATTTATAAGTAAATGGATATCGGTTTTCATATTTTGTATATTTGAAAATCTCGTAATTCTCTACTTTGAAATTTAGTTTTTGATAAATGTTTCAAATATAAGACATCCCCCCAAAATGGGCCCTAGTGTTATTTTTCGAAAAAAAAACTCAACTAAGACCCAGTCTTATTTTCGGGGAAAAAATTATTGCTGTGTTGTAAAATCAGAAGACATCTTTGTTACTTTCTGAAATAAATTGTGCATAAGCTTTTTCTTAGGTAGTGATGGGCTCGTCTTTGATTATCTTAGGAGCATAATATATGCCATTCACATCAAAGTAAAGAATGAACTGATTCAAATAGTAGCATAAAGAGGTGATATTCGCTTTATATTTAGCATTGACAAGTCATGGGCGACAAATAAAGTTCACAGAAATTTTTTGGACTTCCAGAAGTATGCGCACCAAGAAGGCGCACAACCTGAACATAGTATGTGTCATGTGTGTACCGGTTAAGATTCAGGTTGTGCGACATCGTGGTACGCATACTTCTGGGAGCACCAATTATTTTTACCATCTTAAATTGGGTAAAATAATGTAACAAGAAATCATCATTAATGTCACATTATTTCGAAATCAATAATCAAAATAAAATATTGAAAAAAAAAAGGAGGCAATCAATAATAATACCGGTAAGTGAATATTTTAACAACATATACCAACTAATATTCCAACTATTCCTCAACCAAATGTGTGATATCTGATATGGTTGCCAACAGTGCCAAGATAGCATTACCCAGCAAACGATTCTTCAAAAGCAAACTCCTTTCAGCACTCAATTACTATTATAGACATGATTTGGGTGAAGTCTTACAAAAACTAGGAATTATATATATATACATACAGGTAATAATATTCTCATACAACAGTCTTTGTAGCAACTTGCGGAGAAAAGGAAGTATATGGTGGAGGTGCTCCTTGCAACTGATTTCCTGCAATGAAACAGTATAGAATTTTTACCCGATGTATCTTAATATTAATGAGTTCCGCATTGCAAATATCATGTGATCCCCCTGAGGCTTATTTGCTCTTTTTTCTTTTTTACATTACTCGTTTATTTGTTATATTTCTACTTGTTATATTCAACAATAATATTTAAATTCAAAAATAATTTTCAACTAGCAGTGCAAGGTATTCATGTCAGAAAATAATTGAAATTTTTTTTATTTTCCTTTTCAACTTTATAACTATATGCTCATCTATACGAATATAATGTTTTCATTTTAAACGAGGCGTCTCAGTCTGCCGTTGATAGTAGGTTTACTTTATTTCGATTTAGCTTTTTCTCCTATATGTTGGTTTTCGTAATGTACCTTGAGCAAATCTCGGAAATAGGCGACTTGGTTTTCTAACATGGAATAACTATTTTAATCAATATTTGGCATAATAAAGTGAAAATGTCATCTGACAGACTGACATTCTGACATCACACTAGAATAAATCATATTCACATAACAATGAAATCTCTTGTTGCAGTTGCAGAAGAGTGCAGTTACATTTTAAGTTATGGAATAAAAATTTTACCATTTTACTATTCATGCTAACATAATAATGTGTTTACAATTTTACAACGAACCCACAAGCAGAGGTATGCAATTCAAATATACGTCATGTAACAAGAAAGAGATGCAGATTAACAGAGTTAAATGCTCAGTTTATCATGAATTTCTGTTGACAACAAGTCCTTTTAAATAATATTTATTTCACCATATGAATGATCGCACGTCAGTTCATCCAAGCGAGATGTTATAATGACTTGTAAAACTTCTCATTTGCATATAATCATCCAAATGGATGACGAACATTAATCTATGTACATACCATAATAATTATTAATTAATATACCGCGCAATCTAACAAAGGTATGCAATAGGAAACTTCACATTCAGAGATGATGCGTTGCGGGAGTTCATGAAGTTTTTATTTTGTCTACCTGATACTGGGTTGAGTCACCGACTCGAGTACAATTTATCAAAGATCACTATACTCTATAACTATAAATAAAATGACCTGGATTTGTATTACGCTTACACAGAGTGATTGACTCAGTGATTCACTCGGCTTCGGAATCAAGACTCTGATGATCCATAGACTCTGAGTTTAACCCCTTCTGTTCAAAATAGGGTTTTTGCTAACCTCAAAATGTCACTCATTTTTTTATGTACTCGTATATTCTTTTTGTTATAAATATCCCAAGAGTGTATCCCTGTTATTTTGAGTGCGATAGTCAAGTAATGGACACTTTTAACAAATTCACTCAGAAATAGGGTTTTCAAATCTAGAAAAAAAGGAGCCCATTATTTTGGGTATTCTTAAGCACAGTTACCTGGAGGCTGAGTAACATATAATCGATTTGCGTCATTTAGTCCATTAACATAAGCTTGAGTCAGCATATTTACTAGTTCTTGTCTTTCCTGAGCATTTACTCCAGCCGTATATTGAACATGTGCATTGATAGAACAATCTATATCAACACATTTCATGTGTCTGTGAATCTGAAAAGGTATCAAAAATCGATAAGCCTGATAAAGAAATTACTTAAACAGGACTAAAAATACTTATTTGTAATTTGTGTTTTTTGAGTTGTGTAAATCCCATACCCACCAACTCCCAATGAGCTTTGTGGGTTGGGTAGGCAATGACAAACTAAAATTATTTAGGTCCTACTAACCAGTGGTTTCCAAAATTGATTGATCGAGGGCAAAATTAGAAGAGAAAGGGGCCGATGCCGGCACCGGTATGCAGTGTTCACTATTAGCGCACTTTTTTGCGAAAATTGCGAAGCACTTTCGCAACTTTTTTTAGGGACTGCGAAATAGCACTTTTTTCCGATTTTGAAGAGAAATAGCACTTTTTTCCGATTTTGAATGGAATAAAAATTCAAAGTTAACAAATATTTTCGAGTATTAAGTTGACAAATAAGTAACATACTGGTACTTTTGTAACTCAATTCTGCATATCGTAACGATATTTACCGGAATTCTAACCTATGAGATGCAGACATAGGAGATACAGCTTTTGCATTAACGGCAAAATTCTGGTTTATAATATGATTATTATACAAGCACACGGATTCCGCTTCTCCCGGGGCGTTTCTTTGAACGAGAGTGGTCATGTGACTATCAATGATATCGATGAATTCAAAATGACTATAAAAAGTGTTAGTAACATGTTATAGTCACTTTGGATGAATTGTGACCAAACTGCACGATTTTCAAATCAGACGAAACTTTTAGCAGCATGCCACAGATTTGCAAAATCAACAAATTCACAAAATACAATTAAGTGCCATTTTATTGTAATCACAATGTTGAAAGGACGTGGCATTTTCCGGAATTTTACGATATTTACACAACTATTTCTCATTGATATGCGAGGAGGGGTGGGCAAAATTCAATATTTTTTTAAATCGAATATTTTTAAGGAGTACCGAATAAACGTGGTGGAAACATTAAAAAATCGGCAACAAAGCCTTTTTACTGGTTAATTCCGTTGTAATCGCTAATTGTTCTTGTCACCGATCGTTTTGGCGGCGATATCCAGGTTTTGGGTAATCTATATTCCCGCCCTCTCTTTTTTACAAATATATATATGAATTCTTGTGGGTCGGCGGACATCGAAGTTTTATATTTCGTGTTTACCCGTTCGTTCACATCGGCAACAAATTAACATTTGCGCTGGCTTTAATATTACCTATCAAGATTTGTAAATTTACCGTCCCAATTTTATGCGCATAGTAATATTATTGTCCATACCGTGATGCAGATATTTATTAAGACGATAATTAACTTTCTCATGTATTTCTATGGTGATAAACTTCGCAAATCTGAAATTGTGCTAATCCTGAATGTTGATTTGAAATAGTGATTGAATAATTCGGCTATAAAGGCATTTCTGCGTGGTCATAAGACGAGATGACGTTAATGAACAGCACTTCTTTTACAGGATATTTTACGTATGCGACTTAATGCTAAAAAGATTGGGCTCGGGTGCTTTTTTTTTCGAGTGCTCGAGTGCCTAATAGAGGTCAGGCGCTAATTGTAACTAATTCCCTCAAGTTTCAACGTGTTTACAACAAAACAATACCCCGGCGATAATTATAGCTAAAATGTTACCGAGCAATTCACAATTTTATTTATGGAATTTGCAAATTCACCAGTTTCTTGACGATTTTGATATTGTCACGCCCTAATTATTAGTGCAAAAAATACTCCCCTTCTTCCGCGGCGGTTTGACGGGTTCTCTGTTCCATTCTTCAGAAAATTCTGACACGGGGGATATAGAATACTGAATCCGGAGGGTTGAATCCCTGTCCACTTACTGGTGATTTTCCGTTTTGAAATGCGTGAAACATTCTCTATTTTAAATTAAATGACGTTTCGCGGGTTAGAGTTCTCCCCGAAAATGATGTGTTCCAGACGTTAGTTAGAGGATAGATAAAACATTAAATTAATAATTTTTGTGACGCCCCGTTTTCGAAAATACAAAGTTATATCGCGTTATGATACATTTGGAATGAAACATTATTTACGGTGAATTCAGATCACATTTTACTCTCCATGACACCCGGTATCCGAAAATACAGTTGTATCTCGAAAAATGTGTTTTGTTACATTTAAAATAAAACATTTTTGCGACTAATTTAGATCATATTTTGCTTTTCACGACACCCGTTTCCGAAAATACAAGGTTATATCGCCAAAATGTGTTTTGTTACATTTAAAATAAAACATTTTTGCGATTAATTTAGATAATATTTTACTTTTCAGGACACCCGTTTTCGAAAATACAAGGTTATATCGCAAAATGTGTTTTGTTACATTTAAAATAAAAAAATTTTGCAATTAATTTAGATCTAATTTTACCTTTCACGGCAACCCGTTTCCGAAAATACAAAGTTATATCACAAAAAATGCGTTTTGTTACATTTATTTTGCATTCCCAATAAAATAAATATTTTCCCTAATTAAGGTCGTCGATGAATCTGTTCCTGTCGTTCAAGCTCGACACACGTTTGGACGAGTGTGGGGCGGTTTTTTGATCGACGATAAATTAAAAAGTTGCCACACGTTATTTGTATAACGATAATAACTGAAAATTAAGATTTTATAATAGAAGTGAATTTGTCTCAAGATGGTATTTTACGATTCCTGCCCACAGAAAATGAACACGCTGACAGGCTTGGTTATAATTGATATTCGTTTAATTTATTTTACACTATTAATAAACGCGCCACACCAATTGCGACCATATAAATTGCAGTCGCATCGGTATGGACTGTATGTTTTTGGCGCTCTCAAATTAATAATAATTTTCAACAACAATTTGTTTACAATTTTAACATCCCGCCGGCCATGTATGGTCGAATAAAATGTTCACATATTCGAAACATGACTTGGCCAAGGATGGAAGGGATCACTAAAGAGCTAATAGAAAGTACATACGCGAGGGTATGATATTAATATCGAGAATATTTGTGAGCATATCACAGGTAGGGATGGGCAATATAGAATACCGAATCCGGAGGATTCGAATCCCAAAGTATTCGAATCCAACAGGATCCGATAACAGGATTCGGTTTCCGCCTCTCCGGCGCCATGCGTCGATTTTTGCATTTCGGGTTTCTAAATACCAATTAAAGACGAGCGTTTTTCTCGCGTGGAAATCTCTCTCGTTTAGCTAGACTTCCGTCTGCTCGGAAAGAACCCGTAAAATCGGTAAACTTCAAACACTGTAATCTCAATCGGCGTATTCCGGACAGGAAGTCGGCGAAGTACATCTCATGGCGAAGACTCGTTATTGCACCATTTTTGCGTTTTCGCCAGGCGTCAATTTTTATATTTCGGATTTCTAATTTAACAATTGAAGACGAGCGTTCTTTCTCGCGTTGAAATTTCTCTCGTTTAATTAAACTTGCCTAATCGCAAAGAACCCATAAAATCGGTAAACATCAAACACAGTAATCTCAATCGGCGTATTCTGGACAAGAAGTCGTGAAGTACATCTTACGACGAAGACTCGTTATTGCACCATTTTTTGCGTTTTCCTGCTTTGCTATCTAGCGAGGGTTTAATAATAATAATTATTTGTGCCGACTTACTGGCGATATTCCGATAATTTGATTGCAACAATCTTCAATTGTTTACAGGCGTGCCTTGCTTTATTTTACATTACTGTAAATGATTTTCCGCGACCGGCGAGTTTTCCCCAGAAAATGATGCATGTAAATCAAAAGCCAGGCGTAAAATGTTATGACATCACTTTCGATTAATTTAAATCAAATATTATTTTGGAATAATTTTATTACTCTTATTACACCAGTTTCCGAAATACAAAGTTATATCGCATAACACGACGATCTGTCGCATTTAAATTTCACTCCCAAAAGATTACATATCTTTCGGTCCGTTTCTATCGTTCAAGATAGACGCACGTTTGATCGAGTGTCTGTAGTAATTTTATTCGCCGATAAATTTAAAAAAAGATGCCACATCTGGCGAAAATAGTTACGTATTGAGTTTGAGTAGGGCCAAGTCTGGGTAGATAATGATATGTAACGATAATAATAGAAATTGAATTCGTCTTTAGATGATGTTAACTAATAACTAACTACGAAATCGCGTTTACGGGAACCTTGTTTTGCACGTCTTGATCGCACAGAATAATAAGTTGATTTTAATTGATAGTGGTTAAATTTAATATTTTACACCGGTCGCATAGGTTGCAGTGGCCACACGCTGGTCCCGCATCTAATTAATTCTCAGCGGGTGTGTTTTAGTACACTCGACACTCTATAACATTAATAATGATTTAATGCCGTTTCATATCTATTTTTGTATTTAACCGCTTACTATTAAAGTGTTTGAAGCGTAATTTAGCATATAAGTATTAAGAGATTACATACATTTGGAACAATTGAAAGCAAAAATATTGTAATATTCTTAGATTTCATTGTCCTGGGAAATGCCTGTTTAGTATCAAATCAAATACAATGTTAAGGACATTTCCAAATAAATAATACATTTATAGTAATACATTTATAATTTTTTGACATCTAAATCCAGCAATCAGGAAAATTCCCTCTATTTGAATAAGTATGAAAATAGAATAGGATTCGGTATTCTGGATTCGATTTAACTATTCTAGAATATTCTAGAATAGTAAATTATTCTACATTGCCCATCCCTAATCACAGGACAGAAATATTTTGCACCCAGCTGTTTGTTGGCAGAACAACGATACGCTAAAGTTAATTGATCGAATACAGGGAAGTATTTATTTATCATCTCACTTGCGAACATCGAGGTTTTGACGGAATTGTACGATCATGTTGTCTTTCTTAAATAATAACTTTTTCAATAAATGTTCATTTTACTTTTGCGTCTTTATTATATGTCTGGTTTTCATTTATTTTAAATTCGAAATTGTCCGAAATACTCCAACAGGTGTATAGGTACAATAATAATAGTACTTACCGAAGTACCTACCAGGGAAGTTTAATACACACGATGTGTAAAGGGCGTCGTAACTCCCGTTTATTAATTATAAATTTTTTTACATTCTGCTTAAAAAACAACGGCAGTCATCTCACGTAACTCTCGCGACCAAATCTTTTTTGTTTTGTATGGCATCGTCTTGGCGACGAATTTATTGCCGACTGAATTTTAATTGTGTTTTACGTTAGTTATTTTCTGTTTGTTGGTTTCTAAACTTTACAAATTTGGGTAGCAATTACTATTAATGTGAGATTTGTGCATATGAACCATTGAATATCGCGACTGGATGTCCGATATCTGAGAATGCGTAATTCTCTTTCAACATTAATTTTCAGGATATCAGCGTTCATGTGGTCGAATAAAAATTATTTATCAAATGGCTTGGTATTTCGAGACACTCTCAAAATTATTTGGGATCCATTATCATATCATTCGTTTATTTTTCATATTCATGTTTTTCTCAAGAATCACCCTCGTTATATTTAGTGTACCTTCGCAAAAGAAAACTCTTTGATGTCATCGTTCCTGTTAGTGTAATTGAAATATATGGAAACCTCGCAAGTGGCGTTGTGATGCGAATATTTGATACTAGGTCAGCAGCATTACAAAGAGTGCTATTTATGAATGCTGAAAGTACATGACATTACTAAACATTTTGCGAATATATATGATGTTTTCTGCCCGATTTAAACTAACTCGCACGCAAACCAAGGCATGTGGACATTTAAAAATTACTTGTCTTTGGGTAAGCTCTGAAATAGTATAATATAAATGTAAATGAGAAATTAGGTCACGCTAGCTCACGAAACGGGAAGATTTTCAAAGTGATCTTGTGTAATATTTCGGAGAAAAAAGTTTGAAAGGAAAGTAGGTCAACCTATCTCCTAAAACAGGGGAGTATCCTGCATAATATTTCGGAGGGAACGTAGTTTAACCTATCTTTTAAAACAGCGGGTGGCGACTTTCACAAAGTGGTTCAAAATCACAAATTAATAATTATCAGATTAGGTTTGGGGATGAATCGAAAAGTTGAATTTCCAGCGCACCTAACCCTAATTAGTTGATTGCTATTTATATTTGGGGGGGGGGGGGGGGGGGGGAGATTATTTTGCACCGGATTTGTACAAACGATCCACCCTGTAACTAATATGGTTTCCAGCCGGCCTCGTGTCTGTTAGATGGAAGGAGTAACAAATGTGAAAGTCTTTGCTGTTTACGCGAGTAAGCAACTGACACCGTGATACATTGCATGAAAGTTTTGTCTGTGGCAGGTGTTAGCAGATGTCATTTCGTTGCCGATGAATTCGCTTGTTTTAATTAAACATGAATTCGCTTAAAGGGAACTCGGTTAACGAAAAGGCTTCTCTTTAATTCATAATATTAACCGGAGGAGGGCTTTTTCGAGTATCTATGCCGTTTTAAATGGGTTATATGAAAGGCTAGGGCACCTAACTTGTTAAAATCGGCAAAAGCACTTTCGCACTTTTTTTTGGACTGCGAAGCACTTTCGCACTCATAATTTGCTTAGAGTTAACACTGCCGGTATGTATAATTAAGATACCGGTATAATTGAACTGTCAGGAATATACACATGCTTAAACTGTGATAAAGACATCACAATTGCAATATCTAGAACATAAAAAGGTAAAAAAAAGTGTTGAACTATTTCAATTAAATTCGGCGGGCCATATTAAATCCTTATGTGGGCCGTAACTAGCCCGCTAGTCACGGTTTAGGAACCACTGTAATAAACTATAAGAGCTGTTTACCCATTACTTGGTCTTCAAAATAATCATGTTGTAACTTACACAATAGAAAGGTGCTCCAAGCAGGCAACATGGAAGACAGACAAGCCAAGCTATAGGGTTATAACATTCATGAAAACGCTGGCTAAAATTTGTGATGCAGAAATTAGAATTCTCTGTCGAATATGAAGCCCAAGACTCCGGAAAATTTGCTTTAAACCAAGCCTCCAAGACATCACCAAATCTGATCTGAAAAACGAGTTATTTCTATTATAAAACCAAATTTTTCTCGTCATTGTGCAAAAATAAACAATCCAGCTTACAGCCAAGAAATAATTTTCCCACATGCTATTCAAATTTCCCTCTATAATGAGGTGTATTCAAACCTCCCGCCAATGGGTCTAAATCAGGGTTTATCAAGTGGTTGACATACATGGGGTAAATTTGGCATGCAAGAAAGGATATGACCAAATGAAACCACTAACCACATCGAAGATTACACTTGCAACATCATCTATTGTGCAATCGATGTTATTGTTGCAGAGCGCTGGAGAAGATTGTTCAAAAACACAGTAGAAGTCAAAAATAAATTGTACTTTTAAAAACAACAGAATTTGGCAGAGGAAAGGTTTAAAAACCTTGCTGTACAGAGTCAGTAACTAATTCCTATATTTTTGATATCGAATTAAAAAAATGGACTCATATATTAAGACCAGACTCAGTCGAAGAATTAGCTCAAATTCAAGTATTTCTTGTGATCTACATCATCACAGTTAATTCATCCGCAAAAAATGAAATAATTATGCAATCAAATACAATTACCTCGAGTGCAACAGACCTGCCCGCGTTCACTAATTCTTGCATTCGTTGCAATTTTTCATTCAATTGTTGATGAATAACGGGATGTTGTGTGTTAATGAACACAATAAAGCTTCCTAAATTGAAAAATAACTTCGATCAGGGGCGCAGCAAAGATTTTCAAAATGGAGGGGGGGTCAAAAAATCAGAATTTCCCATGCATCGATAGCAATTCCGCGATAGAGCGCTCGACAACTACGAAAATTTAAAATGAATAATAAGCTACAAAAAATTGTCTCTAATTTGATCTCTAAATAAATAAACCAAAAATATTTTGATCCAAATATTTTGAAAGCTATTACATGAAATTAAAAAAATAAAGCCATTTTCAATTGAAAAATCACTCTAAATGACGATGGTTGATAGAACACCCAGAATATCTCCCGAACTGTCGAGTTCATTATTTTGTTTAAATTCAGCACAACTAAAAAAATATATTAACCGCTTGTAATATATCTCGTAGAATAAGATGTTTTCTCTTTTTCGATCCGAACTTGTAAAAATATAGGATTGGTTAACAATCGGGTTTTAATGTTTGAAAACTCTTCGGCAGTGTTGAAATCCAATACCCTAAATTTGAAAGTAAATGGTCAGTATGAAAATTATATTGAAGTATTCATTAGTAATGTTTCATATATTTTCCTACAAAACTTAAAACGAATATAAATTCTTGATTCTCTTATCTTGTGTATATATATATACCAATTTATAACTCCAAAATATTCTATGTAACAAGACTAAAAGCAGGTAAAACTTGAATTGTGTCAAAAGCGTCATGTAAAAACAATTTTGAAATGCAACAGAATTTTTATTTTTATATTATATACCGTATTTACTCGAAATTACGCCTATATCCCGAATAGGCCGACTCCCTAAAAACGAACTTAAACGGCGATTTTATAAAAATTCGCAAATAAGCCAGTCGGACCTTCAAATCGTTACACGCGGAACGCCTTAAGAAAAACGTAAAAAGGGAACAAAATTACTGTAACGCAAACATTTCTCACGTTTATCGTTTCAGCATATTAGCGATGGCCGTAGGTGGATTATTACACGTAACTCTTACTTGTTAATTTATGTTAAATAAAGTCTATATTGCTTTTCAGTGCGTCATGATTGTGTCGGAAGTTTAAAATGGAGTTCCTGAATCAGCATAAAACAATTTCCTTTGATCGCCACAATGGCGATTAATTTCGTTCCTTGTCCATTTCAAGGAAAGAAATAACGCTGTATTAACACATTCTTATAAATCGCTACAAATCTTAACACACCAGACGCCTTGAGAAAGGCGCAGAAAGAAAACAAAATTGCTGTAACACAAATTTTTCTCTATTTTGTTAGCGACGGCCGTAGATTCTTACTCGTAACTCTTACTTGTAAATTCATGTTAATAAAGACTATATTGCTTCGGGATTTGTATTAATGGAAGGGATTGTTGTCGGGAGTTTAAGAGAGTCCCTGAGTCAGCATAAAACAATTTCCTTTGATCGTCCACAACGCGGTTAATTTCGATAAGAGACCTTATCACCGCCCCTTAATGGATAACATATCGTGAAGGTGATTAAAAGTCGCGCGCCGTTAATTGCCTATGATAAGACAATCACACCTGCACAAGCGAGCGAAAACAAACCAATCACAGACTGTACAAGCGTCACGTGTTAAACAACCAATCACAGAATGTACAAGTCATCAGCTGTATGATAAGCCAATCCACCTTCACAAGCGATTGTGTGTGTGTGCGTGCACGCTTTTTATCGTGAGAACTTGGTATGGTTTGAAGCTTTTGGAATTACCGGCAAGTCAGCATAATATCATCTCGTTGCATGATCAAATTCTGATGCGCGAATGAGCTGATTTTTTGGTGGAATCTGAGGTATGCGCGAATAAGATGGTCCCTTAGTTTGGCAACTTTTTTTTTTGAGTTTTAAACTTGGCCTATTCGCGAACATATACGGTAAGTCATGAAACATGACTAAAATAATTCACTAGTAATATGATTTTGATTCCTTCAAATTGTTTTCGTTTGGTAATCATAATACACCAATAATAAATTTCAATACATGTCTTAGTACGACTCTTACTGGCTCAGAGATACAGAAATTATCTAAGAATCCTGTATCTTATGGACATATTTAAATGACAAAAATGCACATACTCTCCATAGGAGTCCGCAAACAAGTTATTTTTGACTGAGAATTTCTTATGAGCGAAGACATTGACTTTCCGCGGGTCATGATGAAGTTTCATGTTATCTCCCATCGTAAAATAATCCGGAACAGCATTCATAAAACTGTCTTGTAAAGTCACTGCTATTTGTACATTTTGTCTATGTGCCGCATTTAAGGCCATGATCTTTATAGTATAAGTGCAGGTTTCATGAGTTATAATCAAATTGATAAGAAACTGATAATGCCATTTGAAATACTGAAGTACAGAAGTCGGTGTATTCTACTGGTGCAAGTTGATCTACTAAAAAAAATGGGTCTCGTGTAGTTTCGTACCTAACGTACTTCTAGTAGGCGTAGCATAAAAATTTTTTGACATACCAATCCTAACCCTCACCTGACTACGCCATCCAAAAATTACGTCACTACCACATCACAATTACGTCATAGAGCTTGCCAAATCGGCATCGGCTCCGACGATGAAGAACTGACTAACAGCAGCGATCTCTCTCCTATCGGGATCTTTGCGACGAGAAAACGAGAGAAATGGCTTTCTCGTCTGCGCGTTTTGGATGACAGTTCGCATAATTTGAAGGGCTCTATTATGTCACTGTGTCGTCGTAGTGACGTAATTTTCGGATGGTGTGGTCGGGTGGGGGTTAGGATTGACACGTGAAAAAATTGTTATGCTACGCTTACTAGAAGTACGTTACGTACGAAACTACATGAGACCCAAAAAAATGACTGCATCATGACTGGCCTGGCCTCTTGTCTGGTTAGGATAGGAGGATAGGATTTACACATTTCTGTATTAATACTGGTGGAGAGGAAAACCGATAAGACGGCATAAAGTACCGGGTCTAGTACGGTACCTCATAGTTTGGTACCACAAGTTCCAGTTGGCGTAGCATAACGAATTTTGGGGTCTAGTATAGTTTGGTACCGGTACCGGTACCACAAGCACTTCCAGTTGGCGTAGCATAACGAATTTTGCATATGTTATTCCTAACCCACCTTCCCCCACCTGACTATGCCATCCAAAAATTACGTCACTACGACGTCATCATCAAATCATGCCGTACCGGTGGCGGTACCGGTACCATACCAAGAAACACGCTAATGATAACATGTTAGGTACGGTACCGTACCGGTACGGTACCGTACTGCTGTACTGCAACGACTGCAACGTCCGGGCTTTGTATTGTTTGCAGCAATCGTTGTTTTGGAAGAGGTCTGTATCCTGACATTTGACCCCAGATTAAAATACGATTTCTCTTAGCTTTTTGGATTTAGATTGCTAACACTAAAAAAGTTTGTCACCAAGGAAATATAAAAAGGCACCATGTTACAGTTTCCAGTTACAGACACATATTGGTGAGCCGAAAGACTAATGTCAAAAATAAATAGAAGATCTTTCTAACCCTGCCGCTAGTAGGAATCATTGAAATGTACCGAACGTGTTATACAGTCCTGGCTGCTGTTTTCGCCTTTTGTCAGTGTAACAGATGCGGACTTATTTGAAGTATTACCGGTACTGTATTATACATATTGTTAGTGTTGTGTATCCTAAAGTTTTGCAATTATTATTTTGGTTGATAGTCTTGTTTTTCTATGAATTAGTTTTTTGTTTATTGGTTGTGCCTTGAACAATTTATTTCTTGTTTGGCATCAAGTACAGAAATATTAGAAATAATATTCTGTTATTCATTTGTATGGGTCAACCACATAAAAGCGATGAAATGAGTGTCGAGGGTTCACCTCTGAATGGGTCCTCAGTAGAAGACTGTCGAGAACTTTACAATTTTGGGCATGCCCCATTTGAAGTGATACAAAAATTTCAAGACTTCTGCATGGCATATTCGTCACTTTCCGCAGCTCTTGTTGATATTTTAAAACGAGAAATGCTCCTGAAAAGAAAATACATTTTCATTTCAAGCCCTGTGATGTATCAAATGCTGGCAAAGCCAACACAAAATGATTCAGAACAAGTTTTGAAAAATGCTTTTGAAGCATTGAAAAGATTTGCTCGAAAAGGACGCTATGATTCAGTTGCAAATGCAATCGAAGAATTGCTTTTTTCTCCGATAGAAGCATCGAAAGCATTTTGTGATAAGTCAACATGGACTTGTGGGAATGTGGGATCGAACTACACGGAACTTAGCGAAAACCAACAAGTTGTTTTAGAACAAATAGCTGATGCTTTAATTGGGAGACTAGTAGCTGTAGCACCTGAAAAGCATCGACGCAGTAAGAAGACAACTAAAAGAAATAAAGATAGAACCTCACCTAAATCTAAGAAAAGCAAAAATGATGAAACGCTTTCAGAACCGGCTATTATCAAACTTAATGTGAACAGCAATGAAATAGATGATGGCAAAGATATAAAGTTGCCAAAAACCTTAAAATCGCAAAATAATCATTTATGTCTCAACACTGCAACTCATTCCACTAAAGTTAATCATTTATTCAATGCAGTGGATGCAGACATGGTTATTCCTATTCAACATTTTGTGAGAAATAATTTGAAAAAAATCAAACTAAAGAATCGGGTTTTCGATGAAACTTTAGAGATTACAAAATCAGTATTTTGTGAGAATTTTCTACATTTATTACCATCTGAACATGAAAGCAAATCTTGAATTTATAACCTTCATTGAAACAGGAAAAAATTGAAAACGAGTGTTTGTGTGATGAATTCTTTATTCAAAAGTGTAGCATGTGACGCAGGTGAGATTGATGACTATTCACAGTGTGGAGTTGAAAAAAAAAATTGTTTGTAGTTTTGAGAACTATACACAAAGTAAATTTAGCATATTGCATGATTTACACCAAAAAATGCCAAATTTATAAATCAAGATATTCTTATTTTTTTCAATTTACAGTCGACCTTTTTGTTGGGGATAGTCATTCATGAATATTTGTCTGCCAAGTCCAGGTCTGTTTCAAGCCTGGATTTAGTTTTGCCACAAACCATGTACTTAATAAAATTTCTTTGAAGTTGGCGATATGGGAGTACTTATTCCCTCCTATTTCTAATGGTTGCTTTGATATAGTAAGTTCAAAATAAACATTAGAAATGTTGGAAAACTTCCATTATATTTGCTTCTTTCTAGTTTGTGATCAGGGTAGACGTTACCTCATCCATTATAAAATGAGTAAGCAATAAGCATACAAACAGATTGAGTACAAATTGTGAGATTTTGCCGTGTGCTAAATATTATCAGTTGAATTATATTACCATGATATTAGGAATAAGATACTCAAGGAATTTTTTCGCTTGCTGAATCACTCTTTGAATGGAAACAAGACTCTAGACAAGTAGCCACTTGGGTATTGGCCGTTTTCGGTGGTTATCACAGCGGAAACGTTTTCCGAAATCCTACCAGAACTAGAGGCATCTTCCAGCACGCCGCTTAAACTTTGTCAAAACTGTTATGTGGGACTTGATCCATACATTAGGCGCATTGGCTTATAAGGAGCACAATCTATTTATGCGACAACGATTTGAAGTGCACCTTATGGTCCGTAACACGTTAAGAGAAAGTTTACAAGCCGTTTCGATCATGAGGGAATCGCAGTGAAATTACTTTCATCTTAGTATATTGCTCATAAATTCCTATAATGTCATGTATAAGAGATGTTCACAAAAAAATGTTTATAACGAAATATTAACACCAACTTTATTCAAGTAAAGCTCCACTCGAGAAAATTGAACACCGCCCGACCTACTGATTGTATATATGGTAGGTATTAAAACAGCGATTTGTATTCCAGACTCATGTATATAATGATCTTCGATTTACCTTCTTTAAAATCAAGACTTTAGAAGCGCGGGTGAATGCGGAAGTTGTATTTAGATGTATGATGTAAATTAAAGCAATTAGGAAGATTTCGAGATTCATTTGTAATTTTGCGGTGCCTTCAAGAGTTTTTGAAACAAAGCCCAATGTAAACAAATTGCAGGCGCTTTTCTGCATAAGTCAAAGTATGATATTATAGCGGCACATGAATATTTATTAGAATTTGGTTATTTAAAATGACTAAATTACTGAACCATGTAAACTTATTTACTCTCAGTGTTATAACGAACTAATCAATAGGCCTAAGTATTCATGTTATACTAAAAACCTATTAAAATGACTTGCGCCAGGCGACAAAACGCTAATGACGAACTCTCCAGCTGGGAAGTTCAGCGAGATGCATTTCTATTACCGCGCGCCAATACAGGAGCGTCTCAAAAATGTTTCCCGCTTGTAAGAATCTCACTTCGTATGAATACTCCAGCCTTCTAACATTGTACTATGAAAGAGTACAGTGTGCACAATTTAATACTTGCTACAATACATTTATACTACTTATTCATATATTGTAACGAGTGCATAGGGATAGTTGCTGTATGTTTCAATATTCTTCACCGCGTGCTATTAATAGTGCTGTGTGTAAAAAATGTTATTTGCCTGAAACAAGGTCGTTGCTCTAATTCCTTTATGATATATTTCCAGGCTTGTCCACAGGAATCTGGAATCCCATTTTGGTATAAATACTACGGGAGCGCCGTTACGACTATACGGATCACGATTACCAGAAAAGCAACTGCAATGATCTGCTTTTTGGGGATTTCTTTTTTGAACTGAAAAACAGAGAGTTTGTTTTAAACTCTGCCATGGTAACCAAAATTTGAACATAAAAAATAAAAATTCAGAGGTAGCAATAACTTCGAATGAGATTTAAAATGTGACATAAAAATAAAGCATAGGTAATCTGACTTTTGTGCTGGTGCTACACACGATGGAAAGGGCAGCATTTGATAAATTCAACAAACAAGGCAAATTTTTTGTAAATGGCATCAAGTAAAAAATGATTTCGTTGTAGTTAAATAGGTAATTTCGATTTCATAATCAACATTATCATGGATACCCAACTAAAATGTTTCAATCGCCTATTAGGCCTATAACATGAGAATTTGGGTATTTAAAAGTTGGAAAAACCTAAGTTACTGTGGATTGTTGCACTTGATGTGGCACGTACCTATTTCTATTACAAGTCACCTGTAAAATTCTGAACCGCCAACGGTTGAGTGTGGAATATATCCAATTAACCGGGAAATATTACTGCACATGAATTATGTATTGCCGCCGTGCTATAATAAAATAATGCCAGTGTTGCTTTTTAACCGTACCAGTTTTCATTGTCCATCGCTTTTTTAACACTGTTAAACACGATATCCTAACTCAAAAGTTGTGATATAAGGGAAATACCGAAACTTCTTTCCAGTTACTTTTTTTTTTTTTATATTAATGAAAACATCACTTTTTATCCACACGAACACAATTGCACTTTAAAAAAATGAGTTCATGATAACTTTCCACTTCTTAATGTGGTTCGACAGTTTACATTTTCTAGTTGCAATAATTTTTTCACAGTTAAATATACTTTTTATCATATATAAAAATTCTTTCCAGTTACTTGAGTGGTAGATCTCAGGATATCCAAGTAGGAAACCACTGCTGCCGTGCCTTACCAGTCCCCGCGGGGTATCCTCCTCAGGGCCTTTGCTGTTACTGGTATTCATTATTGACCTCGCCCACTACTCTTCATTTTTCTCCAAATTATATGCTATGACACCAATCTTCTTGGTAGTGATAAATTAAATAAGGGCTAATGAGCTGACAAATCTAAAACTGTTCCTATCTCACCACAAAACGTAAAATCAATATATTTCAATAATTCAGACAACACAACGTTAGAAAATGTCAATTTTTTTTTTTTATATATTTGTATTATATATATGTATATGAATATCGACAAATTGAAATTTTAATGTGGTATTGTTACTTCTTAATCCCAGATCATTATTTCTTGATGGCTTTTTATTCAAAACAGCTTTCCAAGACAGAATAATCTAGAAAGGCTGGAAGTTTGAATTAAGCCTTAATTCTATATGATTATCTGCAAAATGGCAGAGTAAGTCCATTGTTTTTGTTCCATCTATGTCCAATGCAAATAGTTTTTCTGAAGGATCAGTGCAGAAGCTTCCGCCATCAACCTCTATGTCTCCAAACACGCCTGCTTCTGTTGTGTATCTGATTATTAGTTTTCTGTTGGACAATATAAGTTATTGCATGTCACTTAACTTTGCAAACTGCTCTATATAATATGACATAACTTTTATTGATTCGTTTTAGGTATGTATGAACACAGACAATGTGTTTCTCACACAACATATTTAAAAAAAACTCTACTAGCTTTTTATGAATTTATCAAACATAGAGCTGATCAATTAAAAAAATTCACACATATAGATAGGATAAGATTTTTATACCTAATAAGGAGGAAGGGGCAACCGTCCCGGGCAGCACGATGTATGGGGCAGCATATCTAAGCTGTAGGGTTCTTATTATTACACATGTTTTTCATGATGTTATTTTATTCAAGTAAAAGCTGAAATTACATTTATTGTCTTTGATTGATTGTAGTGATGGTGAGTCAACAATGGCTGACTGCCGATTCCCGCCAATGTTGCACGATTTAGCGGAATCGATACTCCAATTACTATTACAAACATTTTATTGCCATTTATAACAACATTTATAATTTGTTTATACCCGGAATCATTTCTGAAGTTAGGTATAAAGGGGATCATCATCAGAAACTTCTATTTTATTTTATATTCTGTTCAAAAGAGTTGCGATAAAAGGACACAACTTAGAAAAATCACCTTCTGGCACTGTCTTTACAAACAAAATCATCTCTTCTATCCCCATTAACGTCTCCAAAGTAAATATCTGCACTTGCACAAGGTGAAATTTTACCTTTCCAATGTAGTTCTGTCACTGAACCAGAAGTTGTTGTATGTCCAATTGCACTGAAACATTAATTGGTGTCAACAACTCGCAGAAAATCGTATACAAATAGTATCCTTCATGGTACAAACTAATACCCTTCAATGCGAAGTGGATTTTATAAATTAAGATTGAGTAGCAAAAAAAGGGTTGACGGTCATCAAGGTCTACAGTAATTTAATTATTGTCACTGTATGCACCAGACAGAAAAAATCTCAGTTATGGTATAGGTAAATCACTGTCTAATAACTTTTTTACTGTATTAACTCTCTGTACTACTTTTTACTGTTTCAAGTCTCTTTTTATTCAGTACAAATCAACTCCTAATAGACCACTCAAGACAACTCAATACTATTACCCTTTACCTCAAAAGTTAGTACGAACGAATAAAAAAGATATGAAAAGTGAAGAGCTTGACCATAAAATCCTTAGTGTATCCATGATTCTTCACAGATTTTCAAGTTTTAGTTTAAAACGTTCATCAATTTTAAAGGATAGTCAGTTGGCTTACACATTTCCGTCCAATTCAATACAAGCTGCGTCAGTTCTTCTATCTCCATTAAAATCTCCAAAATACCACTGACTACCTGCCCCACCACATAAATCTGGTACACTGTCTTCTTTTACATCAAACAAGCTGGTATCTAAAACATTTTCGTTTAATAGATTAATAAAGAATATTATCAATAACAAATCATTGTATTACCAGGTTTTAATCATTTTTAGTAGGTATGGTTGTGACCATGCAAACAAAAATGTATGTTGATTTTAAATATGCTTTGTGATAACTCAACCACATAATAAGCACTGTGGTCTCATAGCATTTACAATTATTATTACTAACAAAAAATTCACACTTGCTAAATGAAATTTTACAGCTAATATCTACTGTTAGATCATTTTAACTACAGCTGCCTTGTGTGCCTTAATTATGGTCAGAAATATTTTGATTAGAAACCTGAGACTCCACTATAATTTTCTACGAATAATAAGAATCTCACTCTCATCCATTCCATCTGTCCCTCTGTTTGTGCTACACAATCCAACATTACAATTCTCTGTTTCTGACTCAGGATTATAACAGAATGTCCTACATGATCTTTGCCTGCATAGCAGAGATACCTCATTATTTGAACGAAGAACTGTACATGTGTGTAACCACTTATAAACAAGATTTAGAAGCCACTAATTATGAAAACTTGACACTAGAAATATCTCATTGGGCCCTAAAATAAATTTGAATTTCCCTCAGCTTTCAATATTTATACATAAGAAGCAAATACTTCCATCTTTTAGAGAATACAACATATACACCAATATAGAACATTTATCACTCATTATTTCATTCACCTGACTCTCGTGCCATCACAAGTAGCTGAACAACTTGACCAAAGTCCCCAATCTCCTGCATTTTCAGGCGTGGTTGTTGTTGTCGTTGTTGTGTATAATGCTGATGAATATGATTCAGGTGTTGTTGTTGTTGTCGTGTACAATGTTGATGAATATAATCCAGGTGTTGTTGTCGTTGTCATGTACAATGTTGATGAATGTGAAAAACTTTCACTCACTGTGCATGAACCAGTATTGCATTCTCTTTTTACTGAGTTTTCGCCCAGGCAAAGCGACTGTCCGCACACTTTAAACCTTAATTAACAAGAATAGTCAAGAATATTGGATCTCTATTTTTTTTATAGTTTTCTGAATTTGAATATAAGCATTTTCGGTCTTAATGTGACTCCCCACTATTGATTTCCATGCAATTAGCTCATATTTACATATTTGAATTCTACTGGTAACCACATTCGAGGTCATAGTTAACTATATAATTATCAACTCGTCCTAACCAATTTCGAAGTCTGACATTCACCTAGTCTGAGTTCCGTCACAGGTGGCGGTGCAATCAAGCCAAACACTCCAAAACCAATCTTGATCTCCACATCTTCCTACATTGCATTCTTCTTTCACAGGAGACGAACCCTCACAATAATTATTTTCACACAATCTTTGCCTGTAGAAAAAATATATCAAATTTGAACACATAAAAACTAATTGAATTTTTTAGTGCATAGATGGCAAGTAATAGAATCAACTGGCATAATTAGTGAGAATATAATTGGATGCAATTGCTTAGTGCTTAGCATTTTGAAACCAGCTATATTGACAAATGATAAATAGGAAAATGAAATAAGCATGTGAAGATTCTAGATATTTTTAATAAAACATCCATCAGTAGCTCTGATCAGGGTTAAGATGCAGGAATCAGATTGAAACGAATATCTTCAAATAGAGATCATTTTTTTTTTCAATTCCAATTTACCGTAAATCATGTTCTACAATATTAAAAACTTTGAGACAAAGTGTATTAAAGACATACTCAGTGCAATCCCAGATTACATCGGTTGAATTCTGCTGGCTTGTAGAAAATTGATTGCTAACCAATGTTCTAATAGATTAGTTACGCTATGCCAATAAACATATGACTGCAGTGACATCTTGCCAGGAGCCTTATTTGTAGCAAACATCATAAAATATTACAAGTAAAACCTGTAAGCATGCATTGGTGCATTTTTTTGCGTCAATACCACTGCACACAATGTGACTTTATTAAATCTTGGCATTAAAGTGATCGCTCAGAGTTGTGTGTCTTCTCCTTCTGAGTGAGTGTGCATGACCAAATTCTCTTATGAAGAAAATAAACATCACCTGGATCGTGTACCATCACAGGAGGCAGAACATTGTGTCCATTGAGTCCATGTTATTTGTTCAACAGGAGCTGTTACTGCACAATCAGTATTGCAAAGGCCATAGTATGGTATTTGATTAGGACATATTTGACCATCACACAGTTTCTGTCTGATATAGAAGATAAGTTACTATTTATAATTCAAATACCGTTTCGCAATCATATCTTCATGAAGGTTTAGGCCCAAATTCTCAACCTAAAATACAGTTGAAGAAATGTATTTTTGTTTGGGAATATAGCAGAAAAATTAGTGGATTCATGTTCAAAGATAAGAAATGTATACAATACATATATCACCTCACTCTTTTTCCATTACAAGTGGCAGAGCATGTACTCCAAGCTCCCCAAGTTGTAGAAGTCTCAATTTCGATAACACAATCCTCCACCATACTTCCCTTACTAGCATCACATTCTCCAAATACAGTACATTTACGTTCCCTGCAAAAATGAAACATGAAATTGTAAATTATGGTTTATCATAGTACAAGTTGGATTAAAGCAATGATCAGTGCAAGCAATTGTGGGTACAAGCAACTGATTCTGAAACCCAAGTCGAATCCATTCCCTTGGATAAGTCTAACTGGTTAATGAAACTAAGTTGGTTAATGAAACGTTTGATTCATTCCATTTAGATTAGATAATCGAAGTTTTTGACGAATGGGAATTTTGTTCAACTTTTCCCTGACACTGGTAGATAGCTGTTTACCCAAAACAGAAGGAACCAGTGGCTCATACAATAGTTTTTTAATATAGGATAATATTCATAAATTTTTTAAGAAAGCCATTGAAAATCTACACGAAATATATGGTACCCCCGTAGTATGTGAACCAAGATGGCGGACACCGGAACGTAGTATGTGTACCAGGTCGGGTTAGGTCATAATTTTATTCCAATTTTCCTTATTTTAGTTCTATTACGAGTTAGAGGACTAGCCAAGTGACTCTCATAGTATTTGTACCTGAAATTATGGCCTAACCCGAACCAGGTACACATACTACGGAAGTACCAAATATATTGCTTAAAATAAAATCATCAAATAAGTACACACTTAAATCGATATTGTCCTCCATATTTGTTGATACATTCACCCCACTCTCCCCATTCTTCCCAGACACCCCTGGGTGGACAAGCTGCCGCAGATTCACAAGGTTCAGTTATACTTGGTTCTCCTGTAAATGAATAGATTGAGCAACAAAGTAAGAATGCAAAATATGTAACACAATAAAAACATGCACATAAGGCTTGCCAAATCCCTCCAGTTTTTTTAATTGGTTACCAAACTTTGGGATTTGAGTTGACACAATTATGAGTGTGGCATGCAGTATCAATCCTTGCTAAAAAGTTACTTCTAATCTGCCATAGTTTATAACTCAACACATAAAATGATTAAATCTGTTGATCTTATTGTGAAAGAAGTATAGTGCTTATATTTAACATTCAGCGATGTTAGGATCGTTAATGTACACACAAATATGGTCACACAACCTGTTGATCATTAAACACACATAACATAAAAACTTTCCCCTGTAGTAATTTTATGTTAAAGGGTTCTCAAGTAGGAGTAATTCTACCCCTTTAACCCAGCAGTAAGGGTCAATTTTGCATGTAAGAAAGTACGTGACCCAGCTTAATAGGTGTTATTATGCTCTCAATATGAATAGGCCATATACCTTTAAGTTTGCCATTCACATATTTTATTCACAGCATACATGGGATACAATACAACCAATAGTATATAGAATTGAGGGGTTAAATTCGACTTTTGAAATTAATCAGGGGGTAAATAAGACAGTAATAAAGGTTAAGAATCCCTATGGTAATAGATAATTCGTTCTAATGCATTGCCGTCAATTTGTATTAAAGAAATATGATGAGTCACAAGTTCAAAAACCTCAGTCTTATTTGATTTATTACTTTGTCTAAAAAGCTCGGAATTAAAATTGAAAATTCCCTAGTTAATCATAATTAGTACCAGGGCATCCAATGCCATGTTTTCCTTCAGCATTTTCGCATCTTCTATATTTGTATTTTTCTCCTTTTCCACAAGTTGCATCACAGTGTGACCACTCGCTCCATTCGGTCCATGTCGCTGAAGATCAGAATTAAGTATTAGTGACTTCTACAAATAAAAATTACTGTTGTGCCTCGTAAACTATGAATACATCAAACTTTATTGTTATGTAGCAAGACCGTCACTGGATAAGATCTGATATTATCGATAAATGAAAATTTCAATGACACAATTTCTATAAACATTTTTGGGAGAACGAAACAAAACAGCTTGGAATAGAGATATTGGGCAATGTAGTTTATGTACGAAAACAAGAACAAATAAAATCAATGTGCTCATCAATGGCTAAAACGATATATTTCAATTTTGGTATAGTTTACAAAAAAATTATTTCAAACAGAAATATCAAATGTATTCAAGTAATGTTCAACAAAGAAATTAGTACAAAAATTAATACTAATTAGAATTTGCAGTAAAGGTAGGCGAATATGAACATTCTCAAAATGTTTTTTTTTATCTGCTGTTATAAAAAGCTGACTGGAGGCTAATTTTTATTATGATTGCATTCAATCTCAGACATGTGATCAGAAAATTTGGCCAAAGTTTATTTTATCAATGTTGGTGTGCCGAAGAAATATTATTCTATCTTATAGATCTATGATTATTAGAATCCTGCCAAGGGAAGGAAGATTCGAACCCTGTGGAAAACATAGGATAATAAGCTGTGTGTGGATTTTTATATGATCAAGTAAATTTGAAAATTTTTTACCGGTTGTAACTGGATCGAGGCAGTCATAAAGTTTGTTAACTTCAAATGCATCATATTCAGTGAAATCATGATCTTCTGTAAACTTGAGTACTTTTTCTGTTCCATATTCAACCACGGTATAAGCATTTTTTGCTTTCATGAAAAATGTACTGAAGTATTGCATCACTGACCCAATATCATAAGGTACTCCAATTTTTATGGTTGTATCTTTCTTTAATTTGATAAAGTTCATTTCCTTACCTACAAATTGAAATAAAATAATATAGTTAATATTCCTGAGGTAATATTTGGACAAATCTGTACACAAAATTTAACAGACCCATACAATTTATCGGTCCAACGTCACCGTAACAAATTAAACGTTCTTATCTTGTTAAACATGCCAATTATAATTCAGTGGAGTCAAGACTTTATAAAAAGAGCTTGTATTATAACCCTGAAATAGGATTTTTGTAAATCAACTTTTTTTTTAAATCCTTAAAATAGATCTGTTTAATAAAACCCTGATTTAAAAGTATTACTGAGCATACAATTATTCCTGCGTATATTATTATTTATTTGAATAAGCTTACACATTTAGCCTTGATAGCAAAAATCCGTTAACGGATAATCTATGAAACCTTAACTTAGCAGTGTGATGCACTGGGCTGAGAATATGCCTGCCACTTGCACCAATAATTACCCTGTGTGGGTTTGCGGTTCAAATCCTGTGGAGAAGAAATTATGTGCAGGAGGATGGTTGGACTCCAGCCACTATGAAGTGTTTTAGGTAACCAACTGCTGATTGGTTACAACTTCCACTACCATTAAGTCCATGCATCTTAAATCAAACTCTGGCGAACTAATCCTATATCCAACATGGTCTGGTAACTGGATTAAAGCCTGTGGTTTTACATATGACAGGATGATCGAGCTTCCCCTCCGCAGGGATAAATAGGTAAATCCTATCCTACCTTCTTTTACGTTATCCATTCTCACCGTAACATATGCATCTCTATCAGCTCTTGTATGTTCATGCTCGAATCCAAGCAAATGCTTGAGCTCATGATGAACAGTTCTCGATAGATCACATCCCCAAGCAAGCGAAACAATCTGCGGGGACTCATAATACTCGAGGCTACCAACCAATGATCTGAAAAAGATGCATTTTCTTTTAAAAATATAGGAATGAGGTTTTTTCCAAGAACTTAACATACGAAGAATTTTCTACTCAATAGCTGTCTCCCTGATGTCATTAAAATAAACTTTTTTCCATACAACGCTTGCTCGTACTTTTTGCGTTGAATAGCCCTTTACAAGCATTCACTGATATTGATACTGAGCTATACAAAATTTCGGTTCGGAAGTCATTGACTTCTGGGCCAAGGCTGACAGACCACATTCATTCAGCCAGCCAGGTTGTTTACTGTGGATTGTGCTATGATGAGTTTGCATAGCATAGCATTGTGCTATGCAGACTTTTAAACTATTAGTATTTTATAAAGGTTGAAGTATGATTTGTGATTTTGATTAGACTGCACTGTCCATCTACATCTCGATGTAGGGTTCGCGACTTTCTCTAGCGTATGTATCAAATCTTGCACTTTGGGGGACATTGGTGTTGAGTTCTTTTTTTCATAAATCGCAGAACTGTTATTCTAACATTCAGTGCAATATTTGAATATTTTACCCAGCACTACTATGTATCCAGTAATTAATTATTGACTTGATTGATTTTTTGTGAATATACTTGCTTTTTATTTATTATGTAAAGTATACCAAAATCTGAACTTGGCTGGTATTAAGTTTGATGAAAAATATTTGCGATCTGCAATGTGAAAAAGGCCGATCATACTAAAAAGGTTGGGCAGGTCTGTATCTCTACCCCGATCCGCAATGTGAAAAAGGCCGATCATACTAAAAAGGTTGGGTAGGTCTATATCTCTACCCCAAAATAGCTGTCCATATAGTTTCAGTATCTTTTGGCATATTAGTTCTCCCTTGTTTCTTCGCTCAGACATCAATCTCCTAAATTTTAAGTGCGCAAAACCTAGCTTTGAGCAATCTACCTTAAAATAATATATATCGAAAGGCTGAAAAGCAAAAAAATGCACATAACGGGTATGTTCGTAACGGGTATGTCACTTGGGCATCGCAGCTGCATTTAAAAGTGGTTCAGACACAATTCGAGAGTTCTTTATCAGATACAGGGGCGTAGCCAGAAATATTCAAAGAGGGGGGGTTCTGAAATTTTTTTGCCAAGTTAGATCGAAACTGCTAGCGGGTCCGATCGAACGCTGGAATAAGCGTGTTTTTAGTAGTCTTGTGTGTCTGAAAAGCATTTTAAGCTACGAAAAATTGCTATCTATGATACAGAAAAATGGTTTTATTTTTATTTTTTAATTTCAAAAGGGGGGGTTTCCACCCGCAAAACCACCCCCCTGGCTACGCAACTGATCAGATACGAATAAAAAATCCATGCAAAAGTCGTAGTGAACATTACTGACAGAAATATTCAAGATCTTATTGATACTCACGAGCATCCAAGATCAGAGTTGAATGTAATGTAATGTTTTTCATTTGTTTTTGGTACAAAATCAATACATGTAGTTTCTGAGATTCTTTTGATAACTTTTTCTATGACAGCAACCTTACGTTTTTCTAATTTAATAAAAATAAACTTCTTCAGTTTTCTGTCAACCAACATTTTTTCCCACATGTTGCAAGACATTTTAATCAGGGGAAATTTTTCAATTACAGGTAGGTAACAATCAATTTCAAATGTAATGACTAGTTTTGTTGGATTAAAAAAATATAGTGCACAGTCAGGCATCATCTACATAACTACTGACTGAATAAGTAAAAAAGACTTGTACATAATTTGGTCTTGAAATTCATCACTGAGACAGACAGCTGAAAACAGTTTGAATAAATACAATATTCTTAATTACTCGTCTAATCGAAATTTAGAAAAAAACTTAAAAAAAGTCCAGACTTTTTCCAAATATTATTATTTTGTAAAATTGATCATAATACACTATTTTAATATAAAATGGGAAAATTGTTCAATGATAAAACGTTAAATGATTAAACTGGAGCATAATAAACTCAGTGCAGGTAATTGCAAATCTCACCCAGTGAAACGGCAGGATCAAAAACATATCCTATCTGATATCTTCCATTTACTTCATGGTCTTTCCATAATACAGTGGTAGATTCAGCCGATCCATAAAACAGATCAAAATCGTCCTCATCAACATATCCGTACCTCTACAGAAAGTATTGAAAATCAGTAGTGTCTTATATTTAACATAGAATATGAATTCTACAAATTGACAGAATTAGAAGATTGATCCCTAAGCAAAGTTAGGGAAGATGATCAAAGTGCCAACACCCACTGACGCCATGAAGAATTATAGAATTAGAAATATAGTGTAGTATTGTGTGAGAGGATCATGTCAATATGATCAGAAAAAAAACTATGATGTAGTAAATTCAATCTTACTGAAATTCTTGGGACAGAACTTTGAGCATAAAAATTGTAGACACATTATCAATAAATTTGTGGAAGACAGCTTTAGGGCACATCTGAATATCTACTCGATAAAAGATTCCAATTTGAAAAGAGCACATTATGCTAATTTTTTTAGTGTGCGATCCTCTATTTATAAGCTTGTGGTAAATTTTATTCACAAATGAATTGATAGAAAATAAAATTACTGAAAGTTATTGGTTATGAATATGATACATGCTATTGGCTACACACTATTCCAACAGAAGGTGAAAAGTGTGAAAAATAGAGAAAGAATTCAAATAAGGCTGAAGTAATCGTTTTACATGACTAATATCCGTATTTTCATGGCATTTGGACCAATTGCAAAGAAATAGAAAAAATTCAGCAACAAATGTGAAACCTTTGATTTTATGATTTTTCGTTTTTTTTATTTGATAAGTCAAAAAAAAGACATTTTTGACAGAATGAATTGAAGATGGTGAAAATGGGTATAAATTCAGAATAAGAAGACCTACTTCGGACATGGATTTGACCTGCGAAGGAAGGAACCTCACATCCCCTTGGAAAAGTCCGGCAGGTGCACATTCGCAACTAATTTGACATCCAGTTACAGGATCACTTTCAAAGTCGAATGGACAGGAAGTATCACAAACTGATGAAACGAACGTACAATTTGACCCTGAATAAGAATGGATTGATTCGCTGTGCTTGCAAATTAATAGTGATTTGCGAAATGACACAAATATATAATAACGAAAGGTACAAAATTCATGTAGGCCTAATGAAATAAAACTACCTATACGCAGCTGTCTTTTAAAAGTAATATTCAAATTTATAAATCTTGAATAGAAAACATACTCAAGCAGGCATTTGCTTCTATAGCTGAAGGATTTTCAAGTTCACATGACATTTTTTCAAAAAATCTTGGATCAATGGAGTCATCTCCTGAAAAATAATTTATATAGTTTCAACCAACCAATTAAATATCACTATATGTTCAGTCATAGTCTAATTTATTTAAAGTTTTATGATATATAACAAAGGCACGAATATTTAGTATTCAGCATTAAAAAGCCCAGTTTCGCTATCTACACAGAGTCACTACTGAAGTCAATATTCGTCCCGCGTTGTACGTCAATCAATAAGAAAGGTCACTTCAGATGGGTTATACAATTACCGGGTCAGGCGAAATAAACTGCTATTTAACGCCAACCATGGGCTGTAAAATAAACGCCGTGACTTCTCATTTAACGCCAAACATAAATGTAGTGTGTATCTTTCAAATTTTCCAAAATGAAGTCTGTCGTTGTTTGGCGTTATTTGAGCACCTATCGCGGTGTATTTCGCTATACCCCACTTACCTTGCATCAGTAGCGCAAGTATAGCTACGACTATGCCGATCACAACCAAGAGAAAAATAACCGCAATAATCAGTATCTTCTGATCTGAGGAAAGAAACAAAAGAATTGATTTTGAATGGCGAATATCATCATAATATCTACGCAAGCGACGTCAAAGCACAGCATAATTATCTAACCTTGCCACATAGAAACTATGTGAATAACACGACTAGAAAAAGCTCTGCAAAAGGCATTGCACATTCGCAATTTTCTGTGAATGTGCAATGAATATACATTTGAAATAGTCTCCGAGGCAAATTTACCACTAACTAAAATCGGCGAAGTTCTTCGGAAATAATTATGCGATTATTAACAGCTTACAGTCGTTGTCAAGTTGCAAGTACGAAAAAACAAAAATAAGATACCTCACCGGCACTAGATTTCTTTGACTGCTTTTCCATTTCTGTTGTAAATGGTCACGCCGCGATGATATCGTATACTTATAGGAAAAACAAACGTCCAGCGGTGTCGAACCACCGTGTGGGATAGGATAACGAACAATTTTCTAAAGTTTGAATTAATGCTTGTAAGGAGACAGCTGAGACGTGTTTTCGTGGACGAGGTTTCTATACGCAATGTTGCGACCTGGCTCACTGCTGAGCTGCCAGGCTCATACAGATAACATAAGTAATATGATCATCTGTACTTCGATAAAGGCTTTTAAACTGTCTAAGTTATCGACGTAAGAACGGGCATTTACGCAATCACTTATGACATCATATTGCATATTGCGACATGCATGCAGCATTTGGAACTGAACTTGCTTCACGAATACAAACAATTACAGTGAAATCATTTTAGAAAAAGATATTTTTATATTCAATGTGTCATCTATGTATAAATATATTATATCGTTCTGTAGTGGACGGGGTCTCGTACTTCGTCCACGTCAACCAGACTGGCCTGTCAACTACCAGCGTCGTTTACTCCCGGCGTCTGTTTCTCTTCGTTTTTCTACAGACTGCTGTGCACGATGTTATCGCAATTAATACGTAATGTGACCATTCACAATAACAATGGACAAGCAGCCAAGGAAAGCTGGTACGTTTAAAGATTTTGCTTCCAAATTATGACTGGCCCCAATTCCACTGATGAATCACCACTATAGGGTGGGATAGGCTATAACCCGCGCTATACGGAGTTAGTATAGTCTTGTTAGATTAAAGACTTGCATTTCCTTGGAACCAAAAACAACGTCTAGCTTATATCCTGAATTACCTCTGGGTGTATTTTCTCGTTTGATATAATTTTGTTATACCTTGCTTTGTTATTCATTGTGTAGCAATTGATTTTGTAGGAGATGACTCAATTGATCCAAGATATTTAGAAAAATTGTCATGTGAACTTGAATTTCCATCACCCGTCGAAGCAAATGCCTGCTTGAGTAAGTTTTTTCAATTTCTTTTATTAATATTCTTTTATTTACATAAATATTCGCACCATTTTTCATGTTATTTTTGCATCATTTCAGTGATTCTTACTAATTTTTACACTTTTTCAATATAAAAACTTGCACCTAGCTTGTACAATTCATATTGAAGCACATCAAATCAATCCATTTTTTATTCAGGGTCAAATTGTACGTTCGTTGCATCAGTTTGTGATACTTCTTGTCCATTCGACTTTGGGAAAGATCCTGTAACTGGATGTCAAATTAGTTGTGAATGTGCACCTGCTGGACTTTTCCAAGGAGATGTGAGGTTTCTTTCTCAGGTCAAAGGCATGTCTGAAGTAGGTATTCTTTTTTACATTTGTACCAATTTTCATCATCTCTGATTCATTCTATTAAAAACATTTTTTTAAAACCTTGAATACTATTTTCAAATAAGCAAAAACAATGAATCATGAAAAAGAAGTTTCATGCATATGCATTCCAAACTTTTCAAATTATATTCTGATCGTAAAATGTTTGTCTAGTTTTAAATATTTGTAGAACGCATAGGTTTATCTACGTTGAAAACAAAATGTTACTGATTTTTCCATGATCTCTGTAGAAGTATGGATATGCTGATGAGGATGATTTTGATCTTTTTTATGGATCCACTGAATCTACCACGACATTATGGAAAGACAATGAAGTGAATGGAAGATATCAGATTGGTTATGTTTACGATTATGATATATCATCTGGTGAGTTTCATTATATTTATGTGTGTTAACAATTTGAGTTAAAATTTTGTTAAATAACAGATTACGTTATGAAATAGATTTTTATTGAAAAGTTTGAAATTTCCTTCGGATTAAATTGTCTTGCAACATGTGAGATGAAATGTGATTGGTTGTAAGAAAAACTCCAACAAATTGTCATTGAATCAAGACTGTCTTTCATTTGGAACAAGACAGAGTAGCGATGGTAGAAAAAGTTGTCAAGATGGTCTCAGAAACCACATGTATTGATTTTTTACCAAAAACAAATGAAAAAATTTATGTTAAGTTTGACACTACTGATGGATTTTCGTGAGTATCAATTTGATTTTGAAGATTTGATCCTGTAATGTTCACTGAAGCTTTTTAATCCCCCGGTCATGAATTACTCTTGAGTTTCTCTGAATCATTTGTAAATGTCTGCAATGCGCAAGTGACAATTTCCGAAGCGACGGTAATATGTAGGCCTACATTTTTGTATTACAGTTTTACCAGGCTTGTATTTTTTAGGAGTATGCTCAATGAAAGTCAGGTGTACACAGAAATGGAGCTACGTGCTGAAATGTCAAGATTATTGGGACTATATGGAATTATAATGCAGTATTCAAAGTTAGGAAATATCGATTGATTCGAGGATCAAATTAGTTCATGTTAATACGATCAGCGAAAAAACTATGATAGTGAATTACACTTATCTGAAGTTCTTAGAAATCAAATTCTGGCATGGGTCATGATTGTCATACTGTTGTTTGAAAAAGCATTTTAAATGTATCTTCCAGATACTTCCTCAATTTTCGTACTCCTGGTCTTTAATTAGAAAACAAGAAACGTACGAGAGCCCGAAGACTGTTTCGCTAGCAGGGGGATGTGGCACCTTGAAGACTGTTCATCATGAGCTCAAGCATTTGCTTGGATTCGAGCATGAACATGCAAGAGCTGATAGAGATGCATACATTACAGTAAAAAGGGAAAACATTCAAGAGGGTTCAAAACATTCAATCTGCAATACTTCATTTAAAATAAAAACAAATATTAAATCTAAACTCTTTCAAATGAATCTTATTAAGGCCGTAAAAAAGTTTGGACAAACCATTTTCAGGATTTTTGCTCGCGTCCCTTCATTAACATCCCTTCACACTATCACTTCAAACAAGACCACCGAAATATAATAGGCATGTACGAATACTGTTCGAAACTGTTCTTTCACTTTAGCATTCTATCCAGATTGTTATTTATCCTATGGGTTTTACTGAATTAGAATGAATTTTTGAGGCTTAATTAAAAGCTCAAATAAACAGTTTAAATTTGAACTTGGAAAAATCTCACCATATGTAACGAAAAATATGTAAAAAGTTACAACCTCGTGCAATATCGCAGGGAAATTAAATAAGGAAAATTACAGTTTCTGGCTGCACAGCATTGACCACTTTGGCCAGTACTACTTTATATTTTGTTCCAATTTCTAGGTATGGAATACAACTTTGTTAAAATAGAAAAAGGTAATGCCATAAAAATTGGAGTACCTTAAGAACTTACATCAGTAATGCAATACACAAGTAATTCTTTCATGAAACGACCGGGAAAATGTCCTTTAGTTGAATACGGAACGGAAAGAGAAATCAAGTTTAATAAAGATTATTCATTTACTGGATATGATGTATTTGAAGTTAACAAACTATATGACTGCCTGGATCCAGTTTTAACCGGTAAAAAATTTCAAATCAGATTGGTTCAGTTCAGGGGTTCTCAACTTTTCAGTTCGCGGACCAGTAAAATTTCAAAACAAATTTTGCGGACCGGCGGACCTTCAAAATTACCCAAAAATGTCATGAATACAAAACATAATCGAAAGACTACAATTACGATAAAAGTAGGCGGTGAAAAAGAAGACAATCCAATTTAATGAGAAATTCCCTGATGTCCTTATACGTGTTAAACCCGCTTCTAATGAAGTCCCTGCAAGGCGAAGTAGAGCTCTTTGAACTAGATAATACTTTGCTGTTTGTTTGCCTCCATTTTACTATCAAACCTCGCTGAATTATAGGCCTACTGTCCAATTACGGAACATGCGAACTGTGAAGTTCTTAATCTGGTACCGTACTATGTGCTATCAAACTCCAATGTTTTGACGTTAGTCGCCGTTATGAGGTTACATTCTTAACGAACATCCAGTCGTTCAGGGCCTAAATGGACAGAGGACCTCTCACCAAGTATGGTTGTTAGACAAATACATCAATGATAGTTAAAAGAAATCATAAAATGAATGGACATGCTGTCAATACTTTTGCTATACAATACAATACAATTGCTTATAATATATTTGGCGGGCCGGCAGCAAGGTTGCCGCGGACGGGCGGTTGAGAACCACTGGTTTAGTTATTTGATAGTAAGTACAGTTTGCTTGAGTTCTAGTTCCAAACTTCTGGCAAACTAACATAGATAAAAAAAAATTCAGCCAAACATATGAACAAATATGTCTGGGATTGACGAATGGCAATCATATAGTAGGGCGGGGGATGATGGCCCCCCTTATTGAAAATTATCTCTATTTCGAAAACCTTTCTTCAAATATTCCTAAAACTTTGCAAGTACAAACATAAGGGGCTGAACTCTTTAGCCACTCGGCGGCGTCCGCCGGCCTCCAACCATCGCAACAGCAGAAACGTTTTTAAACGAAAAAAAAATTTGGGGAAGTTGGACATATGGTCGGATATGACGGACATGTGATAAAATCGCATCAAAATACTAGTATTGCGTTCTGTTTCTTATCAGAATATCAAAATAAGCAATGTATTTGGAAAATTTTTTGGGGCATTCGAAAATTCCCCCTATGTTCATCTTACCCCTTAAATTTTTGAAGTTGTGAACCCATATAATTGTTCACGAAAGTATGATAAAACACCACCTAGTAAAGCAGCCAAATTTTATTTGATCATACTTTCATCACACACTTAATCATCACACCAAAAGAACATCTGGGATAGCATGAAAGCTATCGTCATGGAATTTTACATTCGAATGAAAATATTTATACAAAAAAGCTTCAAGCAGAGCAGTCATCACATTGGAAGGACACAATGTGTTTTCCATAAATCCCGGCACAAATATCGTGAAGCCACTTTTGGCATTTCTGGCACTGAATCCATCCCTCGTCCTCTTCGTCGTCAAAAAAATTGCCGTTGCAGACAGTACAGAGGTTACTGTAACAATATCTTTCATGTGGCTCATTCTTAGTTTATTTTCTTTTTTCTTCCTGGGAGCTGCAACTTTCTTAGACGAGCTAGATGACATCGTTTCTGCGAGTGCTGTAGTTTTCCTGAACGAGCTAGGTGGCGTTGTTTCTGCGAGTACTGACAGTTCGGCTACATATTTCTCACTTGTTAACACTCTAATTCCCGCCTGAATGGCTTTCTTTGCCTCTTGGCTCTCTGAGTGGCTACTGGAAGAGGCAAATATATTCAAATGATAAACTGGTGCTATCAGGTCTCTGCTATTTTCTTGCCTCAAAGAATCACTGACTTTATCAGAAACTAACTGAACTCCTGGTGAAGTTCTACTTGAAAAAATCGTTAGAGAGCACAGAGCAGCATGGTTCACTTGTAACACTTCTACCTCTGTCGTGGTGTTAACCTCATGAGATGGTACATCGTAGTCTCTATTTGTTATTAGCCTCTGTTTGATATTCTTTGGTATTTTCTCAACATTCTTTAGGATTTTCTGTTTCCCGTGCATCCAAAACTTGCATCTGGAAAAACATGATAGTACATAAGGGTAAGATGGCCACCCCCCATAATTTCATAAGATTATCCAAGAAGTGTTTTGACAGGTAAAAGCAATAACAAAATTAAAAAGAAGACTTTCTGGTATCTTATTCACAAAGAACGGGTTTGAACGGTCAAAGTAAATATAAGCCCGAAAAACGCAAAAAATTTATTACCCCCTCATAACCCCCCCATTTTTACATGATCACATGCTGAAAGATATAGTTAGCTGCTAGATGGCACAAGTCGCTCAGTTAGTCCTAAATCATTGTCAGTAAGTATAAACTTACCAACAAACGCGCGATTCAGAGTTCCTTCGCTGAAAATGAGCATATAGTGCCTCCAAGAAAAACGTGTCCTTACTAAATGCCCTTTTTTCACCCTTCAAAAATCACAAGCCACGTGGAAAGCTACACAACTGACGAACTACGCCAACCGCTGAACCGAAATGGCTAGAACGAATTCCCTCCTTAGCAACGAACTCGGCAATGGCATTTGCAGAACCAAGCCCCATAAGATGTCGCCAATAAGTCAGTTTGAAAAAAAGTGTCCATCTAACCCCGTGTGTCTATCTTCCCCCGCCCTACTATATTAGAATTAGACTTCTTTCAACCTATGATAACAGCAGACGAGTGAAAAAAAACGACTAATTCCCTTGTGGGAAAACTTAATTTCGAATATTATATTCAATATCGCTGTTTGAATAATAATAGAAATAGTGAATTATATTGCTCAGCCATCTTTGCATACAAATTTTGTTACTGGTCGTGGTTTTTGTCCTTTTGTGCATAACATTGATTGTGCAATATTTGCATGTCGAACTATTCTTGTTTTGTTCTCCCAGAACTTAATAAAAATTGTTTATAGAAATTGTGTCATTTGAAATTTGCCTTTAATGATGATATCAGATATTTCAAGGGACGATCTTGCCATACAATAAAGTTCAATCTATTCATAATTCACAATCACAACAGCAGTTCAAATTTATATAAATTGCTAATGCTTCATTGATCTTTAGCAACATGGACTGCGTGGGGTGATTGGTCACCTTGTGATGCAACTTGTGAAAGAGGAGAAAAATATAAATATAGAAGATGTGAAAATGCTAAAGGAAAGCATGTCATTGGATGTCCTGGTATTTATGTTTGTAAATAACTAGAAAATGCCAGGGTAGAGGGTAAACTTACCACTGGTTGAGAATCTTTGCACTAAACTAAAATTACCACACGGGAAGCTTTTAATATATATAAATATATATTCAATTGTTATGATGCTTGGTCCTAATGTGGCAGAATGTAGCCAATTGTACTTCTCTTTCCACATTAACATCAACAAATTCGATCATTTTATGTTGTGTTTTAAACGTGAGCAAATTAGAAACTACAGAATTAAAAAGATTTGACTAGTCTTTTCTACATGCTTTCATTCAGTTCCTAATAGGTCTTAATATGTTGCCTGATTTATTTATTCACAGGAGAACCATTTATAATTGAACCTTGCAAAGTTGGGACAATCTGTCCACCAACGGGTGTATGGGGAGAGTGGGGTGAATGTACAAGCAAATATGGAGGATACTATCGAACTAGGCGTGGATAGTAACAAACTCTGTTGATCTTGGGTTCGAAACTAGTGCCAACCTCCTATTTTATGCCACCGTGTTCTGAACTGGAAAAATAAAATGTGAAATTCATAAATCATACCATCTCATTTACTTGCCAAGTATAGAAATAACCAAAAAAGTATAAAACTTGAACTATTCATTATGATATAATATTAAGCAATGTATTATAATTAGATGTTCAAAACAAATTTGTTATACAGTTCTTATGAAAAACACTATCTTGCGTCTTTGACTTAATTTACCGTTTATCAAATACTTAGATCATCAAAATGGAATAACTCAGACTCATTATCAGTTAACAAGTTGGACTTAACTCAGTGACTGACTCCATTCAAAGCTCAAATGACCCATGATTTGTCTCGTTATGTGACTCAGGTTTAGCAGCTTATATCCAAACCTGCTATCTACGAGAATATTTGTCACAAGGATACTCGCTGAATAAACATGTCTGTGATTGGTTACAACTCAACAATTAATAATCTTAATCAAAGGGCTCGGGGCCCTTGCTTCAGTCTAACTTTATAATTTACAGTTTGGTATTTTTATCAGGACAAGAAAATGTGCTGTATATGGTGAATGCGATCCTTTGATGGCAAATAATATGGAGGACTGTCCTGTCGAAATTGAGCCTTCTAAAACTTGGGGACCTTGGAGTACATGTTCAGCTACATGCAATGGAAACAGAATAAGGTGGAATATATCTTGTATGTATTTCACTTCGAACATGCACCTATGAATCTTGTTATTAAATTGTTGTCAAACAAAAATACATTTCTTCAACTACAGGACAATTAGCCTATTTCTTAAATTCATTGGTGATGAAAGTGTTTCCCAAACAGCTTTTATTTGTTTGAACTTTATCTGAATTTTGCTTTATTAAAAAGGTTCCACTTTCCATTTAGAGTTGTCAAAAATGTATCGAATATTTGAATCAATTTAAAAATTGACTATATTCAATAATTTAGATCAGATTTTTGCAACAGACGGCCGGCCCACAGGGCATTTAGTGTGTTTTAATTCATTTCTGAAAACTGTAAAAAATACAGAACCAATCAAATCCTTTTCTATTGTAACTTTAATTTTCAAACTCAAACGCATTGAATATAGACATGTACTCGGTTGGAGATATCGCATTTTAGAATTGTGTCGATAATATATCATCGGCTTTGTGTCAATAAGGAATATAACTTATCTTCTATAACAGACAGAAACTATGTAATAGTCAAGCTTGTCCAGATGGAATACCTTACTATGGTCTTTGCAATACTGATTGTGGAGTTATAGCTCCATCCCAACACACAACATGGAGTCAGTGGACGGAATGTTCTGAAACCTGTGATGGCATACGCACCAGGTGATGTTTTTTTACTGCAGAATTCTTTTCTACCAGTTTTACTCAGATAAAAATTGCTCGGTAGTAACAAGATATAAATTGTTGGAAGCGTTGAAGCAAAATAAATAATAGGACTAATTTAATTTGATCTTCAGGCAAAGATTGCGTGGAAATACTTTTTGTGAGACTTCGTCTCCTGTGAAAGAAGAATGCAATATAGGAAGATGTGGAGATCCAAGTTGGGTATGGAGTAATTGGCTTCAGTGCACTGCTACTTGTGAAGGAACTCGGACGAGGTGAGTGTCTTGATCTGGAATTGGATATGTTGATAAAGACAAGCTAATTATATGGTGAACCAGGGCTTCAAATCTGGTTTCAAGTCCAATTCATGCATGTGAAAGTTAAGACAGTTGCGAGTTGCATGGACACCGAATTTGAAGAAAACAGCGACTAAATATGAGCATGTAAAATTGTAGCAAACTTGTTACAAATAAATACATTTTACATAAGACTTGGAACCTACAGACTTAAACAGACTTGGAACAGTAAACGAAATGATCAGTTATTTGAAGGCCATATTATAATTCTTGTAAAACACTGAGAACAAATCATTGTCTATCCTAACTTTTGTGCATTTTGAACTGATTTGGTATACACTGATTTCTAATACATAATTACATAGATTACAATATTTACCGGTGAATAAGTCGCTTTTCTAGACCCAAATTTTTGGCCTGATTTTTGGGGGGTCATCTTATTAGGTGAGTATCCTCATCAGGTCTGTTTAAATAAATCGGCATTCTCGCGCTGTGAATTTGGAATTTCAATGCTGTGAATATCGTATTTGAAGTTGCCGCATTTGTGTGTGCATCGCGAGTAAGGGCTATTAACGATACACTTGGGATTGCAATTTGTGAAAATCTTCAATTGTTTTTGTCAGCGTGATGTCTTATTTAAACCGTAAACATCTTTCATTTCAGCATTTATTCTCCCTAAGTCACAAATTTGCCGCGAGGAAGTTTTATTTTAGGATGGCCCCCGACAGATTAAAGATAATTTTTAGACATTGCAAATCACAAAAACACTTGTGTTCTACAATTACCGACAGGGCCTGACGCGACAATGATATATGTATAATACCGTAATTACGGTATTGCTGACTTAAGGTGTTTTCCTATCGTGAAATCCTCAAAATAATGTGTTGCAGCAACAGCTCAGATATGTTTTTAAATTGCAAAAATACGCATCAAAACAACATATAATCGTACATGTTTATGTACACGGATTGCGTTGGTATTTTGGAGCAGTGATACTATTTATATTGTGCAATCGCAGATTAAATTGATCACAATTAAATCAATGAAGCAACCAACACATTTCGTTTTGTGGAGATTTAGAAGTGTTGAATATGTATGTTTCATATGTACACTTCATATGTATATTTATTTATAAAAACTAAATATATTCAGGTAGTTTATCTCACATTATTATGTCCGCAGATTGCTGTGTTATTTTAGATCGGTAATGTATTTATATGGTGGACGCAATCGCGAGTCACGTTGAATACAACTAGATTGAAATTGAAAGACAGTTTGAATTCTCGTAGTTGTTCTGGATTGTATATTACTCTACAAGAAAAGTCATTATAGGCTATTTTAACCAATGCACAAACGCGGCGACCACTCAAAAGCCTTTGCAAGGTAATTTGAGATTCCGATGTTGATGCGATTTTACTACCCCGTCTTATTGACAGGTCTATGCAAAGAGCTATTTTTTCAGGCTTAAAAACGGACCTCGTCTTATTTACCGGGTAGACTTATTCGCCAGGAAATACGGTATTTTAGAATGCATTTGAAATGCCAAATTATTTGGTTTTGGCCATCTCTGAATCTAGTCTATATATCACATTTTTTAATTTTTTTTCCGATTTAAAAAAAGTATATTTACAATCGAAGATTTGATTTAGGGAACATATCCCTATTATTTAAATTGATTTCTGACTGTTCTTGTTAAACAAGGTATAAATTATGCGGCCAGGCACTTTGTTATGGCAAAGATCCTGCAACAAGAGAATGCAATACTAATCCATGTTCGGGCAGTGAAGGTTATTCATATTCATCAACATTGTACACAACAACAACCACAGGATCGTATTTATCAACAATGTATACATCAACGCCCCGGGATCCTATTTATCAACAATGTACACAACAACGACCCCTGGGCCATACTTATCAACATTGTACACAACAACGACAACAACAAACACGTCTGAAAATGCAAGAGATTGGGGGCTTTGGTCAAGTTGTTCAGCTACTTGTGATGGCGCGAGGGTCAGGTAAGTGAAATGATGTAAGTATAAATATTATATGTTGGTGTATATGTTGTATTATGTAAAGGTGAAATACTTGCTTCTTATGTAAAAACATGGATTATATACAGTACTACAAGTGCTGCATATTTTTTAATTGTGTTTGCTTTCATTGTAACAAAATTTGTATATATATTGGTCTTTGCTTCTATATAGATGAATATATAATAATGTATGAAAATATTTTTTTCTATACCTCTTAGAATACAGGAAACAGCACTCTGATAAGTAGTCGGAATAAGCATAAATGCATTATGGCAGGGGTGGGCACACCGCGGCTCGCCAGACTTTTTGTGCGGCTCTTCTCGCTAACATAAATTATTATCCAAATTTTAACTAAGAGAAAAACTTTAATGTAAACTCTTTTAATTTATTAAAAGTCGTAAAGAAGTTTTCGTCAATGATTTAGACAAATTATGTTTTAGTATGAAAATCGCTGTAGGTTGAATTTAAGTCAGTCAAGTCAGCAAATCTTTCGTCACAATATGCAATGTTTATTGATGCGTCGGCGGTATTGCAGCTCAATTGCGGTTAGTTATTCTAAGTCACTGTGCGATATGTCCTCAATTAAGAAACGAAAGTACGAAGATGAAAAAAGAGTTGTCAAGTCAAAATGGGAAGAAGAATACGCATTTACCAGTCAGAAGTATAAACCTTTGTGCATTATCTGCCATAAGCTACTAAGTCAGAATAAAGTCAGCAATGTTAAACGGCATCATGAATCGAATCATGAAAACTTCTTACGAGACTACCCTTGTAAATCAGCCATAAGGAAACACAAATTAAATGAGCTCAAATTGTGCATATATTTGAGCATAGCTGCCTTGTTACTTATCGATTTTAATCGGTAAGTATGTTGATAGGTATTTGTCTGTATGTATGTCTGTCTGTATGTCTGTTAGATGCACGCGATATCTCATTTATCTATTTATTGTTATTAGCCTCTTGTGTGAATTTCTTTTCTGTTCATGCTATTTTGATATTAATGATAAATTCACAAATTTTGCGGCTCTTAAAGTTCTGACTTGCAGCATGCGGCTCTTATACTAAAAAATTGTGCCCACCCCTGCATTATGGGTACATGAATACATTTCATGTCTCTCAACAAACTTTTATGTTTTACCACAATGTATATAATAGGTTTAAAATCACTTGACAAAACATACTTTGAAAATGCAGAAGCTGAAAGAATTTGAAATTTATTTCTCGTCAGATATTTCCAATTCAAGTGGTCGAGTTCCATAATTAGTTGCTCATTTATATCAGTTGGGACATATACAGGTACCTACCTAGTCGTTTAAATAGGGAATTATTTCTGCTATGCAGGCAAAGAGCATGTAGGACATGCTGTTATAACCCTGAGACAGAAACAGAGAATTGTAATGTTGGATTGTGTAGCTCAGACAGAGGGGCAGATGGAACAGATGAGAGTGAGATTTATATTTAGTTTATTTGTATAAAAATATAGTGGAGTTTCAGGGTTTTAACTTGGTGATCGTAAATCCATTAAAAATATGTGAATTTCCATCCAGCAATATGGTATCTATTAAGAAAATATTCATTCCGCTCATAATCAGGGAGCTCAAGTCAACTGCAGTTACAATGACGTCAGTATGTACCGTGATAGCTATAAAATTTTATTGAGGAACTGTCAATTTTTTTGTTAATACCTATTGACTATTGTAAATACCTAGAGACCACCGAGCTTTTTATGCACGAAGTTACCATGAAGCACATCCAAATTCATCATTAACATTTATTTTATTGATATGCTTCGTAATTATGACTATGACTAAATGATTAAAGCCTAAATTTTCATGATATCCCGGCACAAAATGTCATGAAAAAGGGTCGATTAGGCTCACGCAATGAGCATATATAGAATGAGTGGAAACTTGCAAAGATTTGCTCATTATGGCATTGTTCCCTGCATTTTTACGTCGTCCAGCTAAATGGTTCGTTGCATATTAGGAAAACGCATTGCTCGCTGCCAAAATCCCTTGCTTCAGCCGAGTCGGGTGCGAAATTGGCCGTATTAACTTGACTTGAGGTCTTTAATTCTTCAATACATATTTGATTTTGGGTTATGTATGGTACGCTGAAAGCATACAACTATGAGCATATGCTTATTGGGAATGCATATCTATTAGACAGAAAACGTATCTACAGAACAGAATATGAACCAGTCGCCGAGAGGAGTGCGGTTATTTATGTATTTATTAATTGATATAACATGGGATTTACATATTTATCCAAGGGGAGAGGAAAGCCGAAAAGAAGGCCTAAATATATGGCGAACCACGGCCTCTCTCAATCATAGCTCTGTGATCCATATGAATCACATGGCTCTGCGAGCTATTCGTTTACTTATTAAAAATACTGATTTTAACTATAAATTACTCTGGGATATCTTGCCATTGAAAACAAAAGCCAGAAATTGGAAGAAAAGCAGGGAATGAAATGTGTGTATTATGTAATGGAGAACCTGAGTTTGTTTCACATATTTTCATGTATTGTAAATTTACAAAAAATATTTATGAAGATTTTGTTTTAGATATATTAAAATTGATTAGAATACATTTTGTTATCAATATGATTCTTGTATATTATTTAATTTTAACGATCCTTTATATAGTCGTATAGATACTGTTGATTTGGATGCAATTATACTTTTGTAACCAATAGTGAGAAATATTTCATGACTGCTATTAACTATGTGAGCTATTTTTTCTGCAATGCAAAATATTTCCTTCGTCTGCTATTTACTATGTAAATTAATTTTTCTGTAATGTAAAGTATTTCCATAACTGCTTTTACTATGTGGGCTGTTTTTTCGGTACTCTCGTAGTATGTGTACCAGGTTAGGTTACGATTCTCCTTATTTTTGTTCTATTAAAAGTTCGGGAATTGTCTGTGTTACACAAGTGAATATCCCCCTACCGATAGAATTTAGTCCATTTACACAACTTGATATAAAGTAGGCGAACGAAATCAGTTACCTTCATATTGGTACACATACTTCTGGAGCACCATTTTTTTTGTAATGTAAAATATTTAATATGTGAACTAATTTTTCTGTAATGCAAAATATTTTCTACAGCTTCTGTATTTTTTATATGTCACTTTTCATTTCATCGATAATACACATTGTTCATTCTTTGTGGAGTTTTTGGTAAATTTACAGATGGAATAAGACCGACATTCAGCTTTTTCTGTTTCACAACTGTAATACAAAAAGGTATTCTTGAAGTATGTAAACCCAGTTGGTAGCCACCGGAACCATGTGTACCAGGTTAGGGTCTACTACATACAAACATTCCCAAACTTTTCAAGCCGCACCCCCTTTTTAGAATTTGTGAAGTCTTGCGCCCCACCTCCAAAATAATTAGCTAACAATAATAAGCTACAAATAACAGTAGTAAGGCGTAAGTATGTTTTATTGGAAAAACATGTGGAAAATACATGGATGGAACGAAATAAATGACAAGTTTTGATATGTATAAAATTAGCCAAGTCCAGAAGTCAGTATTTTAAACTAATAGAGAGAGAGAGAGAGATTTTTTTTCGTTCGTCAAACCATGAACATATATAAATTATAATAAAAAAAAACAGATGCTCAGGTGTTTGACTGGGAGACAACGTTACAACATTTCGGGTCATATACCAGTTTGGTGTTAAATTCTTCAATACCCCTCATATACCGTATTCACTATATACATTATTCACAAGAATTTGTGATTTGGAAAGTACTAAATAATCATGTTTTGTCCTAAGATCATCATTTATTCAGCTGATAAGTTGACATGTATTGCATATCAACTGCATAAAAATGTGTTAGCGAGGATACCTGTTATTTGGAAAATTTGTCTACTAAAAATGAATGTAATAGGACATGGATTAGGAAATAGCAATGATACCCAATAGGTTATTTTTAAATAAGTATTACCGGTACTAAAAATAAATAAAGTGCTCATATACATATAGATATTTGGATACAGAGCAAGTATCATAGAATGAAATTTAAGGCAAAAAACTGATAAAACACTAGAATAGCGAGTATAATAAACATTAGGATACTTTTAAATGAAGTATTACTAAAAAATAAATGATGTGGTCATGTACATGGGTATTTGGATACAGAGAAAGTGTCATAGAATGGAATTTAGGGCGAAATATGGATGCAAGTATGATAAACAATTTGATATTTTCATAAAAAGTGTTACTAAAAAATAAAATAATAGATTATGGAGTTCCAGCAAGTGTGCTCATAACAAATAAAAAGATAGCAATTCATTTACCACAGTGAATTAAATTCATTACACGTTACTACTTGCTATAACACAGCGGGCACATGATACCCATCGTGTTTTAAACTTTTTTAAAGGTTTTGCTCGCTCTCCAGAACTCTCCATTTTTTATTTGTTTGTATTGTCAGATTGTGGACTTTTCAAAATAAACTATCTTTATCTATATCAATGAATACAATATCCCAGGTCCCCACTTGGCTGGTTCATATTCTGTTCTGTAGATAAGTTTTCTGCCTAATAGATGGTATGTATTCCCAATAAGCATTACAGTATGCTCATTCGTTCACTCAATGAGTGATTTTAATTACGGTAAATATAAAATAATATATATAATATAAATAACTTCATATTCCATTTTGCATCCATGATCCAGTATTTATTTTGTTCAATTCCAGTAGTAATTCATACCATAATTAGGTTATTTTAATAAATGCATTGATATAAAACAATTAAAATAAAATTAGTAAATATAAAATACATATCATAAACATATAATTTTCTTTTTAAAATAATGCTTTACATAAATTTTTCAATTCCCTCTCAAATGGGTTGTTTATTCTATAATTCTCTATATTTTTCTACATATTATGGCCATTTTTATCTGCTTTTTGAGAAAGGCAAAATGTGGTGTTTTATTTTCGAATATAATAGAATTTCTCATTATCAAAATTTTATATCTCACTATTGATTACAAAAGTATAATTGCATCCAAATCAACAGTATCTATATGACTAGATAAAGGATCGTTAAAATTAAATAATATGCAAGAATCATATTGATAACAAAATGTATTCTAATCAATTTTAATATATCTAAAACAAAATCTTCATAAATATTTTTTGTAAATTTACAATACATGAAAATATGTGAAACAAACTCAGGTTTTCCATTACATAATACACACATTTCATTCCCTGCTATTCTTCCAATTTCTGGCTTTTGTTTTCAATGGCAAGATATCCCAGAGTAATTTATAGTTAAAATCAGTATTTTTAATAAGTAAACGAATAGCTCGCAGAGCCATGTGATTCACATGGAGCACAGAGCTATGATCGAGAGAAGCCGTGGTTCGCCATATATTTAGGCCTTCTTTTCGGCTTTCTTCTCCCCTTGGATAAATATGTAAATCCCATGTTATATCAATTGATAAATACATAAATAACCGCACTCCTCTCGGCGACTGGTTCATATTCTGTTCTGTAGATACGTTTTCTGTCTAATAGATATGCATTCCCAATAAGCATATGCTCATAGTTGTATGCTTTCAGCGTACCATACTTCGAAACCCAAAACCAAATATGTATTGAGGAATTAAAGACCTCAATACGGCCAATTTCGCACCCGACTCGGCTGAAGCAAGGGATTTTGGCAGCGAGCAATGCGTTTTCTTAATATGCAACGAACCATTTAGCTGGACGACGTAAAAAATGCAGGGAACAATGCCATATTGAGCAAATCTTTGCAAGTTTCCACTCATTGTATATATCAGGGATGGCGAACCACTGACCCACGGGTCACATAGTGACCCACCACGTTTTATTCGTGACCCGCCAAGACACAAATAAAATACTAACTTATCAGTGATAAAAATTGTCTGGTCTAGTTCGGAAGTGCATCCATCTTCAGACTGTTTCACGGGTTATACGAGAACCAGATGCTACTTTGCATTTTATTAGCTACTCGCTTACAATGTCGTTGAGAAAACAAAATCTTTCAGACTTTAAATAAAAACCTAGAGATCTGAAATAACAATGGAGCAGTGTGAGAGTGTTTTAAATGTGGTTGAAAGCTGATCGAAAAATATAACTTTATCAAAGTCGATTCCCTCCTAACTCTTTGTAACAGTAAAATAATTTGCCGTATCATCCTGAACGTTGTGGTAATTCATATGCATGTTTTCGTACTCATAATTTCATAAAATCGAGTGCCATAAAAACTCCCTGATAGAAGTACTGCATAAGTAAAGCACAAAACTACACCAACAGAAGCTTATAGGATTTGTTTCAGAAGTTACCTATAGATAAAAACATAGACAAATATTCGTAACCCCATTTCTCTTCTGTTCCGCGATAAAAATATAATTTTTGACCCAATCATCGGGAAAGGTTTGCCACCCCTATTATAAGTCATCAATGGTAGAACAGATATCATATTTCGCATAGAAACCTAGTTCATGAAAACGCGCATCGACTGTCTGCTTACCACTGGACATCGCCGTTATTCTGCTAGCCTAACATTAAGGTACGGTACGTAACTACGATTGTTGGGCATTGCTGGACGTCCGTTTTTCGTGTAGGCATATAATAACCATCGTGGTGTGACCATACACAAAAGCAATGGAAGAGCAGTCAAAGAAATCTGGTGCCGGTGAGTTATTTTATCAAGTTTTTGGCTTATGGTTTATTCTGTAAATCGACTGCCGTAACAAGGTAGGCTAGATTCGTGAAACAATACGTAGACTACCGGTACGCAATGCGGCTAGAGCATGCTGTTAGTGTTATTTATAAGTGATGTAGTACTGTTAGTGTACCGGTACCGGTACCCCACTAACGGTACAATGTTGTCTTGTGGAAGGCACGAAGTTCAGCAAAAATTTCGGAAATGTCTTTTCAGGACACCCAATATATTGTGGAAATTTGTCACTTGTCAATCTCAGCCATGAAAAGACTCGGCGGTGTTGCGCATCGTGCTAAGCGTTAGGAATACGCTCGCCACCGCATCTCTGATTACCCTTCATGGGATCGCAGGTTCGAATCCCATTCGGGGATGATCATGTGCGAGAGGATTGCTGGACTCCTCGCCGGCATAGGGTGGTTCACGTAACCGCTGGTCGCTGGTCACGTAACCTGGACTGGTAACCGGACGAGAGGCCGTGGTTCGCCATATGATTAAGTCGTCTTATCGGCTTTCCTCTCCCCCGGGATAAATATGTAAATCTTATCTATCATTTCAGTCTTACTAGTTGGATGTTTCAGTCGAATACTGTATTTTGTTTCATTGAGACGATTATCTGGCAATTTGAGTTCAATATTTTAAAAAATAATACCGATACCCTATCTCATTTTTCAGAGCAGAAGAAACTAATTGTTGCAGTTATTTTTCTCTTGATTGTGATTGGCATAGTCGTAGCCATACTTGCGCTCCTTATGCAAGGTAATTGTAGTATATTTAATCAAAGAAGATTTACCTCGAGAGCCGACCAGGGAAGTGATTCTTTATTCTGGATATCAAATATTTGCCTTAGTGACTGTCTTTTTGTGATTCATCGCTCATGCATCATAAGTTTGAAAACAAATATGTAACTTATATGGCAATATTTCGCATTGTTTGATTGAAAAATATATATACCGTAATTGATTTCTTAGGAGATGAATCGATTGATCCAAGATATTTCCAAAAAGCATCATGTGAAGTTGAAAATCCATCACCAATAGAAACAAATGCTTGCTTGAGTAAGTTTCTTTATTATCCTGAATATCGTTTCTCATATTTAGGTTATTTCTCTTCGTTGCACATATATTTACATCATTTGTTATTATATAAGCCCAGATCACTAGATACATTTTTTTAATACAAAAGTTGGCTTCATTGGACTTGGGTTGCAAAATACAGCAATTTGTAATTTGTATTTAGGGGTCAATTGTACGTTTGTTTCATCGGTTTGTGATACTTCTTGTCCATTCGACTATGAGACTGATCCTGTAACTAAATGTCAAATTAGCTGCGAATGTGCACCTTCCGGAATTTATCAAGGGGATATTAAGTTTGTTCCTCAGCAAGTCAAAACCATGTCTGAAGTAGGTATTGTGTTGCAGTTACGTACCAAATAAACGAACAGTAGCAGTTTGTTTGTATTCTCTCTCAATTTCCATAATTTTACTTTCTGTCGGAATTAGATGAACTAGTTGCATGTAATTTATCCCACTCATTGTGTTCAAATAAAAAAAAACAATAGCTTGCGATAAAATTTTTGTTCATCCTGTTGGAAAGAAAATTATTCTTAAGCTTACAAGTGGGCTAATTGATATACAAAATGGGTGCTATCTTCAAAAGTGAATTCTCTATCGGGTATTTTTGAATTTGGATTGAACATTTTCCAACTGCAGTTAGCAATTCATAAGTGCGGGCATTTTATTACTTTTCAATTCAGGCATTGATGGCAGAATATTAAAGCGTCGAATTTTATTAATTTGTCGAGTTTATATGCTTATCTATGTTAATATTCAATGGTACTGATTGTCAAACAATTTCTGTAGAAGTACGGATATGTCGATGAGGACGATTTTGATCTTTTTTATGGATCCAGTAAATCTGATACTATATTATGGAAAGAAAATGAAGTTAATGGAAGATATCAGATTGGATATGTTTACGATTCTACAATAAAGCCATGTGAGGTTTCATTATATTAATATATTATATTATATTATTCATTATATATATGTATCATCAATTTAAGCTATAATATTGAATTTGATTTGAACAATTTGAATTGCTATTATATATTTTATGAAAGTTTTATTTTATAAAACAACGAGGTATTTATTTTATAAAACTTGTATTGTGATAAATTTCACTCAGCAATATTTGGAACAAGTCAAGATTTTATTTTAAAAGGATTCTAATACATCTCAATTTTTTTTTTTTAAATTTGGATTGGCGTGATTAAACTGAATTGTTTCGATGCCTGAAAAACATATATATTTATTGTTGATGAGTTTCCATGCCGAAAACCATACAAGTCCTAAAAAGAAAATTATTTCAAATTGTATCTTGAAACAATGCTAATAAGTAAACACATTTAATATTTTGTGCAGTTACACATGGAAAACAGGACATGCAACCATGTTTTTTTACTCACAATCTCACATAATACCTTGTTGCGACATTTAGCCTTTTTATTTACCATAATTCAGTGAGTAGAAGCGCCTGATAATGCACTATATTTTTAAAACAATTGAAACTCCCCATTACATTTGGAATTGATTATGACCGTAAAAACTGAAAATTTCCACCGAGTTTAAAATGTCATGCGACTTGTGATATATAATTTGAATATGCTGCCCAAGAAACTACTAAAACTTTTTATTGAATCAAACACTTCTTGTTTGTTGCATTTGGAACAAGCTGTGGCAAAGAACATAGAAAAAGCTATGAAGTTGATGGCAGAAAGTATATGTATTGATTTTGTGCCTCATACAAATCAAGAACATTACATTGAGTTTGACACTGCTGATGGATGTTCGTGAGTATCAATGAGATTTTGTCAGTAGCCAGTAATTTTCATCAATGCTTTGACATAGATGTTCTTATTCATAACTCATGAATTGTCACCAAACAACTTTTAAATGCCTATGTGTTCATTCAGAAGTGAGGATAGTTTGTAGTCCAATATTTTTTTTGCTTTTCATCTTTACTTCACAGTATTTTTTTTACAGAAATAGGAAGTTTGTTCAAAAGCAAAATCATGCACATGCAGAAATGAAAGAGATTTCTGTTAATCCCAATTTCTTCTATTTGTATATTATACTAAGTGATTTATTAAAACGAGTATGCATTCTTTTATCCAGGTCTAATGTTGGATTAGTTAAAGACTCAGAGACCCCGCAGAAAGTTTCAATTGGTCATGGATGTGATGATTCGAGAACTGTTCATCATGAGCTCAAGCATTTGCTTGGATTTGGGCATGAACATTGTAGAGCTGATAGAGATGCGTATATTACAGTGAAATTGGAAAATGTTAAAGAGGGTAAGGTTTCTCAAGTGTTTGTAGAATATTGAATATGCTCAGCATAGATTTTTTAATTGAGCTTTTAATCAGAGCTTTTCTATACAGATCTGTTACAAGGTCATAACAGTTTCGCAAAAAAATTATCTTCTGGGTTTTATTCTCGGTCTCTTGACTGTTGTTTTGTGTTTATCACCCTCCCCTTTAACTAAATCAAAAAAATTTCAAAATTGAACAGTACTACTTCAGAATGACTACCCTAATTTGTATTTTGTTCCAATTTTTAGGTATGGAAAACAACTTTGTTAAAATAAAAAAAGAAAATGCTGTAATAAGTGGAGTACCTTATGACATCACATCAGTGATGCAATACGAAAGTGGATATTTTATGAAAACCCTCGGAAGATATACAGTGGTGGAATATGGAACGGAATTACCACTCATTCTAGATATGGGGATAAGATATACCGAATATGATGCATTTGAAATTAACCAACTTTATGGCTGCCTGGATCCTGTAACAACCGGTAAAAAATTGAGAAAACAGGTTCATCATACAGAAAACAACACACACCTTCTGGTCTGCTTATGACTAGGGCTGGGCATTTTCGAATATCTGACGAATTCAGATTCGAATCGAATCTCGAATATTTGGAAGATATGAAATTGTATGTAACTTTCTTATTATTTTTCTTATTATTTTACATAAATTACTGAAAACATAGAATACATTACTAACAATAAAAAAAACACGTTTTCATCAAACCCCCAATACAGAAAAGAGTCATATTACAGAATTGCGTTAAAAAAATATGGCTTCAATGAAAAAAAATGAGAAATTTACCCCGACCATTGGCAGAAAGAAAAAAACAAGATGGCGGCGATTAGAAAATTTGCTCTAAACCAATTCGAATAATTAACTATTCGATTCGAAATGCCCAGCTTTACCTATGACCAACCATGATTCTATCAGTTTAGTTAGTTGATAGTCAGTACAATTCATTTCAATGTTTTGTCACCAACCAACCTGTGATATTGAAGGAGTTCAGCAATCTATCCATGCATAATCATTTCCCACGACGATTCAATTTGTTCTTTTACACAGGATAGCCTATAAGACAGAATGATATGTTTTTAGTTTACTCACGTTTAGAATTAATGGCTGTGCAGACTGAAACATGCATATTTCACAATCACAACAGCAGTTCAAATTTGTATAAATTGCTGATGCTTCATTGATCTTTAGCAACATGGACTGAATGGGGTGATTGGTCACCTTGTGATGCAACTTGTGAAAAAGGAGAAAAATATAAATATAGAAGATGTGAAAATGCTGAAGGAAAGCATGTCATTGGATGTCCTGGTATTTATAATTATGATAAACTAGAAATTTTCTAGTCTAATAATACCAAAGCAAGACATTTTTTCAGATTAGAATAGAGATAGACAAACATGTGTAATCAAATATCAGAGGATCATCTTATCATTCCAAACCCTGACTCATTTTCTTGTAATATAAATCAAGGCTGGAAAGAAATATATTTTAGGACACTGGTTTTCAACTTTCATATTCTTAGTTCTCCATTTTTGTATACTGTATTTAAAATTAGAATAGGCTGAGGACAAAATGCTAAACAGGCTATCCTCAGTCTGCCTAATGCAGGGCAGCTGAAAGTTGAATGAGTGGTTTTGTTTGTTTCCGTTGTTTTCCACCGACAATGTTATATTGTTAGCAGATAATTGCTACAATTTGTTATGTGTAAGCCCCATACACCAAAAGGGTTCTTAATGTGAATGTTTTGGTCTGATTACTTTACCAGACACATGTAATCATTGTGCCATTACTTGTTGTTACTTAGTAATTATTACTTGTTTACATGTGGTGTGTGTGTGAGGGTGTTACTTTGGTGATGGTTCACTCTAGTTTTTGACAGGCCTGGATAAGGACCTGTATATGTGTATCTGCCTTGAGGGCAAATTAACTTTACACTTAACACTGACACTAACTCAAATTCCTTTCTATTTTTTGAACTGGAACCGATGAACTCTCGTTGACAATATGGTCAATGAATGGATGGTTTTAAACGTAGGCCCCTAATGTAAAATTGGTAAATTTAAAGTTAAGAAATCATAGCTATGGTCATTGGATGCGTCCCGCTTTGAGGTCACAAAAATATGGTAACCCTAGATATACAGTATATCAATGTTTAATGAACAGGTTGTGTGACTTCTATTTTGTGTACATTTACGATCCCAGCACGCTGATTTTGTCACCTAATCTATTCATTCACAGGAGAACCACTTATGATTGAACCTTGTTCTATACGAACATCTTGTCCACCAAATGATGTCTGGAAAGAATGGGGAGAGTGGGGTGAATGTGAAGTCTCAGAATTCCAAAGCTTTCGAATGAGGTGTGTATAGTCATAAACACTTACAACTTACAAACTCTAGATATTGGGTTCAATACCTGTGCTAACCACCTATCTCACAGTGTAATATGTTGTACAGTCTATGCTGAACCAGAAAAAAAATTCAAAATTATTCTGAAGGTCATAAAATCGCTATATAATCGTGAGCAGTTTATTGTGGAATAAATCAGACTAATCATCAACTATCGATTGACTCAATTTAAAACTCGTATGACCTGTGGTTCGGTTCATATGTGACTTATACTCAATACTATCTTCTAGCATAAGAGTCACAAGGATGTACGTCAAATAAATTTTTCATCAATTCTGTGATCTCTTTCAACTTTCCGATTATTATTCTTAGTTAAGGTCTCAAGGCGGTGTTTTGATTCAACTTTTATGATAATAAAAATAATTTACCATTCCATGTCACATTTTTGATTAGGACACGAGCATGTGCTTCATTTGACGGATGTACTCAAGGGATTGGAATTAATGTAGAAGATTGTCCTATGGAAATTGAGTCTACTAATACTTGGGGACCCTGGAGTGAATGCTCTAGTACTTGTAATGGACAAAGAGCAAGGTGAAATATTTTTTGTATAATCTCTTATCCTTAAACTTGGAGTACACTTTGCAAACAATCTGAAAAGTATTGATTTTTATCTTAACTTTCCTGCATTTACAAAGTCGAACACATTGAATATTTATGTATAATGTATATGTATGTTTTCTGTACGTGAACATGTTAGATTTTGATTTGTTAGGATAGGATTTACATATTTATCCCAGGGGAGAGAAAAGCCGAGAACACAGCTCAATGATATGGCGAACCACGGCCCCTCGTCCAGTTACCAGTCCATGTCGGGTATGGCATTAGTTTGTCAGTTATTTGGTTTTGGAAGTATGGATTGATGGTGTAGGAAGTCGTAACCAAACTTCGGTTACATGAACCACCCTACGGAGGCTAGGAGTCCAGCTCTTACACATAACTAATTCAAACTTGCGAACCCATGCAGGGTAATCAAAGGTGAGCTTATTCCTAACGCTTTGCACGATGAGCCGCACCGCCGTGCCCGGGTGTTTTTCAGAAGGAATAGTGGATCCTTCTGTTTTGACCACCTACAGCATGACAATTTTGCAAAGTTTATACCCCAATAAAGGTCGCCCTCCATGCACGGTTCGGTTGAGATAAGATATAGTATGCACAATACACCTACAGTAAATATAGTCAGCAGTATTCATTCAATGTTCCATGATTTAGAGACATTCATAGGAATGTGGTCATTTTACAACTAATTGTATTTAAAAACGAGTTACAATTGGTCACAGATAAAATACAATAACATGCAATACGGTGTTGTGCATCATGCTAAGCGTTAGATATACGCTCGCAACCACACCTCTGATTATCCTGCATGGGTACGAATCCCATGCAGGGATGATTGCTGGACTCCTAACCGCCGTAGGGTGCAAAATAAAAGTACAAAAATAAAATAATTATCGTCGTTATCGTCACCCAAATTTGTGATTTAGAGAGATTAAACACCAGTATAAGCGTGTTTACGGCCATAAATAACACGCTGATAAAACAATCTGCGGTTTTAGTAGAAGGCAATTGCACGCGTTATTGGTGACTTTTTCAGTTTTCACAATTCCGTGCAAGTACAAAAATAAAATAATTATTATTGTTACCGTGCACAAATTTGTGGAAAATTTGTGATTTAGAGAGAATAAACACCAATGTAAAGGTGTTCACTTGCACGCGCTATCGGCGACTTTTCAGTTTTCAAAAAAATTTAAAAGGGGTGGGGGGGGTTCCACCCCGAACCCCCCCTTGGCTGCGCCACTGCCCACTTGGACTGGTAACTGGACGACCGGACGAGAGGCCATGGTTCGCCATAGAATTAAGCTGTCTTATCCACTTTCCTCTCCCCTGGGATAAATATGTGAAACAATATTTGAATGATTTTAAATAATAATTTATCTTCTGTATCAGACAAAAACTGTGTAATGGTGAACCTTGTCCTGGTGGAATACCGTACTATAGCTTTTGTAATACTGATTGCGGAGTTCTACCTCCAGCCGAGCACGCAATATGGAGTCAGTGGACGGAATGTTCTGAAACCTGTGATGGTATACACAGCAGGTGATGTTTGTTTTTCTTTTTAAGTGAATTTTCTGAGGGCAATGTCATGTACACTCAGAGATACCACTCTGAACAATCGCTCAACTGCTGTGAGCTTGCAAAACTAGGGTGTACGTTACTCGGCAGTCTATGCCTGAGGATTGATATAAGACATGAACAAATACATCAGAATATTCTAAATATCAACTCCATTATGATGAATAGTAGACATGATTCATATTGGAACCTGTAATCAATATTTTCAACCTGTCCGATACTTTCCTATGTCCAAAGCATATATATATATATGTATTTCGCTATTTGATTAAGATACTCAATATTTAATTTAATTACTCTAATTATCTGTAACATACTCAACACATGAATATGCCGCTCAAAATAAAAAGCAAAAAATCTCAAGATCGCAAAACTGTATCAGAACCAACAAGCAATTCCAATCCACCGGATCCCGGTCTGTCACCAATAGTACCATCTTCACCTGGTTCATCTTCCTCATCCTACTCAGGTCGTAGAGCAGAGAAACAACTGACACCACCTGTTTCCTCTTTATGCTTGACAAAGATTCAGGAAAATATTCAAAAGAACATAGAAATTCAACTTCCAAGCATCATTGCTTGATGCATCTCTGAGAATTTTAACAGCTCATCAGGGTATTTAGCCTTGACCCCAGGATTAAAAAATATTATGGACAATCAAAATCAGTCCTTGACGGGAATTAAAGATGAACTATCTGTCATCAGAGAGTCGCATGACTTGCAATCTAAAAAGTTTGATGACATATTAAAACATCATATAAATATGGATGACCAACTGAAATATCAAAATAAAAAAAATTCAATGCTTAGAAGAATGCATCCTGAATCTTGAGGATCTTTGGTATTTATCTGAACACACTGAAGACCAGGAAAGGCGCTCCAGACTCGAAAACCTGGAGTTTCACGGAGTCCCACCCTTAGCAAATGAAAACACCAACAAACTGGTTTTAAAGATTTTAAAACTCACCGAGGTGAATATCCAGCCAAGGGATATTTCTTTTATGCATCGCTTCCCTACAAAACGTCCAAAAAAAATAACCCTCCTATTATTGCTCAATTTACTAACCGAAGAATTCGACATCAGATTTTCGAAAACCGCAAACGATTGAAGGCTGCTTCAAACACATCTAAAATTAGGGACACGTCTAGAGTTTTCATTTCCGAAAACCTCACTAATAGGAGCAAAGATTCATATTTTCAAGCAAAGGCGCTAAAAAATAGATGCGGTTAGGCGTACCTATGCACCTTCAATGGAAAAGTCCGGATAAATAAAAACAGAATAACAGATACTCTTGAACCTTGGATGAAGATGATCTCCAAAAAATAAAATTGGTCAGACTTTTTTTAATAACCTTCATTTTTCTTGTATAATTAGTATTTTCCATGTCTTCTGAACAAATATGTTCAATATGTCATTTTTTGTGCTAACCCAATTTTTTTTATATGCTGCAATTTGTGTGACCTCAAATTTCATCCTAAATGTGTTGCCCCATTGCTCCACCCAACTTTAAACTATATTAGTGAAGTGTGCCTTGTTCCAAATTCTCATGCATTAGCTTGGAGCAGTGGTTCCCAGACAGGCCAAAATCAGAATCGGAGGGATGTTTGCGGGCCTGATGAGTGTAGCGCCCGAAAGTGCGCGGCGATTTAGCTGTGGTTCAATGGATCTACCATTGTTTCCAATAAAATGTCTGTTTATGGAGTCTAATTTCCGTTTGTGTTTTGATATCTCCAAGCTTTTTTATGTGGTTGATAACTAAATTACTTCCATATGTAATCCTAATACCGGTGTGTATAATTAATTGAATTGTTACAAAAAACACATGCCCAAACTGTGATAATCACGTAACACACTAGAACACAAACAAAATCTTTCGAACCCTATTTTCTCTGAGCTCGGCGGGCCATTTTAAATTGTTATGCGGGCGGGATTTCGCCTCGGAGGTGTTTGGAATTTTATACGCCATGATGTTTTATTTATTGAAATCATTGAGCTTAGACTCAACTTTCCCCATTGTGAATTATATGGATCCGGGTCAATGAATCCTCATTCGATAACCCCAAAGAGTTCATTGTTGGAGTTGTTTTCAAGCATCCTCGAAACAATCTTTCCGAATTCATGAAATCAATGAATTCACTGCATTCAGAATGCCCCTTTATGATCTTAGGGGACTTCAATATTAATTTACTATCCAAAGATAATTGTGTTTATACACGTTACACTGACATGCTTCTATCGCACCTAGCCGTTCCTATCATAACGCGCCCAACAAGAATACCCTCGACATCACATACATTAATTGATCATATATACACGAATGCAACTGAACGCTGTTCCTCATCTTTCATTATAAAACATGATATATCCGATCACTTTCCTGGTAAGTCAACATTTTCTTTTTCGAATACAACTTTCCGCAAGACCAAACCTTGCATGAAAGAAAAAAATGTCCCATTTCCATGAAGAAACATTCAGAAATGGTGCTCATGGAATTTTATTGACAGAATTGTTCACAGATAGCTTCAATGAGGTGTTCAACATTTTATGACCCCACTGGAACATTTCACTGAACCTATCTCCATTTTATCATGTCTGGCAATTGTCTTTGAGAAACATCTGTATTGCAGATTAGGTGATTTCTGTGATGAGAACAAACTAATAAATAAATGCCAATTTGGTTTCCAGAAAAATCACTCAACAAGTCATGCCATAATTGACCTCATAGAATATATCTATGATAAATTTGAAAATGGAGGGGATGTCTGCTGTGCCTATTTAGACATGGAAAAGGCCTTCGATACCGTTAGTCATAGCATACTCCTTCGCAAACTTAGTCACTATGGAATTTGTGGTTGCGCGCGTGCCCTCATCAATGATTATCTGCAGGGCAGACTCCAATTTGTCAAAGTTGACTTTAACCGTTCCCAAGTTCTTCCAATGAAGCAGGAGTAATCCAGGGTCTTGCTTTGGCCCATTATTATTCGTACTTTTTATAAATGACATCTCTCATTGCTCTGATTTGATGTCCAAATTATTTGCAGAATGCCGGTCTTCTCAGTAGTTCCAAATCTTCACTAAACCTCCAAAAAAATGTCAACCTAGAAATGGAAAAAATTTATAATTCAATGCTATGTAACAAACTCACCATCAATATAAAAAAGTCTAAAGTAGTCTACATTAATAAGCCCAATCCCAACTACGACAAAACTTTTCTAGAAATCAAAATCAATGGAAGCAAACTCGTGTCTGTGCCTTCATATAAATATCTAGGTTTAAACATAGACAATCGCCTACAGTGGGATGTGCACATCAATGTAGTGCAAAAAAAACTTTAACGTTCGGTAAGCATCATGAGCAAACTTCAACATTACACAGACAGAAATACACTGAAGATAGTCTATTATTCTCTCTTTCAAATATATATCCAATATGCAGTTGTTGCATGGGGATCAGCCTCCAATTCAGAACTAAATCTTGTTGAAGTTTAACAGAACAGGGCTGTTAAAATTCTCAATAGACCTACTGCTTATATTAACATATCATGTATCACGAAACTGGTCTCCTGAAGTATACCAATATTTATCATCTAGAAATTTGTAAATTGATGCACCAATTCCACAATTGTTGCCTTCCAAAGGCATTCAATAACTACTTTGTCAAGCAAAGCAGTCTTCACAAATATGACACTAGATCAGCATCTACATCATCACTGCATGTGCCTTGCCAGACTTACACTAAAACTCAAAATTCACCCGAATATATGGGTGTTATTATGTGGAATGCTCTCCGTGCCGAAGTACGAAGCATGTCAAACCAACTTTTCAAATCAAATATGAAAAAGAATTTCTTGTCGACTTACTTCGAATGTTTGTAACAACCCGACCAAGATCTTTTGTTGTGGCTGATTTCATAACACCACCTGAAAAAATAACTTGTGAAAGGTTGTCGAACCACCGCACTGACCTACTGTTGTAGATGTTGTATAATTACAATAGCTAATATATTATGTCTGATTTACTGCAACTAATTTTCTCATTTTCATAACACTTGTCTCTTTTTATGAAAAACGTATATTACTGTATTTATTGGCCTTTAATCAGTGAATAAATTCATATTCGAATTCTGTAGTTGAAACAATGCCATGAGCAATGACACATGGTATTTATATGTTCAAAAGCGATTGAAACATGTACTATTAACAGCATTATTTTGTCGAATTACTTTCAATGTTTGAAACAATGTGTCTTGAAGTGGTTGTGTTGCTGTTTTCATACCCTCACCTAAAATACAGAATAAATATTGTTATTGAACCATTCCTAATGGTCTAGCACAAAATATTGTTTTAATGAACCACATCTACATTGATGTACGGTATTTCTGTACGAGTGATTACCACTGCAGCAATGGGTACCGTACCAGTATCGGTACTTCTGTACTGTATCTCGTTTAATTTAGTGCCACAGATATCTGGTCTTTTTATTTAATGCTATAAGATTTTATTACCTGTTTTCTCTATTATTTCCACATTCCTTTCAATATTTAGCGGCCAATACACCGCCTCTGGATCTAATTGAATGCCAGTGTTACGCCATCAGAATCTGATGTTTAATGCGCATCACAACACAGTGCAAGTGACTATAGTCACTTTGGATACAGTCCACTAATGCCATCTTCATGGTTACCAAGTTATTGGTATTCGATGTCGTTTTTTGTTTTGTTGAAGCGAGCGACTGCTGATTATAGCAGATCGCCTCGAGATATTGTATGTATTTTTTTCTCAATTTACTTATACTTGTGCGACTTTTTCTTTATAAAATAGTTCTTAGACTTATTCTATAGGTGCTGCTGCTCGATAACCAGTACTGGTTTCTCGCGTCTCCTATTTATAATTTATTGCAATTTGTATGTTTGTGCATATTTTAAGTATGGTGAGATATAAACTACTGATTACTGAGTGTTAGCAATCAGGCTATCTCCAGCCATGTACACATATCAGCATTTCTAACTTTTGTTTACCCAGTTAATAGGAGAATACCCTACGAGTTGTCCGGTAGGATAGGATTTACGAACCGGTACATTTTATTCTGAAAACTCAACTTCCGAGCTTACAAATCAAATTAGATGGCGAACCTTGGGTGTCGCTGCTCGATAACCAGATTTGGTCCCCTGCGGCTTCCCTTCCCCAGTAAAAATGTGTGTTGAATTTTATTTATTTTTCAATTTTGTATGTTATTTTATTTTTGCTGGTCGGAAAAAATTAATTGTTGTAATGAAATACAGTTTGTTTACCACGTTTGTCTCATATGTGACGTCAATAACACTATTGAATGATTTTGGCAATGGGAAAATTTATTAAATTGTAACAAAAATGAATTTGGATGTGAAAAAGCGTGTGATAATAATAAGGGCGTGACGTGGAATGGGAAAGGGCAAGCAAAATCGAAGTGAGTGATCGGCAGTGTGTCTCATCTTTTACAATAACGTGAGGTGCTCCGAAGGCGCTCTTGTGTATCTTATTGTAAGAAAACAGTTATAATATGGGAAACTATTAACCATTTGTTCGGGCTCAACACACTTTTCGTAAATGATAACTCTGTATGGCAGAAACAACATGTATTTGAATATAGACAAAGCTTGGTACAATATGCTAATCACTGCGTCACATTAAATCAATATTTTCAAAATTTTATATATCTTTTTTGCAGGCAAAGATTGTGTGGAGAAACGTTTTGTGAGGCGTCGTCTCCTGTGAAAGAAGAATGCAATGTAGGAAGATGTGGGTATAGCGATTGGATGTGGATGACTTGGACAGAGTGCTCTGCCACCTGTGAAGGAACCCAAACTAGGTTAGCATCAAATTCTGGAATTGGATAATTTGACAGGCTAATTATATGGTGAACCATGTAGTTCAATTCATGTGTGGTAAAGTTAGCCAGTTGCATGGACAGTTATGTCTAAGGAAGCAGCACTCACTTGTGGTATGAGTTATCCTGCTCCATGTATTTGGATAGGATTTTTATATTTATCCTGGGGAAGAGAAAAGCCGATAACACGGCTTAATCATATGGCGAACCACGGCTTCTCATCCGATTACAAGTCTACGTCAGTATGGGATTAGTTGTCTAGTTATTTGTTGAAGTTGTATGGAGAATAGTCCATATATAGGATAGCCGGCGAGGAATCCATCTATCCTCTACCACAGCGTTCTCAAACTTTTTTTGCACTGGAAAACCTACGCTTTTTAAATTAAAAGGTAAAATTGGTGGGTGGTTTCCAAAAAATTTAGCTTATGGTACCGTAAATTGAAAAGTTTACTGTAAACTTCAGAGTTGAAAAATTAGGCCGTTAGTTAACTGTTAACAGTCGGCTGTTTGTCGCTAGTTGGGAGAAAAATTAAGACCCAGAGACCAATTTTGAAGCAATTTCAATACCTGTACGACTGCGGAACACACTGAAGAAGCTGTTCCATGGAAGACAGTTTGAGAAACATTGCTCTACCGCAAGATTATTCCCAAAGGATTTAAACCTATGAACCAATAGCTAGTAATCAGGGGTGCAATGGCAGGTATATGTGCCAAACGCCAAACCAACAGAGATCCAATATTTTCAATTATTTTTATGAATTAAGGCGTAAAGTATGCGACAGGGGGAGGAGATGTTCAGACGATGAAGAGTCAAAAGAATGTAATTCTAATCCATGCTCGGCAACTGCAGGTTCATCATATTCATCAACATTGTACACAACAACAACACCTGGGTCATATTCATCAGCATTGTACACAACGACAACAACACCTGGATCAAATCCATCAATGTTGTACACAACGACGACAACACCTGGATCATATCCATCAATATTGTACACAACAACAACCCCGGGATCATATTTATCAACATTATACACAACATTGACAACAACAACCGCACCTGAAAATGCAGGAGATTGGGGGCTTTGGTCAAGTTGTTCAGCTACTTGTGATGGCACGAGGGTCAGGTAAGTGAAATAATAAAGTATAAATATTAAATGTTCTATATTGGAGTTTACACTGTTTATATAAAAAATATAGGAGCTGAAAGAAGTTAACATATTATATTTCTGTTTGCAGACAGGTGATAGTGAGCTATTTCTATAGTTAAGTTGTTGAGTTTTATATTTAAGATAAGATAATGATTTATTTCAGAATATTTCATTAAATACATACATACAAGTAATGCAGTAAGTCTAAACAAACAACAATAATCATGAAATATAATCGAAAAGAGGCGGGCAAGACTTCAAGGTCGACCGACCCCTAAGTAGGGGTGGGCAAAATCGAATATTTTTTTCGAATCGAATAATTCGAATATTTTTAACGAATACCGAATAGTAGAATAACGAATATTTTTTACACACAACGGGAAGTCCATACTCCCTTTGTAAATTATTAAGATACAAAGCGTTTTTTTACTGGTTAATTTCGTCATAATCGCTGATTGTTTTTGTCACCGTGACCGTTTTCGCGGCTATATATAATCTATATTACCGTCCTTTCTGTTTTTTGCAAGTATTAATTCTTTCGGGTCGGCGCACATCGAAGTTTATATTTCGGGTTTACCCGTGCGTTCACGTCGACAACAGCTGTTAAAACCATTGAGGATTGATTTCAAACTCAAATTAATATTATTCTAATTTTTATCATTTGCGTTGGCTTTCATATCACTTATCAACGTTTGTAAATTTACCGTCACAATATTAAGCGAACGGTAATTGTATTATCGATAACGGGATGCAGATATTCATTAAGACAATACCGTAATTAAGTTTGCTATGCTTTTCTATGGTGTCTATGTTACTTTACAGATAAACCTCCCAAAGCTGCGATTGCGTCAATCCCGAATGTTGATTTAAAATAGTGACTAAATAATTCGACAATAAATTCATTTCTGCATGGCCATACGACGAGATGACGTTAATAAACAGCGCTTCTTGAATAATTATTTACATATGCAACCTATTGCTGAAAAAAATTGCGCTTTCGTACTTTTGTGCCCAATAGATGGCCAGGCGCTAATTATAACTAACTCTTCCAAGTTCCGACGTTTTCTTTCAAGAAACCCCGCGATCATTATATCTAATATCGTTACCGAGTAATACAAAATTTTATTTACGGAATTTGCGAGTTCAATTTTACTTCTCTTGACGATTTTGATAATGTCACGCCCTATTTATTAGTGCAAAAATTCTCGAAATATAACGAATGTAATCATTTCCGATGATACAACAATTCGTGAACGAGACAGTGCGCGTTGTTACATCGAAATTCACGATTGATTTTACGTTATACTCCAGTTCACAATTTGTACACTCCACCCGCCATGCATGCCCGAGTGAAATGTTTACATTTTCGAAACATTATAGCTAATATCGTAACCTAGTAATACAAAATTTTATTTACGGAATTTGCGAGTTCAATTTTACTGCTCTTGACGATTTTGATAATGTCACGCCCTATTTATTAGTGCAAAAATGCTCAAAATATAACGAATGTAATCATTTCCGATGATACAACAATTCGTGAACGAGACAGTGCGCGTTGTTACATCGAAATTCACGATCGATTTTACGTTGATTTCTACACTCCACCCGCCATGCATGTCCGAGTGAAATGTTTACATTTTCGAAACATTACTTGGTCAAGAATGAAAGGGATCACTGAAGAATTAATTTGAAAGTACATTAAAAGCATTATGTCCTGCCATTTCTTTACTGGTCATAGCTTGTTCGTGTTATACTATGTATGGTTTAATGCGAAAGTTATTTCAACTTTTTGTTAAACAAATTTATGTTTGGTTCATGCATGAAACGGCAATCATACGGAGTTTAAAATCTGGGATATTTATTTTAAATACCTCATCTGATTGGACGTTTCTAAATTTAGGGAACGGTGTCGGTACCTTGTTTTGCAAAATAGGGAATTGAAATGAACGATTGAAACGCAAAGAAAACAAATAGCACCACAACGCGAAGACGATTTTTCAAATTTAGCGCTTTTGTCTGTTATCGAGCGTTGTAGGTGAATTCTCGCGCAATTCACGATCGGTTCAGAGACGTTCTGTGTCTAAGGGAGGCGGCGCAGATCACGTGGTACCCGATATTCGAATAGTAAAATGCCATTCCAATAATTTAATATTCGTTCCGCAATTCGTTATTCGAATATTTTGCCCAGCCCTACCCCTAAGGAGAGTTTCTCGCAGGAGACGACACTCTTCTAGAACAGGCATCACAATTGCAGTAGGGAGAAAATAAATTCGAGTTTTAAGCCCGGTTGAGAGGCCTCAATAATCAATTTCCGAAAATACTACTGAAAATACTCCGGCATCATGAAATTTTGCCACTTGAGTGAGAATATTTTTTTGAAAGCTAATCTATGTGATTTTTCATCCGAGACTATTCCCAAATATTTTATAGAACGGTACTTGTTTTCTCTAAACTAATTGTGCCATTTCTAATTTAAAGTTTTCGAAACTTATTTTTTTTGCCAGACCCCAAATTTTTTTTTTCGAATAGATAAGCGACAATTCATTTAGTTTCAACTTTCAATCAATGGTCGTCAATTTGCTTCATTTTCAAATTCATTGCATCTTGGAGATCTACATTATTTGTGGCAGAGTTAAGCAGAGCTGTATCATCAGCGGATGGCGTGGTATAAACGATGTAGACTAAAAATTATAGGGCGCCAAGAGTGCTACCTTGTGGGACTCCACGTGATACGTATGGGAAGATTTATAACCATTTGATTCAATGAATTGTTGGCGCTTTGTTAATTAAGATTTAATTCAATTGAGTAATCCATGTATGCTGTAATGGGACAATTTGTATACTAAAATATTGTGGTCAATATTCATTATCTGATAAATTTTCAATATTGATTCTTTCAGTTTGACAACAGCAAGTTCTGTAGAATGTGCAGTATTTAGTTCATAGTAATGTGATGATTTATGAAGTAATGGGATATTTGTACTATGCAGACAAAGAGCATGTAGGACATTCTGTTATAACCCTGAGACAGAAACAGAGAATTGTAATGTTGGATTGTGTAGCTCAGACAGAGGGGCAGATGGAACAGATGAGAGTGAGATTTATGGGATAGGATTTACATATTTATCCAGGAGGAGTGGAACCACTCTCCGGTTTATTGGTCCAGGCCGGGTATAGGATTAGTTAGCCAGTTATTTGTTTTCGCAATGGACTTGATGGTGGAGGAAGGTGTAACCGACCAGCGGTTACGTGAACCACCCTACCTTATGTTATAAGTATAGTGGAGTCATAAGTTTTCACTTTGTGTTTATAAACCTGTTAGTAGTAGTTTGTGAATTGGTATTTTGTGAATTTCCATGAAGCAAAATTGTATTTAATCAAGAAAATATTGGATCGTATTCAAGGCGCAGAAGTCAGCTGTGTGCAAATGTTATAATACGTATCAGGTATAAAAAGAATTCGAGGATCTGTGAATATTTTGTTAATACTTATAGGTAATGCTAAGAGGCCGCAGTTTTTTGACAATTTTTGATCCGCATGCTTCGTAAGTATAACTTTGTATCACCCCCCCCCCCTCCATATTATAGATTGGACACCCCTGGTTTAAACTATTGGAATTGAGCTTCTTTGTGGTTTTAAAGGGGACTATATACAACGGTTCAGAAAATGATACATATATTGAATTGAAAGTCTCTCATTAACATATTGTCGAATTTTTTTTTAGATACGAGTTTGTTTGATGTAAAAGAAGACAGTGTACCAAACCTATGTGGTGGGGCAGGTAGTCAGTGGTATTTTGGTGATTTTAATGGGGATAGAAGAACTGACGCAGCTTGTATTGAATTAGACGGAAATGTGTAAATCCTCTTTTTGTCTATTTTTATTTAATAAATTATCTAAATAAAAATCATACACACTTATTTATTCTCACAGCAGTAAAAAATTATTAAGAGCCATTACCATGATATTCGAAGACAATAGCCAACTGACTATCCTTCAAAAATGATGAAAGTTTTAAAATTTAGAAATTTGTGAATTTCACTTAACTTGGATTCTTTTGTTGTCTGGTGTGTACACTGAATGAGGTCGTGTCCCGCCCAACAAGTGTGATGACTGAAAACATTTCCTTCATTGCCACTTATTCCTAATTTATAAATTCTGCTCTGCACTGAAGTTTGTATGACGAATGATATGGGTTGTATCAGATTTTTCTACGGGTTGATAACACCACCTAATGTTTCAGTGCAATTGGACATACAACAACTTCTGGTTTAATGACTAAACTACATTGGAAAAGTCGAATTTCTCCTTGTGCCAGTGCGGATATTTACTTGGGAGACGTTAATGGGGATGGAAAAGATGATTTTGTTTGTAAAGATAGCGCAAGAAGGTTATCATTATATCTTGTGTTTTTATCCTGTCAATTTTTTAGGCAAAAATGAGATTTCATAACCAATCGATTCTTGATTTCAGGAACAATTCAGAATATTTTCATCTAATAAGTTGCTCTTGAAACCTTTTGATAGCAATGCATGTATGATTGTACTGTAATATCTTTGGGTGTTGGCAAAGTTGCATGACATGCAATATGCGCTCATATCTTATTTTGTCCAACAGAAAGCTAATCATCAGATATACAACAGAAGCTGGCGTCTTCGGAGACAAAGAAGTTGATGGAGGAAGCTTCTGCACCGATCCTTCAGACAAATTATTTGCATTAGACATAGATGGAACGAAAACAATGGACCTACTCTGTCATTTTGCAGATAATCATATAGAATTGAAGCTAAATACAAACTTTCGGCCTTACTAGATTGTTCCGTATTGGAATGCTGTTAAAGATAAAAAGCCATTAGGAAATAATGATATGAGGTTATTTAGTAGCCATACTACTTCCGAACTTTTATATATCAATATATAATATTATTCAACAGTGGTTTTATTTTTCACTTTACCAATCAAAAAAAAAGTTTTAACATTAAAACTTTTGGGTAACAAAAAAATGACAGCAGTTGGGAAGGACTGATTGCTCCATCATCGAGCTTACAACACCTCCATATAAGCGAAAAAACAATGATAAATAAGGAACAAGCGATGTTAGCCAAATATTTGTTTTAGATGCATGAACTCAGTGGTGGAGGAAGTCGTAACCGAACAGTGGTTATCACACTACGGCGGTGAGAAATCCAGTCATGCTTCTCGTCGGACACTTGAGTTGTGCTCGAACCTGGTTCTGAATCGCGTTAGAACTTGCATGACGGAATCGTTGTTTTGTTTTAGATTTTTCCTGCTTTTAGTCACATGTGTGAAATAGATTCAAATACCAATCAGCTACATAAAACGACACATTGTCTAACTTATATCAATATACAAAAACGAAGAAATGGTTGTTGTCAAATATAAAAACTGTAGTGTTTCGCCTATAACAGGGATTTTACTTACTGGTTCGGTCTTTAGATTTTTCTTCGCTCTGGCTCTCGTCATACCGTAGGCACAGCCCCAGGGGCGGATTAGGCCCCTTTGGTGCCCTAAGCACTTCAAGACTCTGGTGCCCCTTATGTGTAATTTAAAATATAAATACAATACTGTATACCATATAAGTATATTATCCATCGAGAACAACACTAAAACATAGCGAACATTTTTTAGTCTTCTAACAATTTTTAAATTTTGATAGACAATTGATGAATTTTCTCAAATCCCGATAACTGAACGTAACACATCTTGTAAATTACAATGTAAACCACACGAAGGTTATAAGTGGAAATGAAAACAAAACTAACAAAGAGCTAGTTAGAGAGCACATGTGAATAAAACTGCTGGAGCACAGTTGAGTAAGCATCAATAAGTTTTTGAGAACACTGCTAATACCCGTCCTTGTCAACAGATAAAGAGACATTTGGTTCTAGCGGTACATCATAAAAGTAAAGTAAAAACATATCTCTGCAATTTTATTTTATATCAATCATCTTTTCTTCATCGCAGACACAAAATTATCAACAATTGCGTAAAATAAAGTGACAGGGAAATTTATCTGTGGCATTCAAATATAAATCTGCTGCATCTCCATCATAGAGCAAATTATTTCTGATACTTTTACGAGTTGTAATTGCCTTGCAATTCACACCTGGTAGCATTTCCTTTGCTGCTGCTTCACATCGTTCAAATTTATCTCATGGAATTTCACGTAATATGACATTAAGATATGCACATGTTTGTTTTGAATTGTTTTATGAAAATTTATTCTAAAACGATAACATGAAAACAAATTCTAGCTCTTGCATATATATTACCTGCAATATTATTCGCACCTTTGTTTTTCCCTGTATATTTCAGTGCTTCTATAATTTTGGGAAATTTTTTTTAAAACTGCACACCATCTGGTATCAATCAATCAATCAATCGTTTATTTTGTCATCACAAAAAAACACGTTCAAACATAAAGTGACATAATGAATAAATTACAGTACTAATCATGTTTTTGTGTGACCGGAGTCGCGAGGGACCTAAGAAGGTCTTCAAGCAGCGACACCTACAGCGCTACAGGTTCGAATAAATATAATTAAATGAGGGATAAAATGAATAAATCCTAGGAATAAGTCACAACTGATACAATTACAGCGACATTCGAAATGTATGCGATTATGACACAGTAAAACAGAAAATGTAACTTTCACGGAATAATTACTAACAACTAATAAAAACGCGAGGAAAGCAAGATAAAAGCACAGAAAAAATATAGGAAGGTAAGTTTGGCGGAATATGCAACTAAAAGCAATATAAGGCAAACAGTAAATCGAAAATATTTACAGCAAATGCAATTTAGGAGACACTTACGAAAAATTGATAAGGTCTAATGAGGAATACAAACAAACTATTACATCTATATAATGTACATAATAAAGAGGAAAAGATAAAACGGCCTGGTCATTGAAAATAATAGCGAACGTAGGTTAAGGGCAATAAGCTATCGCTCTCCACTCTGAACGATTTTTGAATCAACTATTAATGTAGCAGATACTCTCGGATTCCGACTCCTTGCACCTATTTTCGTTCGGGTTGATTGACGTTAGCCAGTGTAGGCCAGATCGTTACGGTAATAAAAAGTAAGCGATCTTAGTAGAAATTTCGGGTCTCATGTACTTTCTTACCTGAATAACTTCTAGTGGGCGTGGCGTAACAATTTTTGGATATGTTGAACGTTCCTTGGCGACAATTTAGTCGCTTGTGATTCTTGTTTAATTTTGAGCTCGGTACAACGACCCCGATAAGAGAGAGGTCGCTGACGTATTGAGTTTGTTGACATACTCGTAGGCGCCATTACGGGTGACCGTCGCTATACTTTGGCAAGCTGGATTTCGTTATTGTGACGTCGCAGTGACGTAATTTTTGGATGACGTCATCAGGTAGGGGTCAGGAATCATATATCCAAAAATTGTTACGCCACGCCCACTAGAAGTTATTCAGGTAAGAAAGTACATGAGACCCGAAATTTCAATGGTTACCCGTACTGGTATAAGAGGAGAGATATTCACCGATATATTTATTTTTTAGGTCTCTTTTAAAAGTGCAATATGCTAGGGATCTAATGGTATTAGGTACGGTAAAGCGTTCCACAGTTCACACCTATATATTTAATGGATTTCTGTGTTCTGCTCGAGGAGTACCTTGGGACATGGAATGAACCTGATGAAGCCGATCTGGTAGAGTAGGAATGGATATTACTCTGCTTCGTAAAAAATTCGGTGAATGCCATGGGAAGTTTGTCATCAAAGTACTGGTGCATGAGTTTCAATACCTCAAATTCATGAATATGACCAAGTTTAATTTTTCCACATCTGTGGTATATAGGATCTAGTCTAGACCGAAATGGTGCGTTACCGTACATATGGATCGAACTGCTTTGTTTTGTAAAACCTCCAATCTTCGAAGGAGAGTAGTCGATGCGTTACCCCATGATATGATACCATACTGTAGATATGACTGGAAAAGAGAAAAATAGACCATTCGAAGGACTGGCATGGTAAGAAATTTTCTAAGTTTGTATAACATACCAGTTGCACTTGCCAGCTTTCCAGAAACATAGTTAATATGGGTGGCCCATTTCATTTGATCATCAATGTGGATGCCAAGGTATTTAAATGAGTTCACATTTTCGAGTAGAGATCCATTAATGCTAATCTCAAGTCGAATTTTATTTTTACGATTATTTTTGTGGCTAATCAATAGGCATTTAGATTTTTCGACATTAATCGTGAGTTTATTGTTAGTCATCCAAGTTGAAATTTTATCCATTTCAGAGTTCATACCCAATTCCAAATCACTTGGAGAAGCTGAACTTCCAAACAATCCGGTATCATCAGCAAAGAGTTTGACAAGCAAGTTAGTGGCGTGCGGAAGTTCATTGACGAAAAGGAGGAACATTAATGGGCCAATTATCGAACCCTGTGGAATTCCACATTGTACAGTTGCAAGCTCGGAGCAACTTGATCCGATTTTTACACACTGCTGGCGATAACTCAGATAGCTCTGGAAAAATTTTGACGCGTGGCCGCGAAAACCATAATGGTTATTTTTTCTAATTAGTATGCTATGGTCAACGGTATCGAATGCCTTTTTGAGGTCAAGAAAAATAGCACTGATAAATTCCCTACTTTCTAACTTATCATAGAAATAAGAAATCATATCGAGAATTGCATGATTAGTGGAGTGTTGTTTTTGGAACCCAAACTGGGATTTGTTTATAATGCCATGTCTTTCTATGAATGTGGTTAGTCTAGCATGTAAAAGCCTTTCAAATACTAAAGGCAATGGGGATAGAACTGATATTGGACGATAATTTGATGTACATTCTTTATCCCCAGATTTATATACCGGTGAAACTTTGGCAGTTTTCAAACTATGAGGGAAAATTCCAAAGTCTATAGAGGCATTAAATAATTTACATAGCAATGGGGGAATGGTATCAGTGGGGGATTTCAGCAAAAATCAATTGCCAAACCAAAAAAATCTTCCATATCAAACCAATCCCGACTTTGTCTAACACTATAGATGTCCGAAATGCGATAGCGTAAATTTCGATGATGCCGTCAGTATAACTTCGGAGTGAAACCAAATCGCATTAGACCCCCAAAAAATAAATAGCCTAGTTCTAGCGGAAACAACAATCTTTAGCCAACAAGCAATTGGTCCCATCGTTTTTAAGAGAATATCTGAGCCGCCTGACCAACACTGATGCACAATTGAAAATTGAGCTATAAAATTTTTTGTGGTGCCCCATTGTGCTTGGTGCCCTAAGCACGTACTTATATTGTTTACTGGTTAATCCGGCGCTGCACAGCCCACAGCATTTATGAAAATTGCAGCCAAGAAGAAATTCTGAAATAAGAATCCAATGTAAGTAATAATAAATCAATGCTCTATAGAAAATGCTTCGATTTCACGCGTAGATACGAAAAAGAACTGCAGGCGTGAATCATTTGAGGACGATGCCTGACTATTTTCAACAACCTCCCTCACCGGAATACCTGGGGTTGAATTAATAACTAAAATAATATATCAATCAAGTCGTTATCTGTGACAGCATAGTGATCTGTTTCAATAAATTTACAATATTCCAAATAAAGTCGAAACCTTACTTCCGAGCTGTTCAAATACGGATCCGATGATCCCCAATTGCTCTCAAGACAAAATAATTTGAATTTAATTAACAATAATATTTATAACATTTTCTGAAATAAATATTAATTTACAGATTTTCACTCACCCGAAGCATAGTTTGGCAAGAGTAATATAGCAAGGCAACCCAACCTCCTTTAACTACAGCAACAATTCCACGAAGATCAATTTTGAATTGAAAGAAGAGATTATGTTAAAACATATCCGTGTAAAGTGGCCAAAAATTTACATGGCTCAGGAAATCGCATACTCTCGCTATCTACTTCTTGATACAGCGTTGTGAGTTTCTATGTGACTATTGTCACTTTATGTACTCTGATACCATCCGTTTAAAAGCAAATATTACTTAAATAGTATGCACCTGGTCTAGGGGGATATTTTTGTGCTAGATGGAGAATTCCTGATCTGCTTGCGTTGTAGGGTGGTTTACGTAACCGCTGATCGGTTTCTGCTTTCTCCAGCAATAAGTCCCTGCTTCCGAAACAAATTACTGGTAACTAATCCCATACCCGATGCAAATTTTTGATGGCACTGTCATGTGTGAAAGTGTTTATACTTATCGCATGACTTTTTTATCAAGTTCCTCGTGAATTGTATTTAATAAATATCAGTCAACATTCAAATATTATATATATTAATATACAAAAACTCGGAAGTTGTATTGCTACTTAGTAATCTCATCATTATTTCATAAATGCCTTTTTCATCTTCAACAGAGTGCCAATACAGAATAATCTAGAAAGGTCGAAAGTTCGAATTCAGTCTTAATTCTATATGACTATCTGCGAAGTGGCAGAGTAGGTCCATTGTTCTCGTTCCATCTACGTCCAATGCAAATAGGTTATCTGAAGGATCGGTGCAGAAGCTTCCGCCATCAACCTCCTTGTCTCCAAACACGCCAGCTTCTGTTGTGTATCTGATGATTAGCTTTCTGTTGGACAAAATAAGATATGAGAGCATATTGCGTGTCATGCAACTTTACAAACACCAAGCGATCTCATAAACTGTGATATCAAAAGGTTTAAATAGCAACTTTATGTTCCTGAAATTGAGAATTTAGCATATTTATTATAATGTACTTTGTGTAGATTGGTTATGTTATATTTCCAGACAGATAATATCTTTTAATATGATATTAATCTCCAGTTTTTGTGAATTTATGAAACCTAGAACTAGCTTGAATTTGAAAAAATACAAAACAACAGAATGAGCTTTTTATATTTAGGGTGAGAGGATAGTCAACTAAATCATATTATGAATCACTGACTCTTATATCGTCTTTGAGTTACATGGGAATAGTTAATTGGTTACTAGTTTAAGAGGTACGGACTTGAACCACTCCCCGACGATAGGAGCCAAACACTTATTGATTTAAACCTACGAATGGTAATGAGATGCTGAGCATGTTTCGAATGCTTCGCAATCTTTGTACAAGCTCATGGCTACAAAAGACCAACAATGCACATAAAAAAGATGATTACCGGTATGTGTGTCTATAGTCGCCATGCGTAGGTTACTTTGTGTTAGTACATATTAATAATTGGGACCTCCTGAAGTATGCGCACCGAACTTTTGAGCTCGCGGCCCCTTTTAATAGTCGAAATTTCTTGCGGCCCCTGTTCACCCTAAGATACAGTGAATTTTCATCTTTTAGTGGGCCTATAGATAACAAGAACAAACACGCATTTATTCAAATGAACCTCACTCATCAGTGTGATGGGTGCGACTTCCTTTTGCCGCACAGCAAGTCCAGTCGTAGCTCGCTGTTTGTTAATGCAGGCCTCAATTATAATGAATTACGATGTTTGACCACCGACGGCATGGTCCTATTCCGGCATTGTTACTCACTTTTAATGATCAAATTTGGCATGAGACAACGATTCGTGTGGCGCGAAATTATCAGGAAAAAACTCACGACGCACTTACCCGAAAAAATGCTGCTTTCAAATAAAACACACTTTTGTGATCGTTAATGTGTACTTTAAGCCTTTTAAAGTTTATAAACATTTAGGCCCAAAGCATAAAGGCAAAAGGTTAACTTCTCTTCCTTATCACTACCTGGTTTTTCTTTAAAATGGTAAACAAAATCACCCATGTCAGCTAAACTCGGTTGAGCAAATGATTAAACTGCAGCCTACGAAATTGCAGCAATGGTTTACATCTACTGTTACGTCACAATATATCCTACGTGACTAAGGTAAAATGGGGCTATTGATTCATATACAGATCGTTTGAAATAATAAAAAAAAAAAACATTCAAAATAAATGAACTATGTAAAATATTCTATCATATTTAAGTTAATATTTAACACAAATCTCTTAATTTTCGTGCCCACTTTTAGCAATTTTTAAGTATTTCGAATCAGTCTAAAAATATAAATAAATATAGTACTTGTGTAGAATTGGTGTTCTCTTTGCGGCCCCTAAAATTCGTTTCGGGGACCCTTGCGGGGCAGCGGCGCCTAGTTTGGGAAGCCCTGGATTGGGGCATGCTTCGATTTTCCCTATGCGGTGAAATTTGCTGCTGCGAGATTTCCTACGGCAAATTCCTTCAGCGAATTTTCCTAGAACCATAATGATCACCTTCTTACGCTGTCTTTACAAACAAAATCATCTCTTCTATCCCCATTAATGTCTCCGAAGTAAATATCTGCACTGGCACAAGGTGAAATTCGACCTTTCCAATGTAGTTCTGTCATGGAACCAGAAGTTGTTGTATGTCCAATTGCACTGAAATATTAGGTGGTGTCATCAACCAATAAAAAATCTTATACAAGTGGATTTTATAAATTAGGATCAAATATCAAGAAAGAGAAGGTTTCAGTCGTCACACTTGTTGGATGTGACGACCTTATTCAGTTATTGTCAGTATACCAGCCAGACAACAAAAAATCTCAGTCTGAGAAATTCATCACCTTATCGAAGTTTTCTTGAATGCATTGAACGTTTTCAAGTCTCTCTTCAATCAGCACTTACTAAATCATAATGTAATGCAATAATTCTAAATAGTTTCAGTAGCCATTGGTATTCGCTCCCAGACTAACACCCTTTACTTCTGAGTACGCGTGTGTAACCTAGCTTTAACAAATTTTCCTAAAAATAAAAAAAGTGGAAAGCTCAAATCTACAATCTGTAGCATTTCCACAATCTTCACAAAGTTTTCAGTTTTAAACCTTTGCTCGCTTCAGTTGTCTTCGAAAACTTTGGTAAAGTCTCCTAATAATATTTTTTTCTACTGTGAGAATAAATAGGTGTGTGTGATCTTTTTTTAGCCAATTTTATAACATCAAGCAAGAATATGACTCACACATTTCCATCTAATTCAATACAAACTGCGTCAGTTCTTCCATCTCCATTAAAATCTCCGAAGTACCACTGACTGCCTGCCCCACCACATAAATTTGGTACACTGTCTTCCTTTACATCAAATAAACTCGTATCTGAAAGGAAATTTGATATTATGTTAATAAATACTCATAGATCAATATATATCCTTTTGTGAAGTTTGTATATAGTCTTTTATAAAACTTCAAAAAAAGCTTAAATTCGATAAATAAAACCAGCAGTTGAAATAATGTTTTAATCAAGAAGTATCAAAGAGCTGTGGACTGCAGTAAAGGTAGTATTAATAAAAAATTCACAAAATTCAGCAATGAAAGTTTTGAGATAAAATATACTACTAGATCACTTAAAAGCAGCTAACTTGTGTCCCTTGTTTAGCAGTATAGTTTTTTCTTGATTAGATACCATTTTGCTTCATGGAAATTCACAACAAAGTATTAAAGGAGTTGAAAAAACTAAAAAGCAGAAATAATCTAAAATAAATCCTCACTCTCATCTGTTCCATCTGCCCCTCTGTCTGAGCTACACAATCCAACGTTACAATCCTCTGTTTCTGTTTCAGGATTATAACAGAATGTCCTGCATGTTCTTTGCCTGGATTGCACAAATAATTCATTACTTGAATTTGTAACTGATATGTAATAAACAACTAATTATGAAACTCAACCACTCAACATTAGAAATAACTTACTATCACCTGTTGGAAAACGGAGAGATATTTCATTTTTTTCCAGTCACTATATTTTCTATATCAGTGGTTCTCAACCGAGGGTCCGCGAAGCATTTCCAGGTTAAGATTTTAGGAAATTATTTGCAGTTTAATATTGTTTTTTTTGTAATACGCTCGAACATATGCTGCCTATGACAATAGCCTACAAAAAGTATTTTGATTTATCTCCCGTAGACCTATTGTGACAAATACGAGTTATGACATCACAATGATAAATACGAGAACGCAGCTACTACAGTGATTTCAAGGGCATGTGGTCACTGGTCACATTTTCATTTGAAGCGAAGTAGCTAGTTGTTCTACAGCCAACGTGTAACAAAGGAGATTGTGTTGCTTACTAAAACTTAACCAGCATGGCTAAATCAAGAAAGTACTCAGAAAGTTATCTTGAAAATGGGTTTACCTGAGTGTCAGAGGGTGGCAAGGAAAAACCGCAATGTGTTTTATGTTATGCTGTCCTCAGCAAAGAAGCAATGAAGCCATCAAAGCTTAAGCCTCACTTGCAGCAGACACGCCCAGAGAATACCGAAAAAGATTTGTCATTCTTCCAAAGACTTGAATTGTCTTTGAAAACTGGATGCTAGTGGTTATTTTCAACAGCAAAGCACTGCAAGCATAGAGGCTTCTTTTGAAGTGTCAATACAAATTGCAAAGCAAAAAAAGCCTCATACGCTGGGAGAAACGATTGTTAAGCCTCGTGCTCTGAAGATGGTAAAGTGTCTTCATCTGAAAAATCACTTTCTAAGTTTTGGTGCGCCATTTTGCCGTCGTACCCAGAAGTATCGATGGAAGCATAACGTGTTATTGTTCCATTTGCCTCCACTCACCTTTGTGAATGTGGATTTTCTGCTCTCGTTCATATCAAATCCAAGGCTCATAACCAACTACACATCGAAGACGATATGCGTTTATCGTTATGAAAAACACGACCACGTATTTCAAGACTTGTTTCTGATATGCAACAGCAGAAATACCATTAAGTGTATTCGATTTGACAAAATAAATGAAAACTTCCACTAGTTTGGTGCTATTTTTGACTTGGTTAAATCTTCTGTATGGAACATTAGGTTGCTGTTTAAGCTATAAACTAAATTTCAAATAAAAAAATTTTGAGGGTACGGGACCGCTTTGAGAGCACCAGGAGGGTTTGCAAAGACAAAAAGGTTGAGAATCACTGTTCTATATGAACGGAGAATACTCCAATATAGAAGATTTATACTTTATTATTTTCCTTACCTGACCCTCGTGCCATCACAAGTAGCTGAACAACTCGCCCAAAGCCCCCAATCTCCTGCATTTTCAGGTGTGGTTGTTGTTGTCGTTGTTGTGTACAATGTTGATAAATATGATTCCGGGGTTGTTGTTGTGTACAATATTGATGAATATGATCCAGGTGTTGTTGTTGTTGTGTACAATGTTGATGAATATGAAGAACCTTCAGTTGCCGAGCATGAATTAGAATTACATTCTCTTGATTCTTCGCCTGGGCATTCTCCCGATACACATATTTTACGCCTAGATTCATAAAAAAATATTGAAAATATTGGATCGCAATGGAATTGGCAGTTGTCACAGATGCTTGTCATTGCACTCCTGATTTACTCTACACGGGTTCGCAAGTTTGAATCCTTTGGGGAATGAATAATCATGCGGTAGAGCAGCTTTTCTCAAACTGTGTTACGCGGAACAGCTTCTTCGGAGTGCAGGGATTAAAATGATTTCTCAATTGGTCCCAATGAAAATTTCGACTGTACTTTGGCAAATCTGAGTCATAAATTTGTCTCCCAACTAGCGACAAATAGGCCTTGCAATTTAAACAGACAGACAAGCCTAGTTCCAGTCTGGAAAGCGTGCCATTTGCGTTAACCGTTCAATAATGTTAACCTTCGGCTTAATTTGTCATTTGAAATTTTTCAGCAAACTTTTTAATTTTACCACGGGCTAAATTTTTTTTGAAACCACCCACCAATTTTATCTTATAATTTCTTGGTGCTCTGCGAGAGGAGATAAAGACTTTCTTCCTCCACATGATAAATATAAAAATTTCATCTAAATATGAGAAGTTTATTGTAGTTCAAAACTTTGTTAGAAAACGATGCAGGATAATTCATACCACAAGTGAGCGTTGCTTTCTTAAACATCACTGTCAATGCAACCGGCCAGTTTTATCACAAGTAAATCGGACTGCGTGATTCACTATATATATATATATATATAGCCTAACAACCTTATCTTATCCAATTTCAGAATCTGACACTAACCTGGTTTGCATTCCTTCACAGGTAGCAGAGCACTCATTCCACTGACTCCACATCCAATTTCGATGCCCACATCTTCCTACACCGCATCCTTCATTCACAGGAGACGACCCTTCACAAAACGTATCTCCACACAATCTTTGCCTGCAAAAAAGATAAATCAGAACAAATATTGATTTAATGTGTCCCAGTGATTAGCATATTGTCCAAAGCAACACCAACATGGCAGTGTAAAAACCTTGGATGTAAGACTCACACTCACAATGAGTGAAAATATTCAAGCATGCTGAAATGGGGAAAATTGTAATCATTTTTACAAATATCTTCTTTCCAGGAACCACTAGCTGCTTGTCAAAAGCTTCGTTCAGAAAAAGATATTGCACTTCTGGAAAAAAATATAACCAAAACAGAAATCATGTCATAAAAGAGATAACCTTATTTTAAATGTAAATTAATATTATTACTTACTTTGATCATTATTGTTTATTTATCATATCTGTTATTTATAATGAAGTATATATAGTACTCTGTCAGATTATTATGATGAATTTGTTCAAGTCTTACATCAATTGGTATAGACTGCTGAGTAACACACACCCTAGTTTTTTCTCTTAGCTCTCAGCAATTGAACAATCGCTTGATGTAGTATCTTTGAGTGTACATGACATTGGTCCAAGGAAATTCACTTTAAATAAAAACAAACATCACCTGGTGCGTATACCATCACAGGTTTCAGTACATTCCGTCCACTGACTCCATGTTGCTTTCCCAGTTGTAGGTAGAGCTCCACATTCAGTATTGCAGAAGCCATAGTGAGGTATTCCATCAGGACAAGGTTGACCATTACATAGTTTTCCTCTGATGACAAAGATAAATTATTAATTATTAGTATGTTGTCTCATTTCTCGAAGAATTAAGGCCCAAATTCTCATTCCAGAATACAAAGAAATATACGGTAAGTGTATTGTAGATTGTTGTATTTAATCTGTGACTAAATATAACTCGTTTTGAAATACAATTAGTTGTAAATTCACCACATTGCTATGAATGCCTGCATCTTAAAACATTGAATGAATGCTCTCAGATATACTAAATAGATTTATCATGCATAGGCCTACTATATCTTATCCCAACTGAGCCATAGTGGAAGCTCACCCTTTATCGGGGGTTTAAACTTTGCGAAATTTGTCATGCAGAGTAATATAATCCGACCCGCGCTGCTTCACTGAATTATAGTAACAAAACAGCTGTTTTGACAAATATATACTTTACATGACAGAATTTATTGTGAGCTGACTAAATTATATTAAAATCTAACAAGCTGAGTTGAGTAATGAGTAATAATTTAATTCACTTAGACAAATGGCAACAAAACGCAGAAAAGTTGATGCTAAGTGCAAAGGGTTTGTAACAAATTTGCAATTTGACACTTTAAATCATCGAATATTACCCCAATTAATCTTAAAAACTTGACTTTCGACTTAGCACCTGTAAATTTCTATGATTTAAGTCGTGTTTTATAATTTCTTGTAATTGTCGATCGTAATTTGTTTAACCGGAGCAATAAAATAATACTAAAGGATGGATATTGAGTTAATCTGTTACATAAAATTAACAGGAGCTCCCAATTTGAGCACGTATAACTTCTGATTAATATAATTAATTTATATCGGAGTCTAGATAGTAGGAGCCCAATATATATCAAAGTAGTAAACTAGACAACATCAACTAACAAAGAAGATAGCCAACAGCAGCAACATGTTGCCGAAAATATTCAAATGGAATTTTTCGAAATGCAATGCAATGAGAAAATAAATCTATAGTCTATTCGTGATTTTTATCACTGCTTCAATTTTATTATAAAAAGTATCATCCTTTCGGTTTTCAACTTTGCGGCACGCCAATGACTCACAACCCTTAATTTTGATCTGCGAACGACAAAAGGTTGCCGACCTCTGTTGTAGGTGGTCGCAACAGAAAGATCCCCTATTCCTTATGAAAAACACCCGGGCTCAGCGTTAGAAATAAGCTTACCATCGCACTTCTGATTACCCTGAGTGAGATAGCAGATTTTGATCCCATGCAAGGATAGTTGTGTGTGAGAGAATTGCTGGATTTAAATTTGTTTTGAATTATTGATGAAAACGTATTTTTAATGTATGTAAACGCTCAGCAATATGTCTGAGTGATATGTTCTACGTTTTCAGTAATTTATGTGTCTGGAGGACCTAATACAATAAGAAAGTTATATACAATTTTATATCTCCCAGGTATTTGAGATTCGATTTGAAAAAAATATTCGATCCGATTCTGAAATCATCAGGTATTCGTAAATGCCCAGCCCTAATCAAAACCACTAAATTATCCAAAACCTCGGACGAATAAATTTTGATCAGTGCTAGCCGCTATTTTTTTACATTCCTATTGTAGATATTTCAATAAACATTTGTCTCTACAAACAGAGAAGTGTCATAGGAAAGTTTCCAAAATAATTTTCTTCACCAACAGACAGAATTTCACATACAAATAATTGAAACATTTATATGATTGCTAGGCATGTGAGCTATATGCAATGAAATGGAAGTATTGGATATGAACTATTGTTGCTGCAAAGTACAAATCATTCACTCAACATACAAAAAAGGTAGTGAGGTTTATATACATTGTACTCAATTAACCCCATATGCTCAATAACCCCCCTCCCCCCCTACTATTCTAATCTCAAAATCTAACATGTTTAAGTACAGAAAACATACATATTATTAGAGCTGTCCAAGCGAACCAAATATTCGAAATCAAATCGAATCGCAAATTATTCGAATCGTTTTGGCTAATTTTCGAATCATAAAGCGGAAACCACCTTTGCAGGACGTTTTTTATCGGGCAAGCGGCGGCGCTTCGAGTTTAGACCACTCTCGCTCCTGGCTTAATTGGTTTCCCGATATTTCTCTCGCCTTCATTTTGTGATAAACATGTCATTCTAAATGCCCGCCCGTTGGCACGTGATTAGCCATTTCCTGCATGGTCATCATAACTTGACATAAGTTATCGGTAATGACGTTTTTGAGTGAGAACAAGGAGAAAAAGGCAATCTAGGAAACGATAATTCTATAAATAGAATCGATTTGAAGCTGTTAAGTTAGTTATCACAGGAACTTGGTACAGGCAACTCAAAGCTGAAACAGGCAATACTGGCATTCTGGCAATACTGTATTATCCATCTATATACCAAGACAAATAATTGCACTCTTGAATTTTGATGACTGTTTTACACTAATAAGATTATGGTCTTCAAACTAGCTTCGAATTTGTTAAATGTAATTTTGAATTTGAGCAACAGTTTTATCTATATTAATGGTTGTTATTATTTTGCTAAAAATTACACAAAAAAAATATAACCCTAGTGAACAGGATTAAAATAGCATCTACAGGCTTTACATGTCCTTTTAAAACTGAATCCATCAGAATTGAGATTGCAATTTTTACTTTTAACACTCAACAGTTTTCGAGACCCAAATTTTGGAGTCCTCCAATTTTTTGGACAGCCCTACATACTATATATATTTATATTCAATGTGTTCGACTTTGAAATTGCAGGAAAGTTAAGATAAAAATCAATAGTTTTCAGATATTAAATGTTTGCAAGTTTATTCCAAGTTTACAGATAACGAATATATACAAAACAAATTCACCTTACTCTTTGTCCATTACAAGTACCAGAGCATTCACTCCAGGCTCCCCAAGTTTTAGTAGGCTCAATTTCCATAGGACAATCTTCTATATTAACTGCAATCCCGCCTTTACATCCGTCAAATAATAAAGCACATCGTCGTGACCTAATCAAATATGTGACATTGAATTGTAAATTATTTTTTATTATCATACAAATTGAATCAAAGCACAGCCCCGACCGCTTAACTAAGAATATGGATTGGAAAGTTGAAAGCGATCACAGAATTGATGAAAAATTTATTCGACGCTCATCCTTGTGGCTATTAGATAGTGTTGAGTATAAGTCGCTTAACCCTAAGTCGCATATCAAACGAATCACAGGTCATACAATTTTTAAATTCAGTCAATCGGTTAGTTGATGAATAGTTATTCCACATAAAACTGCTCACGAATATAATATCGAGAATGGCCCAAAATTCATCCTTTAATTTAGTTTTTACTTATCGATTTTAATCGGTAAGTATGTTGATAGGTATTTGTCTGTATGTTTGTCTGTTAGATGCACGTGATATTTCACGAAAGCGAGATTGAATCTGCTCCAGATTTTGCATGTGCATTCATCTTATCTCGCACCAGAAGCCTATTGATTTTGGGCAAATTATGTCGTATAATTAGCGAGTTATCAATCAATTATTGATATAGTGATCTAGATTTTTGTAAAGCAAGAAAATTTGGGCCCGCCGAGTGTGTGTGTGCGATGCGCAGTGCGCAAGTTACAAGAGCGGATGAATCGAAACTGCAGTTTCTGTTTTAGGGAATCCCCTAACTATTGATCAATAAGTCTTCGGTTTCCAGCCGATATTCTCGTTTTTATTCTTGATGGTTAGGCAAGTTGTGTAGCACTAAAAGTGCGTTTGCACAGTATAGATCAAAATTCGTTGCGCGAAAGTGACTAGTCCAACAGCGATTTTATGCTGTTCAGAATAGTTTTATATTTTTTTGTGGTTCAGCATGGACAGTACAACATATTACACTGTGAGATAGGTGGGTAGCACAAGTATTGAACCTAATATCAAAAGTTGGTAAGTTGTAAGTGTTTATAACTATACACACCTCATTCGAAAGCTTTGGGATTCTGTGACATCACATTCACCCCACTCTCCCCATTCTTTCCAGATATTTTTTGGTGGACAAGATGTCCGTATAGAACAAGGTTCAATCATTAGTGGTTCTCCTGTGAATGAATAGATTAGGTGACAAAATCAGCCGCGCAGGAATCGTAATTATACACAAAAATCAAAGTCACATTGCCTGTTGTGTAAATATGGATATACTGTGCATTGAGCAGTTTGCAACATTAATGAAATTGCAATGTCATCGCTGAGGATAGCCTCTTTAGCATTTAACCCAGAGCCCTCTGCCTATTCTAATTAAAATACAGTATACAAAAATGAAGAAATAGAAATATGAATACCAGTCTTCTAATATATACCATATTTCCTGGCAAATAAGACGAAGCCCATTTTTAGCACTAAAAAATAGGGTTTTTCCATATAGGTCTCCTATAAGATGGGCTGAGAAATTGCTTCTTTGTTGGTCAGTTAAGCACTAATATGCGCTCATAATTTTATATGGTTAGAACCAGGTCATGTTTGTTTCAGGTAGAATAATACTCACAGCATTAATTCTTAACAATAAAACGGTAATTTCAATTATTTTGAACAACCCATTAACTGAAACGTTGAAATAACCTATGGGTATGGTGTGATAAGTACTGCGCTGTACATCCATGGGTTAGTTAGCTTTCAGTCTGGTTTTGTTTTTTTCTGAATTAGCAAATCAGGAGGGTCATAAATCAATTACTTTATCTCCTAGTAGCCGTTTTCTTTTTGAAGTGACGATATCAGGCATAAACAGGGAGTGCTTCAATGTACCCGCCACATAGAAGGAATAAGACAAAGAACAGCTGGCAGTACAAAGCTAATAAAATAATCTAGATTAAAAGACACTCTGGCCATACATTATATAATAAATATATCAACCTATGTATGAAGCTTGCGCAAATCATGTTTGAGAAGACTTGCTAAAAATAACCAAAATAAAATAAGCATACCTGCCCAATAAGACGAGCCCCCCCCCCCCCCCCCCCCCCAAAACCAGATAAAAAATTTGGGTCCAAAATATCGACCTAATAGCCTGGAAACACTGTAGTTCTTTCCAGCCTTGATGTTCATTACAAATAAAATGAGTCAGGGTTTGAAATTATAGGATGATCATCCGTAATATTTAATCATATAATATGTTTGTCTATTTCCATTCCTAATCTAAAAAATGTCTTGGTTTGGTAATATCAGACTAGAAATTTTCTAGTTAATCATAAACATCAGTACCAGGACATCCAATGACATGCTTTCCCTCAGCATTTTCACATCTTCTATATTTATATTTTTCTCCTTTTTCACAAGTTGAATCACAAGGTGACCAATCACCCCATTCAGTCCATGTTGCTAAAGAACAATGAAGCATTAGCAATTTATATAAATTTAAATTACGGTTGTGATTGTGAATTATGTACAGCCTACATCAAGCGTTATTGTTATGTAGTAACAAAAACTGCTCAACTCGATTGTGCGTATTTTAGGAACAATGACAAAAAACAAAACCAGTACAGAATGTTTGCTGCGATATGAGATAACTAATTTGAAATTTTTTTACATTCATGAATCCTACTCGTTTCCGGGCATGTGTTTGAAAAAAATTTGGCCATTTAGTTTTAGCCAACAATGTTTAAAATGGAGCCCCGTGGAAAATGATTTTAGGTGGATAGATTGTTTGACTCCTTTATTATCACAGGTTGGTCTGTGACCAAATATTGTACCGACTATCAACTAACTAAATCAATATAATCAAGACTGGCCATCACTTATCATGGCGGATGACCAGACTGGATGATGTGTGCTGTTTTCTATATGATGAAGCTGTTTTCTCCATTTTTTACCGGTTGTTACAGAATCCAGGCAGCCATAAAGTTGGTTGATTTCAAATGCATCATATTCGGTATATCTTGTCCCCGAAAAAGTTAAATTGATTGGCAATTCCGTTCCATATTCCACCACCGTATATCTTCCAGGGAATTTCAGGAAAGATCCACTTGGGTATTGCATCAGTGACGTGATGTCATAAGGTACTCCAATCATTATGGCATTTTCTTTTTCTATTTTAACAAAGTTGTATTCCATACCTAGAAATTGAAACAAATTAGTCATTCTGTAGTGCTGGTCAATTTTGACAATACTGAATGCACAAATTTTGACATGCCCACTCGTGCAACTACTGGTATAATAGCTGTATATATACTGGTATATATATGAACTATTAATTCAAAAATTTCCCTGCAATAAAATAAAATGGTATCGTTATTAATGCTTTCAATTATATTGCATAAACTTGTTACATTAGATTTTCGTTTCGTATGAGAAGTTTCCAACTTGACCTTCAAATTGAACAAACATCCAGTGATACATAGGGGCTTTTTGATTTAATAAAACATGAGGAGGAACACAAAAACAACAGTCGAAAGGACGAGAATAAAACCAGAAAAAAAATTTTTTGCAAAAAACTATTATGACCTTGAAACAGATCTGTATCAAAAAGCTCCGATTAAAAATTCATTTCTGTACTGAATAAAGTGTTATCAATTAAAAAGTCTAGCTGCGTATGTATATTCAATATGTAACTGGGCTTACAAATTTCGCTTTTATTAGGAAACACTTGAGAAACCTTACCCTCTTCAACATTTTCCAATTTCACTGTAAGGTACGCATCTCTATCAGCTCTACAATGTTCATGCTCGAATCCGAGCAAATGCTTGAGCTCATGATGAACAGTTCCCGATTCGTCACAACCCCAACCTATTGAAACAGTCTGCGGGGTCTTTGAGTTTTTAAGTATTCCAACATATGACCTGAATAAAAGAATGCATACTTGCTTAGAATATACAATGGCAGAAATTAAGATTAAAAGAAATCTCCCTCATTTCTGAATGCGCATGACTTTGTATTTGAGCATATTTCATATTTCTCTAAAAAATATACTGTGAATCTGGTGAGGCTGAAAAGCAAAAAAATATTGAACTACAAACTATCGTCACTTCTGAAATGGGCACTTGGGTGTTTAAAAGTTGTTTGGTGACAATTCATGTGTTATGAATAAGAACATCTATGTCAAAGAATTCATTGAAATTTTGAAAAAAATCTCATTGATACTCACGCACATCCGTCCGTGATGTCAAACCTAATGTAATGTTCTTGATTTGTATGAGGCACAAAATCAATACATGTGTCTTCTGCTATCATCTTCATAGCTTTTTCTATGTTCTTTGCCACAGCTTGTTCCAAATGCAACAAACAAGAAGTGTTTGATTCAATAAAAAATTTTTGTAGTTTCTTGGCAAGTACATTCAAATTATATATAACATGTTGCAAGACATTTTAAGCAAGGGGAAATTTTTTGGTCACATAAATTCCAAATGTAATGGGTAGTTTCAATTGTTTTAAAAATATAGTGCATTATCAGGCACTTCTACTCAATGAATTACAATAAGTGAAAGGACTTAATATCGCCACAAGGTATCATGTGAATAAAAAACATGGTTGCAGGTCCTGTTTTTCATGTGTGAATACACAAAATATCGAATGTGTTTACTTATTAGCATTGTTTCAATATACAATTAGAAACAATTTTGGGGCCTGAAAACTCATCAGCAATAAATATGTTGCCCAGGCATCCAAACATTTCAGTTTAATTACCCAGCTAATCTCAATTTTTTAAAAACCTTTGTGATATATCAGAAACCTTTTAAAGTGAAATCTTTTCCAAACATTGCTGAGTAAAATTCATCACAATGCAAGTTTCACAATAGAATATAGCAATTCAAATTATTAAAATCGAATTTAAAATTATAGCTCAAATTATTAATACATATGAATATAATGAAACCTCACATGGCTTTATTGTAGTTTCGTAAACATATCCAATCTGATATCTTCCATTAACTTCATTTTCGTTCCATAATATAGTATCAGATTCAGCGGATCCATAAAAAAGATCAAAATCGTCCTTATCGGCATATCCGTACCTCTACAGAAATTATGCAACAGTCACTACCATTGGATATTTCACAATTCACATAGATAAACATATGAACTCTAATTAATAAACTTAGATGCATTAATATTTTACAATCAATGTCCTAATTGAAAAGTAATAAAATGCCCCCACTTATGAAATGTTTACTGCATAGAGGATTAACATTTGAAGATAGCGCTCATTTTGTATATCAAGTGTCCTACTTGTAAGCTTAAGATTAATTTTCTTCCCAAACGGATGGACAGAAATTCCATTGTATATTATCACAAGCTATTGGTTTCTTTATTTGCACACAACGGGCATGATAAATTACATGCAACTAGTTCATTTATTTCCGACAGAATGTGATATATGAGAAAGAATACAAACAAATTGCTAGTGTTTGTTCATTTGGTACGTAAGTGCAACACAAGAATACCTACTTCGGACATGGCTTTGACCTGTTGAGGAACAAACATGATATCCCCTTGATAAAGTCCAGAAGGTGCACATTCGCAACTAACTTGACATTTAGTTACGGGATCAGTTTCATAGTCGAATGGACAAGAAGTATCACAAACTGATGGAACGAACGTACAATCAGCCCCTGAATACAAATTGCTGTATTGTGCAACCTATTGTCCACCGGGCCAACTTGTATATTAAAAGATGTGAGCAAGTGATCTAGGCCTATATAATAACAAAAGATGAAAATATACGTAAGGAAGTGAAATAGCCTAAATCAGGGTGGTCCAAACAAGCGTTGGCCACGTGACGGCAGTGACGAACCGCAGAACTAACTTAGCGCCACGCGATCCCGTTTTTTTTTAATCTGCTGGGTCCGAGGTCCCAGCTTAGACGGACTTGATTGTTTTTTGACGGTGGCACTAGGCCTGCTCACGCTACAAGTAATAAATTCATCATATAATAGGTGTAGAAAAAAGGTGACCAAAGTAAACTGAGAGTAAACGTATTTCCTTACCCACAACAACGTTAAACCACAGTGTCTGGTGTGTTTTCAAGTAATATCTGTCACGAAAGAGTATAATTTTAAGCAACATTACAAAACCAAACACGAGGAAAGATCCCGAAGAAACCACGGTATTTCTCGGGAAGCAATTTTAATTTAACTAAAGGCTTATATATCTTCTTTATAAAACGAATTAAAACTGTAAACTCTCGTTCTTAGTAAACTCGTGATGTTTTGCGGCCCGCTAGACCTCCTCAAAAGTTTTTGCGGTCCATTAACTTCGCAACCTTGGCTTGGACCACCCTGAGTCATAAATAATAGATTCTAAACACGACTGACATGGTAAACGATATTTAAGATAATGAAGGAACCTACTCAAGCAAGCATTTGCTTCTATTGGTGATGGATTTTCAACTTCACATGACGCTTTTTGAAAATATCTTGGATCAATCGATTCATCTCCTAAGAAATGAATTACGGTATATATATTTTTCTCAATCAAACAATGTGAAATATTGCCATATAAATTACATATTTGTTTTCTAACTTATGATGCACGAGCGATGAATCACAAAAAGTCACCAAGGCAAATATTTGATATCCAGAATAATTAATCACTGCCATGGTCGGCCCTCGAGGTGAATATCCTTTGATTGAATATACAATTACCTTGCATAAGGAGCGCAAGTATGGCTACGACTATGCCAATGACAATCAAGAGAAAAATAACTGCAACAATTAGTTTCTTCTGCTCTGAAAAATAAAATAGGGTATAACTATTTAAAATATCGAACTCAATGTCAGATAATTGTCCCAATGAAACAAAACACGGTATTCGACTGAAACATTCAACCAGTAAGACGGAGGGAACTTGGATACTGTGTATTGAACTGCAGGTACTTTCTCTTTGTTTACTTTCTACTTCGGATCCGTATGTGGTACTTGCCACAAGAATGCTTGAACAAGATAGTAATAAAGTGATAAGTAAAAATAACATGGTCTCTTTCAAGGAAGTAGTAAGTATATTTGTGAGCTTTCGTTTGATCATGGTCTAACTTCATTATTGCTGTTTGATTAAGTTATAGCCTATCTTGTATAGTTTGAAGTAGTTAGACCATGATCTAACTAACGAAAGCTCACAATTTCGTTGAAAGAGATCATGCTATTTTTAGTAAGACTGAAATGACATATTTCCACAACATATTGGGTGGCCTGAAAAGACATTTCCGAAATTTTTGCTGGATCTCGTGTTTTCCACAAGACAACATTGTACTGGGGTGGACTACTACATCACTCATAACACTGACAGCATGATCTAGCCGTATTGTTTCACGAATCTACCTTGTTACGGCAGTCGATTTACAGAATTAATCATAAGCCAACAACTAAATAAAATAACTCACCGGCACCAGATTTCTTTGACTGCTCTTCCATTGCTTTTGTGTATGGGCACACCACGATGGTTATTATTATATGCCTACACGAAAAACAGACGCCCAGCAGAGTCCAACTACCGTAGTACCCTAATGGTAGGCTAGAATAACGGTGAAGTCCAGACTTCAATATATTATGCTGGTAAGCAGACAGTCGAGGCGCGTTTTCATGAACGAGCTTTCCATGCGCTATGCTGCGATCACTGCAGAACGAGAGGTAGTGAGATTTTCACACAGATAAGAGGAAATATGATATCAATCCTACTGAAAAAGTTTTTCTAAACTTCGCTGTCGAAAGTTGTCAACGTCAGAACGGGCATTTACGCAATCACTTATGACATCATATTCCATATAACCGACAAGTTATAAAACCGAAAGTTGACATTCTGCAATCCTGTGATTTCAGCTCATTTCTCCCCGCGAGCATGATTTTCATAAAATTATTCAAGAAGGCAAATTAGTCCTTTCATGATGTGACCATTCACAAAAGTAATGGAAGAGCAGTCGAAGAAATCTCGTGCCGGTGAGTTATTTTATTTAGTTTTTGGTTTATGATTGATTCTGTAAATTGACTGCCGTAGGAAGGTAGATTTGCGAAACAATTTCAATGCTGCTAGAGAGCTAGTAAATGCTGTCAGTGGTATGAGTGATGTAGTACCCAACTACAATGTTGTACTTGTCTATGCTCATTAACGTTAGTCTTTGTTGGGTGATGGTCCACCCTGTCCCAACGAGTTACAAATTTTGAAATTATTTTCTCGCAGTCTCGTTTGTTGAATGTTTGAGATATGTTTTTATCATTGGTATAATTATCTGGCAATTGTAAGTTCGATATTTTGAAAAATCAATTACCTTATCCCATTTTTCAGATCAGAAGAAATTAACTGTTGCAGTTATTTTTCTCTTGATTGTGATCGGCATAGTCATAGCCATACTTGCGCTGCTTATGCAAGGTAATTGTAGTATATTTGATCAAAAGAGATTTTCCTTGAGCAGTGATTCTTTATGCTGGATATCAAATATTTGCCTTGTGACTGTCTTTTTGTGCACATGTCACATTTTTTGATTGAAAAATATATATACCGCAATTGATTTCTTAGGAGATGAATCGATTGATCCAAGATATTTCCAAAAAGCGTCATGTGAAGTTGAAAATCCATCACCAATAGAAGTAAATGCTTGCTTGAGTAAGTTTCTTTATTGTCTTGAATACCATGACAGTCGTGTTTAGTATCTAATATTTAGAGTATTTTACTTCGTTACATATATATTTGTATCTTTTGTTATTATTTAGGCCTAGATCACTAGTTTTCATCATTTTTTTTAATATATAAGTTGGCTTGATTACCTAGGTTAAACAATACAGCAATTTATATTTAGGGGCCAATTGTACGTTCGTTTCATCGATTTGTGCTACTTCTTGTCCATTCGACTATGAGACTGATCCCTTAACTAAATGTCAAGTTAGCTGTGAATGTGCGCCTTCTGGACTTTATCAAGGGGATATTAAGTTTGCTCCTCAGCAGGTCAAAGCCATGTCGGAGGTAGGTATTCTTGTGTTGCATACCAAATGAACAAACACTAGCAATTTGTTTGTAATCTCTCTCAATTCTACACATTTACACATTCTTTCGGAAATAGATAAACTAGTTGCATGTAACTTATCACGCCACACCCATTGTATGCAAACAAAAAACAAACTATTTTTGTCCATCTGTTTGGAAAAAAAATTTAATTTAAGCTTACAAGTATAGCAATTGATATAAAAAAAGTGTGCCATCTCTAAATGAGGATAGGATAGGATTTACATATTTATCCCGGGGGAGAGGAAAGCCGATAAGACGGCTTATCCATATGGCGAACCACGGCCTCGTCCGGTTACCATTCCAAGTCGGGTATGGGATTAGTTTTTACTGTATTGTTTGTTTTCGGAAGCATGGACTTGGTGGTGGAGGAAGCCGTAACCGACCAGCGGTTACGTGAACCCCCCAACGACGGCGAGGAGTCCAGCAATCCTCTCGCACATAACCATCCCTGCATGGGATTCGAACCTGCGAACCCATGCAGAGTGACTAGAGGTGCGGTGGCGAGCGTATTCCTAACGCTTAGCCCGTTGAGCCACACCGCCGCGCCTATTAAATACTATGAAATTGACCTCCACAAATTTATCACCTCACGCTTCGGGGGTGTGAGAGGGATTGCTGTTCCTAAATATTATTGTCGTATATTAAAAAAAAAATAATAGAAAACTTAATAAAAATTATAATGTGGCTCCAGTTTGGAATGAACTTCTTTTCCAACTGCAGTAAACAATTCATTAGTGCGGGCATTTTATTACTTTTCAATTTTGGCATTGATTGCGGAATATTAAAGCGTCGGGCTAATTTTATTAATTAGTAGAATTCATATGTTTATCTATGTTAAGTATCCAATGGTAGTGATTGTTCCATAATTTCTGTAGAAGTATGGATATGCCGATGAGGACGATTTTGATCTTTTTTATGGATCCACTGAATCTGATACTATATTATGGAACGAAAATGAAGTTAATGGAAGATATCAGATCGGATATGTTTACGAAACTACAATAAAGCCTTGTGAGGTTTTATTGTATTCATATGTATTATTAGTTTGTGCTATAATTTTAAATTCGATTTAAACAATTTGAATTGCTATATTTTATGATAAAACTTGCATTGTGATCAATTTTACTCAGCAATATTTGAAAAAAGGTCAAAATTTTTTTTTTAAATATTTCTAATATATCACAGAGGTTTATTGAATATTTGGATTAGCTTTGTAATTAAACTGAATTGTTTGGATGCCTGGGAATATTTATTGTGGTGAGTTTCCAGGCCGAAAACCGTACAAAGCCAAAAAAAAAAATTGTTTTTAATTGTATCTTGAAACAATGCCAATAAGTAAACGCATTTGATATTTAGTGTATTTACACATGAAAAAAAAAAAGACATGCAACCATGTTTTTTTTTATTCACTTAATACCTTGTTACGACATTTAGCCTTTTTGCGTAATTCAGTGAGAATAATGCACTGATAATGCACTATATTTTCAAAACAATTGAAACCTCTCTTTACATTTGGAATTGATGTGAAAAATTAAAAATTTCCTCTTATTTAAAATGCCTTGCAACATGTGATAGATAATTTGGTAGTGCTGGACACGAAACTACAAAAACTTTTTATTGAACCAAGCACTTCTTGTTTGTTGCATTTGGAACAAGCTGTGGCAAAGATTATAGAAAAAGCTATGAAGATGATAGCAGAAAGCACATGTATTGATTTTGTGCCTCATACAAATCAAGAACATTACATTAAGTTTGACACTAATGAAGGATGTTCGTGAGTATCTGTAAGATATTGCAGTCAGTAATTTTCACCAAAACTTGGATGTTGACTTGACTTGGATGTTCTATTCATAACTCATGAATTGTTACCAAACAACTTTTAAACGCCCAAGTGCCCATTTCAAAAGTGACGATAGTTTGTAGTCCAATATTTTTTTGCTTTTCAACCCCACCAGATTAACGGTATTATTTTTTACAGAAATAGGGAATACGCTTAAAATCATGCGCACTTAGTAATCAGGGAGATTACTGTTAATCTCTATTTCTTCTCTTTGTATATGTAAAGTGACTTGAAGTGAGAATGTATTCTTATATTCAGGTCATTTGTTGGAATATTCGATACCTCAAAGACCCCGCAGACTGTTTCAATAGGTTGGGGATGTGACCAAACGAGTACTGTTCATCATGAGCTCAAGCATTTGCTCGGATTCGAACATGAACATTGTAGAGCTGATAGAGATGCGTACATTACAGTGAAATTGGAAAATGTTGAAGAGGGTAAGGTTTCTCAAATGATTGTTGAATATTGAATATGCTCAGCATGGACTTTTTAATTGATAACACTTTATTCAGTACAGAAACGAATTTTAAATCGGAGATTTTAATACAGATATGTTTCAAGGCCATAACAGTTTTGCAATTTTCTCATTGGTAGTTCATATATATAGTCGCACGAGTAGGCATATCGGAATTTGTGCATGAAGTATTGTCAAAATTAGCCAGTACTACTTTAGAATAACAAATTTGTTTCTAGGTATGGAAGGCAACTTCATTAAAGTAAAAAAAGAAAATGCCGTAATAATTGGAGTACCTTATGACATCACGTCAGTGATGCAATACCCAAGTGGAAGTTTCATGAAAATCCCTGGTAGATATACGGTGGTGGAATATGGAACGGAATTTCCAATCAAGATAGAAAATAAAGCAGGATTTACCGAATATGATGCATTTGAAATCAATAAACTTTATGATTGCTTGGATCCAGTAACAACTGGTAAAAAAATCGAGAAAACGGTATCTTCATATAGAAAATAACACATACCTTCTAGTCTACTGATGACTCGTTATGATTATAACGGCTCAGTTAAATGATAGTCAGTACAATTCGTTCCAATGTTTGGTCACTGACCAACCTGTGAAGGAGTCCAACAATCTATTGAAGGAGTTCAATAATCTATCAAGATAGAGTCATTTTCCGCGGGGCTTTAATTTGTTTTACACATAATGCTCTCAGGCATGCAAAACAAAACGATATGTTTTTATTTTATTCACGCTTATAACCAGGGCTGCCATACCGTCCTTATTTTTAAGAAACGCCCTTATTTGGACATGTGTCCTTATTTCAAGGGTAGAGCTTCTAATACCAGGCACCTAGATTGGTCAATTCTAATGACTGATTTGCTAGAAATGATAGTTCACAACTTCATTCATTGCTACACGCATTCATTACGTAATAACTGCAAATTAATTGACACAATGACAAAACAATAGCCTACCCGCCAAAATTAGTTCGTGTAACTTGAATCAAAATACAACCTAAAAGTGAGATGGAACAGATTACCTCTGAGAATAAAGAACTGCTGAAGAAAATCCTTTCTAGTGCAAAGTATGATTAGACACGGGTCGCACTGTCATGAATACATTTTGTTTATTGCTTCTCGTTCTTTGTTATTCTATTATTATGTTTCCCTGATGTCCTTATTTTGGAGTTCGTGTCGATGGCAGCCCTGCCCATAACCCATGGCTGTGGAAACTAAATTTTTTTAAAATATTGATTCTCAGTAACAGAATTCAGCTCTTATCTTTATGAAATCAAACATTGTTGACTACAACTGAATTATCAAATTTTTCCAAACACACAACCGGAAAAGTCTAGGATCCATGAATCTG